TCAGCTGCACGAACCATCCCGTCGATACACGACTTCATTGCGAGCCACATTTCAGCCGAACGTCCTGGTGTACGCTTTACGTGGAAAAACGTGGAGGACCATGTGAAGATGCATGAACAACTAGTCACGGAAGGAGCCATGGCCATGATAGCGTCGTCATCGTCAAAGGTGCCGAAACAACGCACCAGATCCAAGGAGGACGGCCCTGTATGCGTGAACTGCAAAAAGGCGAGGCACTCCATCGAGTTCTGCATATATCCGGGAGGTGGAATGGCAGGTAAAACAATAGCTGAGGCCACCAAAGCACGTGCAGAGACCTTGGGTAGCGACAGAAAACGCAAGCGGGCGAACGATGATGCTCATGCTCACGCCGCCGTCCCTGTGGGTTCAAACGATGCTAAAATATTCACCTGTAATGGCCAGACCTTCATCGCTCCTAGCGGTTCCCAACAAGGGTTCCTAGTGATGACGTCGAACTCTGCACAAATGCCACAGCCAACGGCGCCGAACTCAAACTTAGCTTTCTACCAAAGTCCTGATTTTGCTGGAGTCCTTGCAACTGATCCCATTGAATCGATCTTGAGCCCAGGATCAGAGTCACATCATGCTTGGTTGGCGACGACGGACACTCTCACCTCCTCCTGCAACTGGGCTGAGCTCTTTAGGGAGGTTTCCGCCGAAGCTATGGTCACTTGTGTTCTGCTGTCTGTGTCACATCTTCGTCAAATGGACCTTGGTCTACTGCCGTTTTACCTCGATAGTGGAGCTTCCACACATATCTTGCCAGACCGCGCGGACTTCTTCGAGCTCTATACCATTGCTCCACGGCGCGTCATGGGTGTAGGAGGGTCTGCTATCTTTGCGATCGGCATCGGGAAGATCAAACTTCGAGTAGGAAAAGGCCGCATTCTTATTCTTGATAATGTCCTTTTCATTCCCAATTCCAACGTTCGTCTACTGTCCATCTCGGCGCTCACACGATCACTGCAATGTCGAATCACCTTCGAGGCCGACTTCACTGTCCAAATATGTAATAGAAGTGGAGCCATAATTGCGACCGGCTCCCTGACGGCAAAGAACCTCTATCGACTCCACTGCGCATCATCGGCCACTGAACATGCTATGCTGTATGCGGCTCCTGCAACCATCGAAACTTGGCACCGTCGTCTGGGTCATGCGCACCATGGCGCCATCCTGTCCATGGCCGCGAACAAGCTTGCTGAAGGTATGCCGGAGTCATTCTCGCAACACCCTTCAGCCTGTGACGACTGCATTATTATGAAACAGACGCACAGTCCGATGCCGAGCACGAGGGAGCATGGAAGGGCGAAGCGACATTTGGACATTGTCTGGGCCGATCTTACAGGCCCTGAAGACGTTGCATCAGTTTCAGGACACCTTTATCTCATGAACATTGTGGATGATTTTTCTCGTTTCGCATGGTCTATTCCTCTTAAATTAAAATCCGATGCGTTACCCAAGCTAAAAGAATGGCACTTGCAAGTTGCAAGAGAAGTCGGTTACGGGGTTGCCATCTTTCGAACCGACAACGGCAAACTGAAGTCAAACGCCATGGACACTTGGTGCAAATCTATAGGCGCCATCCATCAATTCACTGCCCCTTACACTTCGTCTCACATCGGTTCAGTCGAGAGGTATCATCGGACCATTATGCAAAAGGCTCGCGCAATGCGCTCACAATGTGGACTGTCTGCCAATCGTTGGGATGAATTTTGTCTTACGGCATGCTATCTTTCCAACAGAACAGCCTCAAGTGTAATCGGCATGACACCCTATGAGGCGTGGTATGGGGAAAGGCCTAACCTCTCGCATCTACGAGAAATTGGATGTCGAGCATTTGTTCTTATACAGGAGAGGCATGTTCCAAAGATCTATCCACGCTCAATCGAGTGCATTCTCATAGGTTACACGCCAAATGCCAAAGCCTACCGGTGCTACGAACCCAAGTCCCGCCGGGTTATTGACTCGTACAATGTGCGCTTCATTGAGCGAAAGGATGTCATCAGCGATCAAGACACCAACGATGGCGATGTTGAAGAGGAGGGTCGGAAGACTCCACCACGGCCTACTGATGAGGAAGAATCAACGTCTGCTGCTGCCGACGTTCCTCGACGTTCGGAACGGGAAATCAAATTAACTGAACGACAAGCAGTTGCTCAAGGGAAACCATTTATTAGCAACTTGGACAAAGCCATGGAGGAGATGAAACAATCTCGCCAAGCACAACGGGCTGGCGTTGCAGAGGTGGATGGCTGGCTTGACAACCCATCGGTTCTATTCACATCCTCAACTACTGCTGACCTCGCATCTCGTCATAAAGTTGGTATCTTGAACAGTCTCATTGACCCCAGTGAAGAGGACGTCAAACGTGTCGACAGCATCTTTCTATCCAAAGAGGAGATCATTTATGAGGACGATCCAACACTGGAACAAGCAGTAAATTCCGACGAATGGGAGAGATGGAAGATCGCTATTGCAGATGAATCGAAGAGCCTGAAAGAGATGGGTGTTTACAAGCCAGTCAAGCGCACCGATGTTCCTGCCGGAAAGAAGGTGATCAAAGGGAAGATTGTCTTACACCGTAAACGCAACGAGAAGGGCGAAGTTGTTAGACACAAAGCCAGATATGTCGCTAAAGGGTTTCAGCAGGTTGCTGGCAAGGACTACACCGAGACGACCTCACCAACGGCCCGAATGGAGAGCTTGCGGAGCCTACTGCACATCGCCGCGGCAAACGACTGGGACATACAACAGCTGGATGTTAAGACAGCTTTCTTATATGGTCCGCTCCCTGAAGACGAAGAGGTATACATGGAGCAGATCCCTTATCTGGACGATCCAGCATACCCAGCAGATGAATATGTTTGGCTTCTTCTACGTGGACTGTATGGTCTGAAGCAGGCTAGTCGTCTCTGGAACAAAGAAATGAACGGGAAAATGATTTCATGGGGCTTCAAGCGTCTACCTTCCGATGCATGTGTCTACTTCAGGAAGCGGGACGGTGATACCGTCATCTCCCTGGTTCATGTCGACGACATGGTAGCAATTGGCAATAGAGCCAATGCCAACGATGGTCTGAAAGCTGACATGCGCACCGCCTGGACTATCTCCGACTTGGGAGATATTGGTTTCTGCCTCGGTATTTCGGTTCGAAGGGAGCGACAAAACCGCACCATCCACCTTTCCCAAACCGCCTTGATTGAAAAACTGGCAGAGATAGCGGACGTACCTTTAAACACCAACCCAGTATCTACTCCAATGGACTCCAAGGTCAAGCTCTGTCGTCCTCCTGCAAACGAGACACTGCTAGTATCCGATGCGGTGGTGCTTGCCAAATTACCTTACCGGCAGGTGGTCGGGACCATGATGTACATCGCAACTTCTACTCGACCTGATGTTTCATTCGCAGTCTCTAAACTGGCACAGTATCTTGACTGCTTCCGGGAAACTCACTGGCAAGCTGCACTGCACACTGTCCGATATCTGGTTAGCACGCGGCGGCTCGAACTTCGTCTTGGAGGACTTCGTCCCTCTGTTCTGGTTGGCTACTCTGACTCATCATGGTCCGACTGTCTGGATACTCGCCGCTCAACAATGGGGTATTGTTTCAACTTCGGATCAGGTGCTGTTTCGTGGTCTTCACGAAAGCAGAAGATGGTTACCAATAGTACTACGGAGGCGGAGTTCATTGCTATCAACGAAGCGTGTCGGGAAGCGATGTGGTTTAGGCATCTTCTGGCGCAACTGGACATGGCCTGCAATCGACCGACTACGCTCTATTGTGACAATAATGGCGCGTTGGCACTCTCCCGCGATGCCGTTTCTCACTCTCGAACGAAACACATCGATGGTCGTGAGATGTTCATCAGGGAACAGATTGAATGGGGAGTTATTGATGCGCTGCGGGTTGATACTCGTGACAACATCTCCGACATCTTTACCAAGGCCCTGGAGAAGGGGCCGTTCACCAAATTCCGTGAACAACTCGGCGTCATTTGAGGGGGAATGCCTGCGAGGGGGAATAACATCTTATTTTTCTTTTCTTTTTCTATGGACACTTTCCTCTCCACACCGCACCTATCTCATCATTTCCTTTTTACATTACCTATCTTCTTTTCCTTTACTCCCCCCCGTTGACATTCTAGTCGGTGAGGGGGAATGTCGGATTTCACCGACAGATTATGTCATCCGGGTTCAACTCTGGATCGACGCTCGATCCTTGCTTTCCTCAGTTTGCTTTCTACGCTCACTGAGGATACGGTTCAGGTACATACCATTAATACGAGTTTGCTTTCTACGCTCACTGAGGATACGGTTCAGACTTTAAAATTCATTTCCCTTCCACCCCGCGCACTCCCCGCGAACCACGAATGCGACAATGTATCGCGGTCTAGAACCCCAAGATTCGAGCTCAGGTCCTAGATATATGCTACAAACTAGAAATGTCGCACCAGACGGCAGCGTTCACGTTATTCTTTGCGGCGCCGCGTCGTCTTCCGGTCCTCCCAGCGTACTAATAACCGTACCAATCAATTCATTGTAAATTGTTCATTGATCATGAAAACACTGCAAGTCACCGCGTTTATTCGCCGTATCTACCGCGTGCGATAATTTGTGGAAAGGGGATAATAATAGCTCCAACGGTCACGAGAGGTATCCCCTCCCGACTCTGGAATTCAGACCCTCGGTGCGAGCTCGAATTGGTATATAAGGTGCACCATTTCGTGCTTAACGACACCAACCCACCAACACCCTCTTCTCTCGTCGTCGCTATTCTACTCTCTACTTCCAGCGTCACTTCGTGCTTTCTTGTCTCTCACCTCTCGCCTCTCGCTAGATGCCTCTCGCTAGATGTCTCTGCGTGGAGCGATGAAGTCGATGCAAAATGTCCAGCCGTTACGCCGGGGTCTAGTGGCCCTCCTTCGAGCCTCACGTACACATGGCCGCGCCGTGTCGCGTCGCAGAGACGCGGACACCCCATGGGTGGTGGCGGCCGCAAGGATTGCTGCTACGCGTCAGGATACGGTGATGGCGTCTTAGGACCTCTCCCTTTCGATCTCGAATTTCGTTCTGCTAAGTTTATCGTACACAGAGACGGCGTAGTGGTGGACAGACCAACTATCCGCCCCACTACTGCTCTCCGTCAGTACAGCTGCCCCGCTGGGCTCAGTACATCAGAAGAGTTCGACTGGATTAAAGATATTGTCGGCCTCTTGCTCTACGTCTACACGCTATATTCACGTGGTGGAGACAATGTTGGACTTCGCGACATCTGGTTGAGTATCGCAGACCATGAGATTGGGACGAGCAACGACAACCGGGTCCCTGTCATCCAACTCAATAAGTGGGCCAAGTGGCTGCATAAGGATCTTGGTTTTGTCGCACCGTTGATGGTCTCGCTCACCCGTCAAGTCAGACCCGAATGGGGCCTGCTCAGGCCGCCGCCCCGTCCCCTCCACCTCCACGAGGCAATGCAACGGCTGATTCTTGAACATGTTAATACTTGGGAAACCAAGGAATTAAATGTCCAGCTGGATACGCACACGCCACGATCCTACCCAAAGGTGGAACGGGTCCCGAAGGCGCCAGGGCGTCACTACCCAATCATTGGTCAGATCCACAGAGCAAGCTCGCTCGGAAAACGGGTGTCTCATACGCTTGCAGGTCCTGGCCCCAAAAGTAGGTCATGGTCATGGTCTCCTGTATTCCTCCATTTTTACTCATATCCATGCATCCCAGGGAGGCGCAAGACGAATATCCGGCTTCCCGATGGCCCGTTGCCTCCGTTGCCTCCACTGGGGATGGCTTGGGCTACTTTGTTTGGGCCACCTCAGCCATTATTGCACTCCTCAGAAGATGACTACGGCGACGAGGACGAAGAAACTTCAGACTAATTCCACTGCTAACCAGACACGAAGAGTGCTGGTACACGATTCTGGTTTTTACTCTGTCAGGCATCTCAACTCACACCTTGTTATCTTCTACTTTTTCTCAGACCTTTGGTATTCCAGGTTGCTGTAATCATCTCCTGTAGAAATAGCCTGTTGAAGGAATATGTTCATATTTTCAAGACAAATGCCTGTCTAAATACATGGTACTATGCTTTCCGACATTGCCGTTGATGAGCTGACATTCAGAGATATGTACATGCACTGAGTCCTACCTCGTTGTCCCGACACGCGCTTGCTGCCGATCACCACCATGTGGTTGCATCTATGGTTCTATCTTCGCCTCCCCAGTACACCACGGCTACTCCCGTACAACTCAGGATTTCAAAGCGAGAACTGCCTGCTTCGAGGCAGTGGTTCTTGAGACCTGGTTGAGTCGACCGAGATGAACCTTCTGGCCCACAAACTGGCTGCTTATTTCGTTCCGTGCTGCCCCATCGTCCCTAGATTGACTCCACTCAGAACCTTGACGCTACGCTACTTCGAGGGCCAAAATTGAATAAGATCATACTGAAATATGCATGAGGGCGCGAACACAGTTTATGTCTACACGAGTGGTCACTGCAATGAAGCAAGGGCTCTGTCATAGTGGATCTTGCCGCCGAGGCTGGCGGTAATTGTGCCGCTACGCGTCCTGGAGAGCTTTACGTCGAAAATGGTGTCACCATAATAGGTATATAGTTGCACGTCACTACGTCCAAGATGTTGTTGCAGCAAAGCGCAGTATGCAGCTAACCAGATCAATCTGCAGGTGGCATATCAGCAAGGCAGTACGAACGATATGTGGTCAATATACCAACATTGCTTCGCTTCACGGTCACAGACAGGATACTCGAGGGTTGCCACACCAAGTATCGAATACGATGTCTCTGCATACTGTTATTAGAGCTCAAGACGGTGCAGATGGAATGGTAACAACATACACGGTTGAGTCAGCCCGTTTCGCTTGAATAGCTGTAGCATCATCGATAGGCAACGCGTATGCGGCGGCGGCGATGTAGGCTAGGAGAGCGAGGATAGACGTCTTCATCTCTGAGCGTCGAGACACAGTAGGGACTAGTAGTTGCTGCTGGGTAGTGAGCGGCGAGATAAGTAGAGAAAATGCCCACCTTTTATGTCCCGAGTTGATGCTCAAATCGGACCGAAAGCTGAGGGAAAAACAGGTCAGACCTGTAGGTAGTGTTGGAACACACATGTGGTCACCTACCAGTGGGAAGGGAATCGCGCAGAGCAGCGTCAAAGTGGGTCGTACAATCACCGGATGTCAATGGTTAACGAATGGGAAGCCGTGGTCTACAGGTGTACACGTACTATGCTCGATGGTTCCTTGCTGTCAAGGCGCGAAGCATTCGGGAAGTATCCAGTTGATTAGACGGACTTGGGCCCAGACGCGACATTGACGGAGGGTTGACAGATATCGCAGCGTCAAACAGCGTCGAACATGTGGAACCCTGTCAGCATCAGGTCTCGGAACTATCGAGGGCATCTACCAAGTCACCGAAACATCTTTTCCGAAGGCACGGTGAAATCTCTAACATTGGATGATTGAATGATGGCTAGTAAAATAACAGCGGCGTCGGCAAGCCGTTCACCACATAGATGCTCGTGTTGAGCCTATCGACCAATTGCTTCTCGAGCGCCCACTGCTTGATCCTATCAAAGCCGCAATGGAACGACATCGCCTCGGGGAAACAATCGCCCGACCCCTTCATCCTTCATCCCATTTCCAGATGATAAGGCTCACGTCCGATGAGCACATGACACGAGAGACTGGCGAATGGAATCGAGGCAGTGGCTCAAATTGATTTCGTTCCCTGGGAGGGAGATATGCATGTCGGGGTAGTGGTCCGATTCCATCGTTTTCCGTATGAGATTCTGGGGACAACGACGCGGTTGTCGGTAAAGGTCCGTCTACGACAGTTGAGTGAGCAGTGGAGCTGATGGAACACATCGAGCTCAATGGCGTAGTGTCCTTCGTCGCCTTGGATTGCCTGCTTTGCGTCGGGGAGCAACTTGGCTTGAAATTTTTGGACGCGGGAAATGGCATCTAAAATCGACGCACCATAAAGGGGGTCCTGCTGGGGGGTCATGGAAAGACCGATAAGTAGACCTATGGCGACGAATCGAACTATTATGATGGCCCAAAGTGTCATCGAGCGCTTGAAGACCGCAAGACACGAGTTCGAAACACGCAGACACCGCCGCGTGAAGCGTAGCAGCAATCCTTGCGGCCGCCACCACCCATGGGGCGTCCGCGTCTCTACGACGCGTGACGGCGCGGCCATGTGTACGTGAAGCTCGAAGGACGTCTGCTAGGCGTCTGCGTGGGCATCGACCTGGGGTTTATTCACGGGTCATTGTAAGAGGTGAGAGATGCTGGTGAGATGCAAGAGGCGAGATCTGAGAAGAAAGCACGAAGTTGAGTTGGGTTGGGAGGACGTTAGTACCGTTTAACCAAGAAACGGCGCACCTTATATACGAAATCAAGCCTCTGAAACTCGGAGCTGACGGGTAATAAGCCAATTATTATTACAATTATTACCGGCGAGTAAACTCGGTGAGTGGAGTCAATTGATGGATCCGTTAGCATGCTGGACACGCCGAATCACAAAGTGTCGCGGGGAAGCGCGAAGTCAGGAGCTCCTGGTGCAATGCAGCACATTTGTTATCGCTTCCGTCGATTATAGTTTGCAACGAGATCTAGCGATTCTAGGCAGTGGATCCGAGGTGCATTATTACGTTCGTACGTTGATTGATGATTCGCGGAAGCTGCGCGGACGGTCCAAGCGAAGGTTTGATCCCGCCGACGTGAACGAACACTATCTTTTAACTTTGGCACTTAACGAGCGTAGTAACGCCACCACGCATTGGTATACCGGCCTTCGGTCAGTCGCCCCCTCGCCCCCCACATGCTCGTTGTTCTAGTTCCCGTTAGGGTATCCTAGAGAGTCTGTGCAGCGTCAGTGGGCATGAGCAATAGGATTCACGGGCAGGCGCATTTCGAGCCCATCCTTCGTCGGAGCATCCGCAAATTTTGAAGCGGATGAATCGGAAATGAACAACGAACAAAGCCAAATCCCCTGGCGGGTGTGCCACGAGACTCAGAGGTATCGATCATCTCTCCGACACGACGCACTTACTAGCTTTTGATTCTTGGAGGATGTCTGACTCTGGGGTCTCGAACGCAGATGCGTTGCCAGCGGAGCCTTCGTGCATGAGCACACAGAAGAAGTGTGCGGGTAGCACCCAGCAGTAAAGGCTCGACGTCATCTTGCCTCCTGTGTTCTGGGTGACGTTTGGGGTTTCAACACACGAGGAATGAAATGGGACAATAAAACACACCCAGCTCGAAGCACGAGCGTCACACACTGCGACCGTAAGCCTCTTTCCCTGCTATCCAGATCGCACTTACCCACCAATATGCGCTAACTCCCAACACAGAGTCGGTCTGAAATCATTCCTAATTACTGTCGGGCCTCCTGTCTGTCGTCTGAAGCTATCGCACACGCGCTATTCGCAGAGTCTACTGGACTTTCTCGAAGTTAAACCTAGCTAGATGTCCGCTATTTCGGATGCTTGCGTCTGGGATCTGGAGCATCGGCTGCTTCACACACGCTGTGCCGTGCACTATTACGAGTGGAGAATGTCGTAAGGATCCAGCAGAGAATGTGATTGAAGACGCCGTTTAAAGGTGCAGGTGAGTGATACTGCTGGTGCCACAGAGAGCGGGACTCACCAAGCGTCGCTCGCAAATGCCAATCAAACTTGACATGACTCCTGTCTTATACGTCACTCTCGTTCTTCACGTGAACGTAGCAAGTGGATTCGCCCTCAATATGATTACAAGTGACTTAGGCCTGGTAATGGTTTACTACGCCGAGTATGTATTAGTACCGTGCAGTGATGGATGATGCGTAGCACGTACAAAATATCGTGGCGAACTAGTAGCATCTCTTGACCCACCGATCTCCCTAACCTTCAACCCTGCCGATTCCTCACAACATAACACACCAGCATCCCAATCACGACAGACTGTATGAGGATTATCATCCAAAGCACGTTCACGGTGTCCTGCACGAGCATCCGGACGTAGTGGGAGCGCGAGAACTGCGGCGGCGTTTCAAGATAGCATTCATCGACGCATATGTCGCCCGGGATGTCCGCCTGGGTCAAGTCAATGTGCTCGTCGTGGTAGGTAAGGTGGTCGCTTTGGAGTGACATCGATGTTGATTACGAGTGCATGTAGGATTGGTGATTAGTAGAAGTCTGGCAAGCGAGATCGTGTTCGGCTTGAAAAAAATGCCTGAGGGCCTGAATCGAAGGGCGTTTACCTGTAGAGTGCCGTCGTTGGAGACGTCCTGATGGGGTTACTGAGGACTTGCGGAACGAAAGAACATACGAACCGTCGAATTCAATCGTGGGATTTGACCGCAGTTATACGCTGTTGCCTGGGAAGCTGCCGGGCTGCGGGGCTGGCTGAACGTTTCGAATGATTCTGTGCATATTCGTCGAGTTCTCTTGAGCCAGTTTGACTTCGTTCATTAGAATGGCGCGTGTTGGTCGAGAAAGGATTGGTCGCGACAAGCTTGTCTGAAGTCCGAAGTCAAAGCTGTGTCTTGGCGCCTAACCTTCTGGTCTTCTCCACCAACCACCATAACGTTCTGGAATGTACAGGTGAGTAACACCTTGCCACATGACGACGACGCAGTCATGACTGTTGTTCTGCCTCACATCCTCCAGCACCCTCATTCAACTCGAGCAGGGTAACACCAGGGCCCTACGAAGAGAGAATCGGTACCGGGATCCAAGGTCCCTCGGCATTGGGTCCGGTGAGTAACTGATATAACATTGTCGCCTGCGAGTGTGCTCATCGTAGAAAAATAACACTGTAGCTCACTCACAACTGCAACTCAGGAATCGATGACAACTTGAAGGAGGGTCAAGTGGTGATAGGGTAGGGAGAATATCCAGCATCATTCCCTTGTTCTCCCATCCCAACTCTGACAGATCGGATGGGTAGACGTGTCGACCCTTCCATTTACGGCTGCCCAGCGCCCTCCATGGTCATGGTCATTACACCGACTCGCACCCTTCTACCTCCGCGTGTTCTATGTCATCTTCACATTCACTCCTCGTGTATCATTAGTGCCGAGTATTGAAGCAACTCTGCAAATTCTCCTTCGGTCATCAGACTACGCCTCTCTTTGACCAACGTCGAACCTAGTTACACTTCTGCACCGTGTTACTCTGACTAAATGCCAGATCGCTACGCCTTGCTCCGCGCTGCTGCAACGAATGTCGTCGCCCATTATCAATTTACACACTCGTCTACTCATCCTCTATCTCCATTTGCGACCGTAACGCTGATCGCGTACATCAATGACTCGTCTCTTTCCACCTCCCAGTCCAAATAACTCGCCTGTGCCCCGCTCGCTACTGAGGTGCTTCTGTTAATCCAGACCCCCGTCACCTTTGTGATGACTCACTACTCTCTATATCCGCCAATTTGTGTTGCCTACTCACTCCCGTCGCTACGGACGGTGCACTCTCTTCTCTCGTACGTACTCGAATAGTGATACCACCTGGCTGGGATAGAGGACGCTTGAACAGTTTCGGGCGTGACAGTCATGTCACCGGGAGGTGCCACCATTCGAAGCCCTTCGGTCCGGCGCTAGATCGTTTCATCTGGAGTTGATGTCAACTCGCATCAACGGCCTTGACAGTTTGGGTAAGGAGGTGCTGGTACTGATAACTAATGAAAGTCAAGGGAGACAAGCCCCGACGCACCTAGATCGCCGACGAGTGCAGCCAATAGACGTGCGGAGGGATGTGATGTGCAGTAGAGTTCTACGCTATGAAAATCGGTACGTCAGATCCTTCGTTTGGACAGCGACCTTGAATGCTGAAAAACGCTGCTACAAAGACAGATACGATGGCAAGACGGAACGCAAAACGGACAGAGAGGAAGTCGAGGAGCAGGACGAGAACTACGCCCAACCATTTCAACGCAAGGAAACAAACAAGTCTGCTTTCGGATGAGATGAGGTGAGCTTGGCTTCAAATTGCGCTCTAACGTTTCGAAGAAGTGATTAACCCTGATATTGACCTAGGTTCATGCCGGCTCCTCTCAGCGGTTACGGGTGTTCACTATTCTGGGCGAGGGGACGGGATGGGAGGCCAGGTCGCTGCCTAGATATCATGCCCTACAAACCTACCTCAGAGCCACTGAGCCAACGGCAACCTGCATACGTACATAACTCTAACCAGTCGCCGATTCCGCATTCTTGGTGAGATTCCATGGGGTGAAATCGTCCTATTCATTGCCACATCGAGGGTTTAAAACGTAAATCGAACCAGATACTGTTGCGCGAACAAAGATAATGTCTACACAAATTACAGAAAAGAACAGAAGCTAGCTAACTTGATCGCTCTACCGGTGGTCTATCAGTAAGGCAACAAGAACGATGGATGATCAAATAAAATACACTAACACTACGTTGCTTTACGGCAGAGTCCGTGAGGACTGGTACACCATTCTGTATTCAGAAGGTCTCTGCATAGGATCATCAGAGCTTAGGAAGGGGCAGACTAGACGGCAATGGAGCTTACACGGACGATTCAGCCCGTCTTGCTTCAATAGCGACGACATCAACAGGTAACGCGTATGTGGTGGCAACGCAGGCCAGGAGAGCGAGGAAAGACACGTTCATCTCTGAGTGTCGAGAAATGTGCACTGAATCGGTACTGGTAGTTGCTGCTGGACAGTGAGCGGCGAGAGTAGTACAGAAGATGCTCACCTTTTATGTCTTGAGTTGATATCGAATCGGACCGAAAGCTGAAAGAACAAAGAGCCAAACCCATAGGGAATGTTGAAACCCCCATGTGGTTACCCATCAGTGGGGAAAGGATTGCGGCTCAGAGCATAGTCGCCTGCATCATCGGACACATAGGAAACTTGCTGATACCTAGTAAATGTGCAGGGCCGAAGTGGCTCTGCAACTCACCATATGTAAATGTTTAACGAATAGGAACCCGTGGTCGAAAGCTGTACATGCACCATGCTCGTTGGTTCCTGCGCGAAGCATTCGGGTAGTACCCAGATAATGGGACAGACATTGGCCTAGCTGCGGGATTGAAGGAGGGGTGACAGGTCTCGAGGCGTCGAACGTGTGGAATCCTGATAACATCAAATATCCCATCAGAAGCGATGAGGCCATATACCAAGTCACCGAAACACGTTTCCCAAGGCCACGGTGAGATATTCAATATGACGCTAGTACAATAACATCGGCATCGGCAGGCTATTCACCGCATGGATACTCGTGTTGAAGTTATTGTCCAATTGATTCTCCAACGCCCACTCCTTGATCCTATCAAAATCGCGACATCGATGGACGACATCCCCTCGGGGAAACGATTGCCCGGCCTCTTCATCCCATTTCCAGACGATAAGGCTGACGTCCGACGAGCACATGAGAGACCGGCGGATGGAATTGAGGCAGTGGCTCATATGGATTTCGTTACCTGGGAGGGAGATGCGCATGTCGGGATAGTGGTCCGAATATATCGTTTTTCGTATGCGATTCTGGGGAACATAACACGGTTGTCAGTAAAAGTCCCTCTACGGTAGTTAAGTGAGTATTCACTAAGCAGTGGAGTTCGTGGAAGACGTCGAGTTCGACTGCATAGTGCTCTTCGTCGCCCGGTATTGCCTCCGTTGCGTTAGTGAGCAACTTGGCTTGCGACTTTGGTATGCGAGAGATGCCAACTAGATTCGAAATGGATACCACTGAGGGAAATAGAAACAGTAGAGGGAGGAACAACTCGTACAGTGGTAAAGATCCTCCCAGAGTTCGTCAAGTTCCTTCGAAGGTGGGACTTGGAAGGGAGAGACATTGTGCCCAAATCCGTTGAAGAATTTGTTGTATTTGTATGAGATAGCCTCGTTCGCAGGGGCTAGCAGGTGGTATACTGATTAGCTCACTCATGGGCTAGGAATCAAAGTACTCACAATAAAGGGGAGCCTCTTGGGGTGACGTTGAATGACTGAGAAGTAGACCTATGGCGATGAGTTGAAAAACGATGATGGCCCAAAGTAAGATGGAGGACTTGAGGACCCCAAGACACAAGCTCGTAATGCGCAGCCGGGTAGAGCCTCGCAATTGCCTGTGATGGTTGTCGCCTAGCTCTACTTGTTCATCGAGGTCCCCCTCATCCTTGAAGTCGATGATGCGCGTGTCGAAGACGTCCCGCTCGCCTTCCTCCGACGTCAATTTACTGTACATCATCTCCCTCCGTCGTGTTCTAAATTCGTTAGGGTCTGAGATAAGTAAGGTCTGGTCAATCTAGCTCTAAAGGGAATTCAGGACACTGACCTCCAAGTTACTCAGTCGCAATTCAGCAACAAGAGGCCTTTGACTTCTATTCGGGGACTCAGAATCCGTGATGAATCCGGCGAACAAGTCGTAGGCTGACTACGATAAACACGTCCACATGCTCACGGCTTCTCGAAAGCTGTGCCATCAGCGTTACCGAAGGCTGCGGACATAGGAATGTACTCATGAGGTCGAAATGATGGAATATTGAAGCCGTGCTGACGTGGGTGGATCAATCATCAAGGAAACCAAGTGCACGCTCCGGACGGGTGTGGAGTCGGTTGGTCGATTCTGTTGTTAATATTGTCTTTGGCAGGCTTTCCGCTAACGTGAACCAGTAATCAGCACGATTGAAAGCGAGTAGTAACTCTCAGGAGGTTGGGTAGGACGAGGCCGACGACAGGGACTCGCTATTACTGGCAACAGCATTGAACTCTGCTACGAAATATAACGTACGCACCATCATGTATCACACTGTCTCGATCAACGAAAGTTTCTCTATCCTCCTCCTTTACCTTTACTCGCCCAGGGGATTTCAATAGCATGTCAGATAATAGTGGAATCTCTGTCAAAGAGTTCCGACTTCGGGGCTCAGTGATTCAGAGCTGTTGGTGATTTCAGCACAATTTAACGGCGCTATGTTGGGACTCGAGAGCAATCATTACTGTTTCGACACGGGAGGGGAGCAGGGAGTTAACGTTGCTGCAGGCGAGTTACAGAAGCCCATCAGGAGAAGCAAGGTAAATGTTGGAGGCTTCCAGTTTGAGATTGCTGTTGGTTCGCAGGAACGAGTGAAAGAATAGTGGGTGAATCATAATGCATAAACACCTGTTGGGACTAGGATTGGAACGACGAGGAGGAACCCGGGCCGCGGGCCGGCTTTGTTCGGCACATCATACATCAGCATTGCCCAGAGCGCCCGTGCGACGTGAACTTCGCAAGCTACAACAACGCTCTACGCGACACCATCTACAGTACCCTTCTGCGCTACCATACCGGCAAACTGCCAAGGGCTCTCTATGGGACCTTCCTTCGCCCCTTAACCAAGATTCGGAGATTATTGTTGATGGCTAGAGTAAATGGCGATGAGATGTTAACAATGTGTTGACTATTTTGCTTGCTCAAAGGGCAAGGTGAGCGCCGTGCTTCACAGTGGGGTCCCGGCCAGTAACATGAAAGACTGCAGGTCGCGCCAAATCTCCTGCAATATACGACAAGGATTCTACACACCATATGGGTTTTCTTTACTATACTCAGCCACACCGACGGGCCGGATGAGCAGCTCGTCATGCACGAGCTTCAACTCCCGGAACACAGGCAGATGCCAGTACCCTATAACGGAAACGGGGCTACTGACCTCGGAATCGAGCGAGCGACGCATGCCAAACTTCCAAATCCTAAGCACCCGCTGAAGTTGATTTGCTGAGAACGTGACAGCTATTCACGCCGGACTCGTGATGTCATCTGTTCCCATTCCCGTTCCCATTCCTTGCTCGCTTTCTCATCTCATCGTGGATTACCAATCAACACTTATAAAGGCGCAAGCCAGCTACAAACGCCTCTTATCTCTCCCCCACTTCGCCTCACAACCGTAATGCCAGCTATCGCGCCTGGAAGCAAGGTTCTCGTCACCGGAGCCACTGGCTTCATCGGTATTTGGGTCACCCGCACTCTCCTTGAAAAGGGTTACTCAGTTCGTGGCACCGTGCGCTCGGCGAGCAAAGGGAAATACCTCACCGATTACTTCAAGTCCTATGGCGAGAAGTTCGAGACGGCGATTGTAGAGGATATCTCCAAGGTGAGTTGTTTGGTGTTCAAACTATGCCACCATGCATCTGATACACATCGGTTAGGATGGCGCGTTCGACGAAGCTGTCAAAGGCGTAGATGGGATCGAGCACGTCGCTTCGCCATTTCATCTCAAGGCAGACGATCCTCAAGGTATTCAATCTCGTATCTCTCATCCGACGCTGCCGATCATGATCGATCATCCGATCCAGAACTCATAGGCCCCGCTGTGAACGGCACCCTTGGCATTCTTAACAGCGCACTGCGAAACAAGTGAAGTCGCCCAAACTCCCTCGCGTTGCTTGTACTAATCGGTGGCCCTGATTAGCCCGACCCTCAAACGCGTGGTGATAACGTCGTCATGCGCGGCTGTCCTCGAGATACTCCCAGAGCCAAAGGTGTTCTCTGAGCTTGACTGGAACAAGCAATCCGTTCAACAGGTAGAGGAACAAGGGAAGGCTGCATCGAACATTACGAAGTACCGAGCGTCAAAGACGCTTGCAGAGAGAGGTGTGTACGACTACTCCCTCATAATATACCAGCGATTCCCATTAATATGTAATCTATCTTTCATGCAGCGGCTTGGGAGTTCTACGAGAAGCACAAAGCTGAGATAACCTGGGACGTTGTGGTTATCAATCCCCCATTTGTGAGTCGTCTCGCCATTCATCCTCGTCGACCTCCTACACCACTCCTTCAGGTATTCGGTCCAGTTATCCATGAAGTGGCCTCTCGCGACACGCTCAATACATCTTCATCCGATCTCCTCAAGGTCCTCCTGACCCCGTCTACCTCTCCGTCCGCGATGTCGTCCGAGACATTGACCACCACTGGCTCGTGCTGGATTGACGTACGGGATTTAGCGGAAGGACACGCGAAGGCGCTCGAGGTCCCCGACGCTGGAGGGGAGAGGATCATCATCAGCGCGGGGCCGTATGTCTGGCAGGATTGGAGTAAGTCGTGTATTGAGATATCGTGAAGGCTTTTGCTAATCTTCTTTGTAGTTGATGTGGCCCAAGGCCTCTCTCCACCCGTGGCCCTGCCAGCGCACCAAAAACTTGCTGTCGGTGTGCCGGGCGGCGGAAAGGGCGCTGTCCACAAAATTCAGTACGATACTGCGAAGGCGGGGAGAATCTTGGGGATGAAGTACCGTTCCAGAGAAGATACTATTAGGGCTGCCCTAGAGGATGTTGTTACTAGAGGATGGTGAGCTCGATGAATGTACTTTGTCAAGTCCCGAATAGAGGTCTTTCGACAAGATTTGATGAGGATAGCGATGTCTCTACGAGCAGATCTTTGCCTCTCTTGAGCTGAACACCTTTCAGGTGGTATGTAGTGAGCCGGGAGCCCAAGGCAGGACGGTGATTGCGCCAACTGATGGAGGGCAGCAAGGGCCTTTGTAGTACGTCCCTTCCCTTAGGTTCGCCACGCATGGTCGTTCATGCCTTTGTTGACATGCAGTCGCTCGAGCACCATGTTTGTGATCTAGCTCTCGATCTTCGGTGCTCAAGTTGCCAGCGTCGACTACACCTATTTGGACTCAGAGACTCAGAAACTAAGCATCGAGGATCTACTCATTACTTCAGTTGATAAATCACCTGAACTGAGGCGGCTCTGGGATGTCGATACTGGACCGACTAGGAAGTACACACAGGGTATGGTAACAAAAGAGCAGCCCGACGTATTCCTTATCATGGTCATCGCTGTTGTCTTCCAGAGAGCATATCGTGTAAACGCAGGCACAAAGATTGGTATGGTGGGGTTGTGGGAGAACGCGGATACCGATAGGTCCTCTAGGATCTCACATGCACACTCTGTGAGTCAAGATTATCATGCCGGGCGTACGTGACTGATATTGATACTGACTGCCATGTTGATGCGCATAGATCGAAAGGTCCTGGATCTATTTACGTTCGGCCTCCCCTTCCTTCTTGTTCATCATCGCTAGACACGTCGCACTCATGAAGGGTGGGATGCCCGAATTATCCATTGGATTCAGCCATGAGGTACTCGCATGTAACTTGACCTATGTACGTGATCTGACCTCACCAGATACTTGAGCACTCGACGCCCTAGGACTGTTCAGCACATCTAACACATCAGGTTTGAAGGATTTAGCTACCGACGTGATCAACTAGGCACGATCGACGGAGTTTCTTGTAATGTACTCTATGCCCTTGATCCTTTCAAGTTGTCAGAACGTGTCACATCCATAGTTGTGGATATTCCAGATGGTATGCCTACTCACCGACAACGACCCTCAAATGTCTCTTATGGTGCGGATGCTGCAATAGTGATTCGCCTGGTACTTTGCTCACGCACACCTTGAGGGTGCGCTTGGTGATTGGATACACAGCCGGTGTCGTACTCACACAAAGATAGCACTTCACACGCGGCAAGTTCCCAGTGATATCAGTTTACATGGCAAAGAGATGTTTTTAGCGTCAGTTCGAAGTATAAGTACTTATCTGCTCATCTTCGTGGGGTATGCCTAATCCAATCGAGGCCAGCTTAGCTGCCCTCCATCTTGCATCGGGCGTATCTGCCTTCTTCCTCGGATGCCTCGTACTTCAGGCGTACAGATACTTCTCCGACTATCCACGCGATTCGAAATGGATTAAATGTCTGGTGAGGCCCTTTTGCTTGACATATTCTGCAGGCTATGGCTTAATTCAAGCCGTTTTGTTTTGAGATCGCCCTCATGCTGTAAGTCTTCCCAGAAAATGGAATCGTTGCCGCATCATTGAAGTTATTCAGGCTTGCGGAGCTCGCTCTGCATGTGACCGTCACACAAGCGAGCTACATGTTGAACATCATCCATGCCGGAGATCCACTATTCTTCCTACGCCTCAAATCATCTCAACTGGCACCTCCATTATTCCTCACCCAATTTACGGTACCTATGAATGAGGTGAGTGGATGGTGAATCTTATAACGACTTCAAGTTGACCAACCATCGCTCTACTTGCCAGATGTTCTACTATTGGAGACTTTACAGGTTGATGCATCTTAAATGGCCATGCATAATAGCCACCGTGCTCTCCGGCTGCCGCACTTGTGGCTGGCTCTACTTTCTGTCGAGGGTTACGCAATTAGGCCTTGCCGCACTTATACTAGACACAAGCCTGCGCTGGCTTGTCACGCTCCTCTTCGTCTTCACGTTCTTTCTCAACTCCTCCATCGTCCTTGTGATGACATTATACCTAACGCGCCACCGCAGCTCCCCGATTATGATGTATGTGCCACCTTGATTGGCGTGTCTTGCGGTATTCACTCCCACACCAGGACTAGGAGGCTAGTCCAGCGCCTCATCATGTGGACTATCTGTTTGTGACTTTCGGTATAGATACATTGAACCATGTCCTGACTCTAAGGATAGCGACCGGCATGATCGCCATGTACAAGTCTTCGACACATCCCTTTCAGTTCGTGAACTTTGTCGCTGACTTCCATCTCATTAGGATTCCACAAATGCTCGCATTCATCCTAGTGAGTGCCCCTTCCGTTGATTGTGATCTGATCCGATTTTATTCATTTACCTGTCACTCTACAGTTCCTAACTATGAGGGACTCGTGTACGCCACTTATTCTGAAGCGGTCTAGGGCTACTTGACGGACATCTACACTGTACAGTAATGTGGATGTGTATTGTACCAATCTACATGAAGGGCGAGTCTTCAACTCCTCACAATGTAGATGATTGACATGACAACCATTGATGATAGTGTTTGCAAATTGTCTATTATCGACGTTCGTTTAAACGGCTTACGTCGATACAACCCTAACTCTCATACCTAGATTGAACAACAGGCCAGTTATCACTGACGACAACAACCAGCGCATGCCGCCAAAGGTGTAAGGGGACACTCCTATTTTCTCTCCTTTCCTTCATTCCATGGACTCTTACCTACATTCCCTTCATTCCTCTTCGTTCCTTCTCGCTCCCTTTCCTTTCCACTTCCTTTCCACCCACTCCTTTCGCATCCGAGCCGCATCCGGTGACTCCGGAGTCTTCCCGCACTTCGGACACTTCGGACTCGCTCGGACTCGTCTATACTCCTCGGGGCTCGTCCGGGTTACCTCTATCCTTTCCCCCCACTTCATTACTCTTCGCCCTTACTTCCCCAAGTCGCTGGCACGACTCCTGTGCATTTACCCTCCACTTCATTATCACATGTTTCCTTGTACCTTGTGATATCCGTTCGGACTTGTGGCTGGTGTACTGTACAGTTATCCTGCATTCCTCTCACACTACTACAGTATATACTTCGCTTCCTAGCATGGAGAATCCTTATCCTGTTCTCTTTGGATTCTCCCTCTGCTAGGTGAGCAGCCCTCTCATGTACTGTAGTTAGTCTTATTCATTATCTTTGGATTCTCCCTCTGCTAGGCCTGCGCTGTCGGCCATCTTGAGGTTGCCTTTACAAAAGGCGGTTGAAGCAGGGAAGGAGATTGAGTCCCGATCCTCAGTAAGATTTTCCTCCATGATGCCTCACACAGAAGCTGAGGGTGTTTTTTTAAAAAACAGCCCACTCTGCCTCAATTTGCTACGGTCTCCATCGCGCCTGCATTTGCGACACCGTTGACATTATCCGGATTTGAGGGATGATATACGGGCTTTTGGTTTTCATTGTCCCTCAGACAACAAAGATTGACATCATGGCGAACATGTAGAATTGGCTACTTGCATGTCATATACTGTAAGGGTTGAACCCTTTCGTTCCGTGCAGTCCGACTTCCCCTATCCCCTATCAACCCCTCTCCAACTCTTCGGATGTGCTCGCATATGACTCGGACATCACAAACCCGTACCGGACACACGTGATAACGGATCAGACATTTCGGATCAATGTTTCTTATCTCTTTTGTTCTCGGACTCTAATACTTGATTATACTAGCACCATTATTCGTTCCTGGTGCCTTTCGTTTTGGACCTTTCTGATATTTTCTTAGCTACAAAAACCTCCTGTACTCGTAGTTAGAAGAACCTAGCTTGTTTCCCCCCCCACATCAAGTCAGAATCTAAGTCGTCCGAGAGCTTTCCTCATCTGTTGTCAGAGTTCGCCATTGTCTGAGTCCGAGTCCGATCCGAAGCCAGTTTCTCCTGCCGTCCTTATCATTCTCCTGCTGTCCTCGTCGTACTATCCGAAGCCGAGTTGTTTGTTTTCCGTCTGAGGGCGTCCGAAGCCATCCGAAGCATCTGAAGCATCCGAAGTCTTCTTACTCATTCATTTCTGGTCTCGGACTCATCGTTCTCACACACAGTTCACTCGGGTGTCACATGGACTTGTCCTGCCGGAGGCAGACCCTCACATTTTCATTTAACTATACCACTAGTCTATGTGTACATTCACTACTACAATACCTATTGAGCGGAACAGATGAATTCTCTAACATGTGTCATTGTGAGCAATTACCATCAAGGCCACGACCTCAAACAGTCTCTACACTTTGTTGCCTCGCCGAGTAATCCCACCATGACCAGTGCCATACCACCCCTTCAGTAAGGACAATCGCTAGCAATGTGGGTTGGCACCCTGTTCGAGCCTTGATACACAAATTATTGTATGTATACTATTGTTTCGTTCACTTCCTGTTTCGGTCCGTCATCAGCTGCGGCCGCATTCATTGTTAGGTACTAGCTTACTAGATTACACATGCACACTCTGCGTGCTTATTTACATCTACCTACAGTATATATAGTACCTACATCTACCTATGAACAATAAGAAGTATTTTCCTCCCCTTCAGTTGCGTTGCGAAAGCGAGTCCAAGCAGTTGGACGCGGCGCTGCTTGGTACGTCCTCCGTCCTCCGTTCCATTCGTCACGTGGCGTTCGGATCGCGTTCGTTTATTCATTCCTACTTCACTTTTGGTGGGAACACACCATTCCCAGTCCTCGCATTCACACCAGCGAATACAACTTCGTGTTGGATTGCATAAGAATGCACTAGCAAACCGCGCTTCCTATCGAGGCGGCGCACTATACGCGGCGGCCATGTATAGTATAATACTTAATCCTTTAATGCTTACTTCTCGCTTACCGGCTAATATAGTCCCATAAAGCATGTCTTATTTAGGCTATACATACAGTACAAATACAGTACGATATCATAGTGCCACCTCAGTCGATTCCCATCGTACTGAGGTGAGCTATTTCTACTTTATCTTATCTACCTATCATACTGATTATGGCGAGTAGCGCCTTTATTATTCCACAGGTAGCTACGATTAATACACGCTCAGTCGATTCCCATCGTACTGAGCGCCTTTATTATTCCACACTTCGCACCTACAGCAAACAAGCAAAAATGTCCCCATTGCGGATGCAGTTGTTGGGAAGAGGGCAGGGCGCACGGACCGCGTGCTGGCTTTGGTTTTGACACTTTGTTTGGCTGGGTCGTGAAAAGAACCGCTTTGGCTTTCCGCATCCCCCCCCTCCCGTTCTCCCCGCCCACAGACCTCTCGGCGACTTCCTCACGTCGAGCCCCCCCCACTATCGTCGGTTCGCCGTTGTCGAGATTACCTTGTCCGCCACTTGTGTTCACGACGTGTCTACGGCGTACGATTCATGATCACAGACCTTGGATCATCGCGGGGACTCCACGGCTTTTCCCAAACGCTGAATCCCGAATCATGTCCTCGACCTCCCTTCGCACCGTTCTTCCAACTGCAATAAAGTTGACCTGCTGTTGAATGCGAACGAGATGTTCGACGCCCAGCATTCGGGTCTGGCGGTATCAAAGAGTATAGGTGCGTCTCAATTGCGAACTTGAGAAATTTGAGACGGATTTGTGCTACGGGGGACGGCGGGGATGATAACGAGCGAAGCAGGGAACTAGAGCGGCGGGTGAGTGTATAAGGTGGTCGATGTTATGAGGTTATGTATGCACCAGCTCGGATGAAGGAGAGCAGAGCAGACTAAGACACGTCCGTGCCACAACGGCAGTGCAGCATTTGATGGACTGTGCAGCTCATCAGAGCCGTTGTCCACGTCAATTCCTATCATTCTGACTGGCTGTGAGACACCCATACTTGAGTAGCGATGCCTGCGTATAACGAGATCTCTACTCCAGCTAAGTGTCTATGGTAGTTTCCACTCAATATCCGGTGACGACTCATATTTGACGTGCGCCACTCAATTCTTGAAATGTGTAGACGACCCCGCCTGAACCCTGATTCCCCATCAATCATCAATGCTCCCTCATGCTTCATCAATCTTATCCGTATCTAACGTCGCACCTCGCGTGGCTCCCTCTGACTTATGCGTCGGCATTTGTGTATTGGCGCGGTATCGACCTGCCCCTCATCTTCCCTTCCCGCTTGAGTCGACATAATCTCCGTGCTGGTCGCCTTATGATTCACGAACCGTGGTGTCCAGGGCCCGGACTGGCGAGGTAAGTACCGCATAGCAAGGTGAGTCACCTCGTTGAGTACGATGCAGCTAAGCATTCGAGCGGACGCCATGACCACTGGTGGCGTTATGATGAGTTTACTTTCGACGAGGTGCTGCCTGAATGCAGCTGCCTGGTGGAGAACGGAACCACGCTGATGTGTTGTTGAATCAGCCAATAAGGCAATATGACATCACGGCCATAGGACCACCTGTAGCCTGTCCTCATCGACTTGCCAACTTCTCTGTACTGAGGAACGATGCGTGAAGAAGGGGAAACTCGAAGTAGCGTGCTTCAGTGTGGACATCCGAGGTATTCCTTCAAGATTACGAAGTATCAGTATATATGGTGGGAGAGGCATTATGGATCAATTTGTCGTGGATTCTAGTGCCTTTGAGTGGATGTGTTTTCCCTTAAGGGGAATGATTTTAGGGCGGTATGTACTCCCCGGGCCCTCGCCAGGCCAGTGACAGTGAAGGAGGGCAACATGGGCCGTTGTGAGTACTCACTTTCCCTCAATTGTGCTACACGTGGTACCTCCATGGACTTGAAGCTATTTATATTATATTCAATTAAAACAGTCTCCGACATTGGCGTGCGAGTACCGTCAGTCACCGGAGCACGTACCATGAGCTTTCAGTTGTTCGAGCGCTATGTTTTCGCGATTTAACAACTCACTCTGCACCCCAAATCACTGGAGCAGCGAACGTCGAGGATGCACCTATCCCTTCGCTTGCTCATCGCCTGCGTAGGCCTTCGTAGTTCTATTGCAACTTCTTCGGCATATGATTATGTTATCATCGGTGGCGGAACAGCGTACGTTTCGTTCTCCATGCACCTTTTGCACTAATTTTGCCCAACGCGAGATAGTGGACTAGCCGTTGCGGACCGTCTCTCAGAAGATCCCTCGGTCAGTATCGCCGTGATTGAAGCTGGACCAAACGCTGAACATCTTCCCGAGGTGGAGTATTCACGTCTACTGCTCGCTCTGCGATCTAAACCCTTCGTCGCAGGTGTTCATCCCTGGACTCTTCGGGAGCGGCCAGGCATTCACTACACTCAACTGGGCCTATAAAACGACGCCACAGCCAATGCTCAACAACCGGAGCCTTGTCGTCAATGCTGGTAGAGTTCTTGGAGGAAGTACAACTATCAACGCGATGCTATTCGTGAGCAGTCTTCGGTTTGAACCCGTCAACATCTGCATCTGCTGATATGCAACACTTCGTACCCCATACCAGCCCCGGGCCGGGCGAGCGCAATACGACGCGTGGGCGGAGCTGAATCGTGATGCATCGTGGGGTTGGGACGCGTTATTGCCGTTCTTCCGGAGATCTGAACGCGTCACGCCTCCCGATGCATTCCAGGTCAACGAAGGGGGTGTCACCTACGACCCCGAGGTACACGGCAGCGCCAGTGATGGAAGGGTGAAAGTCGGGTACCCGAATATATTCTTTGAGCAGTCGACTTTGTGGCGTCAAGCTGCCGTTGCTGTGGGGTTCCCTGGCGAGAGGGATTTGGCGAGCGGAGACCCCCATGGAGTTGGCGTTTCCCCTGAGTCGATTGATGTAACGAATTATACGAGGTGAGTGGTTGAGAACGACGTGGTTTCCGTATAATCTCATCTGTTTCGGGCTTTAGGTGCTCGGCTGCTTGTGCATATTACACTCCCTTTGCGAGCCGACCGAATTTCAATGTTATTACGAACGCGACGGTCACGCGGATTGTTTGGGATACTCCCTCATCTGGATCGCACTCTGGTAATAATAATTTGCGAGCAATTGCTGTCGAGTTCGTTCGAGCTGGTTCGAACAGGACAGAAAGCGTTACTGTCCGGCGAGAGGTCGTCGTCTCAGCTGGAACTATAGGGACTCCCAAAGTATTTGAGTTATCTGGCGTAGGGAACTCTAGGTACGTATTCGAGCCACCACGCTTTCACATTCGGCTCATTGTATGTCGAAGTATAATACGAGCTGCTGGTGTCAACCCGGTTCTTGAGCTGCCTTCCGTTGGTGAGAACCTCGCAGGTGAGTTTAGTTCACAGGATATCGTTTACTCTGCTGATATTGTACAGATCATGTACACAGTTACGTTAGCGCGTTCACAAATGCCTCGTACGGTATCCTACTTCCTTCTACGTTCTCAGTGTTCACTTGGTCCGCACACAGGTTGACATTCGACGTGTTACTCACCAACCCCAACGTGATTGCTGAGCAGCTATCACTTTGGTCGACCAATCACACAGGCACAGATACATCCTTCGATGATCACGCCAATTTACTAAATGCAATCCTCCGCTACAGGCCTTCTCACCTCTTTCCCGGGCTCTCTTGGGTTACCCGGCCCGTTGAACATCTTCAACAACACAGGTATTCTCCCCACTCTCCTTCAAGAGGCCAAGGCAAATCTCAGCCATTTCGCGCACCTCTTCGCGAATGGGAATGCGCTACTCGAGAAGGGCATCCGGGCCCAGCATGAAATCGTTCTTCGATCCTATGCAGACGACTTGGCGCTACCTCTAGAAAACAGTTTATGTGCGGCATTATTGTCTTATTGTATCCTTCCTTGCTAATTTGTGTGAATGGGTCTAGTTCCAGGATACGCTGGGGCGGCGGCTGACCGTCCTCAACGGAACTACACGACAATCATGAATGTCTTGTACGCCCCTTTATCTCGCGGACGTACACACATCACATCCTCGGACATACGCACAGCACCGGTAGTCGACCCAGCGTACTACATGCACCCCCTAGACGCCACAACGCATGCTGCAGGCATCAACCTCGCCCGCAAGACCCTCACCACTCCTCCAATGGACTCCATCTACCTGGGCGAATTCGAACCCGGCAGCGACGTGACATCACCCCAAGATATATCCACTGTCCTCCGCGCAGCCATCGTTTCAAGTGATAATCACGTAACGGGTACAATGGCTATGATGCCTAAGGAGCTCGGAGGGGTGGTCGATACGGAGCTTCGTGTTTACGGAATTGAGAACGTTAGAGTTGCTGGTGCGTTGATTGCGGAAACTCCTGCATAATTGAGTATGCGCATCGCTGACTTGGTGCAGATGCCTCAATAATACCGATACCCGTCAGCGCGCACACGGTGGGTCCTCTTCGTCTACTCACTGCGCAGCTCGCTGATTTGCAACCAGTCGTCGACTGTTTACATGATTGGAGAGCGCGTGAGTCCATTTTGTGATTTCTCCTCCTAGCGGCTCTTTGACTCGCGTTCGTAGGCTGCAGATCTCATCAAGCATAGTCGATCTCCACTGTAATCACTTGTAAGGTTGGCAGAAAGGCCAACCGCAGCCAGTCGTCACGAGGGTCGACGACAACTTCCTTTATTCAAACCATCGTAGCCCTCCGCTATCGATCATGCGCGACGTAGTTGGTGAAAGCGGATATACATACATGAGAGCGAGTTTCATTTGGTGTATACCTCGGTGTTCACCCCTTTCAGAGCTCAGGGAGTGATCCCAATCGGCGAGAATACCACAACGAGGTTTGCCTACGATCCTCACTAAAGCTTGCACTCTTCTGACACCATGATCATGATGTGCACCATAAACTTCGTGCGCCATACTCAAATTCGAGTTGGCCGATAAGTCCCAGTCATAGCGCGCGTCGCGATGATTGTTGACGAGTGAGTTTGCCAATAGAATATACCTTACGTTTATGCCACGATGGAGACCAACGTGCACTTCGTACATTCTCTGGTGTGCTATCATCATATCATCAGTAAAACGAGAGGAAAGAAGCACGGCCATACTTTCCATGGCGTCACCAATACCTGCCAACAACTCATGCGGACCTGAATACAATGTTATTTTTATACGTGATTCTTGTTTCCTTCATGCTCGAATCAAGGTTGAGCGGCTACCTTGCATAAAGAACAGACAGATGATCAATGCGAGATTGGTGGACCGATGAAGTTCCACGCCGGAAAGGGGATAAGCCTCGCATCATGAAATGGCCACTTGCTCCAATTTGGTGGCAGTATCCCGTTATGGTAGGTAGTGTATTGAGAACTGGCGGAGCCCGAAGTTCACGGTCACATGAGTGGCATAATTCAGCGTTCAGACAATGGGCGCCTCCTTCTTACTTGCCACCAACGAGCCACCGAGTCCACTTGAACAACCATCCCACACAGCTCGAAAAAGGTCCATTGTGTCTCTACTGTGGCATTTTAAGTGAGTATAAGTATCATGGCTACTCCTCCTCGTACTCCGAACTCAACATGTCTGACCACACAGTCCGTCTCAAGAGCACCCCAGTCAAACCGACGAAACCACCTCCCATCAATAGGAAGGAAATGTCTGCGTTTCACCTCCCACCCAATTCTCTCATTCCCAACACCGACTTCTGTCGAACTTGGCTCAACGTGCACGACGTGATTAAGGAACTCGTCCTCGACAAGAAGCTGCAAAAATTTGCCAAGGCCGTCCGTAAAAGCAAAGTCACTTGCTACGAGAACGTAGAGATCCTGCTCAACTACGCGAGTGCTTTGATTCGCAGTCAGTCATTTTCCTACCCGTTTGTCGCCCTGCTAACTCCGTTTGTATGTTCTAGATAGGCTTTGCGACACCTCGGAACGCATCGTGTTTGTGGACAACCATTCATTCCTCCCGACAAACCACCCAAACAAAATCAAGGGTGGTGCTGCAGACGTTCTTGGCGTACTAGAGAGTGTCCTCAAGAAACTTCAGGAGGACGAGCGCAATCGAATCCCCTGGCATCTCATCTTGACGGCAGTCGAGGAGAAGACAGCTGTCGACGCGAAGGTTGGTCCGGCACAGTGTGGCGCCTATCTTGGATACGCCAATCAGGCACGCCCCGACATGGTGGGCATGTATGGCCTCTCTGTGTCGCCTCGGGGCTTCCAGATCCAGTACAGCTGTCCCGCCGGGCTCGCTACGTCAGACGAGTTCAAGTGGACTGCACACCTCGGCGGCATTTTGGCGTATATCTGCACGCTGTATCTTCCCCGCACCGACTTCGCGCCGAGAGATACTACTATCTCACTCGCTGCTGGTCGTGATATCCTTGGGCCTCCCCTCTGGGACATCGACGTTGGCGACAAGGTTTATCGCAATTGCAAGGTCCAATTCGTCGGGCAACCATGGACAAGGATGACATGGGTCGCTGAAGCTGAAACCGACGACGAGGAAGGCCCTACTGTGATCAAAGATTCGTATTGCGACGTGCGGACGCGCTTCAAGGAAGGGGATATGTACAAGATTCTTCACGCGGAAGGCGCTGCACCTGGATTTGCCGCTGTCGATCGCGAATACGAAGTCAAGTACAAGGGTACCCCCATCGCAACCTCTGTGAAGCAACTCACGAGGATCAAGACGAGGTTAATCATGAAGACCAGCGGGTTACCCCTGACGAAATGCAAGAACATCGTCGATTTCTTCAAAGGAATGTACGACATCCTCGAGGGTGTGTGTCTCTGTCACCTTCCTGTTTTGTGCTTTACTGATCATGTCGCTTAGCCCATCGCTGGATGGTAGCAGAACGCAAGCTGCTTCATCGTGACATCAGTCATGGCAACATCGTCATCGAAGCTAAGGATGCCAAAAAAGTAAGGAAATTGAAGGGTACGAAGCCACCGATATTCATCAATGAAGTTCTCCACGGGTCAGTCGCTCGTATCTCATTCTTAGTATTGCCTGACGTACGATCTACAGCGAACCCGCACCTCCGATGGCTCGATTACTCGACATGGACAACTGTGCGAACCTCGATACAAGCAAAGTGAAGTCGGAAGGGGAGGGGGAGACAGAAGACAGTGACGAGCCACTGCGATATCGTACTGTGAGTCTATCCTTGATCATTGCACCCGTTTATTCACGATCCTTCCAGGGTACTCCGAAGTTCATTGCTCGATCTGTCGCAGCTGGCAAAATACTCGACGATGTCTGGTTCGCCGTCATGCCCACTTTACAGCCAGAAATCGCAGACAAGTACACCCAAGCGTACAGCGACGACTCTTCCAAGTTGCGGAAATTCTCTGACACAGACGAAACTTATCACGGCGGACAGGTGTCGACCAAAACTTTGAGGATCTACCGAAGAGACTCTTGCTTCAAAGTTGACAACTTCGAGCATCAGCCATCCCATGATGCAGAGTCCGTATATTGGTGTATTGCTACCTTCGTCTTACTAGCGAAACCGCTGAAGAACGACGTCGACGAGGGTCAGACACAATTAAGCGGCATATGGACGAGTATCGCGGAACACGAGGTCGGGAGCGACGTCGACACGAGGTCCGCTCTGATCTCTGGCAATAAATGGGCTGAGTGGCTGCACAAAGATCTTCTCTTCATTGCCGAGTTGATGACCGAGCTCACCTATCAAATCCGACCTGAATGGGCGCTGCTGGACCCCGCGCCGGGATCTCTCCACCTCCACGAAGCAATGCAACGTCTAATTCTGCAATACGTTCACGACTGGGAAAAGAACCACCTAAATGTCGAGCTTGACACCGTCTCATGCCGAACATTCACTCCAGTTGAGCGAAAACCGATGGCACCAGTATCTGAACACCCTCTCATCGGTCAAGTTATCACCTCGAGCACACTTGGTAAGCGAGGCTCCGACTCGGTCGCTCGACGCGCGCAATCAGGCTCGAAGCGTAAGTTCTCATTCTTCATACCCTCCATGTGAGTTGCTCACGCCGCCGCGTCACATTTCAGGATTACGCAAGACGGGCGACGATGAACCTCTAGGCGCGGAGTTGGCTGAGCTGCAACAGGCCTGGATCGACTCGCAGTCTGCGCCTGTGGCCACTGAGCCTTTGGGATACGCGTCTGAGGACGAATCCGATTCCGAATCCGAATCCGAAGAGACCTCAGAGTAATGTTACCATCGCCAACACACGCAGGTGCTGGCGCTCTATTGATTTCTCATCTCCACTACATGCATGTCTCCTCGGTTTCATCTACTTGTATCCTCATTTTCTGATCCTTGTTCCTTTTCACTGCTTTATTCTATTTCGTCGCATACGGACTGTCGCGACCTACGTTGCTATCACGCAATACATTATACTTTTTGTCCTTCTGAACGAAGAAAGGTTAGGTACTAGCTGACATTGTTGCTGTCGAAAAGGAGCAAGGAGAGCCCCGCGACTTCAACACCACCCCCCAATGCCGACATCTCCAAGACGTGAAAGTGATGATCGTACCAAACCACACTAGAAATGGGATGGTCAGTGAGGCGTTCTGGTAGCGCCACGGTAAGTAGTAGCCTGCGCCTTTGAAGTACTGCACAGACTGGTTTTTATCTCATTAGTATCATGATGGCGTAGCGTATTCACCTTCGCTTCCTAACGTTTTCATTGTCCATATATCCCCATTCAACGGAGATGCGGTTAGATGTCGGTCGTGGTGAATGAGGAAGAGCGCTACAAGGAGGACGAACTAGAACTGGCGTGAAGGGGAAAAATTGGAGGTATGTGAGCCGTCGATCTAGAAAGCGCCGTGCCCATGTACTCATCAAGTACTTGCAGACGTCCGGTATGTCACAGCCGATCTTCTACGATGGCGGATCAGACGGCGTCACGGTAAACAGACGAAGGTGAATAGGTCCATGCAATGCTTTGTGTTTAACAACTCCGAGGGTGCGGTCAATGACCAAATACACTGCAGGATTTACTACATCGACCGGGCGATGGAGCGTCCAAGATAATGGTAGTGCTGCGAAAATGACACGCGACGCGGGAACCTAGTGATGTGCGGGCCGGGCTAGGCTCAAAAGCCTCGGGCTTGGGCCAGGTAATAGTGGGCCAAGGCCTAGTGGAAATGTGAGCCCAGCCTGATAGTAAGGCTTTGCGAGGGCAGGGCTCAGGCTCAGGCTCAGGCCCGGGCTTATCATTTATCGTAGGCAGTAAACAGTACAGTATACCAGAAATTATGGATCTATTGATTGTATAGTAATCTCACTATCATCTTCGTCGTCAGGCTCAGTATACTCTCCATCGTCCTCATCCGCAAATAAGATAGCCCGTCTGTTATCATTATCTGAGTTACCTTGCTGCTCGCACTTCAAACATCTTCGCCGTTTTCTCTTGCCTTCTGGGGCACTCACTTCAAACGCCTCTGCAAAGAATTCATTTAGATCACGGCTTGTATCTTCCCGGCGTTTATTTGACATGGTATCGTTGTCGATGGCCTGTATGTTAATGTCTTTCAGAAAACCATCTTCGTCGAGTTGATTCGTTGCAGGCAGCGTGGTATCTACACCGTGGTATGAATGAGCAATGATTTGCTGTTAAAGTGAATGTGCTACAATCACCTTGACTTTCAGCTGTCCTTGCTCGCTTTTGAGATGATGATGGCTGAGTGCCATCCTGCGAGTCAGAGTCGGAGTCCTCTACAATTGGTTTGCGCTTGCGACGAGATGCAGGGACTGGTGAAAGCGGGCCTGGATATGGAGGAGTAAGAAAGAGGGCGGCGCAAAGGTGAGTTTTACTCACGGTTGCTATTGGCGACTCTCTCTATCTCCATCCTAGCTTCTTCATGGGAAGGATCGGTTGCGGCTGGAGATGAACCGGTGTGGGAAGCCCATTCTTGATTAGCTTCTTGGGCACGGAGAGCAGCTTCAGCTTCGGCACGAAGAATAGCTTCAGCTTGCGCAGCTCTATGAGAGGATAATTGCTTCTCGCCGATGTTGTCTGGATCAATAACCCTCGCCGAGGGGGCACTAACTCGCTTGGTACGAGAGACTGTATCTGGCGCCATACTCGGAGATGTACTTCCAGAATCATCGAGCTCGAAAAGGGCAGAACTGAGCCAGTGGGCTGGCTGTACAGTTGCTCGGAAGTCTCCGCGTGAAATTTCAGGGCCCGGTCACCAGCCTCAGGCTTCGGGCTTTCGAGTTCACAAGCCGAGCCTGCAGCCTGCAAAAGCCTTACACATGGCCTGGCTGGGCTGGGCTCAACTTAGGCCAGGTATGGCAAGGCTCCGGGCTTTGAGCCTGGCCTAGCACATCACTACGGGAACCCCGCCGCCACGTCAACGGCTCGGGCGGCGGTCTTTGCTTAACCCTCGATTTCTCAGCAGGCAGACCGGCATGGGGATATAGACAGCATGAGATGTTGTTGGGGAAGATGTTGTTTCGAGGTCCGTGGGTTTGAGATAAGACCCCGAGCGCTTGTGTGGACAACGTGGACTCGCATGACTATGTCCCCCAGCATCTCTGCCTTCGGAAGTCTTGGGAAAATACTCGAATACCACCAAACGAGCATCGACGTTGCGAATCGAGAACGTCAGAGTTGCTGGTGCGTTATTAGCAAACAATTTGGTCTATGCGCTGTAGTAGTGAATATACACGTAGACTAGTAGTATAGTCAAATGAAATGCGAGGGTCCGCCTCCGGCAGGACAAGTCCGTGCGACACCCGAATGAACTAAGTGTGATAAACGATGAGTCCGAGAGTGAAAACAACTACTAGGAAACTTCGGATGCTTCGGATGGCTTCGGATAGCTTCGGACGCGCTCGAACGCGAAGCAAACAACTTCGGCTTCGGATAGTACGATGAGGACGGCAGGAGAATGATAAGGACGGCAGGAGAACTGGCTTCGGATCGGACTCGGACTCGGACGACGGCGAACTCTGACAACGGAGGAGGAAAGCTTCTCGGACGACTTAGATTCTGGCTCGATGTGGGGGGGGGACAAATCTTATTATTCTAACTACCAGTGCAGTAGGTTTTTGTAGCTAAGAAAACATCGGAAGTATCCGAAACGAAAAGGAACCAGGAACGACTAATGGTGCTAGTATAGTCCAAATATTAGGGTCCGAAAACAAAAGGGAGACGAAGTATTGATCCGCGCTGTCTGATCCGTTATCACGTGTGTCCGGTACGGGTCAGTGACGTCCGAGTCATGTGCGAGCGCGTCCGAAGAGTCGGAGAGGGGTCGATAGGGGATAGGGAAAGCCGGAGTGCACGGAACGAAAGGGTTCAACCCTTACAGCGCATCGCTGACTTGGTGCAGATGTCTCAATAATACCGATACCTGTCAGTGCCTTCTGCCGACCGTACAAGTAACTACTGTGGAGGTCTACCATGCTTAATAAGATCTGCAGCCTGAGAACGCGAGTCAAGAAAGCCGCTAGGAGCAGAACTCACAAAATGGACTCACCCGCTCTCCAATCATGTAAACAATCGACGACTGGTTGCGAATCAGCAAGTTGCGCGATGAGTAGACGAAAAGGACCCGCCGTGTGCGGCAACCGCAGCCAGTCGTCACGGGGGTCGACGACAACTTCCTTTATTCAAACCATCGTACGCCTCCGCCGTTGATCATGCGAGACGCAGTTAGTACAAGCGAATATACATACATGAGAGTGAGTTGCCAAAAGAACATTTCCATTACGAAGCATTCATCAATGGGCAACCTCTAGAGGACATCTCACGCTCGGGGTCTAGCTAGCTTACCAGCCCTTGGAAACGACATCCTCTAAAAGAGCTCTGACTGGTTCTTCTTTCGAACGGTACTTGATCCCCAAGATTCTAGCCGCCTTCGAAGTGTCGAAACGAATCTTGTAGACGGCATTCTTTCCGCCGCCTGGTACGCCGACAGCGAGTTGGTAGTGCGGTGGCAGGGCCACAGGAGGAGAGAGACTTTGCGCCGCGTCGACTGGATCGTAACATCAGTCAGATCCATCTTACAGAATCTCGCTATGAGACTTACTCCAGTCCTGCCAGACAAAAGGCTCCACACACACGATAATCCTCTCTCCCCCTGCTTCGGCCCTCTCGAGCGCCCTCGTGTGAGCTTCTGCCAAGTCGCGAACATCGATCCAGGAGGATCCGGTCGTCGTCAGGGCCTCAGTGGACATGGCGTTTGGTGAGGTAGATGGCGTTAACAGAAGATCGAGAAGATGAGCAGAAGACGTGTTAAGAGCTTCGCGTGAGGCTACTTCATGTATGACTGGGCCGAACACCTGAGACCATAGGGTGACAACGATGAGCAGCCGTCTACGTTGGTAACTAGGCCGGATAGCTCACGTATGGAGGAATGACGACAGTAATGTCCCAGCTGATCTCCCCTTTGTGAGCCTTAGCGAACTCCCAAGCCGCTGAAGGACGTCAATTTGGGCACTATTGGCAATATTGTCAGGAACACACACCTGTCTCTGCGAGCACCTTCGAGGCCCGATATTTGGTCATGTTCGCCGCCGACCGCCCCTGCTCCTCGACCAGCCTGACAGCTTGGTGATTCCAATCGAGCTCAGAGAACACTTTTGGTTCTGGGAGTAGCTCGAGCACAGCTGCACCCGAGGACGTTACGACAACACGTTTGAGCGTCGGGCTAAATATCGTGAATTAGTGCAAGCGACGGGGTGATAAAGCATGGGATCTTACTTGTTTCGTAAGGCACTGTTCAGAATACCAACTGTACCGCTGACAGCCGGGCCGATGAGTTCTGGATCGGAAGATCGATTATGATCGGGACAAAATGAGAGGTTAAGTCAATCAAATACCTTGAGGATCGTCAGCATTGAGATGAACCGGCGAAGCAATATGCTCAATCCCGTCAACACCCTTCACAGCTTCATCGAACGCGTCATCCTGCGCAAACCAATGAGCATAACGCATTGGGGGAGGCTTGCTGTGAACGCTAGAGCACCGACCTTCGACATATCTCCTACGATTACGGTTTCGAACCTGTCGCCATATGATTTGAAGTACTCAGTGAGATATTTGACTTTGCTCGCTGATCGTACGGCGGCGCGAACTGAATAACCCTTCTCGAGTAGATTGCGGGCAACCCAAGCACCGACGAAACCGGTCGCGCCAGTTACAAGAACTTTACTTCCGGGTGCGATGGTTGGCATGATGACAATTAGGTGGGGTAACAGAGAAAAGGTGTGTTCTCAGCTCCGGCTTATATTTTCGATGTTGCTTGGTAATTTGGGATCAGCGGACGATGTACAGGGTTCTTCATCTGACAAGGGGGATGAGGAATCGGCAAAGCGATGACATCACGCGACCGGCATGGTCTACGTTCGGCCGAGATTGTCAGCGTTGGCCGGCATTGCTTTTGTCGTTGCCTAGTGCACTACTTCGCATTATCAATATGCAATCATATCAATGATAGTGATGCGATGTTCTAATGTATATATGAGATAAGACGATAGGTAGGAGGCGGATACACAAGGGCCAGCTTGGATTCTAGCAACCTCGACGTTCTCTTGTGGGACAACTTTTGGTATACCAATGTTTAACTTGGAATATCCCACTTGAAGGTCGACCTTGAGTTGAATCAATGACACATGGAAGCGTACTCTCGAAATGTCTCGTAAAAGTACGCGGGGGCCTCAAGAGACTCTGCGCCATCGTCACGGATCATTTGCTTGAGTTCTTGAGCGAAAGTGGGGCGATGGAAAAAGCATACTGGGACCGTATCATACCGTGCCGCCATGCATTCGCAGAGTTCCTCGATAATCCTTCGAATGGGGCCATAGCGAAATTGGACTTTCGGGCCACCGGAACAGTAGATATGCTCCCAAGCATAATTTCCTACGTGAGGCATACCAACCCGTTCTTGAACTTCGTCAAATTGTTCAAGGTAGTACTTGACGTTTCCTGCGGAGGACTTGGGGTCTCGGAGGTATCGAATGCTCATGTACATGAGCACGAGGAGAGACGATTCACGACCGTCGACAAGGGAGTGAGCGGCTCCCGGGCTCATCTTAAGGTGGGTCGACATAGATCTCCAGGCGCTCTAACAAAGCAATTTATTACGGTGTGTTGAAGTGGGATGATATGAACGAACCATTTGGTGTATACCCACGGGGTTTACCCTGTCAGTGCTCAGGGAGTGATCCCAGTCGGCGAGAATACCACGCTGAACTTGGCGTCCAATCTTCACTGAAGCTTCAGCTGTGTTAGAGCCACAACGCTGTGTGCCGTGTGCATCGTGCCCCATATTCGAATTCGAGTTGGCCGTGTGATCCCATTCATAGCACGCGTCACGACGATTGTTGACGAGTGAGTCTGTTAGTAGAATATTGCTTGCGCTTATGTCACGGTGAAGAACACCGTGCACGTCGTACATCATCTGGTGTGCTATCGGGTCGTCAGGACGATAAGAGGAAGGCAAGAAGCGTGTGCATACCTTCCATTGCGTCACCAAGACCTACCAACAAGTCACGGGGTGCACGAAACGAAGCCAGGTCGTCAAGGACACATTGAACGATGGGATATGCCAGCGGAGGATCGTTGCTAGAGTAGCGCGTTTCGATAACACAAGTAGTGTTCAGAGGTACATCGACTGTTTCTAACGCGTTTGAATGGGTATTCTGAATGTGTGTAAGTGTAAGATATACTCGAAATTTATGCAAACACCCACAGCTTCTGTTACGCCTTTCATGATTTCAAGAGATAAAGACGTTAAGTGCTGGGCTGAGGGGATTTCGGAAGGTACGGAATGAAAAACGAAACAGAGATGAGTTGTGGGATGTGGGATGTGGTTATTTAAGCCCTACTCGGGTGGCAACAAAGAAAGCCACAGCATGTGACCGTATATACCGTCCTTGTCCCCTCGACGTGGTAAATTATGGACGATGATACGAACGGATGCGGTGGTATCGCCCAGAGTATTTGTCGACATCAGCGGAATACAGCTATTGTGAAGCTAAGATTAGATTTTCAGATAAGATCGTAGATAGTCAGCGCTTCAGCGCTTGCTGTTCGCAACTTGAACTCGCGCGACCATGTCGCCAGCAACGACTCTGCCCTCAGAAATCTTGATGAAGATACTCGAAAACTACCCTCAGTCGCACATCGACATTTCGAATTTCTGCCTCGTTCACAGGACGTGGTATCCTATCGCGCAGGCAATACTCTTTCGTCACTGTTCAGTGAGACTAGGAGAACACGATGCCCCCCGATTCTTCGAAGCGCTTGTTCAATACCCTCATATATACCCTCTGATTCGGTCGCTTGACTTCCGAAGCTTGTCTGCGGCGCTGTTGGAAACGTTCCAGGCTCTTGGTCCCTCCAGCAGCGTCTCGACCTTGCTTCTTCGCAGCCATCGGATAGATGCAGAACAGCGAAATATCCTTATCAGATCTTTCCCTCAGTTAGAGAAACTTTCCCTCACCCATTCTACTTCGCTCGGCGGTTTCAGTGGCCTTGTTCACCTGATATCCTCTTTCCCGAAACTGAGGGATCTCAATTTGACCGATGTTTCTTGTCGCTCAAATCAGAAAGAAGCGACGTACCCAGACATCGGCACCAAGCCATCGTTGCGAGCATTCCACTGTCATCTCGGCCTTCGCGTTATGGATGATCTACTGGGATGGATGATGTCCCATAGTCCATTGCCGCCAATAAGCTCCGTATACCTGGCGTCCTACGATACTTACGAAGACCTCCCCGATGTTGTCCCAAGCTTCCTAGCAAGTCTACCAACCCTGAAAAGCGCATGGGTAAGCCTCAGTACTATGTGGGGTGTGTATATTCATATATTTTCTGTGGGCCAATGGTTGAGCCTCGAGTCGCAGATCCGCCGCCATTAACTTTCTCTGAAAACCCGCAACTCGAAACCATCAGGCTCGACTTTGACCTTCATGCCTTGAACCCCTCGAAATGGATTCCCTTCCTCTCGACAGTCTTCTCGTCCGTGTCCTCGGTCCTTATGAAAACTATCGTGGTTACCATGCGGTTGAGCGGTGGATGTGCACCGAACTTCGACTGGGCGGCTCTCGGGCGTGTCTTGAGTTCGCCGATATTCACGAATCTCCGTACGGTTTACATAACATGCAGCAATCCATACGTCCTTGAAGAGCCGCCGTATGTCGGAGACTTGGAGGATAACATCTGTGAGGCGTTGGCGCATCTCGTCGCCAGGGATATCCTGACCGTCAGGTAGGCCCACTCCCTGGCTTCTTTTTGAGCAACTACTCACTTATTATCAGAGTCCAAGTTTAAGCTGCTACGGCAAGGCGAGGAGTGGCAGACCATTCAGCGTTGTTTTGCTATGATGTTTGAAGTCTACGATTCAAGGGGATATGGGCTCAAAATTAAATTCAACGGTTTGGTGAACATCTTCCTCCCCCATTTATTTTTCGGGGCCAGTTTAAGCTTTCGTTGGACTATGGCCTTTGACGCGGAGTGCGATAGAGTCGTTCCTTGATCTTCTGCGCAGCGCACGAATACTTATGAATATCGGGAGGAAGAGATTCCTCTCATGGGTGATTTTATGCAATTCAACAAACACTGAAGCGGAGCGCGACGTTCCTCCGAAGAAAAAGGCGTCGAGCTGTCGAGAAGGTAACAACACTTGATCATCTTTCAAAACCAAGCAAGGATTTCGCTGACTTGATCGTATACGTGGATGTAGCATTCAAATCTGACCTGGATTCCGAATGTATTTACAAAGTCAGTACTTCAAAGGTTCGACCTTAAGCAACCCTTAGAACGAGTTGAAAGCTTTAGCACTTAGTACCCCATTGGAGTAATAGGAGGAGCGTCAAGCTTTCAAGGTCCGCTCGGTATAGCCGTTGGCGGATCTGTGGCGGATAGCGGAATCTGTCATTTTTCTTGACCCAACAGTCCAGGATTCACATCGGTTGCCAGCGAGGATGAGAGAATCAACCAATCCAACCCTTTCGCAAACATTGTGGTTCAGGTATCGCCGTGGGAATTCATAAAATGACAATGGACTGCAGCACCGCCGAAAGCTGATTTGACGGGCAAGACTGTCGTAGGGATTGGCGCGAACACGGGTATAGGATACGAGGCTGCGAAGCACTTCGCCGCCATGAATCCCGCACGGCTGATTATGGCGTGTAGAAGTCGGGAGAGGGGAGCAGCCGCAGTGACCAGTGAGTAATGCTCTGCTATGATATGGATATGTAACACTTCGGTATTGGATCGTTAAAGAACTCTGCGTTCCCCAGTGAGTCCATCCACGCCTCCACATACGACGTCCCGCTGACCTGTAACTCGCTCTTCGAACACTAAATACAACTTATCAAAGCGTAAGTAGACCGAAGTTCTCCTTGAGATTATCGCGACGCCGTCCTCAATGTCCTCCTTACACACGCATTGGCGAACCACCTTCCAGGAGCCCACCCCACAATAATCGTCAACTGCACCAATACCGGCTTCTGCTATTCGGACCTTATTCGCGGTAGTATGAACCTCCTTATCCGCATCATGCGATTCCTACTTGCTAGGCGAGCAAAGGCCCGTCAAATCATATGGGGAGCAGTGGGCATTCCGGATGAGTCTCAGGGAGGTGTAGAGTCACTCAAAGGCGCCTACATCTATTTTTCGAAGGTCGTGGAGCCAAGTGACTTCGTTATCAGTGAGAAGGGACAAGAGTTCAAAGATATACTCTGGATGAGAAATCTACGACTCGGTCGCGCTAACCGCTAGGATGTCCTCCGGGTACGGGCCCCACAGAAGGACGCCATTGGCGTATGGTCGAAGAACCCCGGAGGGTCGTTCTGCTTGGGGTAAGGACATTCCGGCCGCGTTGACTGCGATGCCATTGACTTTTCTACTCCCAACCTTGCGTTCATGCAACATTCAGGTAGATTCGGCAATGGGATATACTTGATGTGACTAAGGCACACCTTGGAAGCGTGGTCGAGGACGGCAGAAAGTGTTTCATGCACACTTGACTACGGTACAGGCGACTGTATGCACGTTGTCGAAACACATTAGTACAATGATATGCGCAACGTGGAGCTTTTAGGGTCCGATTCCGCATAGCCGAACGGCTGGTGGATGCGTGAGTCATCATCATCTTATCCTTGCTAAACACTCCCGTAGCACTTGCGATTCATATCGGCATCCGCTAGTATAAAGGGGACAGATGGCAACGCCGAGCAGTAATCACTTACTTTTATCCTCCCACTTATCATGGTTCACGTCTCCTTTTGGGACTTCGCTAAAGGCCAATGGACTGCAGCCCCCCCGGTAGAGAAAGCTGATCTGACAGGGAAGACTGTTGTCGTAGTCGGCGCGAATACTGGGATAGGATACGAAGCTGCGAAGCATTTCGCTTCCATGAACCCTGGCCGACTAATCATGGCCTGCAGAAGTCAGGAAAGGGGGACTGCTGCAGTGACAAGTGAGTGATCGCTACTCCCATTTTGTGCACACACCCCTGAATTCAATACCGAACCGCGAAGACCTCAAAAAGAGCACTGGTTTCGACAGGGCTGAGCTGTGGTTAGTCGATCTTTGCAGCTTTGCCTCCGTCCAAGCGTTCGCAGACAAGTTCGAGAAAGAAGTCGAGCGTATTGATATATTGGTTGCGAATGCGGCTATCATCCCTCGCGCGTACGAGGTCACCAAGGATGGATGGGAGACATCGTAAGTCACGTCATCATAACCCTATGCTGCCGAATACTCTGACATTGCCACGACGAAAGGCTCCAAGTCAACTATTTGGCTCCAGCACTTCTCATCTTTCTCCTTCTTCCATTGATCCTCAAGACGGCGGAAATCTCTACTTCCATTCCGCGCGTCGTTATTGTTGGCAGCGAGGTCCACCAACAAGGAGAAATACCGCAGAAGATTTTTGAAGCACCCTCAGCGATTGAGGCGCTTAGCAGTAGAGAGTTTTGTACTCCTTAGTGAGGATCCTCCTCTCCCCCCAGTACCGCACATCGCTTACCCGACGGCACTCGTACAGCTCTCCTAGCCCAAAATACTACCTATCTAAGCGTAAGTCCCATAATATCTCGGAAGAAGTCAACGTCGCTCATCTCGCGCGCGCATGTACACAGTGCTTAACATCCTCTTCACGCAAGCGTTGTCTAATCATCTTCCACCCACCCACCCAACAATAATCGTCAACTGCATCAATCCGGGATTTTGCCACTCAGAACTTGCTCGTGGAGTGTGGAACCCTGTTTTCTTGCTGTTCCGCTTTCTACTTGCTAGGCCGGCGGAAGAGGGTGCACGCCAACTCATATGGGGGTCAGTGGGCGTGCCAGACGAGTCCCAGGGTGGCGTAGAGTCGCTCAAAGGAGCCTACGTCCATTTTTCGAAAGTCACGGAGCCAAGCGACTTCGTTATCAGTGAGAAGGGACAAGAGTTCAAAGATATACTCTGGGTAAGAAATTTACGATTTTATGACGTCGACGGTTGGTTAACGGGCAGCCGCTTTTTCTTAGAGCGATATACAGTTGATTATCTCATATTGCATACCGTCGGGAGACATCCTGGGCCAATGCATTATGAGAAATATGCAATGCGAAATTGTCACATTGTGTGATATCAGCTGATATAATATGTGACAGTTGCTATATCCGGCAGAATCATGTAAATTACCTATGCCCCACCATTCTTGTCCATCGCCGCGTCGAGGAAACCCGCTAAGGTACTCTGCTTGAGTCCAGCTCTGATCTCGCTCCGTAAATGTCCCCGGAATTTTCGGAGTTCTTGTGCGAGAAACGAGCTTCGTTCTGATGCAAGGGCAGGGTGGATACAAGACTTCTCCAACTGCTCACACAGATGTAGAAGGTCGGCCTTTGGTACGACTGGCTCTTCTTCGTCATCGGAATCATCTGACTCCACCACATGAGTGTTAGGTTCTGCCGTTTACGCTCAGCAATTGGCTTTGCTGTTGTTGCATGGTCTGCTTTTGCTGCAGGTGCCTTTGGCTTGCGATTGTACGGCTGGGGCTTGGGCCGCACCTTTTGAGTGGGTTCAGATGGAGGCATGGGGTCTTTGTTTAGTGGTTTGTTTTCTGTAATAGATTTGTACTACCGAGTCGTCATTGAGGTGGCGCTGTACACCCTAATTTAGTCTAAAAAGGTTTATTCTCGGTGTGCTACAATGGTGCCGGTGTCCCCCGACCCTTCATCCGGCGATGTAATAATGCAAATCCTCATTTGTGAAGCAATGCATTATGCATTATGCATTATGCACTATATTCCCCGCCTCCCGACGTGGTCCCCATGGAAAGTCAATGCATTACGAGAAATATGCATCATGAGTGTATGCATTATGAGCTAATCAACTGTAATAAAGATCCTTTCGAAGGTCGACCCTCGGGTTCAGTCGATTGTCGACCGTTACCTGCGGCATTAGACGTTCATTAGTGGGCTGGTCCTGCAAGCAAGCTTCTCTAGTCTTGAGCGTATGATTATTATCCTCGTGTACATCATTAATGCTCTTTGTCGTTGGACCCTTCAAAGACCGTCTTTGAATCAGATCATTGGCGTTATATTGCTCCGATACACTCAATCGAGGTATTCTCTACTCGGACGAGTTTACTTGGTCGAGAGTGCATACCATACAAAACTCGGGACACCTACCATCATTTCTTACTCTGTGGAAGGGCTGGGAGTATGTGTATTGCGCACTTCCAGCTTAGTTCGCCATCGAAAGGCCGCACGAGATGCCGCCGCCGGTGCAAAACTAGATTTGTCGATCTACGCATCTCGTTTTGGAGAGTAGGTGCATTGTTATCCTAGCCTTCTTATGCAAGATTGGAGGTCGGGCATTGCATTCGACAATGGGAGAAGAAGGGTGGACTGAGTATAGTATGAAAACATCTATCTTGCTGTCCAGTACTTCATCAGCATAATTATATTTCTCTACAAGATAGTATCTATGTGGGCGATAATATAAAGCAATGTTCATGTAAAGTTTCATGTAAAGTATAGACATCGTTTCGTTTCGCGTTTCGATGGTTGCATGTACGTCCAGTCGTCCCCCTCCTCTCATTCTTGTTCTCCTTCGTGTGTTCTCGTTCTCCGTCCCTCCCTTTCCTCCTTTTCTTCGCTCCTGAAGTTCCGTCGTCCTCCATTTGCCCTGCTCCGTTCTCCGTTCCCCGCGTCGTTCCTTTACCTCCGCACGCATCGTTTCGTACACCCATGTTGGCCCGCCCCGCGTCCGCTGTGACCCTCTTTCGATTCTTCTACTTGCTCGTTTCCTGTCGTCCGATTTCTTCATGCTGGGGATGTCCATTCGAGTTCATTAGGGCCCGTTCGTGTTCTTTCGTATTCATTTGTGTACGCTCACTTGTGCAGAGAGTCGCGCAATTATGTGTGTTGGTTGAGTGAGACAGCGGTGCAGGGAAGAGGTAGGGAAGGATTAAGAGGATCGACTATCATCATCTCGTATATATGACAGCACTGGTGATTTTAAGCGCCGCTTACCTCCTTCTCTTCACGCACTGTCATGATCTCTAACCTGCCAGCCGAACTCATTCTCCAAGTACTATCTTATGTCCCAATCGAAACCCTGAATTCTCTACGCCTAGTATGCCATCAGCTGCATAATATCCTTGAAGCCCAAGAAGCATCGATTTACCGCAACGCCGCCGTTTTCCATGGATTCGTACCCTCCGGCAACGTCAACTACAGTAAGATCTACTCGCGACGGTCCCTTCTCGGCGTAGATAGCTGGAAGTCGTTCTGTGCGAATGCTTTCCATTGTATATCTCCTGATATCTGATGCTTTGAAGGCAAACGGCGGGCTTTGATTGCCCAAAGCTGGCTCGGGCGACAGCCATCGAGGCTTCGTCAGCATAGTAGTGCCGCGCCCAATTCGAAGGTCCATCGGTTTAAAGTCGACGAGCGAAGAGGGTTCATCGTGTCAACATCTAGCGAAGGCTCACTGAACGTTACTGATCTTGCAACGGGTGAGACTCTTTGGGCCCTTGACAAGGTGCGTTTCCTATAAGTTCCATCAAACCACTTAATCAGTAATCTGCGGGACCTCCAGAAACTTAACTACGTACGCCGCTTTGCGCATTGTGAATACGGAGAAGGGTTCGTGGTCTTTGACCGGATGAACGGTTCGAAGGAGGTCTGGCGCCTTGCCAGCGAGTATGACACATCTCCACCACCTACCTCCGCCCTACCCGACGACGGCCAGCTAGATGCATGTGCGCAGTCTGCCTCCTTCTACCACTCATCCCGTGCCGCTTTCCGGCCGTGGCTCCTCCTGCAGATGCCGATCCACACGCGTGCCTACCGCTTCGTCTACCCCTCCCTCCTCGTCTCTGGCACCGATCAGGCGTTCATATTCGACGTCCTCACCGGGGCGCGGGTGCAGCTTATCAATGACCTGCAAGACGCTAACGCACAAGGGGACGGGCTGGACGACATCAACTACGTGGACGTGAATGTGCGGCATGTGTTCGTGTGCTGCGAGTCGGTGCTAAAGGTGTTCTCGCGAGAGACGGGGCGCTGCGTGCTGGATATCACGTCAGACCAGGTGTATTACGGCGACCAGCGATTCAGGCTCGTTTACATGTCGTCCAGCCACGCGCTCCCGCAATCAGAGCTCGTACGGTGCAGTACGGAGAAGGAGATCGATACCACAATGCCTGCGGAACGGCAGTTCGATCAGTTCGTCGCTGGTGCGCGTTCTCTGCGTATTTAATTTTGCCCGACGTTGATAATGGTGTGCAGCACATGTCTCCCCTTGTGGATCGCATATGGCGCTCCTGCTCTCCTGCTCGCGCCTCATCGTCGTGCCCAATTTTCAGAGGATCATATCGGGCGAAACTACTCTGCGCGCGACCGCGCTCGACATCCAGCTAGGGTCCATGAGGTTCCAGTCAATATACCTCGCCTACGAGCATGGCAGGATTGCCGTCGCTACTGTACGCATCAACCATATCATTACCTCACATGTGAGATGACGTCTTATATTTGCGTCCCATTTTGTTCTGTACAGGCAAGCAGCGTGTTCATCGTGCATTTCACTCTCGGACCCGATGGTAGCCACGGATCGGATATCATTGTGCACCGTGTCCTTCGCATGGGCCGCCGCGTTGACCTGCAGTACATCAGCTGCCTGCAGATGACCGACACAGGCCTCTTTGTAAATTGCGACATATCCGCCTATCCTGACCGGGATAGCATAGCGTTCAATCAAGAGCTGGGCCTGGGCTCTGCGGGGATCGTTCATAGTGAGTCGCTAATCACTCCTTATCTCACTACGTCGCTCATCTCTGTCTACTCTGGGCAGCCCTGGAGAATGGCGATCGGATCGTCGTCGCCGCTACCGCCAGTAAGTTCACTCACTCCCTACTCAGCCCAGCGTGAAAGACTTGATGTCTGCTAAACAAAGACGCTGATTCCGCGTATCTTGGACTTTGCAGATGCTATTGCGGCGACGTCGACGATATATGACCTTAATGTCGTACTGGCGTAACTATGGTTTCTCTCGAATGATGAGACGAGTTTAATTAGCCCGAACGCATCGCGAGCAAGTGCAGATTGTTGATTGCAATTTCTCCCTTGACGGGCTGGCATCTGTCCCAAGTGCACGAAGTTTTCGGAGCGCTCCTTAGGCTGTTCAATATCGACATTAAAATGGTATCGGGAGTCGGTAATCCAACTTGAGGCGGTCCGGATGGCGTGATGATAAAAGGATGCATAAGCTACCTGTGTGCTAAGTCGAGATGGCAGGTTCATCCCATCTCGTCAACGACCGCCGTGACTTGGCGGAAATGGTTACGCTGGCGTGCTCGCATGGTCCGGACCATTGATTGGCGACGTGGGCGTACGTAGAGCGGCATGAAGATAGAGCACTGGGGTGTTCATAGCTGGTTGAGTCGAACTTTAAAAAGTCTGCCACCTTTTGGTGGTCCACTTGTAATCATGGTAGATCGCCTACTGCCTGTCGGCGGTTGACACACTATCTCGCGACAGGATAGCCGTCGGTTGTGCAATAAATAATTATGTTACGGAATATATGTTACATGCTGAAGATATAAGGGGTGTTGAAACAGACGCAGAGTCAAGTATACTAGCAACACAAACTGACTATTCCGTGCCAGAACGCGGTAAACTCAGCCCCGTGCCTACAAATGCGGCAGGAGGTAATTCGAGTATCGGGTCGATTGCGCGTGCGCTACCATCGCGCGATTTTATAAACTTTGACCCTCGTTTTTGATCCCATTGATCGTTTGCACGTCCTCGCTTTCCATTGTTATTTTTGGGAACCTCACGTAGTACGGTGGTGTTGTCGACCCAGTGTGATTCGTGAGCCGCTCGATCGGGGATGTCAAGGATGCAGTTACGAAGATATGAGTAAAGCCAGTCTGTTTTATTGATTGACTGTAGACAATCTTGATGAAATCTGCGCGTATAATATCGAAGGGCATCGGCAACATTGGAAGGAGGGGTGGTCGTGGCAAGGCTTTCGGCCCAATTGGACGGGGGGTCGATCAAACCTGGGTTTTCCTGGCGAAAGCGGTAAAGAGCAGCGAAATGTTTGCAAAGGCCATCTATCAGTGTTTTCATGGCAGGGATTTCGAATGTAATGTCCAGGTCACCCGACATTATGGTTGACTTCTTCATTGGCGATCCCAAGTAAGATCCGTTACCCAGGACATAATACTCGTCAAACATCGCTAAGTAGCTGCGAAGGACTTGGGTTTTATCGTGACGAAGATATCGAAGCGCCATGGACATTAGAACATGAAGGGCTGATTCTCGGTCGTCGAAGAGGCTATGGAGTGCTTTCGTTGGGTTCATGGTCAAGTTGGCTGACATGAATTGCCATGGGCCTTATAGTAGCTCATCAGACGAATCAAGCAAAGAGTATGGGAGGCTTACGGTGCGATTTACCCGGGTCGGCCTATCCTTGGACAATCTGTTCATGAAGATGCAGTGATCCCAGTCAATGAGAATCCCGTGGCGGGCTTCCTTGCTATCGAGCGCAGAGATAAGTATATTCCCCGCGCTAATGTCACGATGGAGAATATGGAGTTTGTCGTATACGAGTTGGTGCGCTGTCAAATTGTTAGTACTGGTAGCGAAAATGGCATGTAGGCACACACCTTCCATGGCGTCGGCTACACATGAAACCAGGTCGCGCGCCGTTCTGAACAAACACAAATCACGACCGACCGTTTCAAGAACGATGAAATGGGCCGTCAGTGGCCTCCATTTCAGCTTCTCCCCGCCCACCCCGAAGGTCGTGTGAGTGTGACAGATAGTGGTGATTGCGCAATTGTTCGCCCTGACATCTCCCCCAGCATGCATCTTTGCAAGGTACCGGCATTTTGACAGGTCTTCGTCCCCAGATATGAGGCGATAGACCTCAGCCTCTGGTTCGGCATACTCGGAGTCTTCGCGCCAAAAGTCCTTGAAGTACATCACTCGGGGCTCTGGCTCGAGGAGGACCACCACGCGGTTCCGTGTCATACGGCCAAACGGAGAGTACGAGCCGCCGTCGAAGCGACCCATGGGTACCGCGTAACGTTCTCCTTCAAATTCCATGCAGAGCAGCGGGCGATCATACGCGATCTCCTTCTTGTATTCATCCGCAGCAGCTCCCGCATATGTCTCGTCAGCATACTTCTTGAGGGCCTCAACTGCAATCAGGCCCTCTTTCTTGCTGAGTACCGAGAAGCCGGGGAGGAGTCCGCGTTGGGAATCCGTGAGCTGAGCGAAGCGGAGGTAGAATTCGAATAAGAGTTCGGGATAGACGGTATAATCGAAGCGCCGAGAGACAATCGCACAAGAGCGATCCCAGCGAATGAATCTTGCATACTTGCCGCAGATGAGAACGCTGAACAAGTGACTGCGGAACTGCATGGCCATGGCGACTCCTGCGTAACTGGCAATCTGGCCTCGGGTATCTCGGCCTGCATTGGTATCATTTTCAGCTTGGTATTTCTCACAGGGAACCAGCTCTGTCGGGGGATGCTTCAGGGCCTCTAAGGGATCTTCTGGCTTGCGTTCGCTGGGACGTTCATCCTCAGCGATGAAGGGCTCTTCAAGGCCTGCGGGGTCAGAGTTGTTCTGTTCGGCTTCTGCGTCCTCCTCGTGCACGCTGTCCTCTTCCTCGTTCCTGTCCTTGTTTCCTGAATCTGTCTTCTCCTTCTCGTATTCTTTACCATCGACGTCAATAAATGCGTCCATGAGCGCACTCAATTTGAACTCGACGAAGCTGAGCAAGTTGGCAAAGTCGACCTTCAACTTCGTACGACGTGGTAAAAGCTCTTCGCCGTCGATAGTGTAATCAGGTCCGAGGCCGCTGGCGGGGTCGCGGTAATCATGTGTGTCGTTAACGTAGAGCTTACGATGATTGTCACGGTAGGCGACGGGCCACTGAGAGGTTGCCTTCCCCTAGAAGGACTATAAGCGAGCGCCCAGTCCGTAAATACAGAGATACTTACAAAATGACCGTACATTTGTTTCTTGGTTTTCGCGTTGCCCATGTTTTTGAGGTGTTGGATGCGAGTTTTCGGGACCTTCTGGGATCTGAACTTTTGATAGGACTCATCTTTTCTTTCGTTGAATGGGAGGAACTTGTTCATAAATTCCACCGGGTCCGACGAGACGATGTATTGGCCACGAGTTTCGCGAACCAGGGTTTCCCGAATCTCCTCAAGGTCTATAGGATCCATTGACCAGTCGTGGTGACGTCCAGTCCTGAGTGCCCGCGGCGTTGGATGAGGATCGTTGTGTTGGAGAGGGTTGTTTGGGCTGGTGCGTTCCCGAGAGCGTTCGAAGTGCGTGCTTGCAGGACTTTCTTGCTGAGACTGGGATTGAGATACTGAATGTTCAGACATGGTGAGGTGGGCGTTTGAAAGAGAGAAGCAGAGTGTAAAGACCATATTTACATACGCGCTGGCTCACCTTCTCAATTTGGCTGTTTGGAACAATGGGATGTGGGCGGTGGCGAATGGTTGGTGGTTCAACCAGGTTCAACCACAACCACGGAGTGTCATGTGACTGTTTGACATTCCTATTATGGTAGGTAGTTAACAAAGGAAGTACAAACTCCGTTAGTACACGAGTCATCCACCCGCTCGTCCCTAAGGTATGTGTCCATATTGACCCAGAGCTGCCTAAAGAGTCGAGCACACATGCTATGCGCCTGTTTTACCATGCTGACCACGTTCATGCATCCGTTCATGAGACTGTGTCCGTTGCGAGCTGATCTGACACCAAAAGAAACAACCAAACTTGAATGCATCGCTCAAACTTCACATTCAACGGTAAGTTCCTCCTAGATTCTGACCCTCCGGTTTTCTATTTTGACTGACCCATTGCAGACATATTGAGCAGCCACTGGATGAGCTCCTTGCTCAAAGTCAATTCATGTATCAAATGAGTATGAACTGATCAAAATCTACGGGTTGACCCTCTTCAGGTAGCTCGAAGACTACGCAAGTATACTCTAGTTGGTCGGCGCTGCTGACAACAACGTGAGCACGCTTCCTTATTTAACCCAGTTCACTGGTTCACCTCCCAAATCTATCAGTCCAAGCCGAACCTTATGGTCGTTGATTCCAGTCCCTTCGCCGCACAAGTATCGCTACTACGTCAGTCTACAATTGAACTTACGATTACTTACAGATTGTCTCCCAGCTTACGCGTGGCGCACAGTCACCAGCAACTGCCTCAACGTCCCTTTCGATAGAACGGCTCCCACGCCGACTCGAAACTGGTATGGTGTTGTACGCTGAACAGTTCGTAGACTCATTCCAAGCATGTGTCAGACGCGCCAATCCACTTGAGGAAGCGAGAAATTGTGGGGCCATTGTTTGCTGTCGTACTCCAATGTCGCGGACCGACACAACTGGATGACTAGTGCACAGTTTTCCTGTTGCTGATGATGACGTCAAAGGAGTCGGCCAGGTTCGCCATCGACCGCGCTGGCGAGTGTAGGGTTGGCACCCTGTTCGAGCCTTGATACACGAATTATTGTACGTATACTATCGTTTCGTTTACTTCCTGTTTCGGTCCGTCATCAGCTGCGGCCGCATTCTATGTTAGGTACTAGATTACTTACTTACACATGTGCATTCTGCATGTCTAGTTACATGTAGTACAAGTATATATAGTACCTACATATCTACCTACAATAACAAGAAGTACAGTTTCCCCCTTCCCTCCGTTGCGTTGCGAAAGTCGAGTCCAGCAGTCGCACGCGGCGCTGCTTGGTCGCGTTTCTGTCCTCCGTTCCGTTCGTCACGTGGCGTTCGGATCGCGTTTATTCGTTCCTTCTTACTTCGTCTTTTGGTGGGAACACACCCTTCCCAGTCCTCGCATTCACATAGCGAATTCCACTTCGCGCCTACACCGCTCTTTTACCGTCTGACCCCGCTAGCCGACACGCCCCAACGCCTCAAGCATCAGGCCTCAAAGTTCAACGTTCAACCTCAATGCGATCCATCGGGCACCAACCACAACAGCGTGCGGTCAGCCTCGCACTCGCTCTCCTTCCCCCTACCTCACTCACACATGGCCGTCTCGCTCAGCGCATACCTACTCGCGCACATCCGCACCGCCAGACCACCTCGCACTTGTGAACCCACTCGACCCAGTTCGAACCCTTTGTTTTCGTTTCGTTGGTGCTGGTCCGTGTCTTTTGTCTACTCCCCCTTCTCTTCCTCCTCTAGTGCCCCGCACTGGTAACTCCCTCCTGCAGCTGCCCACCCCTCAACGACACGGCACTCCTCCCAACGCGCGAGGGCGGCAGAGCACCCAGCCATCTCGTCCAAGTGAGTGAATAGATTCCGTAGGTTGCTTCCCCGCTACCCACCGGCGTTCGTGTGTAGGTTTGTAGGTTGGGCGTGGGTGTACGTTGGTTGGTTGGTTTCGCGTAGGCTTCACGTTTCCGTGTCTTCGTTTCGTTTTTCATTTCGTTACGCTCTGGAGTCTGTTTCCTTTCTATCTATTCCTCCTCTTCATCCATTATGTTCGCCCTCTCTCTTCTTGGTCTATCGCCTACACCTTTCCCTTCCGTCGTGTCTCTTCGTCCTTTAAGCTTCAAGACCTCATGCACATGTCCGGCGTTTCCGTTCTGCGTGTCTCGTGTCTCGCGTTCTGCGGGTTTCCTGCACGCCACATAGGATAGGGCTCGTCCATCCCAGCCCCAGTCGGCGGAAGTGGAACGGGGAGACGTCGGTGTCGTCTCTCTCGCGCTCCTTCGTCCTCTTTCTCTCTCCCTTTCTTTCTCATTCTACCTAAAGTTCTCGTTCTCGTTCACCCCCCTCGTCTTTCTTTGTTCCTCGTCGCTCTCTAGTCGTTCGCCACCTCGCCACCTGCACTCTTCTATCTTCCCTCTCCTCATGCCATGCGACAATGAATGCCCGCAACGATGATTTGCGACCTGCCAACAGAGCTCGTTCTAAACATACTCTCGCATTCTCCCTCCATTCGCTATGCAACCACAATGTGTCATGTGACTGACCAGCCGGTATAGACGAAGGGTCCAAACTCCGTCCCACGACTCATCCACCCGCTCGTCCCTAAGGTATGTGTCCAGGGTTACCTGCTTTAGTCATGGATGAGGAGCACTCATACTAGGCGCGACCCCACCATGATCAACGATCTGCCAAGTGAGCTTTTTCTCAACGTACTCTCGCATTCTCCAATCAAAACCGTACATTTGCTACGCCTAGTATGCCACCAGATGAACGACCTCATCCAAGCACAGGAAACCTGAATCTACCACAACACCGCCGTCTTTCTTGGCTTTGTGCCTGTGGACACCCATTACAATGAGATATACTCGTCACAATTACTTGTCGGCGTAGACGGGTGGAAGTCATCCTGTGTGTATTTCCCTTTCTTGCTCATGTGCGTGTTATCTGATGCTTTCAAGGCCAACGACGCCTTTTCATTGCCCAAGGCCGGCTTGGGCGACAACCATTGACGCTTCGTCAGCATAGCAGCACCGCAGCCAACTCTCACGTCCATCGGATCAACGAACGCAGGGGATTCATCGTGTCCACCTCCAGTGAAGGCTCACTGAATGTTACTTATCTGGCTACGGGCGAGACATTATCGTCACTCGATAAGGTGTGTTCTCATTCACTTCATAAACCCAATTCATTTTTTGTTCCAGGAACTCAACTATGTACGCCGATTTGTACACTGTGAATAAGAAGAGGGATTCGTCGTGTTTGACCAGGACGATAGGTCAAAGGAGGTCTGGGGCATTGCCAGCGAGTACGATACATCTCCGCCACCTGCGCTCTCGCTTCCTGATTCCCGCCAACTCGACGCCTACGCGCGTGCTTGCGCCCTCTATCCCGCGTCGCGCGCACACTTCCGGCCGTGGCTTCTCCTGCACACCCCGTTCGACACCCACGCCTACCGCTTCGTCTAATCCTCCCTGATCGTCTCTGGGCTCCGCGAAGCCGTCATATTCGACGTGCTCATGGGCGTGCGCATGCAGCGTGTCGACGAGCTGCAAGATCCGCCATATCTCCGTATGCACAGCTTCGAGAACATCGCGGTGCACGACGTGGGTCTGAGCGCACAGCACGTACTGGTGTGCTGCGCGCCGTCACTCAAAGTGTTCTCCCGCACGACGGGCGACCGCGAATTTGAGATCGGGTCGCACGAGATTCTGTACAGTCAGCACTGCTTCCGATTGATACCCGACGATGTGCAGGCGGCCCCACACACGCACCCTCACTCGGAGCTGGTGGAATGCTGCAAGCAGCAGGAGACCTATACGAGCTTGCCGCGCGGACGGCAGTTTGACCATTTTGTTGCAGGTGTGTGTTCGCTTTGTATGCGTGAATACCACAGAAGATTTTCGAAGCACCCTCAGCGATTGAGGCGCTTAGTAGCAGAGAGTTTTGTACTCCTTAGTGAGGATCCTCCTCTCCCTTCAGTACTGCACATCACTCACCCGACGGCACTCGTACAGCTCTCCTAGCCCAAAATACTACCTATCTAAGCGTAAGTCCCATAATATTTTGGAAGAAGTCAACGTCGCTTATCTCGCACGCGCACGCGCACAGTGCTTAACATCCTCTTCGCGCAAGCGTTGACTAATCACCTTCCACCCACCCACCCCACAATAACCGCCAACTGCATCAATCCAGGATTTTGCCACTCAGAACTTGCTCGTGGAGTGTGGAACCCTGTTTTCTTGCTATTCCGCTTTCCACTTGCGAGGCCGGCGGAAGAGGGTGCACGCCAACTCATATGGGGGTCAGTGGGCGTGCCAGACGAGTCCCAGGGTGGCGTAGAGTCGCTCAAAGGAGCCTACGTCCATTTTTCGAAAGTCACAGAGCCAAGTGACTTTGTTATTAGTGATGTAGGTGCGAAATCGTATTCGCTGGTGTGAATGCGAGGACTGGGAATGGTGTGTTCCCACCAAAAGACGAAGTAAGAAGAAACGAATGAACGGGATCCGAACGCCACGTGACGAACGGAACGGAGGACGGAAACGCGACCAAGCAGCGCCGCGTGCGACTGCTGGACTCGACTCAAACGCAACGCAACGGAGGGAAGGGGAAACTGTACTTCTTGTTATTGTAGGTAGATATGTAGGTACTATATATACTTGTACTACATGTAACTAGACATGCAGAGTGCGCATGTGTAATCTAGTAAGCTAGTACCTAACAATGAATGCAGCCGCAGCTGATGACGGACCGAAACAGGAAGTAAACGAAACGATAGTATACGTACAATAATTCGTGTATCAAGGCTTGAACAGGGTGCCAACCCTACAGTGAGAAAGGACAAGAGTTCAAAGATATACTCTGGGTAAGAAATTTACGACTCTGATGTCAACGGATGGTTGACGGGCAGCTGCTTCTTCTTAGAGCGATACAGTAAAGATCCTTTCGAAGGTTGACCCTCGGGTTCAGTTGATTGTCGACCGTTACCTGCGGCATTAGACGTTGATTAGTGGGATGGTCCTGCAAGCAAGCCTCCAGTCTTGAGCGTATGATCAATTTCTTATTACGCACCCTCTTCGATTTTTATCTCCATATCCATCATTAATGCCCTTTGTCATTGGATCTTATTTGAAGTCCTTCTGAGCCCCCTTTATCGGCCGGCAGAGCTCCATACTGCGCTCGCGCCGCTCACACCATGTGTCATACACGCTCTTACAAGCCTCCCGAGTTTTGAAAGCCTTCCATTTACCCATCGTTGGCCGATCCCGGTGCAAGCAATTCTTGCGACCATTGGTTGACACGTACTCTCGGAATGCTTGAACTATCGGATCCTTTTGGGAACCTTACATCTTGCCCAGTGCCATTGCACAGACTCCCTGATTTGTTTGGCGCTACACCAAGGTGTCATCTGAGACTTGGCCGCTCCTTTGCCATCGGGTCCTCGGAGGCTCTCCTCAACTTGGTAATGTTGACAACACTTGATGTTTGGAAGTGGCATTCATTCAATTGAACCTAGGATTCGGTGACAACTAGTGAGGTACTCTATCACTCGCGAGCGTTCATGACCTGATCATGAGTCACCTCTATTCTCAAAGCACCCCCGGTGTTTGCATTTCACCGTAAACAACATATCGTCAATAAGACGATTTAGTCCCTTGAACTTCCATTCCTTCGGTTGAGCTCTTGACCGCCTTTCAGCCGCTGTGGATATTTTCGTTCCTGGCTAGGAGTCGAGCACGGTATCTAATTCACCCTTGATCTTGGTCTCCACCTTTCCTCCCTTCAAATGGTCGACTGTGCATGTTCCTGAGGGAAGTCTGCTAACCTCAAGCAGATTTTTGTCCGGTCTTTTCAACTCGTACCTGAGATGGTTCCTTCATGATTGAGAATACTTTCTCATGACAATGTCATGAACAGCTTCTAGCACCTGCCGTCTTCTATTCTTGCAGACTTCCATTCAACCGATCCCGGTGAGCGCTTGATCTATCTAATGCTGACTCCCTGGACCTTTAAGAAGCTTCACATGCACGAGCATCTTCCTGCCCACAGCTCGTCTCCAGCAGTTCACAACCATGGAAGAGTTCCTCAAATTCCCTCCCAGACTTGCTCCGCACCCAGTCGCTCCGTCTTATACGCAGCGTGATCGTCCCTTATCTTACCAGCCTTGCCTACACGAAGTCAACACGGCACCATTCAATAACTACGGGTATCCAGAGCCAGGCATTCAAGTATGTGGCATATATGCATTCCCTTTGTAGCGAGGATCTTGATATTTCGTTCTATAGGCTCCCACCGCTAAGCAAGTCATTGCGAAAGACTTCTTAATGTCAGACGAGACATGGGAGGACCTTTGCAGACGAGGTGACGTAGACTTCATTGTTATTGGCTCAGGCGTGAGTATCATGTAACGACAACGACTGATTGCTTACCTTCTTGGATTTCTAGTTCACCGCGCTTGCATTTATTGAACAGACATTAAAGCAAGATCCGTTCAAGAGGATTGTCTGTCTGGAACGTGGAGGTAGGTATCGAGTTCAATCATATATCCATCATCCAAATCGTCTAATTATGCAACCAAAAGACTTTTGGCTTCCGGATCACTTTCAGAACCTTCCGCTTCCATTCAAGTACACGCTCGGTGGTCCCAGCGAAACATTCCCCTTCATGCTATTGCGGGACACCTTCCAAAGCGATGTCAAATTTGTCCACGGTTCGACACCGTTCTTTGGAGGACGCTCTACATTTTGGTCTGCCTGGTCCCTGCGCCCAACCCCTGAGCTAATGAGGAATTGGCCCGATTCCATGGTCAACACGTCAAAAGAGCCAGCGTTCTGGGACAGATGCAATAAACTCCTTCGTGTGACTGGTGCAGATGAGATTGGAGAACCGTACGGAACTTTGCAGTCGCAAATCAACGACCATATGGAAAGGGGACTAGACAAGATGCGGACTGCAGATGAAGCCTATCCTGCACCTTTGGCTGTATCGTCCATGGCAAAGACATCGACAATACGGTTCACCAAGTTTTCGACTCCTGGCCCTCTGTTGAGCTTGTACAAGAAACAGCAACAGCTCGCCAAAGAAGGAAAGGGGGCCCCTCTCCTGTTCGCAACGGATACTTCTGTGGAATATCTAATGACCAGTGTTGGGTTTCCTCCGCCTCCTCCTGCTGGCGACGATGTCTCTGTTGTCGCCATCCGCTCTTCTCGCTCCACCGATTTGCCTGTGAAGCAGGAAACCCAGGTCATTCTCTGTGCCGGGGCATTTCCCAGTACAACATTGATACTGAACAGTTTCCCGGACAATGTGGAACTTCAACGTACCGCAGGTCGGACTATGACTGGTCACTTCTTAAGCCACATCGTAGCTCGGGTCCCCCGAAGCTTGTTCAGGCACCTCAATCCCGATAGCCTCGAGATTGCAGCTGAGTATGTCGCCGGCAGGCACCCCGATAATCACCTTCAATACCACATCCAAATCACCGCAATCTCATCTCCCGACCCCAACCAGGATGCTGAGGACGCTGCTCGGTTCTGTCCAGTACATCTTTCCCCAAGCATTGGTTTTTGTTCTACAATGTTGATGCCATTCTAGGACTATGCAGCTGCTGCAAGCAAGGAGCAACTCAGAGGATCTGAGGACTACGTAATATTTGGTAGGCTCACATTTGGTTGAGTGTTGTCACTTCGATAACCCGTCGAGATAGTTTGCGCAACGCTAGGAGAACTGAGCGAAGACAATGAGTCGTCTTTCTTCAGGCTCAACAAGCTCAACACCAACAAGGATCCCACTGCCAATTGTGTCCTCCAAGTCCTCCTCACTCAGAAAGATAGGGATCTGTGGGATGTGATGGACAACGCTACCTTCAAGGCGATTGAGGTGCTGGCTGGTGAACGGCACACAGACGACATTGAGTGGTGGCACGAACCCAAGGGAGCCGGTAGTGGTGAGTGGAAGGCGTACAGGCCTGGTAACGATACAATCAGGATGGACGGCATCGTGCACGAAGCATCATTGCTACCTCTAGGTGATGGGGAGGACGCTTGCGTTGATAACAATTACAAGCTGAAGGGAGTGAATAATGTGGTGGGTATAGACATGTTGCCTTCCACGTGCACTCCACTGACGTCTCTTGCAGTATCTGACTGGGGGAGCATTGTTCCCTACCGCTGGCTCTTGGTATGTTTGTATCTCCCTCTTGCCTTCGCTAGTAGTTAAGCCAGCCAATAGGAACCCCACATTGACGATGTGCGGCTTTGCACAAGACCTCGCTATAAAGCTGACACCCAAAGAAAATCGAGCGAGGTAGATCGGCGCACTGACGAAGTCATGCAGGGCCAGGCGTATACGTCCATCTGATACATAAAATCACACTCACTAAAGCCAGCGGTTGATACATCAATGACCCCAATCAAGGTAGGACTCAGTGATGTATCACTCGGTGACCCGGCGATGTATCAACTAGACAGGCCACGTGTGCAGCTCGCTTCTGTGGCTCGTGCACAGTGCCTAGCGTCCTGGTCGTTTAGCGTGCCCCGTTCCGCCATCCTCATCAGCGCCCCCCATTTGCCACCCGCCCTTCCACCCGCCCTCTTGACCTGAAAAAGCCGTGGGTATGCATCGGAACATCCGAGATCTTCGACTCCCCACTTTATTTAGAATGCAATCGTGTCATTGGTGATGTGAGATCTCGGCTGTCACACATGTACTGTGAGATGGAAGAAGCCTTGATCCCTCTTCCCTCGTATGTTTGTGACATATGGCCCGTCAAATAGAATCCCTCAATTGTCAGCATACCATTAGCTACACAAGCAACATTATGATATTATGTGCAACATATGCACCATCCAACTATTGAGCTAGTGCATGAGGCTTTCGCGGCTCTGGATGAACATGACAGTGTGTACATGTTTTTGGTATGTCTTTTATATGTTTTCCACATATAATTTGAGGTTCTACACTCTGTAACAATAGATGAACTATGAGGGTACATTTGGCAACATGCAGTGCCCTCGCAATGGTGCGTAGAAGAGTATCGAGCCTACTGAGTCGAACTTGCCACCTTGGGTAGGCGCTCAGGACTTGTACATTTTGCATTTGACACTAAGCGCTGGTCGACTTAGGATCGAGTCCCACGTCCTGTTGATACACGTCCTATTGATACATACTATACCTTAACATAGCCCGCTGGTGATACATCAATTACTTAGTAACATGTTAGTCAATGCTCATTTTAATTCTGGTATACAACATTGACTACGACAAGAACAATGATAACAAGAAATAACTATATACATATAAGCACGAGTCCATACATAGGCTAGCAGTAATACCAGGTCATTTTGGCGCACGATTTTGTTTTCCGCGACTTGGTGCGATGGCCTCGACTTTGTCACGGCTCTTGGTTTTTCGAGCACGCTTCCCGTGAATAATGAAGGCCGTATCTATGTTATCCCTTGTCCTCTTACGGGTCCCATTTCCAGAAGCTGACTTGCTCAGGACTTGAGGAGTGGGTGGAGTTGCCTGCGACCCGGAGCCAGAAGACAGCAGCATCTGCAGGCCCATCGGCAACAGGCGGCGTAACTGGTGCGTGGGACTCAGGCGGTGTTAGCTCTTGGGGCTCTGAAGGCGCGATAGGTCCATCAGTGGTAGGCGGCGTTGGCGGGGGAGACATAGGTGGCATTGGCAAGCTGGCAACGGGGGGCTCTTGGGGACCAGTGGGTAGTTGTGCATCTGCCGCCAAATGGTCGTGAGCGAGGATATTGCTCAGGGCATTTGCGTCCGCGATTGGGGTGTCACTAGCCGTGTGGGTTGGATGACAGTCCGGTCCGACGAGTTCTGTAAGCTGGCGTAAGATATCCTCAGGAAGGGGGGCAGCGAGTTCGTCAACTAGCGACAGGTAACCCCCAGGGGGAGAGATCTTTTCCAAAGCTCCATCGAGCTGCTCGAAGGACAAGTCACCTGGCCCGAGAAGGTTGAGTTCTTCAAACGAAAAGTCGTAATCAAAGTCTGATGTGGGGTGAGGAAGTGACACCATGATAGGAGTAGCAGCACCACACGAAACATCAGGGGTTGCCACCCCAGTTGGTAGAGTAGATGCCGCAACTTGCACTAGGGGGTTGGTCGCCGCATCTTGTAGAACAGCAGGGATTGATTCAGATACAGGCACATCAACGTGAAGGGATAAGTCGGGGGGTCCGGATCGGTTTTCCTCGGGATTGATTTGGATAGGGAGTAGAGAGCGTGCAGCACATTCCGAAGGAGCTACAAACGAGATGAGAAAAAACGAGGGGAAGGCTAAGATAACACGCACTGTACACTGAACGAAGAAACACGGCATAAGGGGACACAATTTGCTGGAGAAAGTTAGGCATAGCCTTTCCGAAGTGCATGCCTGCATGGTTCTTCCCGGAATGCACACTGTCGTATACATCAGTTAGTTGAACCATGCGTCAATGTGTCAAGACGTACAAGAACGTCCTAATCTGCCCTCGATTATTGGGATCCGGCCCACCTGCGAGGAGCGTGAAACTCCATCCTGTCATTGAGCTAAGGAGATCGCTGAAGGCGTCGAAGTGAATTGAGATGTCCTCAATGGCACTGAGAGCTTCTTAGCATGGAGCATGAACAAGAAACGGAGGATGATGAGACTTACGCAGCATACGCGCTAGGGGTTCCTGGTTCAGCTGCTTCATCTTTCTCCTTCTGCCGCCTATCGTACTCAGCTATAACCTTGTCTTTGATATTGTCCTTTTCTAGCTTCCATCTCGCGGTAGAGTATATGCGTAACAAGCGTAGGAAGACACCACGAGAAGGCTTCTTGCCTTTAAGAATTGTGAGCCGTCGCATTTCGGCTTGGACAAGAGGAGCAATGCGCTGAGCATAGTAAAGCTTGGTGTACAGCTGAACAAGTTGTGGTCGACGTGTTGGGCGGGCTTTCTTCACGGCTTGAGCGATAAGTCGACCATACGGGTTTGCACGGTTTTTTTTCCCAGAGTGGTTAGGGTACCAGCACCTGAGGTACTAAAAGTAGATTGTCAGGGTCGTTGAATAACGTGAAGGATGATGACACTCACTTTGATACGGGCCGCAATGGCCTCAGCATGAGCGGTTGCCCTTTCCTCCTTGTCTGTGATTGTAGTGTCTTCTTCTTCAGCCCACTTGTGGAACCATGCTCCTTGCATCTCGAGCCAAAACTTGTCTAACCTTCCTATCTTTTGTGCCTCAAGGTACGCGTTCATTAGACTGAACAAGAAGGTCTTTTGCTCAGCTGATACTTTATCGGGGGGTGCCATTACCGTGAAGCTTGAAGTTTGTGGAGGTGCGCTTGAGTTTGCAGTTGTCGATGTAGTGAGTCAGTTGACTAGTTAAGGTGCATTTTTAGACTTTCCTCCCACCGTCCACCACCACGGCAAAATGCGTACAACTGCCCATTTTTTCATTTGCGAGGCATCGAGCAGCCTATATAAGACAATTCACCTACTGTATTGCATTAACGTTCAGTGCCCTGCAAGCATGTCGACTACTATCAGCCCTCGCGACCTCTCGAATTTAGCCGCCCTGCTTGCACAGCACAATTTGTCTCTCCCCCCTCAGCTCGCTGCTCTGGTGGAACCAGCGCCCACTCCTGCAGTCCCCACTGCCGCTGTTGCTGCACCCGCCACCGCTCCCACTCCTGCTGTTCCAGCAGGTACCGCCGCTGCACCCGTTTCGCCTGTCCTAATTGTGGGCACCGACGGCATGACTGACGAAGACACAGGTCCAGAGGTTGAGCCCGTTGACCTTGGTAAGTCATTTCAGCATGTATTCACGCTTTAAATTGACTGATTTCATTCACCAGGCCATATCCGTTGTACCAACTGCAGCGCAACCCTTGTGCTTGAGGTCTTGCGTGCGGATGCATCTGACGCACCACGGTCTGCCACACCCTCCAAGCGCTGGTACTCCATCACTGTTGGCCGCCAGATTGGTGTATTCCATGGCGTATGGTATGTCCTAGCTGTAGTGTCCCTCTTGCTTTACTCACAGTTTCGTTAGGGAGGATGAATTTAAACACCTTGTCGACGGTGTGCCTTACTGGGCTGCACGTCGTTGTGCCAATGAGCCTCAAGCCCGCTCCCACTTCAAGGCTGCAGCTGACAACGGAAGGACCTTCGTCCATGTCGATGGTTAGAGCTGGCGCTGGTTGAGTCAATTTCGTAGTTGGTATTCCCTAGCGCCATCTGTACCCAAGTGCCGCAAATTATGTGATGATCATGCCCTGCTCATAAAGTGTGACTAGTTGACTACTCGAGCGACTGGAACATCAGCTGAGATGCCCGGTACATATCTACAACCTCACTGTATCCACATAAGGAATTGCAAATGATGTCATCGACACACTGCAGCGCCTCATGAACCTGCTTCCCCACACTTTCTGCTGCTCTATACTCATTTGCCACACCTACTAATTGTAGTAGCCCTGCTTCACAGCGTTGAATGGTTTTTTGCAAGCCAGTGAACTCGAGCACTGCGTCACTGAGTATGTCCTTTCTCCGGCTAATGGCATATCGTTGGTATAGTCGTTCAACGTATGCTCGCGTGGAGGGTTTTGTCACCGCTTGGAATTTATCTGATACCTGTTGTACTAAGGCCAACCATTCAGGAATCGTCTCAGGGTCAAGGCTATGAATCATCAGCAAAAGCCTCGGGTAGTTGGGATAGAAACTCACCCAAGTGGCCCCCTGCGCCGCGAGGCTCCTGGTATCAGTCTGTTATGGCTATGCGCAGAAAGTGGTCAAATCTCATCCCTATATTGCACTAAAGACATGTGCATACCCTCTTGTCTCTGCACGATACCGTACCACCTTCTTAGCCCCGATGCTTAATTTATGTCTAGACCACTTAGTGTAAGACAGACCAACCAGAATAAGATCAAGTATACCTTCTATAGCTACGTCTGCTTTTGGCTCGATTGGCTTCCATTCTTTCCTCTTCTGTGTGGTAGACTTTGGGTCGACCAGGTAGTCGTGAAGTAGCAGGGGGAGATTGAGCGGGACTGACTTCCTGCCTTGTACGACGTCCGAGTCTAGGCAGCCACTCAGTAAGACACCATAGAAAGTGAGGCATTGAACAGAATGCATACTTGTCATAACTCCGTTTGCTTTTCGCTCTATTGGCTGCAATCTTCTCCTCTTCAGTGTGGTGAATTTGAGGGCGGCCGCGACCCATTGCGACGTATGGCACTTGGAAGGTTGTCAGGGCTGCAAAGCGTGAGTTGAAAGCGTGGAACAGTCCTGTCTGACCTTTACCTCAAAGTCTGACCTTTATTCATAGCAACACAACCAGGTCCGTTGGAGACGTAGAAAAAACAATGTTCATGTCTGGTACTATTATTCTTCAAACCAGGCTTGTTAAAATGGTAGATTTATTGGATTATCATGGGTACGAACAATAATATACTGAACCCCCTGAGTCGCGTGAGACAAAGTTCCTTACCATTTATAGTGACCCAGGGTTTGATCTATCTTTGTTCTTCCCTGAATCCTTGACTCGGTGAGTAAACATATCCCCCCGGTTGATCACCGTAATCTCCGTCTGACCTACAAATTTAGTTGGCCAACCGGCAATGAATGGTCTTCCAGAAGAAAAGAATGTGTTTGCAATCTCTCTTCTCCCTTGGTACCGCACCGCAGTGAAACAGCACGAGGAGGGGGAATTTTTCTCTGCAGTGTGGCTCCTTCTCTTCGACCGATTCCCCTCTCCGCCTGGAGACCCAATGACACCAGAGTATCAACTTACTACTCGCATTGAAATGGATGTAAGTGCCGTTCCGCTGGGATAAGGCATGCTCTAATTTAGCGCAGGAGTTTGAGTTAGCAGTCATGATATATGGCTTCCACCCAGATTATAGGGATGTTCCGCCTTCCAAAGGGGATTGGAGACCTCACATTGAACTTCCAGCTGATCGTAAACGACGGGTATGTCATATACCACGATGTCTGTTCATTGAACTGACTCATTTCCTCCCATAGCGCAAGGAATGGCGGGCTAGAAATGCGGGAGAACCTACAGAACATCAGTATATTGTAGCTTTCGAGGACTACGACGATTTAATCTTGGAGGCTGAGTACACTGACCTCGAGGGCTACTTGTACTACTAATTCAAGTATTGTCGTCAGTCGTAGTAATCGATTGTGACCGTGTGAGCAAAATGCTTACTGTGGGAACAAAATTACTGATGAACACCACCGATTGAGTCTCAGACGTTCAAACTATTACCCTTTGTTAGTCCGTTGGTCGCCCAATTGAATGAGGCCCTTGCCTACTTTATAAACCTCGAGGGGATGGACGTAGGTGAGCAACAATGCGCCGTCCTAAACGACTAGCAGTTGATATTGACTACCTTGAAGACTTGCAGCCCGATGCCCATCCACAACCTGCACCCATTCACCGTCATACTGACTACGCTACCCACTCCAGGGGAATCAGCTCTCGACAATCATTCCTTACAATTGACGAGCCGCCAGCGACTCAGACGACGGAGCCCACCTCACTGCCAAATCCGCCACCTGACCAACATCTTGTATCCCAGGATGACCACAGCCAGTTCGAACCTATCGACTACAATGACGACATGCACCTGGCCGACCCTATGCTTAAAGCGCGGATGCGCAAGCGCACGTTTGCTGGGGCAAGTAAATAGGTCCTCAATTTTTGATTGTTTCTCATGAACAGCGCACAGGATAATCCCATGCTGGTTTGGATGGACGAGCGGGATGAATTCGTCCAAGAGTTCCTTAGGCTAGAGGCTCCCGAATTTGAGTGGGCCGAATGTGCTTCGCCTGATTGCCCCAACCCGCCACTATACCGGTGCCCCCAATGTTCAGACGTTCGCTTGTTCTGTCATTCGTGTATTGTACGGATGCATCTTCCCAGCCCTTTTCACACAGTTGAGGTACGCAGCCCAACCATGCCGCTTGCTCCTCAGTTGACAGTTCTAGTAGATATGGAACTCCCGCTTTTTCGAACGCCGTACTCTGCGATCTCTGGGCCTTTGTATTCAACTTGGACATGCCATAGGACAACAATGTCCCAACCCAACACCCCTTGGAAAGGAAGGGTTCACCGTTATCTCTTCGCATGGCATTGTCGTTGTCAACATGGTCTTCTGCAACTGTAGCAATAATCTCTCAAAGCCCGTTCAGCTTCTCCGTGCACGTTTATTTCCAGCTACCACCATCAGTCCTCACACTGCAGCGACATTTGAAGTGCTGCGGCTATTCCAACTACTTACCTTTGGCTCGAAAGTATCCGGGTTTGAATTCTACCAATGCCTTGTGCGACTCACGGATAACCTTGGCAATGTGGTTGCGGTAAGTTGATTCGTTGCATCATTGTAAACTCATCTTAGTTCACCCATAGGACCGCTATAATATATTTATGCGCATCGTTCGCCAATGGCGTCATATCCGAACAATGAAACGCTTTGGCCGCGGCCATGATCCGAGTGGCATCGAAGGCACGAGCGAAGGCGAATGTGCGGTCCTATGCCCAGCCTGCCCTCATCCTGGAAAAAACCTCCCGAGCGACTACAGCAGTGTTCCTGCACAAAAAAGGTGACCTGAAGTCTGTAACCAACTCTCATGAAAACTAACGCAGCTACTGTTTTATTAGGTGGATCTACTCACTATTTTTGGCTATCGACGCCAACTTTAGGCTCAAACGCTTGTCAGCTTCCAGCGATATCCGGGATCCTGGCCTTAGCCGCGGCTTTGCTTACTTCGTCGAGGAAAAGAAGTACAAGGAATTCCTTTCAGCGTACACGGACCTGGTTGTCCCGGAGGCCAGTACATGTAGTGACTACGATGCTGTCAAGTTGGCGAGCATCCGAGGTGGGAAAGGTGTCTCGGCAAGTGGCGTGGGGACAATAGAGTGTGCCCGCCATGACATGAAACGTCCACTATCTGTAGGCGACTTGCAACTGGGAGAAAAGTAAGTCCACGGATATCAACAATTGTGGCAGTTCTGATGGTTTACTTAGATATGTCAATATGGATTACCTGTACTTCTCAAGTATCCGAAATCACTCGCCATCATCCTGTTTTGTCTCTTATGACATCGCTTGTCAATGGACACGCAAGTTAGGTAACCGTGTGGCAGTCTACCCAGACAACGTCGTTGGTCCATGCTTCGCCGAACTCAGCATCAGCTACCTCGTGCCTAAATTTCATATCTACGCCCACCGTAGTGAATGTCAATACAAGTACTCATTTAACTTCACACCTAATGTCGGTCGAACGGATGGAGAATTGCCTGAGCGTGGCTGGGCCGCAATGAATCCTGTATCTAGTAGCACAAAGGAAATGGGCCCAGGGTCACGGCGTGATACTCTCGACGACCATTTCGGCGATTACAATTGGCGGAAAGTTATTTCCCTAAGTAGGTTCTTCCCAGTCAACTTTAATGGACATTACTAACACTAACATGTAACAACTACTGTCTAGGTACATCACTTCTTCGCAGGCTCCAAGAAGCTGTCCAAATGCGTGCCGAACACGTTAGCGCTTTCAAGGCGTTCAGTGATTCCCTACCTACCAACGCCACACTCGCATTCTCCCGCATGGTATGGGACTTCGAATCCAGGCGATCGACAGTCAATCCATATGAGCCAAAATTAGCTATTGAATCACAGGCAAAAGTTCGCTTGAAGCTCGCAGAGGAAGATGCTGCTGCCATTGCTCAAGATGACAATATGACAATCCACGAGACTGTCTCCCCGAGCGTGTTGATATCGCAAGGGCTCGAGCTACAGGATCAGCAAGTCCGCCTATCGATAGACGCCAAGTCTCTGGGGCCACATTCCACTGAACTTCAGAAGTCTCAGCTTGTTGAACGCCGAACTCGTCTCCAGCGGCGCATAGTAGCATGGTGTCGAATACAGGAACTCTACATGCCTTGTGTTGTCCCTCTACGTAACAGAGCCGAAGAAGCCGCGGGAGGAAGCTCAAACGCTGAACATATCAAGCTTTTCCTTCCTTCGGACGTGATCAGATCAGCACGCTTCGACTACCAGCTAGCGAGGTATGAATGGCGTCTCCGCCATGGTCAAGCATTTGACGATCTGGCTGAGCTTCGCCGCCACCTCCTTGTCCTGAGTACCATGTACCAGTCCAAGGACAGCTATGTTCGCGGTCAAAAGAACAATACACGAAGTGTCACCCTAATTAAGAATGTTCAAGGCCGCATCAATTACGTTGCTCAAAAATACCGAACCTGTCGGTCGGCGCTTACCCTACTCAGCGGTCCTTTGGAAGAGAACGGATGGGAGCGCTCGTTGCAGCCACTATTGGATACAGACATCCGTAGTCTCAGAGAAGGAGAGGACGCTTCCAGCTCCGAAGGGCGGCGGCAGTTGTCATGGATATGGTCGACTCAACGAACAAGTGACGCGGAAATCACTGAGGGCATGAACGAGGGTACGTTGTATTGTTTCCCAGCCCCACACAAGCTGACAGACTCAGCCCTACGAATCGAGTGGTGCAAAGCAAGAGCCCGGGCACAGCGATGGCAGGAGGAATGTATCCTCTTGCAAGAAGAGATGCGGCGAGTGATTGCGTTTCACGAATATTACGGTGACCTTTGGAAGACTCGTGCCGAGATGGTCACAGCCAAAGGCACTCAAGCATACGCATGGCGGCAGCGGCAGACCAGACTTACTTTGATAGCACACTGCAAGCGCACTTGGACCGGAGTCGAGGCCTTCGTACGGGCAGGGGAGGGTGAAGTGTCGGCTGGGGAATCTTTGGTAGAGACTCATACACGTGCCACTTAATTCCATTGATTCTTCTGCTTCTTGTCGTTCGAGTGCAAGGTCTAAACAAAGGAGTGTTATATCTATTAACAATGGGATCTAGGTACACAATCTCCCTTATTTTGGTGGTGCTTGAAGTGTCCGATTGACTATCTGATCCACACCATAGAAGGGAACAGCGCACACACGAGGCATTTGGGCTACGGGCATCAACACGAGGAACATCGACGAGCAGAGCGGGCGGTCGGGGCCAACAGTGACCCTAGAGGGTGGGAACTTTCACTTGCTTCTCAACGTTTAAGGCAGCTTAAGTAATCAGCTACAGACGATTTTATGTAAACCATAAGGCGATCAGATTTAACTTTATGTTAAATCGTCACATGTGTGACCTAAAAGTGTGATGCTGACATCATCTGAGTGATCGGAACCCCATCATGAGTTACCGATTTCCCTTGCTCGTCCCGCTCAGCGACTGAACTACTGATTCTCTGTGGCTCACCAACGGGGCCTCCCAGTTCACTTTGTTCAGTTCAAGCAGCGGTGGTCGGACTTGGTCAATAGACCTTTTTTGACGCTGTTGCTTCAACAACTGTGTGTTACTGCCGTAGCCCATGCCTCCCAAACGTTCGGCCAACCAGGCCCCATCCACTCCAACAAAGCGTCGGACCCTAGTGTCAGCCTTACCTCCAACTCCAGTCACACCGTCTTCCAAAATCACCAAAGAACCGGCTCTTCCGACTGTCGAGCAACTTCTGGGTCAAAGCAAAGTGACAACGGACCAGTGGTATCGCTCAAAAAGTACTCGAGAGGGATATGCAAATTATGTCAAGGCCGGAATCTTGTGGTTGGAAAACTGGGTTAAAGATGCAGCCAGTGCTGAGAAGGACGACAACACCACTAATGAAATTTCTGAAGATACCCAGGCTCCTGACGTAGCTTTGAAAGGCGCATTTGAAGTCATCAAGGAGGAGACACCCTTGGCTCTACGCTTATTCATTACCTATAAGTGTGATCATCAAGGACGAGGGTTTTCCACTGCCGAAGGGACTCGCTCAGCGTTCAAGAACTACTTCGAAAGGCGAGTAGAGGCGAGTGTTGAGGTTCCTTTGCTTACGCTGATCAGCAATACCAGGGTGTTGGGTTGTCAAGGAGAAGGCTGGCGGTTCAATGCACATACAAGGACTTGGGAGGGCAACCCTGTCTTTCAGACCGACTTCAAGGTGTATTTTGAATCCCTCAAGAATCGCCAAAACCGTACTGCTACAGCTACTCAGGCCTTGCCAATGTTACCAAAAGATATGAAGATCATCATGGATTACCTTGATAACGAAACCTCTATTGGAGACGTCTCAGATATTCAGAAGGCCTACTTTAAAGCCTTTGCAACCACAGCATTCAAATTATGGACCAGGTATGTCATTATCTTCCACGGGTATCTAGCGTCAATGAACACGTTACAGAAATGAAGAGCTAGTCAACTTCCAGTATGGCGAGCTGACACCACACCAGATCTCCAGCTCAGGCCAGCAGTATCACAACTTTCGTCTAATATTTCGGAAGACCAATAAGGATCCTAACAACGGTGCGTCATAGGCTGACTATTTCACATCTTATCTAACTTATAAACCGTGCAGTTCAAAATTACATGATTCCGTCACAGAGTGACATGCCTGAGATCGATTGCTATGCACATATCTCTGCTTGGCTAAAGGTTCTTCGATCTCATCTTCAGCGACCTTTGAAAGCAGATGATTATCTGTTTCCAGCGTTGGCTTCAACTGGAAAGCTCAAATTAGGCGAACCTATGACACGCGCTGGAATAGAAAAGTTACTTGATCTTATTGTGGCCAAGTCTGGGGTTTTGAACGGACGCAATGGACGGTTCACTACTCATTGTTTCCGACGTGGAGGAGCACAGTATCGGTTTATGTGGGCTGAATCAAAGTGGAGTTTGAAGGCGGTGAAGTGGTGGGGTGGGTGGGCGTCAGGTGAAAATGTGAGTCTCAAGTGACTTCGGGAACTTTTCAAAGACTGATATCTGAAAGGTCGGAACAATCATGCGCTATTTACTAGATGAGCTGACAGCTTATGAAGAAGGCTTCAGCGATATTCTCATGGATGATCGAAAAAATCACCGTCATGAGAACTTTATGGGGGTGCCTGATCCATCCACTCCTGTGACGCTTCGAGATTTGGATGTTTTGGGAAGTAAACTAGGCAATCACCTAGAGTCCTTGCTTCTCAATACTCCTGGGCGTCTGGATCAATACAAGGATAGCTCTCACCGTAAGCGTGTATTCTATCTAGAAAAGTGATATACTTACTGCACCAACTCAGATAATACTCCCCCTCTACCTTCATTATTCCCAGCGTTACTTCAAGCTCAACTCTCTGAACATGCCCTCCCAACGGCAACGTCCAGCACTGATCCTCCTCCCTCACCCCCTCAAGACGATGAACCTTTAATTTCCGAGGTGGATTACGTACTTCTGGGATCAAAACCGACACGCATACCAGTTACTCATACGATGGACGACGTAATTAGGTATTGGTTATTCGGTGACCCCGCAAGAGGGCTTATTGTACCCTTGCAGCATTGGAAAGCAGCATTTTCCCCCAAGTCTTACAAATCTGAAGCTCAGAAACTCAGCAATATTCGTCTTTTATATGAAGAGTACGCAGGATACTGTGGAGGAGATCAAGAAACATTTAAAAACTACTACCCGGGGACATGGTCAAAGTTCTCTGACGCACTAAGGATAGTACGGATAGCTCGCATAGAGCGGGGAGATGCAAAGCCTAGACGTAGTAGAAAATAATATTTAGACTTGAATGACCTTGGTCGTTTTCTCAAATTTGCTATTTCCGATTCAAAGAAATTCAACCCTTTAGTAAAGAGAAATTCTTATCTTGGTGGGCTATTAAATCTACGACATCCAAGTAAGCGTTTATGGGTGGCTATGTAGCATAGTTGCCGCAGATTTAGTATTTGGATTTAACTAAGATTTAGTCTGAATGTGAGTGATGTTTGTTATATACTTTCAACCCCGACTCTCAAGTTAGATTGGGTTCATACATTTTCAACGACTATTTTGATAAAAAAAATTCTTGAACTCTCTCATTCTTTTGTATCGTTGTTGGAATGAGAAGGATAGTATATTTTGTACTGTTCTGAAGACTCAGTACTCAGTATTTTTTCTCTAATTAGTGCTCGACTTCGGTCGACCGTGGTTTGTTGCATTTACTAATCAGGAGAAATATTTGTTGTAAAATTGTCTACAATGTCCTTGGGCAGTATACATTGAGATCTAAGACAAAGGAAGGCAATATAGGAAATCTAATTCGCATTGAAGTAGGGAAATTCCAAGCCCTACTGCGAGCAAAGGCAAACCCAGGTTCTGAGGTTAGGAATACCTTGTACTTGTAAGCACGATTATCTCAGGTTTGAGCGACACAGAGAAGAACCCTTGTTAGAAAAGACAATAATCCTCACCCTGTGCGGAGGAAAATCCAAAGGTAAACAAGCAAGACAGAAACTCAGTCGTTCAAAAACAGTAAACAATAGTTGCTAATGTACATACTGGTAGTTACACCCTTGCTCGATTCTGACAGATCTACACTCCAAAGCAAATCGTAAGACTGCAATCAACCGCGCGACTGAAAACAAAGCTCGATTTCGCGTTTGCGACTGGGGAGGTCTAGCTGTGGGATTGAGGAGTGACGTGTTTTGACCTCGAGGGCGGAAGAAAGAACTGAGGTGACCCATCGGCACGTCAGCAAAGCATTTTGCCGGAACGGTGAAACGATAAAGACATACCACGGTCCGCCAAACCAGCTGGAATCTTGTCCAGCAATGCAATCAATTCGGAGGTCACGGCTGCACAAGCGTCGGCATTTTGGAGTGAATCGTATATGTCGCGAAGTCTGGCGGGGTAAATATCATGAAAGCCAGGATTCGACACATTCGAATTCACCTGGCTGCGCGGCTTGCCATCGTTGCTCTTCGGTTGCTGCGACTGACTGTGAACGACGCCAAACGACTGCAGGAGGGCGCCTGTGAGTTCTAAGTTTGACGTCGTCAGTAATGAAAGCAAAAGCAAAAGCTATCAAAAAGGTGTCAGTTTACCCACCCACCCGTTCTTTGTGCCCGTCTCTGAGTGCCGTCGTCGTCGTCGCTGCATCGACCGGTCTGGATCCCATACGTAGTCGCCGCGAACGGGAACGTCGAGGATAACCCCCGCAACTTGAGGGCCATAGCAACTGTGAGTGATCACAGTCGTCGTCGTCGTCGTCGTCGTCGTGCTCGCCATATACTGACAGCAATGTAGGCTAGTCGTACTCGTAGCCGTTGCTGTTCGTGGAAGCATGGTCACGGCCCTGTATCAGCAAAGAACCTGTCGAGTAAGTGTCCCGTCCACGACACGCTGATACCACACTCACCCTTTGCCACAGCGTCCACTCGTTGGCGATGCCGCTATGATGCTGAAATGCAGGGACGCGGGCGTATCTCCCTCGCGCGCACGCACGCGCACGACGGTCAATTCAAGGCGGGCCCGGGGTTGCACAGGACAACTATAGATATCTCGTCCTGCGCCACGTACATAGGATCGTCGGGCGCGACCGAAGCTCTTGACTGCCGCGACACGGTTGCCATTGTTATTAACGGCAGTCCTCAGCGTTGTGCGGCCACCTGCAGAGACGGCTGAAGACAAAGCGGAAACGAAGTTCGTGTTGCGGTTGCGGCCACCAGCATTGGCTGAGGCAGACGATTTAGCACTGGCTTGAGCAGAAGCACCGGCGCGAGCTCTTGAGTTGGCGGCAGCATTGGCGGAGGCCCGGGCGTTGGCGCTTGCTTGAGCAGAAGCTTTGGCGCGAACATTGGCATTAGCGTTGGACTGAGCGGCGGATTTGGCGCGGGCATTGGCATTGGCCTGAGCAGTAGACTTAGCACGAGCGTTGGCGTTGGCTTGGGCGGTGGATTTGGCGCGGGCATTGGCCTGGGCCTGGGCGTTGGCGTTGGCGTTAGCGCTTGCTTTGGCCTGAGCGTTGGCCCCAGCTTTGGCAAGTTTCGCCTGAGCACTCGCGTTGGCGTTGGCATTGGCATTGGCCTGAACCCTGGTTTTGGCGACGCGATTCTTGTTATTGGCCGTCCTATTGTTGGTGTTCGTCTTCGTTCGCTGTGCGGTGCCCATACGATTTGTCGCCGACTTGTTCCGGTTGTTGGTATTGACGGTAGCGACTCTAGCCGTTGGCCTAGGCGTTGCTGTTTGCGGCGGCACCGCCTGCAGAAGCGTTTGTGTTGGCATTTGCGTTTGCGTTTGCGTTCGCATTGGCACCGCCTTGTTGAAGCTACGACAAGCTGTAAGCACAAGATACTAGCTTTGTAGCAGATGGAAGAGACGTACCACGACACAATTACCAAATTTCTGACTTGCGGCGTTCAAGAATTGCGTGATGCATTTGTTGCCTGTGGAACCGCCAGTGCATGTAGTACCGGCTGGGAGTTGAGCTTGAATAGTCTCCTTGGCCTGCCTCTCTTTGGTAACCTGTCCGTGAAGTCGTTAGTGAGAGTGATGACAAGGACGGGGGCGATACTCACTCTAACACCGTTCTTGGTAATGGTACCTTGAACGAAGTTGCTGCCGGTCGCTGTCGCGTCCACAGACATAGTGAACTGGCGAGACCCGTCAAGTCCTCTATCAATGACGTCAATTAGTAAGATTGCGAAGAGTACGAGTATGTAGATGAAGCAGCGTACGCGTTGTAATTTTCTACGACGACAGAGAAAGACCCATCGGCGTTGACAGGAAACCTCGGTTCGTGTTCTCATGCCTCTTCGTTTCGTTTTCATTCTCGTTCTCGTTCGTTTTTGTGTCTATTCGTTGGTGCTTGCATAGCAGTTCGAGTAGTGGCGCTCACGGTCTTCGTCCCGTTCGATTGCTCGCTTTTCTTCTTTATACATGGGCGTGGGTGTCACTTGTATCACGGGCAATTGTCTCTTCACGCTCTGCCCCCCATCTTCGTCTGGTTCTTTGTGGTCTGGCTGTGCCTGCGCGCTCCCATGGCGTCTGCGGAACGAGCGTCGACTTTGCTGTTCGCATGGACTTGGTTGCACGCGTTCGCGTCATTGCGTATGTACGTTGTACACCTGGCCTTTTATTTTTTCTTCTTTAACGGGTGCGGGAGGTGCTTGTGCCCTTGTTGGTCTTTGCGTGTTCGACATTCGCGTCGACGTGCTTGCACATTTCGGCTTGGTCGCGCCCAATCGTCTCTGCCCACGTCTTTGTGTCTGGCTGCGCCTGCGAGTTCGAACGTGGACGCATCTCCGTTTCCTCGTTCGCTCCCATGCGTCGACGGATGAGTGCTAACTTCGCTGTTCGAGTGAACTCGGATGCATTCGTTCGGGTCGTTGCATTCGTGCGTTACGCGCCCAGCCTTCACTTTTGTCTTCTTTGACGGGTGCAGGAGGTCCTCATGGCCTTGCGTGTTTGTCGTTCGACGTCGACGTGCTTGCGCCTCATTCCAGCTTGATCTCGCATCTGCAGCCATGGCTACAAATGTTCGTTAGCGTTAAATGGAGAAGAAGGCGCAGAGTTTGTACTCACGCAATCTCCAAATCTTCCCCGCGTCCCTTTGCACCTCCTTTTCATTTCATTTCCGCTTGACATTTGGGCTACCGCTTGCGCGTTCAGTCCGAAAACGCAGGCATCAGCGTGGGCGTTAGATCCTGCTTGACTGCGCTGGTTGGTACGGGTGTCGCGCTCACCACAATCCTCGTCGTTCGCCTAGAATGCCGACCGGTAAGGAGGATGGGAAACGAGGAGGGGGGAGACGGGAAGGGAAGGCTTGCAATAAACGAAACGAACGGCTAGGACATCAGTCTGCGCCCCGAGTCCAAGTCTCGGGATGTCGCACCCGTTAACGACGGAATGTCGTACACATGCTGTGCACCGCACCCAGTAAGTCATCAAGCACACAGTGCAGCTGCCAGTTCGACTCACCTTGTACCGCCCACAGCCCAAGCTCGTTGCGTACACCAATGGCCGTCCAACACACACCCATATCTACCAGGTCTGAGGCGCGGACACGCCGTCGTCGACCGCGTCGTCGAGGTTTGTTGGCGAAGGGTTGGCCCAATGATGGACTTGAATGGCCGCTCATTGAAGTGTCGCCCACGCCCGATAGCTCCTTTGAGCGAAACGTCGGCGATGTCTGCACAAGGACGAAGGGTTGCGTCGAGGAGCTGCTGAATATAGTGGTGAGCGTCATCGTTGCTGTACGTTGCTAAATCACTAACCAGACGAGGCGTTGTAGATCGGATGAACAACGCCAGGTTCGTGGCCATGCTCTACGCGATAGACGTGCTCGACAACACACTATTGAGGTAAGCCGCCATTTTGTATCGAGAGACGCGAGCCAAAATCGCTGGAAACGACATCATAGATTTACCATATCGTCGAGGCAGCCTCACGCAACACTCACCACGACGCCGAGACTCGCAATCAACAAAACGAATGGCTAGGTCACCAGTCTGTGCCCCAAATCCAAGTCTCAGGATGTCACGCCCGTCCAACAACAGAGCATCGTACGCACGCTGTGCACCGCACCCAGTAAGTTATCGACCACACAGTCCAGGTGCCAGCTCGACTCACCTTGCACCGCCCACAGCTTGAGCTCGTTGCGTGCACCAATGGCTTCCCAACTCACACCCAAATCTACCAGGTCCGAGTAACAGGCCCGCCAATTGTCGTCCACGTCGACGACTCGCGATTGGATGCTGAGTACGCGAAGGCGCAGTCGTCGCGCGCGTCGTCGAGAGTTGTTGGCGGAGGGTCGGCGCGAAGCCTTGAATCTGGGAGATAGATTGAGATTGAGAGCTGCGATGAGAGAGAGAGGATCAGCGCGAACGTACACGTAGACATAGACGTAGACCCGAGACTCACCACGCAGCACGCCGGCCAGGGATGTGAGAGCGAGTGCGTGGGTGGATTGTGGACTGGACAACTGAGCCGTCGCCGTCGTCCCCGTGAGCTGGGTGATTGCGCGATTCCGACGAACGAACAGCACACCCAGAAGAGCAAGTCGCGGTCGAATTGCTGGACTTTGAACGACGGGGACAGTCTGAGCGGCGGGGATCCAGACGCGTGCCCGTGGACCGACGAGACGCGCCACAACTAGTGCGAGAGCGAGTGCGTGAGTGCGTGAGTTCCTGGCCGTAAATAGAGCGCGCGACTGATCGAATCCAGATGGACCGTCTACGAAACCCGTCGCTGGAACTACGAATCAGCGCCCAACGCCGTCAGTACGCTGAACGAACCACGAACAAATGAACGAGTGCGTGCATACCTTACCGTTGCCATAACCGTTGCCCGCCGCGCCAGACCCAACGTTCCACATCGCACGTTCCACGTCCAGGCATCCGCTCTGCAACATGCGAACACAGCGCCTGCGCCAGCGCAAACGTTAACGCTTAAACGAAGGAAACGAAGACGAAAATGAAAACAAAGTAGGTACGTACCTCATCGTCGTCTTTGTCCTCGTCCTCGCATTCATATCTCGTATCTCGTATCTCGTATACCGTTCGTTGCTTCGCGTTCCGCCTCCTGTCCCTTCGTTCGGTGTGCTCGTTCCTTGTCTTCGTTTGCTATTTGCCCCGTTTCTTCCCTACGCCCCGTTTTGCATACGCCGTTTCTGGCTTTCGCTTTCGTTTACCCATCCCGTCTTCGTTCATGCTTTCGATTCTGACTCGCTGACGCGTACGCGTTCTGACGCATCCAGGTCGAGAAACTTGCGCGACTTGGATTCACGGAGCAGGATTCTGGGCGGCGTTGGGCGGCGTCATGGGTGTGTATAGTCGTCGTTGACCGTTTTGAGGGCGTAGAGGTGATTTGGGGGTTCGTGGGGCAGGCGCGGAGTTGCTAGGATAGTAGGTAGCCGTTGAAGTTGACGGGAGGGGTGGAGTAGCGCGGGTAGTGAATGCGGACGTGCGAGGCTCTTGAGGACGGTCAATGGCGTCACGTTCGACGGGGAAAGAGAGGGCGACGTGGGTTCGTAGTAGGCCGTTGGTAGTCAGAGGTAGCCGTTTGAGGGGCAAGTGAGGGAGTTGCGTCGTATTGGGTGTTGGGACGTGGCGTGGGCGTGCTGCAGTGCGTCAGGCATAGATGTCCTTTGGATATATCAAATGACTGTAATCATGGTGGAGCCGTGATACATCAAAGACCACGACTACTGTATGGCCTGTTTGATACATCACACAGTAGAACCTTATGTCAACGTCCCCGGCAAAGCCCGTCCTCTTGTCGTCGTCGTCGGTTTCCGCCCCATTCCCTGCGCCCCGCCCTTCCGCGCCCGCTGTCCACTTTTGGAGCATCGAATCTGCGTCGAATCTGCAGATTCCTTACCACGTTGCCTAAATGTCGAACGGCCAGGTGCCCATCTGCCACGTTGCCTGAAAGCCTCCCCGGGTGCGCTTCCTTCCTTCCGCTTCTTCCCTCACTAATTTCGGCCACGGAGGAACATAGAGTAGAGACATAAAATTTGACATATCAATATCCACATTCTCGGGCACCCCGCCGTGCTGCCAATTTGTGTGTCATCATTCTGTACAGTACAGCATTGTCATATAGCGGTGCTATCATTTCTGCAGGCTGTTTCATTTCAAATGTTTTTTATAGAAATTATTTATGCAAAACATACTGACAAAAAGCAAATGGTCGCGGCAATGAATCGTCGCCTGAATAACACAGGTCCGTTGTAACCTACAGAGTCGTTGCCAGACGGCCCGCCTGGCGACGACTCGCCAGGCAGTACTCAGCGTGAACAAGTCAGCTGACTTACCCCTGACATGCCAGCGCAACGAATTCACCTAAGTCCATCGGCGCTTATTCTCGCCAGTGCAACGAATTTCACGCAAGTCCGTCAAGATTTCACTCAAGCTACTATCACACTTTATTCTCTCTGTCTGACACATATTGTTTCTTGTATTTCATGCATATATCATTAAACCATGTACACAGACACATCAAACTACATAAGGACTAGCAAAGCGACGATTGTAAGAGGAAAACGGCAGCGGTAGGGACGACACAGCAAAATGCCCACGCAGTGGGACGTCTGGACCCAACTACTTACTTGTTCTCCTTGCCCTTTCTCGCGATCACTGTGGCCTCGATCTCCTTGCTTGGTGCTGGCTTACGAACACGTTTAGTAGTGACGATCAAGTCGGGGTCTTCGCCGGCCTTGCAAGTCCGCTTGCGCTTTGGGGGCCCGTTGGTACCAGCCGTAGGAGCCTCCTTGGCAGCTGCTGGTTTCTGGGCGTGCATGGTATTGATAACGACGTCGGGGTCTTCGGCAGCCCTGGGACTACGCTTACTGTTCGCGTCTCCGCCGTCAGCTGCCGTGTTCGCATCTACCGTGGATGCAGGCTCCGTTCCATTGGTGTCTGTCGTACTAGTGGCCGTGGGTGCAGGCTCCATTTTGCTGGTGTCTGCCGTAGTTGTAGGTTCGTTGGCGGTAGCTTCCCTTGTACCCAGAGTTACGTGGTCGATAGCAGCACTTGTGGCGGAGGTATCGGGTACGGTAGCAGCAGAGCTAACCGTAGGAGCAGTAACGGCGGCGATCGCGGTAGCAGCAGAGCCGAACGTAGGAGGTGTGAAAGCAGCAACGGGAGGAGTTACAAGGGGGGCATGGTGGTGGTAGGGAAGTCCGGGCAATGGCGCAAATAGCTCTTCAACCATGGATGGGAATTTCCCTGGTGGTCCGAGGCCCTCGAAGCCGTTGACGCCAATCGGAATTGTGGACGTTTGAGTTAGTTCGGCAAGTGCCTGTTCCGGGTCGAAATCCTGCCACAAGTCGTTGTCGAGATCCGTCTCCTCGTGGTTGCCTAGCGTGAGCGCCATCGAAGTGATTGTGGCAATAGGTGAGGCAGCGGAATGGGGCATCTCAGCGGGAGAGCTGGGCTCGGATTGGGGTTGAATGGGACGAGGGACCTGGGAGGTGGAGTTCAATGCCCGTGACGCACAATCCTCGGGAGCTAAAAGTTTATTAGTACGTGAGAGGAACTGCAGTGGGCAGACAACGTACTATATACAGTGCGGAGGAAGGTCGCAAATGGTGTCACGAGCTTTGACGTGAAGTTGGGGGTGGCATCGGAAAATGAGAGGCCGGCCATATTCTCGCAGGAGTGAAAGCTGGAAGTGCTGCTCAGACGCGGGAGAAAGAAATAGAAAAAGGAACGTACGCGGCAGTGTTAATCCTTCCACCGTTTGTGGGATCAGGTCCACCGGCAAACAATGTAAAAGACCACCCAGTTCGTGAGTTCAGCTCTTGGGCGAAGGCATTAAAATGAATCGGAATGCTCTTTATCGCCCTGGGTATGATTAATGATGATGTATAATGAAGACAAGGTTGAGACACTCACGCAGCGTAGCTACTAGGTGTAATTTCTTCCTCCGGCTCTTCTACTGGCTCGCTCAACCGTTTTTGGTACTCTTCGTTCATTTGAGCTTTCACTGCGGGGGTTTCATCGTCGAACGCGGCTGTTGAGTGAACATGGAGGAGCGCGAGGAACTCCTTTCTTGTGGGTACTTTGCCGTTGAGCTCTTTCACAATGAGAGGTTTAATGCGGGAAGAGTAGTACTTTTTACAGTACATTTGGACAAGTTGGGGACGGCGAGTTTTCTTTTGGTGGGTGACGAGAACAACGGCCCGAACTTTTGCTGATGCGTGGTTATGATACCAGCGGTTGAGATACTATGTTCAGGGTCAGCGACAAATATAGCCACTACTCCGGTTCCAACTTACTTCCCTCTTCTTCTCTACCTTCGCCGCTAGATCCTTCCTCCTTTCCTCAGCATCCTGGATGGAGGTATCTTCCACTATTGGATACCGTTCGAACCACTGTCGATAAAGCACCGGCCAGAACTTGTGCAAGGTGCTCTTTTTCCGGTTTTCCAAGAACGTGTCGATAAGGCTCTCAAGGAAAGCCTTCTGTTCGGCATTAACTTTAGAGGGGGGGGCCATCGAGGGTTATAGAACACAGGTTTGAGCTTGATGCTTGGGGGGCTACAGCACACGTAGGTGATATACCCAGCACACCTCATCTTTTTTTAAGCTTTTTCAGCCGCCCCCTCTGTACGTCTTCTGCGTCTTTTCATTTGCCACATGCCATAAGAACTCCCCCTGCCTCGCGCCAATTCCTCCAGCAACAACTCCCCGTCGCTAGTCAGCTGTATCAGCAACATTTCCATGGATCCTGCTACTGCTGCCCACATTACCAACCTCCTTGACCGCCTTTCGGTGGGGACTATCGTTCAAGCTCCTGGTACGTTCGTTTCAATGGCACCTAACTTCTGCTTACCCGTCTTCACAGTTGCTGCGGGCTTCTTCGAGTGCCCCTCTTGCCACACAATCCACCCTCTCACTGTTGCTCATACACCCGCTGCTGCTGCTGTCACCGCTGCTGCTGCTGCCGTCCCCGTAGCTGCTGCTGCCGTCCCCGCGGCGGCTGATGTCGCCCCTGCCGCCCCCGCCGCCGTCCCCAATGCCCCCGCCGCTGCCGTCCCCGCGGCGGCTGATGTCGCCCCTGCCGCCCCCGCCGCCGTCCCCAATGCCCCCGCCGCTGCCGTCCCCGCGGCGGCTGATGTCGCCCCTGCCGCCCCCGCCGCTGCCGTCCCCGCTGCTGCTGTCCCCAATGCGGCGGCGGCGGCGGTTCCACAGCCTGCACCTGAACACCCCCCTGCCGGTTCTAATCCTAACGGCCCATGGTATGCTGTTGTAACTGGCCGCCAAGTTGGCCTCTTTCAGGATTGGTAAGCATTCAATATTTGCCAGGAGGTCTGACTACTCATGCATATGGTTCGAACAGGCGTAGAGTCGTGGCCCCCCTTGTCCTAGGAGTTCCCCATTGGGACAGCCAACGTTTTTCTACCTACGCGCAGGCCCGCAGGCACTACAATGACATGCTTGCGGCAGGCCTTGTTCACATTCACCACGAGTAGACTACAGTTGTTGTACCTGAGATGTTACCATTCCCAATATCATTGCTACGCGTCCCCATTCAAATTGTGTGATATAAGTGCTATCTACACCAGGGATTGGTACATGAGCTGCTCGCTGGAGTACATATCAAATAGTTCGGCCTTGCCAACCAAGAGATGACACATGATGTCATCAAAACAGCATATCACTTGGTCGATCTCCCTCTCTACCTGTTCCGCTGCCCGGTATTCGTCTCCCACCCCGACGACTTGTAACAAAGCGTGCCCGCACCGTTGTATAGTGATTTTCATACTTTCGAACTCCATTGCAGCATCATCAATCTCGTTCCTCAGAAGGGAGAAGATGAAACACTGGCATATTTGCTGGAAATATCCACGTACGGAGCCTTTAATGAGCTCCTGGGTCTTTGCGGCAACCTGGGAGACCAGGGCCATCCACGCAGGGACATCGTCAGGATCGGGATATGCGCTACAGGGATGTGAGGTCAGGAGAACTCTGGCATGTATTAGTTACGCACCTGGGCGGGGCTTCGGCTGGAGCTGCACCAAGGATAGGCTTGTTCCTATAGATAGATAATTGGTAAATGAATGTTATATATGAATATGAGAACGTACTTGACTCTTTCGTGGCGGTAGCGGCGGGCCACTCGGCGAGAACTGATAGCAACCTTTTGCCTATAGTCGCCGGTTTGTGCTGAATTTCACGTTTATTAATTGATCTAGGGCCCCTACTTACTTGTGGTAACTTCGCTTGCTTTTCTCTCGATTGGCACGAGCCTTATCTTCCGGAGTTTTGTAGATTCGGGGGCGACCGCGGGGCATGGTTGAGGAAATAGGTGGTGGATGGTTATTGTACAACTCTAAATCTTGAAAGGCGGCTGTCTGACCTTTATTCATTTGGCTGAGTGTCAGTTGTTTCTGCATTTGGACACCAATGAGCGGTTGAATACCCGTAAAAATGCCACCAACTTACACATGTATCTCATATGAAAGACTTCCTTGATTTATTTTACATCCCCTCCATGTCTATCGCACGTTATAATATTATCTTGTATTGCTCCTATTCCGAGGAAGTCAGATGACTTGAGTTCAATTGCCTAATATGGTGGTAAATCTCGTTAAGCGCCCCACTTACGCTCATTCCTTACCACCATAACCACTGCTTTCCGGTGAGTTAACATTTGTCCTAAAGCCCCCGTCCTCTAGATTTCAACCGAGTTCCGTTAGACATGCGGAACTTACTCTTCTGGGAAGTAGATGAGCCAAATGATCTGACGCGAAGCATCGATGCATTCACGTTTGAAATGCTTCCGTACTTCACCAATGCGTTCGACCGTGGCGAACACAAGGACTTCTTTGTGGCAGCACTCCCCCTTTTCTCCGACCGCTTCCCAACAGCCTCCTCCGAACAAAAAAGGGTGCGTTCTTCTTCCGCTATTGCACTTGCCCCGTTTGAAGTAATCCGCACCACAGCTGTTTGCCAAGGAACTCATTTACCAAGACGGCATGACCTTACTTGGAGGTAATGTCGACCCTCCTGCACCATTCGACGGGAACTGGAGAGAGGCTATCACATTGGAAGCTGACCGTGAACGCCGGGTACGTTCATTGCAAGCATAATCTTGTCGGATGTAACTTACATTCAACAGCGCAGCTATTGGCGACAGCATGGTGAAGGTGACCCCATCGAACACCAGTACATTATCGCCTTTGCGACGATTGATGGGGCCACCGATTCGTACTCACAATTGTAATGCACTGTTGATTGATGTATTGATCGTGAGATATATAAACTGACTGTGAGATATATACATTGACTGTGAGAATCGGAGTGTGTGGTACTAAACAACCTAGGTATCCAGCGTGGCAACTTGCGGGTGCTGGCCACCGACACTGAATACCCCTTCTTGATCAACTCATCTTCGTCGGACAGGACTGATATAAAAAGGCAGGCCCTTTTATTGGTAAGTGCTCATTAATACAATGCAACGTCGCAAGAGGGCTCACATGGACATTCAAGTGTATGAAGACTGGGAGCTTGGCGCTGGCTCGAGTACTCCGTCACAGCCCCCAATCACTGAGTCAACAACTCACCGGCATGTCGACTATGTGGCTCGCAAGAGGGGAATCTCTACCAAGACCTCATACTACAGCACTGAGGCCCTATCTACTGTCATCACGGACGATCATGGGCATGACGAGAGCAGCACTTACGATTCCGTGTGGGACGAAACAACGGGGCTTCATAGGATTGAGCACGACAGAGACGACGATGAGGAGGTTACTTGCCTCCCGAGGACTACTCGCAAACGCACGATGGCAGGGGTTCGTCCTTGCCAGTGTTTCTGTATGATCGAAGGCTGACATCTCGCTCACTAGGATCAACCGTTGTTAGTGTGGATGCATGAGCGCGATACCTTTGTTCAGGAATTCCTACGGTTGGAGGGACGAGCTTACCCAGATGCTGGGTGCCCCGGCGTTCACACAGAGCTTGCCTGTGGAAAAGACGCGCTTTTCCGGTGTCCCCAATGTTTCGACCCTCGATTGTTCTGCCAGGACTGCATAGTGTTGCTGCACCAGGCTCTCCCACTCCATGTCGTCGAGGTAATGAGTCTTACTCCAGTTACGGCACAGTGATCAGAGCACTAATAACGTGTAGATATGGAATTCAAGGTTTTTTCAACGCTGCAGTCTACGATCGCTGGGCTTGCGGTTTCAATTGGGCCATCCCATTGGCGAACCCTGTCTGAACCCAAAGCCAGCAAATAAGGACGAGTTTGTAGTCATCTCATCTCATGGCATCATCTCCATCAACCTCGACTACTGCGCTTGCCTGTCGGCCGCCGATACTAGTATTCAGCTTCTCCGGAGCCGGCTATTCCCAGCGACCACAATCGAGCCTCGAACTGCAGCCACCTTCGATGTCCTGCGCCTTTTCCAGTTACTCACGTTCGGTTCCAAGGTCTCTGGCTTTGAATTTTACCACTCACTTGCGCGACTTACAAATAACCTCGGCCAAATATTACCTGTAAGTCTTGTTTAGATATGGGTGTACATTTCTCTAATGCAAATAATAGGACCGCTATACCGCCTTCATGAGAATAGTTCGGGAATGGCGACACATCCGGCTTCTGAAACGTGCTGGGCGCGGACATGAGCCGGGTGGTGTTTTGGGTACGGCTGAGGGCTCATGCGCAGTCCTCTGCCCTGCCTGCCCTCATCCCGGAAAAAATCTTCCACCCAATTGGCAGGCAGTGCCGGGACAGCAGTAAGTTCTTTGATAAGCCGCTCCGTTTCTTTACTGACTACCAATAGATGGATTTATTCTCTTTTTCTGGCAATCGATGCCAACTTCCGACTCAAACGGCTTGGCGCGTCCAACGACATTCGTGACCCTGGCCTCAACAAAGGCTACGCATACTTTGTGGAGGAGAAAAAGTTCAAAGAATTTCTTGAAAGCTTTGACGGTGCCCCACCTGACGAGGCGAGTACGTGTAATAACTACGACGCCGTCAAGCTTGCCAGCATTCGAGGGGGGAAGGGCACTACGACTAGTGGGGTCGGCACCATCGAGTGCAGTCGCCACGACATGAAGCGACCCCTTTCCGTGGGAGACTTGCAGAAGGGCGAACGGTATGGGTGCTTCCTGATACATCCAACGGTCTCATTAATAAAGTCTATAGATACATTAATATGGACTATCTCTATTTCTCAAGCTTGCGGAACCACGCACCTCAGGTCGTCGTAACCTCATACGACATCGCCTGCCAATGGTCACGTAATCTTCAAGCTCGCGCGGCAACCTACCCCGACTCTCTTGTTGGCGTACAGTACAACGAACTCAGCATCAGATACCTAGTACCGAAGTTTCACTTATATGCCCATCGCGACGACTGCCAGATCAAATACTCATTCAATCTCACACCTAAGGTTGGTCGTACCGATGGCGAATCACCTGAACGTGGATGGGCCGCAATGAACCCTGTCGCGAGCAGCACCAAGGAGATGGGTCCCGGATCACGTCGGGACACACTGGACGATCACTTCGGTGATTATAATTGGCGTAAGGTTATTTCATTTCGTGAGGCGTCTAACTACTGAGTAGACTTAATGCTGATGACCCTCTGTTCGTAGATACTACTCTCCTCCGTAGAGCCCAAGAAGCTGTTCAGATGCGCGCGGAGCATGTTACGGCCTTTGTCGAATTCTCGAATTCCCTTCCGGCAGCAACCACTCGAAGCTTCTCCGAGCTTGTCTGGGCCTGGGAGGCCGATCCAACGGAGACGAACCCATATCGAGCGACAGTAGAGACTGTCTCGCAAGCTAAAATACGACTGGAGCTTGCAGAAGAAGAGGCCGCGACGATTGCTCACGAAGATGGCCTGCCCGCTCATGACAGCGTCAGCCCTAGTGTATTCATTGCACAAGGCCTTGAGCTTGAGGAACAGCAAGCCCGTCTCCGAATCGACGCCAGCGCCCTTACTGCAAATGCGACCGAACATCAACGGACCCTAATAATTGAACGTCGAAATAGACTCGCGCGCCGCATAGCAACCTGGCGCAGTATCCAAGACATCTACATGCCCGGCGCCATGGCACACCGGTCCACGGAGCCCGCAAGCATTCTGGCGGAAGACGACGCACTTCGTCTTCCCTCCCAGACGCCGCTACAGATGCCGCTACAGACCACCACCCTTGCTGACTACGAGTGGCGGCTTCGGTATGGTCAGGCATTCGACTCACTGGCCGAACTCCGTCGACATTTGCTGGTGCTCAGCTCCATGTACCAGTCCAAGGACCGATACGTCCGAGGCCAACAGCATAATACCCGCAGTGTCGCCCTAGTCAAGAAAGTCCAGGCCCGCTCCAACTTCGCCGCTAGTAAATATCGCAGTGGCAGAGCAGCATTACTAATGTTATCGCCGGCGCTCGGAAAGTCTGATTGGCAGTCAATACTACGTCCCTTGCTCGACAGCGACATCCGTGGTTTGAAGGATGGTGAAGATGCCAGTAGCTCAGAGGGCCGCCGAACATTGTCATGGATATGGATGGCTCAACGGACGAATGACGCTGAGATGACAGAGGGCATGAACGAAGGTAAGCTAATGTTTCACTCAATTGTATGAACGACAGACTCAAATTGAGAAGCTCTCAGGATTGAGTGGTGCAAAGCACGTGCTAGAGCGCAACGGTGGCAAGAAGAGTGCATGTTATTGACTGAAGAAATGCGTAGAGTAGTACAATTTCATACATGGCAAGCGAAAGTTTGGGAGGATCGTGCGACAGCATCTACAAATGAAGGTGCTCGTGCCTATGCCTGGCGTCAGGAGAGCACACGTCAGACCCTGATATCTATGTGTCAGACGACGTGGAGGCATGTGGACAGATATATGCGGACAGGAGAGGGGGCTGTTGTTCCTGGCGAGGCTTTAATTGAGTCTTGTACACCGTCTACTACATCATAGATAGAGTACACCGTCTACTACATCATAGATAGAGAAATGAAAGCCATGCTTTGAGGCCATGCTGTCGTTAGTAACCTCACTACCAAAACAGTAAGGTACGGGATTCATAACCAGAGAAGTAGATCCATCGTAGATACAGCTCCCGATGGGTTCCCGGTTGGGGGAACAAGGCGCGGGAACGGCTGGGGGTGCCGTGGCTGGCAGTGGCGAAGGGGTGGTGCTCGCCTGTGGGAAAGGAAGGCAGGCAAAGAAGCCACCGACCGAGTGATACATCACGAAGCGCCCACACTGTACCTGTGGTCGTTGATGTATCACGGCCCCACCGTGGTTACGGTCTTTTATATATCCGTAGGACAGCTACAGGTGAGTGCGTGGGGTGAGTGAGGTTGAAGGGAGAGAGTCGCAGTGGCTGGGTGAGGACGGGGATGTATGCGAGAGCGAGAGAGAGGGAGGGAAGGGAGGGTAAACAAGAGAGGGACACACCTGCGTCGTGGGTGTAGTCTTGGGCGTGAGCGGTTCGCGGCGCTGTTAGGTGGGAGCTGTGGAGGAAGTCAGCGATTGGCGAGGAAGGAGGAGGGGAATGGGCGTGGATGGGGGAACGAAAACGAAAACGAAGACGAAAAGAACGAATGGAAATGAATGCGATAGATGGGGTTAGACGCACCCCGTTTGCGATGCCAGCTAACGGTCTGGGAGTTGGGAGTCGAGACGCCCTGTGTTCACGACAACAATGAGTCGGTGGGGCTACATTGAAAATACACGCTGGGACTTACTTGGTGGGTTGTTGTACACGTTGAAGCCTCGAACATCCGAAGTCGGAACATGGGAATTCCTTAGCACAAACACGGAGACCCGGGAATCCGTCTTTGAGAAGAAGGAATATGGGAATATCAACACCTGTACTCAACGTGCGGAATCCCTGTCTTCCAATATCCGAAAGTCCAACTTCGAGTACAGGCTTGGGATATCCGAGGCTTGGAAATTCGTGGTTTAAACCAAGTGAAATCCGACGTCTTGCCTGAACCCAGGAATTTACTAACTTTTAGAAAAGACTTGGGAATATCGGAACATCGAAACTCACCTCTTCGAGTTGAAGAAAACCCCACCTCCCCCAGAGGAACTGGATCTCTCCCCTTGCTACGTTGGGAAGTCAAGTGTACCAACGTCGAAACATCACCTTCCCAAGGTCACGCAATTCCTTCAACTTTACGTTTCAACGTTGTGGACGCGTTTGTTGATCAACAAAATCAGGTGAGCGGGCATATATATAATGGGAATTCCCTACTCTATTTACCTCGCTTTTCCTTCTCTTCCTGGGCGGCCTCTACACTGGGAGCATCCGTTCCTTAAGGGAATTGAGATTGATTAGCCACATACTCCGAAACTCCGTGTTGATATTGACAATATCCTCAAGGTAAGCCTGCCATCCTTTTTTAAGGAAAGGGAAATTAATGAACCGTTCGAAGACTCAGATGACCATGTACACCAGCCTGTACTTCCCCCAGGAACCTGTATTGGATCCGGTGGAATTCGTTTGGCTCTCCCAAGAGCCTCTTGCCACAGCAGTAGCAAGGCTTGAGCAAGGTTCCGAGAGCGCTCAGATTGAGCAGTATCCTATTTGGAAGGAGAACGTAAAGCAGGAAATAGAAGGTCACAGTTACTGGGTGCGTGCTGAAATCAAAGTTGAAGGGAATATGGACCAACAAAAATTTAGGTACAACGTATAGTGGATTGGCTGGCTTTCGTTACGGGGGGCATTGAGTTATCCACGGGAGCCCAAGCTATTGAGGTGTTCATTGACTGTATGTGGCTTCGGCACATTGGTCAGGATGAGAACGCTTGCAAACGACTCCATCAAGCTCAACAAGACTTTCTAGAATTACCCGTTAGTTTTCCCTCATCAGTCAACTCTTTGTCTGCTAACAAGGCCTTTAGATTCCATCCAAGTTCAATAACGGCATGCTGGATAAAGAGGAAGAGGAACCGGATGTTGAGATCAAAGTCGAACCTATTGATTTATCGGAACTTCGTCTGGGCTCAGCAAGTGAGTTTCTGCAGCTCCCTTGGGAGCAAACAATGCCGGCGAACTGGAAGAAGACTATAAGGGAAGACCCTGAAACTCAATATCTGGTGTGTAGACAGTGGAGTGAATCTCTGGCCATCTTTTTCTCCGAAACCAATGTGAGTCTATGATTCTTTTCCCGAATTGCCCTAATTCATGTCCTCACAGGAACCGGGATTCTCAGAGAGTCAGGCTGCCGTTGAGGCTTTGCGACAGATGCGTAAGATTACGACAACCACCTGGTCTCAACCAAGCTGGCAAGCTGCAGTTAAGGTATAGTCCGTCACAAATTGGGGAACATGATGTTGATGATTTGACAGACCTCAGGCCTATCTGAGGTCATCATCGACATATGCAAGCCATCCAAGCAATTGGACATCCAGTTTCCCCATGTTATTGAGACCTTCCGACGTAACGTTTGGAGGGAAACACTTGGGGAACTTCTCTACAATTGGACGCCCAAAGCTGTGATTGAAGGAATCGCAAAGGATTTTAATAATCTGAAGACGACTAACACTGTAGGTCCTGGTAATTAATTGAATATATCGCTAATAATCTCTATAAAGTTTCGGAAAGGAGGCGTAACTTGTACCCCTTTGACATTGCTTCGAACGATGTCTGAACATCCCGAGTCAATTCCCAGAATATCCAATCCCGCCTCCATCTTCTTCTTGGTCAACGGTCAGAATTTCACCATGGCTTGGGAACGTTGGCTCCAGCCCGCCCTTGATCTTTACGGTATTGCGGTAGGTTTTTAGTCAGAATCTACAACTTTTGAAAGAAGTTAATCTATGTCTTTTAATTAGACTGAAGACGTCAACGTAAAGGAGCTTCATCGTCGAATACGTGGCCTTGACTTGGACCGCATCAAGTCCGAAGTCCCACTGGATGAAACTCTGGAACTTATCCTTGCTGAGACAGAGAAGTTGGTAAAGCAAAGCCAACTTGTTGTTGAAAGCAGTGTGCGTTCTCTTAGGATTTTAGAACCGCCTCAGGCTAGCAACGTTACTGTGCCTAGTTCGAAGGCTTCTGCCAAGACTGCGGTGCTAGGAAAGACGAAGAAGATCCGGCGACGTGGTAAGAAGATCTCACCTTCTTCTGAGGCTCAAGACAAGCCTTCATCCTCGAATCTTCCCACTCCCTCTCTTTCCACTGAAGACGCCCTGGAAGATGGATTGAGCATCACTCTCCCTTTAACAAACTCTTGTCCTCACTGCTCTGGGCGTGATAAGGATGAGTGGTGTGTCCGTACTGTGGAGGTTGAAAGGCTAGATGGTAATTATCAAGGTTGCGTGTTGACCGAAGCTCCTGAACATGACCGTCTAAGACCTAAGGTGAGTGTTAAGGTTAGCAGAATGTTCCCCACTCACTTATTTTCAGGATATCCGACCAGGAATGAAGGACGACACCAAGTATTACCATCCAAATGATCTGGGACTCAAAGCATTGCAATCACGTCCTGAGGTCTTCACCCGTTGTGCTGTTGATACCACTCTATTGGTGAGCGGTGCATTGCTGGTAAGTAACCAAGTCAATTTATACCAATTACTAACACGGAGATTGATTGATTTAGGTGGGAGCAGTCAAGTTCGGGGCTTTTTCCTCGGAGGCTCTGACTGAAATGCAGGACCATCATGAGACAAGCTCTGTGCTGAAGACAGTCAAACGTGGTGCAAGCTTCCGGGCTTTTGCCAAGGGAAGCAGTACTATGAAGGCCATAGGTTCACATTTGCCTCAGGGTGGAAATCCTGGTAGCGGATATGGTCCTTATGTTGACGTCAAAGCAGATACTCATGACGACATTCGTACTCTATTTAAACATGCAGAGGTATGTCTCTGTTTCCCTATTCTTGCTCAGAACGGAGATCCTGACAATTAATTATTTAGATTTCAGACAAACTCACGCATGCGGCACGACACATATACTATCCTGTCACCAAGGTTATTGGTAGAGACAGTGTTAGCTCAGGCATGGATCCATTGGGTTCAACGGGATCAAATATGTTTATCTGCCGCAACTACGTCAGTCCCATCCATGTTGACGATGATCTTACTATCTCGGCATGCATGCAGCTAGACAAGCGCTGTCCCTCAGGTGAATGGAACTTTGCTTACGCACAGTGGGGATATTATATTGAAACTATTCCAAACACTTTATGGTATGTTCACAACTACTCTATTTAACCGCTTTTCTGAAACTGATCTAGGTTATTCTATGGCACCCATCAACACGGGACAATAATGCCTAGTCGCTCAACAATGGCAGCGACTTCTCCAGCCCGTCGTTGCAATGGGCGTGCTCAGCCTGCTCAGGTCCAGGCCCCTCCTTATCCTCCTGATCAACAAGAAGCAGGTCCTGCTCCAGCACTTGCTTATCCCAGAGGATTACGCTTCATCATTGTTGATCCAAGAACTCTGGTATCCACAGGCATTCACAACACCATTCGCCGTAGAGACAGAATACGTGCTGCTCACTATCAGGCTGTTCGTCGTTCATATCATGGTGTAGCACGTCATTGGCAGACCTAGTAGATTATGCTACTGTACAGATGCTACCATTACTCAATACTTCTAAGCTTGTTACGATCAACAAGTTTTGTAACAGTAGCGTCCAATTGCTTATAACAACCAAGAAAGCCTCCCTCTTCATCTCCATTTATCCCAAAAGCCCTGTCCAATTCACGCAACGAGTAGGCTGCCGTACGTGCAAGACGTTGCTCCTTTGGGGCAAGTAGATCCGGCAGACCCAATCCTGTGAGACTTTGGATGACGCCTGCTATCATCTTTAGATTTTCTTCAGAGAAATTGAATGAAGCCGACTTCGTGTTAGAAGCGCCACGCTGGGGGATGTCCTCAAGTTCGGCTGTAATCTTGACCATCCATAGCTCCAAAGATGCAAGGTCCAGCAAGCATCCACAGCTCAGACGAGGGATGTGATCCCTCGAGGTGGCTAAGGTGGCGGCAGACGCTTTCAATGCCTTAACCTCCTTGCTAATATCTCTATTGCTGCAGGAGATGCACCGACCCTCGTTGTTCTGTTAAGGTATGGTTAATCAATGGGGACATGGGTAAGGTGTGGAATCTGACGTGCTCTGTTTGTTAATACGAATTCCGCAAGCTCTAATCCTTGTTCGACAACCCCAGGATAGTCCTCAGGTTTGTTTCTTGCTTGAATTGCCATTGTCTTCGACAGTGGAATACGCTTTTGTTTGATGTAGTCGTAGATTTCATATGTCTAGAACACACAATAATATAAGCATGATGCGTGCAAGAAAGCCTCTTAACTACCTTCTCGTTGCTGTTTGTCCGGGATTGATGTACCTTGCCCGCAGGTGCTTTTTCCGTCATACGCATGTCCGCATGAGCATGCATCCATTTGGCAACTTCTTGAACCTCTTCACCGAGGAAATAGCCTCCCCCATCAAAAGTTCCCTTGACAGTCGGGAAACCAATGTCGCCTTCCACAATATCTAGCTCTTCGCAAAGGTCGGCGATCTCAATGGCTAGCTGGACAGTGGCATGGTAAAGCTGCTGATCCTCAACACTGACAGAGTTCCCACTAATCTCGTCTTCCATCCCCAGACTTTTCGCTGCATCCAGCCACGCCTGCTTGAACTTCTTGTAGGTCTGACGTGGAATTCTATCACAAATCCTCTGTTGTAAATCTAGCAAGACAAAAAATAAGGCTTTGATCAAAAAAAACTGGAGCTTCCTACCCTTCACTCTTTCCTTCGTCAAAGCTAGTTGAGGTTTTTTGCCTAAGGTCCAGCGTCAGTTGAAATTCATTATTCCGCAAGTTCAGAAAATCCGTATTTCCAAACAAGGAAATTCCCCTATTCAGCATCAAGAACCGAAAATCTTAAACTTTGGGGAATTCTGGAAAATCTGTACCACCCTTGAAACATTGGAAAGCCCCAGGTTGGATTTCCAACAAAGGAAAATCGGCAAGCCCATGGTAATATGGGAAAATCCCAAGTTGAACTTTCAATAAAGGAAAACTGGTGTTCCACTTTAGACGTTGGAAAACCCCAGGTTGGATTTTCAATAAAGGAAAATTGGTATTCCACCGTAAACATTGGAAAACCTCAAGTTGATTTACCAAGATGGGAAAATCTTACCTTTACCCTTTTTGCTGGGCAGAGAGACATCCTCCGTATCACGCCCTAAGAGTAACTTCAGATCATATTAAATATGGCAAGAATACATGGCCTACCATGCTTATTTAAGTTCTCGCTAGTCAAGGAGGCAACAGGAGCATGGTTGTTGTCTAACCGGGCAAATTGACGTTTATTCTCTAAGAGCGAGAGTGAAATAAGTTGTGCACCTTTGAAATTAAGGAAATTTTCTTCCTCTCCTGGGACAGAAGTCGGTGCAGGAGACAAGGGTGAAGAGGGTGCCTTGAGGAAATGCGATGCTGGTACTGTTATTGAACTTAGTGAAGGCTTTCTTGGACGGATGGAAAAGTGTAGCTCACTGGATATCTCTGTCTCATGCTGCTGAAGGTTCTTAACTGCGTCTTCTAACATCTTTGTCTTCTCTTTGTTCTCTGGTTCAGCAAATAGACAAAAGCCGAGAATGTGAAAACCTCACCTTCGTACGCCTGCATTCCCATCTTCTCCTGCTTTTTCTTGTGCATTTTTCGGTGCTTTGTCAATAAAGCTCTGGCCGACGCCAATTGCCTAGTGCCAGAAGAAGTCTCCATTGACTGTCTCTAACGAAGATTGCAAAACAAGGAGGCAGACGAAACCCTAAACCCTTGAGCCCTGAAGGAGTCCAAGCCCGCGTCTATATTTTCCACTGAGCCTACGCATTTCTCTGTATACACCATGAACTACGGAAATCCCGAGGCTCACTACTCCTCGACTCAGTGATCCGACCGGAGGCTATGCAGCTCAGCTTGCCTTGCTACGGTTGCGTGATGGGGGCCACTAAATCTTCCCACCATGCATGTGACCACGTCCGCCAAAAACCGTTAAATCAGACACGCTAAGTATCACTAGTCAGTATAGCTAAAGCCATTGATGTATCACCAGCGGGCTATAGTTAAGGTATAGTATGTATCAACAGGACGTATACAGGTGGCAGGGCGCAAACACAATCATGTACCAGTACCATAAATGCTGAATCAAAGGTATTTTTGAAGCGAGATCGTTCAACCTACCCATCCCACCAATCCTCTCCGGGCTTACACTTGTTTGTCTGAGTAAACTCCATCATATTGCCAACCAAGTCCGTTGCGCCGCCCTATGAAGGGTCGTTCCACAGTCAACTTGCGGGATTGACGTCTCAAGATCTGACCCCTTTCCCTTCCTGATACGTGTGAAATGTCGCTTTGATTGCTCAAAGCTGGCTCGGGCGACAATCATTGAGGCTTCGTCAGCATAGTAGCGCCGCGCCCAATTCGAAGGTCCATTGGTTTAAAGTCGACGAGCGAAGAGGGTTCATCGTGTCAACATCTAGCGAAGGCTCACTGAACGTTACTGATCTTGCAACGGGTGAGACTCTTTGGGCCCTTGACAAGGTGCGTGTCCTATAAGTTCCATCAAACCACTCAATCCGTAATCTGTGGGACCTCCAGAAACTGAACTACGTATGCCGCTTTGCGCACTGTGAATATGGAGAAGGGTTCGTGGTCTTTGACCGGATGAACGGTTCAAAGGAGGTCTGGCGCCTTGCCAGCGAGTACGAGTACGACACATCTCCACCACCTACCTCTGCCCTACCCGACGACGGCCAGCTAGATGCCTATGCGCAGTCTGCCTCCTTCTACCACTCATCCCGTGCCCTTTTCCGGCCGTGGCTCCTCCTGCAGATTCCGATCCACACGCGTGCCTACCGCGCTTCGTCTACCCCTCCCTCCTCGTCTGTGGCACCAACCAGGCGTTCATATTCGATGTCCTCACCGGGGCGCGGGTGCAGCTTATCGGTGACCTGCAAGACGTCAACGCACACGGGGACGGGCTGGACGACATCACATACGTGGACGTGAATGTGCGGCATGTGTTCGTGTGCTGCGAGTCGGTGCTAAAGGTGTTCTTGCGAGAGACTGGGCGCTGCGTGCTGGAGATCACGTCAGACCAGGTGTATTACGGCGATCAGCGATTCACACTCGTGTACACACCACCAGACAACAGCCACTGGCATCCGCAGTCGGAGCTCATGCGGTGCAACACGCAGAAAGACGTCGATATGACCGTGCCCGCGGAATCGCAGTTCAATCAGTTTGTCCCTGGTGCGCTCTCTCGACTTGTTTGGTGTTGGCTGATGGTCATGCAGGCCACGTCTCGTCGTGCATGGATCGCATATGGCGCTCCTCCTCTCTTGCTCGTGCCTCATCGTCGTGCCCGACTTTGAGAGGATCATATCAGGGGAAACAACCCTGCGCGCCGCCGCCCTCGACATTCAGCTCGGGTCAATGGGGTCCCAGTCGATATACCTTACCTACGAGCATGGCAGGATCGCCGTCGCTACTGTAAGCACCCATCCTGTCATCACCTCATATGTGGTGTGACATGGCCTCCGGTATTGATACTGATATTGGCTTTTTATTTTGGTTTAATCTCGACAGGCCAGCGGCGTGTTCATAGTGCAGTTCGCTCTCGGGCCCGATGGTAGCTACGGTTCGGAGATCACTGTGCATCGCGTCGTGCGCATGGCTCGCTACCACGACCTGCAGTACATCAGCTGCCTGCAGATGGCAAGGTGGGAGTACGTAGCAGCGGCGTGCATGTAGAGTACTGGAATGGTTGAGTCGAACCCTATAAAATCTTCCACCTTTTTTGATAGACACCACGGTACGGGGGTTGGAGATCTGCATGGCTCGAAGTAGAAGAGGTACGCATACTATAAGATACTCAAATAATACTCGGTCGCTGTCATCATTCTATCAGATGAAAACGCAAGAGCATAAACGAAGAATTCGGGTGACAAATAACTATACCGTCTTATTTCCCGATAGCCTTGCAATCTCTCCCGCCCGTCATGAGGCCATGCGAGAGCACTGCCTTATATTGCTAGTATTCCCCCCACCATCAAAGAAAGATGGGAAAGAATTGCCATTATTGTATAATCCATTGACAATGGATTCGTTCCACCTTCTCACAGGGGATGAACAGCTATATAGAGGCCGCTGATGCTTCGCTGATGCTTCACTGAGATATTTCTGTGTTTCGTCATCTGTTTGGCAACGATTGACCCCCATGTGGTGGGTAGGCCCCGACAACGCTTTCTCCACTCTTGCCCGTGCCTCTATGAGACTCCCACCTCTACCCAACGAAATTGTGGTAGAAATACTGGAATGTGTCGCATCTATGCTCACTGTCGCCGACCTATCAAAGCTCTCCCTCATTTGCAAGGCTTGGTACCCCATCGCGCAATCAATCCTCTTAAACTCAGTGATGATAACACCCAGAAATATCGCTCGACTCTTCAGCGCCATCGGTGAACACCCTCACTTTTATCCTCTTATCCGGAATCTTGACTCCCGAAACCTGCGAGCTTCGTCTCTGGAAGGGTTTCAATCACTCCGAGCCTCAAGCAAGGTCTTATCTCTGACTCTGCGAAGTCATCTGATAGACGAAGCACAAGAGAATATCTTCGTCGCCTCGTTCCCTCACCTACAGGCACTTTCCATCAAACATGGTGATATCCACTCGGGCTTTGGGAGCCTCGCCCGCCTGATAGACTCATTCCCCAACCTTAAGTCTCTTACTTTGGAGAACGTTCATTACGACGAGGGGTGTCGCTCGACTTACCACAACGTTACGATGTCCCTGCGGTCAATCCATTGCTGTTTGGGACCCCGTGTTATGGATGAGCTACTTCAATGGCTGATGTCGGAGAACTCGATGTCACCGATAGAATACATATTTCTCGGATCCGTCGCCTCCGCGTATGGGAAGCTACCCAATTGCATGCCGCTGTTCTTGTCTAGGCTACGCGGTGTGAAAAGCGTGTGGCTCAAACTCAGCACGATGTGGGGTATGTCAACGTCCATTTTTGCCTCGCAATGTAGCTGACAATTCCCATGACGTAGACCCGCCACCCCTTACATTCGCTGAGAACACACAGCTCGAAATCATCCAGTTTGATTTCGAACTCTGGGGTTTTAATCTGTCAAAATGGGTCTCCTTTCTCTCGACAGTCTTTTCATCTATAACGTCTGTGTCCGTAGGCACTATCCTGATTATCATACGGATGCCGGGTAGCTGCCAGCCAAACTTCGATTGGGAGGACTTGGGAGACATTTTGAAGTCTCCGACGTTCGCGAGTCTTCGCAAGATCTCTATCCTCTACTCCCGACCGCACGTCGCTGGAGAACCGCTCCACTTAGAGCAGTTGGAAGACGATATCCGCCAGGCGTTCGCACATCTTGAGGCTAAGGGTGCCTTGACCGTCAGGTGAGAGGATCTGGTTCTGACCATCGAATTTGAATCCAACGAAGGATCGTGCTTTCTAGAATGCAGGTTTAGTTGCGACGAGCTTGCTACTTCTCAACGGGCGACATATGGAGGCGAATATGACTGCAGACCAAGCAGTTCCGTGGGCCTTGACGAGGCTTTGTGACAACCACACAATGTTCAATAAATTCATCTCTAGCGCCATGATCTGGGGACGATGCGATGCGACCATGTAGTTCCGTCAAGGTTTCCGTCCATCGGACGAATACCGAGGCCCTCATTCACTTCATCCATAGTTATTATCCTCTCGTTTGGACTCTCACCTTTGATTCACATTTGTATCCCTGCAATTTGGCGACTTGTAAGGAGGCCTCAGTATGGACTGAATTATTTCAGTTTGCCGGATTTGTAACCGTAATTTTGTACATTCGCGGCTTCCAAGTTTCAACTTTGGCAACTTTTCTAATTTAGGCTCGATTCCAGCGTCCTCGTAAGTTTTGGAAGTCGGATATATGAATATTCCGCCTCTTGTATTACATTTTCCATCCAGTGTTAAGGAACTATGCACCAACGTAGACGGGATCAAGTCTTCACCGAACTCGCTTCGACGCTCCACCACTCCGAGGCCGTAATAATTTGTGAAGAAACATAGGGGTGGACGGTTTTTATGTCTGCGACCTAGGCTCGAAAACCAGCCTATATACGAGAAGATGATAGTCGAGGTATATGCCGGTATCAACTACCTTAAGTAGAGCAGTCATGCATTGCGCTACCATCGTGTGATTTTGGTTACTTTGAAACCCTTCCCACATCCCATTGCTCGTTGGGCGGTCCGCGCTTTCCGTTAGTATTCTTGGGAGCCTCACGAAGGATGGCGGTGTTGTTGATCCAGTCCGTTTCGTGTGGGAGGCGCTCAGGTATGAATTCAATGAATTCGCGTAAAAGAGAATACAGCCAACTTGGTTTATTGAGAGCCTCCAGTCGAGACGAGTAATGCTGTGCTTCACGGGCAGCGTCTTCGGCTACTTCGGCGGCTTTCGCGTTGAAAACTGTCCGGCGTCGACGTGGAGGATTATACCGAGCTGCAAAGTATACACAAAGCTCAGTGATGAGGTCTTTGATGGCATCGATGTCGAACTCGATGTGTGGTCCATTGGAAGTGATGGTTGCCATTTTTACTTGCGTGCCTCTTGCGGGACGGTCGCCATGAACGACATATTCATCGAACATATTTAAGTGAACGCGAAGCTCTGTGGGATCGTTTTGATCGTGATGAAGATATCGTATCGCCATGTACATCAGTACGTGGAGTGCTGATTCGCGGTCGTCGAGAATGCAATGAGATGCTGTCGCTGGATTCATCGTCAAGTTCGCCGACATGAACTGCCATGTGCCCTATAATACCCCATTAGGACAACCAGGCGAAGGGTGAGCGGAGGCTTACAGTCCGAGTCACTCGTGTTGGCCTACCCTTGGACAATTTGTTCATGAAGATGCAGTGATCCCAGTCAATGAGAATACCGTGGCGGGCTTCCTTGCTATCGAGCGCAGAGAGGAGTATATTTCCTGCGCTGATGTCACGATGGAGAATATGAAGTTTATCATACACGAGTTGGTGCGCTGTCAAATTGTAAGTGCTGGTAGGAAAGAAAGCTTGTAGGAATACAAACCTTCCATGGCGTCGGCTATACATGAGACCAGGTCTCGCGCAGTTCGGAATAAACTCAAATCACGACCGACCGTTTCAAGAACGATGAAATGGGCCGTCAGTGGCCTCAATTTCAGCTTCTCACAACCCACTCCAAAGGTCGTGTGAGTGTCACCAATGGTAGTAATTGCACGGTTGTTCGCTTTGAGATCTCCACCAGCATGCATCTTCGCAAGGTAACGGCATTTGGACAGTTCTTTGTCCCCGGATATGAGGCGATAGACCTCAGCCTCTGGTTCGGCATACTCGGAGTACTCGCGCCAGTAGTCCTTGAAGAACATCACTCGGGGCTCTGGCTCGAGGAGGACGACCACGCGGTTCCGAGTCATACGACCAAATGGAGAGTACGAGCCACCGTCGAAACGACGCATGGGTACCGCATAACGTTCTCCTTCGAAATCCATGCAGAGGAGTGGAAGGCGATCAGGCGTGATCTCTTTCTTGTATTCATCTGCAGCAGCTCCCGCATATGTATCGTCAGCATACTTCTTGAGGGCCTCAACTGCGATCAGGCCTTCTTCATTGCTGAGTGTCGAGAAGCCGGGGAGGAGGCCCCGTTGAGAATTCGTGAGTTGAGCGAAGCGGAGGTAGAAGTCGAATAAGAGTTCGGGATAGACAGTATAATCGAAGCGCCGAGAGACAATCGCACAAGAGCGATCCCAGCGAATGAATCGTGCATACTTGCCGCAGATGAGGACACTGAACAAGTGACTGCGGAACTGCATGGCCATGGCGACTCCTGCGTAACTGGCAATCTGGCCTCGGGTATCTCGGCCTGCATTGGTATCATTTTCAGCATGGTATTTCTCACAGGGAACCAGCTCTGTCGGGGGATGCTTCAGGGCCTCTAAGAGATCTTCTGGCTTGCGTTCGCTGGGACGTTCATCCTCAGCGATGAAGGGCTCTTCAAGGCCTGCGGGCTCAGAGTTGTTCTGTTCGGCTTCTGCGTCCTCCTCGTGCACGCTGTCCTCTTCCTCGTTCCCGTCCTTGTTTCCTGAATCTGTCTTCTCCTTCTCGTATTCTTTACCATCGACGTCAATAAATGCGTCCATGAGCGCACTCAATTTGAACTCGACGAAGCTGAGCAAGTTGGCAAAGTCGACCTTCAACTTCGTACGACGTGGTAAAAGCTCTTCGCCGTCGATGGTGTAATCAGGTCCGAGGCCGCTGGCGGTGTCGCGGTAATCATGTGTGTCGTTGAAGTTGAGCTTACGATGATTGTCACGGTAGGCGACGGGCCACTTAGACGTTGCCTTCCCCTAGAAGGATTATAAGCGAGCGCCCAGTCCGTAGATACAGAGATACTTACGAAATGACCGTACATTTGTTTCTCGGTTTTCGCGTTGCCCATCTTTTTGAGATTTTTGATGCGAGCTTTCGAGAGCTTCTGCGATCTGAACTTTTGAGAGGCCTCGTCTTCACTGTCGTTGAATGGGAGGAACTTGTTCATAAATTCCACCGGGTCCGACGAGACGATGTAATGGCCACGAGTTTCGCGAACCAGGGTTTCCCGAATCTCCTCAAGGTCTATAGGATCCATTGACCAGTCGTGGTGACGTCCAATCCTGAGTGCCCGCGGCGTTGGATGAGGATCGTTGTGTTGGAGAGGGTTGTTTGTGCTGGTGCGTTCCCGAGAGCGTTCGAAGTGCGTGCTTGCAGGACTTGCTTACTGAGACTGGGATTGAGATACTGAATGTTCAGACATGGTGAGGTGAGCGTTTGAAAGAGAGAAGCAGAGTGTAAAGACCACATTTATATACGCGCTGGCTTACCTTCTCAATGTGGCTGTTTGGAATAATGGGATGTGGGTAGTGGCGAAGCTTCAACCACGATGTGACACGTGACCACGCCGATATTCCTATTATGGTAGGTAGTTAACAAAGGAAGGGAAAGTCCAAACTCCGTTACCCGAGTCATCCACCCACTTGTCCCTGAGGTATGTGCCCGTATTTACCCAGAGCTACCTCAAGTCGAGCACTCATGCTTGGCGCCTATCTCTGGACCCAACCATGATCAACAACCTGCCAACCGAACTCGTTCTCAAAGTGCTCTCGCATTCTCCAATCAAGACTCTCCATTCGCTATGCCTCGTGTGCCACCAGCTGAACGACATCATCCAAGCCCATGAAGCGTCGATTTACCACAACGCCGCCACTTTTCATGGCTATGTGCCTGCGAATGCACACTACAACGAGATATACTCGTCGCGGTCGCTTGTCGGTATAGACGGATGGAAGTCATTTTGTGCGTATACTTTCTTGCTCTTGTGCGTGTTATCTGATCCTTTCAAGGCAAACGGCGTGTTCTCATTGCCCAAGGCTGGCTAGGGCGACAACCATCAACGCTTCGTCAGCATAGCAGGACTGCATCCAACTCTAAAGTCCATCGATTCAAGATCGATGAACGCAGGGGATTTATCGTGTCCACCTCCAGCCAAGGCTCACTGAATGTAACCGATCTTGCAACGGGCGACACATTGTGGGCTCTCGATAAGGTGCGATTTCATTCACTTCACCCGACTACTTAACCTGTTGTTCCAGGAACTCAACTACGTGCGCCGGTTTGCGCAATGCGACTACGGAGAGGGCTTCGTCGTGTTTGACAGGGACGATGCTTCAAAGGAAGTCTGGCGCCTTGCCAGCGAGTACAACATGTCTCCACTACCTGCGATCTCGCTACCCGATTCCCGCCAACTCGACGCCTACGCGCGATCCTGCGCCCTCTACCCAGCGTCTCGCGTGCAGTTCCGGCCGTGGCTACTCCTGCACATACCACTCGACACCCGCGCCTACCGCTTTGTCTACCCTTCCCTGCTCGTCTCTGGGCTCCACCAAGCCATCATATTCGACGTTCCCACGGGGGCGCGCGTGCAGCGGATTGACGAGCTGCAAGATGCGCCTCATCTCCGTCCGTACAGATTCGACAACATCGCGGTCCACGACGTGGACCTGGGCGCACAGCACGTGCTGGTGTGTTGTGCGCCGTCGCTCAAGGTATTCTCTCGCGCGACGGGAGACTGCATATTGCAGATCGGGTCGCACGAGATTCTGTACAGTCAGCACCGCTTCCGGTTGATACCCGAGGACGCGCAGGCCGTGCCACACACGCACCCTCACTCGGAGCTGGTGGAATGCCGCACGCAGCAGGAGATCTATACGAGCCTGCCGCGCGGACGGCAGTTTGACCAGTTCGTCGCGGGTGCGTGTTCACTTCGTATGTGTCTATAATCGCCTGACATTGGTCGCAGTGCGCGTGTCGCCGTGTGGGTTGCACGTGGCGCTCCTGCTGTCCTGCTCGCGTCTGATCGTCGTGCCCTATTTTGAAAGAATCATAGCGGGGGAGGCATGGGAGGAGGATACGTTGATCGACATCGAACTCGGGTGCATACGATACGAGTCGATAGACCTCGCATACGAACACGACAGGATCGCTGTCGCTACAGTACGTAACAGCGGTACCCTCCCTTACCCCCAGCCCTCTGATATCAATCTAGGCAGGCGGTGTATTCGTGGTGCATTTGCACCTGGATGAACGTTGGCCTTATGTCACTGTGAACCGTGTGGCACGCATGACGGATCCCGACGACCTGCAGTACGTCAGCTGCATGCAGATGACCGACACAGGGCTCTTCGTGAACTGTAAACCGTCCCCCGATCCCGAGCACGCTAGCAGGACATTTAATACCAATCTAAGCGACAAGTTTGCGAGCAATGTTCAAGGTGAGTCGTCCGACAGCCTCACCTCGTAGATGCTCCGCACCGATTCATTGTGCGTTATTTATTCGCAGCGCTGAGGGACCGCGATCGGCTTGTAGTAGCCCCTCCCCACGGTAAGTGCTCAGCGACGATGCTTCGCAGCTGATTATGCCTTAACTTGGAGTTTGGACTTTGTAGAAGCCATTGCGGCGGTGTCGGCGATATATGACCTCAATGTCGTACCGGTGTAGATCTGGATTCTGGAATCTGTCAGTTGATAATTGATAATTGAAGCGAGTTTCGTTTAGAAGGAGTGCACCTCGAGTAAGTTATGTGAGGGCCGGGGGGCGTTATCGACGGCAAATTCTCTCTCAATGGGGTTGGGATAGGTGCCTTCGCGGGTAAGGACGACGTCAGTACGGCGTTGTTGTCAATTGTGCGGAATTTTCGGATCGCTCCTTGGGGAGTTCAATGGTAACATCAACGATACTCCAAGACTCTAAGTTGCTGATGGTCTTGCTGACACGCGCTGTAGATGTTCTGCAAACTGGCATTGTCGTTGTTTGTAATCCTCGTCGAATTCAGGAATTGGGACAACGCACGAATTCAGGACATCAAGATGGAATTATGGGGGAATTACAAACTACATAAAAGGAACAAGTACAATGTCCTCTCTGTCACTTCCATGAACTGCTGACCGTCTGCGTCCCAGAAGCCCCCACAGTCAGCTGGCGATTCGGGTCGGATTCCCAAACGACCTGAACAATGGTTAAAAACCAGCAGTTTAATTGTAGGCCAGGAACATACGCCACCGTCTGTCTCTTTCCTGATAAACTTGTAGGTGAACGATGTGCCAGCGGGAATGTTCACCGTTACTCTCCACACCGGGTAGGTAGCGGCGGACAGCAAGATCTAGTTGATCCTAGTTAAGTCAGCTTATTGAAATGAGGAGTCTTGCTCACAGCTGCTTCCGGCACCCATACCCCGAGCTGCGGGATAGAGCCGACTAGGTATATATTCTGTCGAAGGGTTAGATCTAATATTGTCAAATTTCCTGGGAAATCATGGTACATACCTCTCCCAGCGTGGTCGTGGCAGTTTCCTCGAATGTGACGGCGACCGTATCAGATCCACCGTTCCCGTTCCCTGACCCCGTTCCCGTTGCACCCGTATGAATGGCAATGGCGCTCCGGGCGGGGACAGTAGCACTGAAGGAGCCCCCAGCGACCGTGATTCTAGCGGAGCGTCAGCGTCTTATACGTTGGCGATGAAGTTGTGTACGCCTCACGATAATCCCGAACACGTCCCTGCATTAGCACTCCCACTGATGACATCGCAGTACGCCCCAGCGGGGAGCGACGTCGCAAACGTTGCGGTCCAGCTCGAGTCGGCGTTGTTGATGGCGACGAAACCTGCGGAACCTGTGGCGTGTGCATTCAGTCTGTCAGTGAGCCATGACTCCGTGCGGGCTGCGCACCTCTCCCGAAGGCGATCTGCTGGCTTTGTGGCGAGACCCAGTTTGTTATGCCTGCCGAGCCTACTGTGTTCCGGAAACCGACCATGCCGGAGAATGCCACCCATCGATGCTGGCAGAACCAGCCGTTCGCGCCGCCAGTCCCAGAGCACGTTCCGACACCTGCTCGCAGTCAGCAGCGGTTTACTGCAGATGAAAGAGATAAGCCACCTCCATTGGGTGCGCCCGCATCGGTATTGGTGAACCCGGAGTAACTCGAGAGGATCGTCGGTGTCCCATAAGGATGTGCCAGCGAGAATATCGTCGCAGTAACGTAAGTATTGGACGGCGAATTGGCATTCAGCGAAGCACCGTTCCGTTCAGTATCGTGGTTCGTGACGAAGACATTGGCTTTGCTACCAGTGACCCAGCCTAGAGAGCATAAGTATTTATCGTCCTAGGGCCGATGTGGCCTGCCGTACCTCTATTCTCTAGGTCCTGCAAATTGGCTATCCCCCCGCCAGAAAACGCATTCTTCAGCTCACTCGTGTATCGGAATCTACAAACCACTCCCGTTTAGATCGCGTCGATCGATCTGGATAGGAGCTACGTACTCTTGGACATCACCGATGTCAACGTATTCGGATGGCTGGACAGCTTCTCCGGCACCGAAGATCACTTCTTGTGTTACGTAGAAGGGACCGGTAACCCGAGAGAGGATGTTTGCGAGATCGCCTGAAGCAATATCTGTGACATATGTGAGTTCTCTTTCGTCCTAATGTATGTTAAGGGGAAGTCACGTTTAACAGCATCTAAACGGAAACCATCGACACCCAGCGAACGGAGGTCATTGGCATAGGCTGCTAGGCGACCTCTAACATACTCGGTATCTGTTGCCAGACTGGTTTGCGTGTGAGTGTGCGTGCAGTTTGACACCAGGAGGTGTGCTTACTCAGCTAGGTTCACAAGCTCACACGTCTGCACTTCGAGTCTGTTGCTGTAATTGACGATGTCGTCTCCCGGCTCAAGACCGCAGTGGTGGAAGTCCTATCCCATTCAAGATTATTCAGCCCAACGGGAAATACTCGCAAGAAGCGAACACACCTGCGTTTGATATATACCCGGGTAGTTGTAATGGGTAAAGGAAGAGCCGCCCACTCCGGTGCCAGACTCAACTCCTGCCATATGGTTGAATATTGTATCTAAAGGGTCGTAGCTCAGTACGTCGTTGGATATTAGTTGCGTGTCTCACTCACCCGTGATGACTTTGACACCAGCGGAGTGGCAGGTTGACACCATGTTGGCGAACTGGCTGCGGTTACCTCTCTTGGAATTGAGAGTGTAGGAGACCGGTTGGTAATCGGTCCACCACTGACTCCCTTGTATGTGCTCGGCAGGCGGGCTCACTAGTATGTTGTACCCTCAGTAAATGCGTGCGGACGAAAATCAACACCCGACCTTGGACGAATCCATAACCTGCTGGGCCAATGAAACTAGTGCATTCGGCGGCGACACTATCCCACGTCCACTCGAACATCTGGATGATGACCGACTTGGCCCCAGATGGTGCCCTGTCGGCGAGCGTGCCCGAGGAGGATTGCGGTGCAGATTTGGCGCATTGGACAAAAGTCCCAATGGCAAAAAGGGCTGGCGAATGCCAAGTCAAGCGCATGTGGTATACCGTGGGGGCTGAGGAGTGAATAGTGAAGGTCCAATTCCACTACATATAAGTATGCCTCGTATGCCGCTCCCCCCTGATAAAGGTGCCACCTCATCTAGACGAAAATCTCGCAGAAGCTCTATCGCTTAGCGTCTCTGACTTACTCACCCCCCCACCGGTAAATCTGTGTCGCGGGTGCGGACTATAGCTTCTAAAACGCCCGAGTCGTGACGATGGCGACGGATCAGCAAGTTTATTTTAGTCAGGTGGGCTTTCCCATACGCGCGTGTGTATGTGAATGCCGATTGGTATGTCCAGATGATGGGATCGAATGCGTTCGTGATCTACGGTTCGCATGGGCACTCTCCAACGCAGTAAAGACTTTCCCGATAGCAATATCGTGAGCACATGGACACTCTACTATGAAGGCGGCTTCTTTCTGGCGAATGATCTCATCGCGACGTCCATTCTCCGCTCAGCCTTCTCCCGTGCTGTATAGGCTCTTTCGGTCGAGAGGCGAGCATTGCCAATGAAAATTGTAGTGATCTTATGCTCAAGATTTCGCTCTCAATTTGAGACCGACCCGGGGACCTCTTGCCCAATGACCGTTGTCGCATGTAGGAACTATCGCGATTGAATAAAATCATGAACAATAGCGCGAATAAAGATGTGATAATATAAGTAATGTCTGCTGCTTTCGACGAAACTAATGTTGTTTTCCATCGAAAGTTGTTGAGTTGGGACAAGTAGGGTCTTCACAATCATCAATTTTGACTGGAGGACCTGTCGGCTCTTGCAAATGGATGCAGGTAGACTTCGGAACGCCTGTCGCCTCAAGCTGCAGGCCGATGATCATGTGTCCTGAACCGGCTCCGATGATGGTGTACATCTGCAGCAAGGCGTCATTGGCATACCGTGATATGGAAGCAATGTTTACTTACGTTAAAGAGAAGGCTATATTCGTGTGGGTTTGGATAGGTATGTGCTTTTGAGGGGGTAGTTGTGTTGTATCTATCGAGGGCCCACCTCGCTGCTTTATAGCTGTAGGCTGTGGCCAAAGTGGCCATCTTGACCATTGTTCTGGTGGGCCAAACGCCTGTTGGCTATCGTCGTGTGGATCATTTAGTGGATCGACATTTGTGGCCATCAGTCACAAGTCCACGATAAATGATGTGTGGCCGAGGGTCAGATGAGTGGCCAGCCTAATAGTTATAATACATTACATATTGCCAATCTAAATACAAATGCGGAGCGGAAATAGATATGTAGCTGCAAGGCTGTATGGCGGAAACATGAACAATGGAATACATAACACAATACCACACGAAGTCCAAATATATATACGAAGTCCGAGATCTAGAACTGAAGATACCTTACGACGACAGCGATCAGTTATTGAGAGTATTGGGATCTCTGTGGCCTGAACACCTGCGGTGTCGCTTCAAGTCATTCTTTGATGCGAATGCCATTCCGCATTCACAAGCAAAGGGGCGCTGCCCATAATGTGCGCGAACATGACCTAGAAATAATAAAATAATATGAGACATTGTATCTGCAATGGTGCAAGCAATATAACGCACGATCACGGTTAGGCTTGGAGGTAAATCTGGAGCCACACACGCCGCAAATGTGCTTCGGGTGATGGAGGCGGCGTTTGGCAGCTGCGCGTTTGGTTGCAGCGGTCGCGATTTGCGGGCGTATGATGCTGTGGTCACTGGGGGGAATATGTTCAAGCTCGGGTACGCCACGATCCTCTCGAACGAATGAGGATGCTTGCTGCCACGGGAAAGTGTCCCACGCAAGAGGGGAAAGCGCGGTTGATGGTAAACCGGAATTAACGAGTGGCGGCGATGAAGCGCGCCATTCATTTACAGGAGGCTGGGTGACTGAGGAGAGGGACGCATGGTAGGGAGTTGTGGAGTAGTCATATACTGTTTGGAAGACAGGGTTGCAAGAGAAAATCGAGGGAAGAGACGCGTTGAATGCAGTAAAAACAGGTGGTGTTTCCAGAACGCCAAATGAAAGGGGGTAAGGATTGAAGTTATCAAAGCTGGGAGAGGGATGTGACGCGTAGGGCCAATTCGTTGTCCAGTGTTGAGAAGGCTCGTCGTATCGTCCTGTAAAATCGTAAGTGAATTCATCTTGGAAAGAGCGGGTGTGGATGTATACCTAGCTCACGGTGACCTTCGCTCTCTGAGCCATTGCATGGGATAAAGCTTGCGCCATTCATTGGTCCCCGTAGGCATACGGAAAGAAAGGAAGCGAAGATGTTCCTCTGGCTCTGGCGGCATATATAGTGGTACAGACAGATAGATGAAGACCGATCGTAACAGCCTTGCCGAGGCTGTATAGCATGCAATTCCGAGCAACCACCAGAGAAAATCACTATTTGGCTTGAACCGCAGGTGATTCGCGGTCCCAGAATACATACCGCTCCCGTTTGAGTTGGCTAAGAGGTATACACTCCGCGAAGCTGAACGTCAAGTGCGTCAAAAGCTGCCATTTTGAATAGGGCGTGGCAATATTGCAATGGAATGTTGTCTACGCGTGGCTCGGAACGAGGAGAACGCCAGGCATCCTGCGTGCTTTCTTCTAGAGGTCAGACAAGTGAGGTAGGCAATATCGTCCATTAAATGAATACAAATGATTAATACGGTTGAAAATGCTATACAGTCGTCAAAACCCCAGAGCTTAAGCTGATGTTAAGGGCTGGAAGAGGTTAAACCAACATACCGAATGCTGCATCCACGTTGGAAGCCCGAGGATGCCTGACGCCGCAGTATACATAGCACGCGATGGTCTGCAACAAGCCAGTACTATCCCAGGCCACTGATTAGCCTTGAAAACGCTGCCTCTGCGAACCACGCGCCCTGGACTGAGAATCAGCCTTTGGGTTTACAAAGTGGCCGAGGAGACGACGATTTTTCGCGATGTAAGAATGAAAGATGTGGTCTCCCATCGCGCCGAGCCAGGAGCCCCACGTCTAATACGAGAGAACAATTCGGCGTAGAAAGCGCGGGCTCATCTACAAAGTCATGTCTGGGAGGTCAAGTATGAAATTACACAATAAAACTCACTAGAATGATAGCTATGGTATCATTTTCATACGCGAAGGAAATAAATTTGCAACTTAAGTATGTATCCCAGGCTGTTTCGCAATGCAATCTTCAGCACCGCTGATGTTGTGGGAGTAGATGGAGGGTGACTAGATCCGGTCCACAGCGTGAGGCATGAAATGTGAACGCTCGGAGATAGAATGGGAAAACCAGAAGCCTTAGTTAACAGCATTTTTGAGCACTGCAGTATCGAGAGGCAGTGAAGGTTCTAGGCGGGGTACACGCTGTTGCAGAGAGGTCGTAGGGCGCCTAGCCCACTACTGTACGTTTGAGTGCGCAGCAGGGTACCTAAATTTCGCTGCTTAGATACCTTAAGAGTGGTGTAGTGCAAGACACATATGGACTGTTTACCTTCTAGTTGTGCTTTGGTTGTGCTCGTCGTGAAGTCGGCGACCGTCTCTTCTAAATCCATTGGCGCTTTTGATGGAATCCCATGTGTCGCGAACTTGAAGGATGCTGGTCTTCAACGAGAACTGAAGTTATCTGGCTGGGAATCTTGAAGCGTGAGCGTGATGTTCGAACGCCAAAGCCGTGGTAACGCCGCTCTCTCAGCAGACTCGCATCGTATCACGAGGCCCGGCGCCTAAAGTGTCCTTGTCTCAAATCGCTGCGATCGCCACATAATGACATAGCCCAAATTTCTTAAGCCTGTATCCAGTTTCTGGCAGTCGCGGACGCTTCGCGGACTCGCCCTCTTGGTCACGGTCACCTGACTCCACGAAATGCAACTCAACGTTAGTCGCCACAATGATATCCTTCTTTCCTTTGGTTGTGACAACTTGGGAACTTGATTCAGTCCGTCAACGAAGAAACCATCTAATGGACCACGGCTATACTCAACATGCTCGGAGAACCACGGTCTGTATACTCCACGGAACCACGCCGACCAGCGAACAATCCAGTTTGGACAAAACTCGAGTTGAATCCCGGGACAATGAGCTTCCAGAGTACCACGTTCCACTGAAGCATCGCATCGGCACCCACCATGAATTTGTAAGCAGGTGTAGTTCTTGTATACTGCGCTAACGTGTGTCTAGATAACCTTCTGCGATGGCACAGCTCCTGGGAATGCATGGATGGAAACATCGAATACTATTCGCGCGGCTAGCTCAGGCGTTAAACTATTTCCAACATCTCGCACCGTGTGTCGGACACAGCGTGCAGGATAACATATTGTTGCTAACATTACATATCCAATATGTGGAGTAAATGTGCAATAATCCTTCAATATAGAGTCGTGTAATATGTGATAAATATTTACTCACAATGAGAGGTTTAAGTCAGTTGAGGATAATACTGCCGTTGCTATCTCATACTCATTACATATTGGTCACACTCGAGATAACTGGGTATGACATGCTTAACTGAGATATTCTTCAGATAGCAATCAAAATAATACCGCAGATAATATCTGAGCCTGCACCCAGTGGGAGCGTCGCTGGCGATCTGCGAACATTTCAAACAGCACGCGATCCAGTCTCTGGTCTTGCTGACGCAATGGAAGGTATGAACCAAAAGCCTAACCCCGTACGAATAATTAGTACCATGCAGCTCACCAGAAAGTCCACGACGTGTTGAAATGCTCCACGGCGACATTAGCCCAGAGAACATTCTGACATTCTGATAAACGATGGAGACACGCGACATCCGCATGCGTTCGAGATACCTGCCATCAAAACAATTATAGACGTACTTTGCAAACATCTCGCAGCTCTCTACCGCTTTCATCAAGAAAGTCCGAGCCCGGTCGATCCGCCTTCTGAATGGAATGAACATCTTGCCACAATCACCCCTCCTCCTAATGTTGTGAATGCCCTTAGATATTGTACACGCAGATTTCATAAAGATTGTCTACAGTCGATGACTAAAACAGACTGGTTTTATTCACTTCTCCGTGGATCTATACCTCAGATCCCCGATCGAGCGGCTCACGAAACGGACTGGGTCGACAATACCATCCTGTAATTGCGGGACATTGTCCAAAAGTAACGGTGAGAGTTGAGTATACTAACGACAAGTAGAGCCACCATGGTGACCTAAGTGGTTTTAGCGCCCTCCGTACATCACATTCTTCGTTTGGCCGCCTTCTATTTGCGTTGGGTAAGGCCCTTCCATATATATAGCATCTCCAGTATATCTGAAAACTTCCAACTCGTTTCCTGAATCAATCCCGCAACGCATTTATTCCACACCCCTACGCTCACAGGGACATTAAAGGGATTATAGGAGTCACCAGCGCTTTCAAAGTCCGACCCAACTACTCGTCGTCAACGTGTCAAATTTTCAACACTCCCTCTTGTACTCAGTTCTGAAAATTTCATGACTGTTAACTCAGTACTCATTACCCATTACCCATGTCCATGTTGAAATTAATGCCTTCAAAACTTGCGGTCGTCCTACAGCTTGCAGAAATACGGGTAGGTCTATGACGCTTCAACAAAGGGATGCGCTACTCCGAGCAGTGAGTTGTCCCATCGCACTCCCTCATTGCCGACATCCTGATAAATGCCCACAGACAGTCGACTTCAAGCATACTCTCGATCATGCGAAGCAGCGAGTGCAGTCCCCAACTGGCGGAGAGCTTGTGGTCAAGGATCAGGGCGCGGTCATTGGAATGCCAGAACAAATACGGATCCACACAAGGTGAGCCTCGATTTTCTTATTTACTACACTGTTTTATCGGCGCTTGCATGAGACCACAACTGTTCGAGCTCTCAGATCTCAATGATCAGGGAGACCTCTCATACATCGACCGCAGATGTGCAAACAAATTGAACTCTGTGGCTTCTACTTCCTCTCAGAGCTAAGCAAGTCCCTTGGAAGTACTCTGCCTGAAATAAGTTCGATTCCTGCGATCTCTCAAACCCAGCAACCGAAAGAAATGACATCGCGGGCACGCCGCAACTCGATTAGCGCTGATAACGATTACATAACCGATTTGTTGAACGTTAACGTTGAACTCCTGTCTGCCGCCGTTCTGCGCTTCCTTACCTTTCAACTCTTCGTTTGAACGCCGGCGTTCTTCCAATCTTCACTGCCTTGACGGCATTTTACTGGAGCAGGGCTTCACTTCTTCTAATGAACACTACGATGTTTGCTGCGCAACTTCTTATCCTCATGGTCGCATACGCTCATGCATCAGACTCGACGCATACACTAGAATGGTCAAGCCCCGTGGCAGGGACCAATTTCTCTTCAGGCGATGTAATCAAAGGTAGATGGATCGCCTCCCCCGCTGTCGTATCGCCTTCTTTTAGATTATGCGCCTACGCGGGCGATTCGAGGATCAAAAGCGAGAGAGTGGCAGTGAAAGTGCGGGCAATAATGATGGCCTCGGGAGCTGCGGAGCGGCTATCTGGCCTGCTGTCAAAGGCGATGACGATCGCGTGTCTACGGTATCAATGTACGCTCCTCAACATGTTCGTGTTTGGTTGGTGCTCACTTGTTTGATTATAGGATTGCACCGACCGTAGCCACCGATTTAGAATATTTTATTCGTATGGAGGATAACTTCAGCAACGTCTACATCTCACCTGTATTCGCTCTATCTCCCAAGCTTCACAACGCCTCTAGCAATAAATCCAGCGAGAGCGAGGCAGCCACGAACGGAGCGGTGAATAATACTGCCCTTCCACCGCTGGCGGTGCCTACCTCGGCGCCCGCGCCTCCCGTCGTTCCTCCTCCGGTAGACAATCCACAATATCCTATCAGTGCGCCTAATCTCGGCTCCAACCCACCCCCGTCGAGTGATGCTTCTCCCCTGCCCCCGTTATCGAAGCCTGCAGCTACCGCACCCGCGCCAATAACTCCCGCTCGTCCCGCTGCGGCGCCGTATGGGCCTACTGCGCTTGGTACCCCCAGCTTTCTCGCAGCCCATTCTACCCCGCCTGTTGCTGCCATCGCCGTCCCTGCTTCCATCGCGGGCGCAATCATTCTTTTGGCCACCGTCCTCTCTCTAGATCGATATATGAAGCAGCGTCGTCTGCGAACGAGTGAAAAAGAGGCCCTTTCGTCCAAATCGCTCGCTACAGAGAAACTGAAAGCCGACGACGAGGAGAGAAAGTATTACCATGATCGCTTTGCTCCGCCGCCATTGTACATGCCTACTGTCGAGTACACCCAAGTCCCACGGAGGATGACAAGACAGGCATTTGCTGCTCGTATACAAGGCGGTAATCCGAACTACGGCTACGCGTATCCGGGAAACCGCTATGTAGGTCCTAGGCATTCACCGTCCAACGCATCCTCTTTGTACTCTGCAGCTTCGGTGCGCACGCCTTCCCCCCATTCCCCGCATTTCTCTCTGCCGCCCATGCGTACTATGCCATCCCCGCCATCACTCCCTCTTCCGTACACGTATACGTACGAAAGGCAGGAGGAGCCGGTCCCCGTAACGCAATCCATTCTCGCAGATTATCTCCTCCCACCTTCGGCACAACCGCAGCAACCTGAAAGGCTGATACCGATGCCCCAGCGAGCGTATGTGAGGAGGGTTGATGAACTGCCGCCGTTGAGTGATAATCCGTACGTACGCAGCTCGGGGCCCTGAGAGGGGGGGAAGAACACCCGAACAATTAAATGAGGCCGCGCTATGCACACATTTCTATCTAATGATATATCTTAGTGTATAAAATAACTTTGATTTACACTCATTTCTCAACGATTTGGCTCATCTGCCAGGGCGTTTAATATGTATGACCACCACCACTCCGCGTGCTCACATGTTCCGCTGGCGTGCTTTGGGTGCCTCTACGACTGGAATTAGCCCTACGGCAGACGGCTTTGTATTGGACACTCACCCAGGCCGGGAATTAGGCTTCGTTTGTCACAGCCTGGTCAGTATGACTTACGTATCTTCGTATTCTAGCAATCACTTACGAAGTGTGTGTCATAGAGCCGGGGACCTCCATGCCAAAGGATTGGTTAGTACAGGGTTTTGCATATTAGATTGAACACGGTGATTTTTCCTATTGTTTGATTTCTAGTGGAATTGTCAGGTAGTGTAGCTCAAATTGTTGTCGGAGGGATGGCAGAAAATGTCAGCACGGTGAGGAGCAGGTGAGGGGCGGTGTATAGGAGTGGAACTGAGAACTAATGTCAGGTTGGCACCCTGTTCGAACTCGGATACATGGTATCTCGTAGGTATATCATAGTTCCGTTTACTTCTTGTTTCGGTCCGTGCCAGCGGCGGCCTCGTTGTTTGTTCTGATTCATACATGCACATTATGCATGTTTAGTTACATCTACTACAGTATATATATAGTACCTAGCTAGCTTTCTTATACACCAAGAAGAAAGTTCCCCCCCAGTTGCGTTGCGAAAGCGAGTCCAAGCAGTTGCACGCGGCACTGCTTGACACCATTCCCAGTCCTCGCATTCACGACGCGAATATCCCTTCGCGCCTACACTAAGTCACAGAGTTTGGCAGGCCTGTGTGAACCAAAGAAATGGAAAGTCTGGAGTGTTCAAAATACTTCGACAACAGCTGTATAACGTACACCGAGCCGCACACAAGTAACGATTCTCCTACATATATTTTCAACGGAGTTTAGACTCCTTTTCACTACCTACCATAATAGGCATCATACGCATCACATGACACAACTTGGTTTATCCGCTGCCACCATCCTTGCACTTTCCATTGTTCTAACAGCCACACTGTGAAAGGTGGGAACGCGAGCAGATAAATGTGTGGCATTATTCCTCTGCTCCTTCCTACGAACGAAACGCTCACCATGTCAGAAAATCCAGAATCTCGAACCCAACGCTCGGAAGCCCGACCTGCTGTCGTTCCTCAACGCGTTCAGAATCCCGCAGTTGCACCGATAATACCACCACTCGAGTACCCTTCTGACCTCAACTACACCCCGATTGTATTTGGAATGGCACCCCATCATCATTGGTCGATGAAGCACGTCGAGCTGAACACGCTTCGGCGAAATGTCGTCGACGAAACGCAGGGTCACTACATTGTCTCGATGGACCCCAATGATTTCTTGCATGAGTTCTTACCTTGGAACAACTTCAAAACTCGTGTCTTCAGAGCCTTCAAAGCTCAGAAGCCCTCGGCCGAACGGATCAATCACCTTATAGCGATGGGCGCAAAGACCGAAAGGGAAATGTATGGGTGTTTCGTGAGTATTCTTGCGTTTCTGTATGACGGTTGGTTCAAATTTTCTTTAGAACAATGCATTCTCCGGTTGGCCCGACGCGCTTGGTGCCAAGTGTCGCAATATCAACTTCCATGACACCCATAACTATCGCGACTCGTTCAGTGGCCTTGGACCTGACTGCGTGATTGACGACCAGGAGATTGTTCGACGACGGAAGAAACTGAAGGTTGACTTCGCCAACTTGCTCAGCTTCGTCGAATTCAAAGTAAGCGAGCTGATGGACGCATTCATCGATGTTGATGGCGAAGAGTACAGTGGCAAGCAGGCAGATTCACACGATGCCGACGAAGAGGCAGGTGGCGACGAGGTAGAAGAGGAGGACGATAATTTAGGCGACATCCCAGATGCCTACACTGCCGAAGACGAGCCCTGTGGGAAATACAATCCTGAGGAACCCGAGACCGACCTGGGTCTCGAGGATGATGCAGCACTAGCCCCGTCCAAAGCTCATCCGTCTGAAAACGACAGCATCGCAGGAGCAGACACGAGGGGTCAGATTGCCAGTTACGCGGGCGTCGCCATGGCCATGCAGTTCCGGTCCCACTTATTCAGTGTCCTTATATGCGGACGATATGCACGCTTCATCCGCTGGGACCGCTCCTGTGCCATTGTATCTCGCCGCTTCGACTACACCGTATATCCCGAGATTCTATTCGAGTTCTACCACCGCTTCGCACAGCTCACGAAATATAAACGAGGGCTGCTACCGAATTTCAAAACACTACGCAAGGAGGACGGCGAGACTGCGCTCAAAGCATTCGAACGGTTTGCTAAAGAGACCTTTGAGGGCCAGGACATTGAAGAATACAAGCTACAAGCGCAGCTTCGTACTCGTTCCATGCTGCGTATGGAGTATAAGGGCGAACGTTACGCCGTACCAACACCTAGTTTCGATGGCGGCATGTACTCCCCCTTTGGGCGCCTGACTCGGAATCGTCCCGTGGTGCGCCTTTTGGCGCAGGAAGAAAAATGCGAAGTTCTGTATTTCAAGGAGTATTGGCGCGAGCACTCTGACTTTACCGAACCAGAGTCTCGAGTATATGAACTCATCTCGAAGGACGCCAATCTAAGCAACAACCCTCATTTCGCCACAATGCGCGCTGGCGGAGATATCGAGATAGAGGGCCAGCCGGTCAATACCATTGGCCACGAGTACGCAGATTCGCCGTGGGTCGTCGGCGAGATGCGAGTACGGAAGCTCACGGCCCATTTCATCATCCTCAGTACCATCGGTCGGGATCTAAGAACGTTTCGGTCAGCACGCGACCTTGTCTCATGTATCGCCGACGCGATGGAAGGTATGTTTCCGCACGTTTCCGACACCTTCATTCCAATACTAACTCTTTGTTAGCTCACCAACTCGCATACGACGTGCTAAATATCCTCCATCGAGATATCAGTGCAGGCAACATACTGATGTCTACGCAAAAGCCTCCTCGTGGTATCCTCATCGATTGGGACCACTGTATCTTCATGGATAAATTGACGAAAGACAGAGAAACAAGAGTGAAGCGAACCGTAAGAATCTCTTGATTTTATATATGACTTGCTCACTGGTTATGGTAGGGTACATGGCAGTTCATGTCGGCCCACTTGGCAGCGAATCCAAAGACGGCACCCCACAGCCTCGTCGACGACCGCGAATCCGCTCTCCATGTTCTGATGTACCTCGCCATCAAATATCTCCGCCACAACAAGGGCGATCACTACTGCATGCGAGATCTGCTTTCCATGTTCGATGATTTCATAGAAAAACCAGGAAACCCACACAAACAAGCAACTACACAAAAATCGAATGTTATCAAGCTCAAGGGTCCAGATATCGTGTTTGATCTCAAGCCGATTAATCAGCTCATCAAGAAACTGTGCACCAATTTCGCAGCTCGCTATGAAAATCCGGAAAACGATTCCGATTCCGAAGATGAAGATGCCGGGCAGTTGAAGAGAACTCGATCGAATCGGCTTTCCAACTTAAAAAAGAAAGACTGGCTCTATTCTGAATTTCGCAAGTTCGCGGCTAAGCTACCTGAACCTCAGGGCAACGAAACGGACCACGTCCATAACTCGAAGCATATCCAAGATGTTCGTCAGGGCCAGGGAAAGCGAGGGCGAGAGGATGATCTATGTGATGGAACTGATGGGTCCAAACTGGCCAAACCCTACGATATCCTGGCATTTATGGTCAACGCTAAGCATGAAGCATCTGCCCCCCCAGATCGCAAGAGGCAGTGCACCGGCAAGTAATGGGCGCGATTTGTTTACTGTATTATACACACTGTATACTCCTGTCATGCTTTATACCCTTTGCATATCATTAATGAATGCCGATTCACGTCTCCCAGAGAATTTGGACCGCGAGCCGGCATGCCAACTTGAGCATCATGATTGATATTTCGCCATTTTGGAGTAGACGTTCATCATCTCCTCCAGCGAACATACACTCCGAGAACATCCCAACTACATAGCACGGTAGACACCGACATTATCGTCAGTCTCTTGTTCGAGACTACATCGTCGGGCTGGTCACGAGGCTACTCATAAAGCCAGTATGCCAACAAGAAAGCATTGGTATACTGTGATAATATACTGTGATACAGCTCCTAATACAGCTCCTTGTACAATGGCAGATATTGCTCCCGCATGAATGAGACGGTTACCAACAATGCATGGATCCCAGATAGTGATTAGAAGCTATACGAAGTATGAGTTATATTTTATAGCTCGCGAGAAACAATCCAAGCGTGTCGAGTCCATCGGACAAGGTTGAGACAAGGCAGGCGACAACGGGCTCGACGATGGAAGACTATTTCTGCGTCTGCTCGTACAACGAGCATCCCGCGATTAGTGGAGATTAATCTGTATATCTCTTGATTATTTGGTCGGCACGTTCATCAGCGAAAATACAGTGCCCGCATTTAGTGACAGCCCGACTTTCTCGATGCGAAGAGACCATCACCATCCCTACGGAGCAGTTCTGTACTCTCATCCGCTCGCAAGCACAGAGACAACACTCTCGTGTGCTCACGATATAGACCCTCAATCTCAGTGATGCAGCAAGAATGATCAGAGGGTCGGCGGGACCCTCAGAATCTTCACTGCCTGACTCACTGCATCTGACAATGCACATGTGCCCGGCCTCGAGTGCGCCGTCACGCTCTGTGAGTCTTGAAGTGGCAAATTTCTGGTACTCGTCATACTGTTTGCGAACCGCGGAGTCATCAGGCGAATCGAGGAAAATACCCGGCGCAGGGTAATCACTCTTGTTGACGGGCAGAGGTGGACAGCAGTTCATAGGTGGGACTTGCAGTAGTATCTGATTGCTCGTCATCGAACAACACGTCATGCGGTGATATTCTGCCTTGTGTGTGCAGGGTTGTCCAACTACCACGTCAGGTCTCCACCACGTTCGGAAGAGTCGATTTTGGTATATCACGGACATCTGCGCAGAATAACCCTCGCGGTGGATCTCGTTTCCAGGTTCGCTCCCTGCGGCCTTAACTGCAGGAAATCCGTGCGCGGCGATGTCGCTGAGCTCAATCGAGACGATTGGATCGCAAGCGGCTATTGCTACTGGTAGGGAGGTATCTGGGGTATCTGGAGCATCTAGAAGCATATGCGAATGGGGGATTATCACTGGTGGTACCGCCATCATGCGAGGCATGTGCACAGCTCGAGGCGCAGGATATATCGTCGAGAGAATCTGGATTCTCAACGAACGGGATTCCGGAATGACATGGACTACATCAACTTCATCTCGTTGACTAGATGCAAGATTGTAGAGCCAGCCTCCCGATACGCATAGTGTCGCCTGACCCTGGTCTACTTCGAACTCATCGTCACTGTCATCTGTATAGTATGATGGCTCCGTTGCATAATCGGCATTGTCTTCAGCGGGAATGACAAAGCCCAGCAGCTCGGCCTCGTTATCCAGAGACCCTTTTTTGCCGAGGAAGGAATCCGGGTGAATGTGAGAGTATCGCAAATCAGTAACGAATCGTAGAAGATCGACCCCGCGCAAGAGTGTATTTAGCTTCAGCTCCATGTTAGCGAGAACATGGACAATGGCTATGCCAAGTCGCCGGTCTGGAGAGTAAGGAAAGATGCCTAGAGGTGACTCCACCTTTTCAAGAATATGTTCATCGACCCATTCTTCCGCGGCTTGGACAACTGGCTCCCAAGCATCCGCTAGCGCGTCACATCCATCTCGGCCCTTTTCGTCGTTCATCCACGCGATGTACTTCATCTGAGAATTCTCCATATGTTCGGCCGTAATCTGATTGTGCACGCTCACGCATCTACTGCAACTGCACGTAGTTGGATCGAGGATGGGAATCTGGAAAGCACCCCCTCCGTCTTCGACGTTTTCGGGAGAGGAAACGGCGCCTTCCTCTAGGTATCGTGTAATCTCGACAATATCAGGCTCGCCAGGGCAGTCTAACGCAGGGTCGATGAGAAAGGAGAAGACTTCCATGAAGGCTGGCGGCCCCTTAGGTAAAGATATAGTAGGAAGAAGAAACTCATTCGCTACATCAGAGAAGATGGCCATCAAACCACGGTCTTCTTTCGTCATGTCCCGAAACGGCTCCTCCCATTTTTCACCCCCCACATCGGTCCAGATTTCCATACCCCCAATCATGAGGTGCATTTGAATTTCATCCACTATATCCTGCAGCAGGCGTGTACGAAAATAAGCGGCCGTGGCGATGGACTGCGATATTTCATGAGAGGAAGGGAGTGCACAGCGACCACAGTATGCACTGAATAGTATGGTGCGGACGAATATATCGTGTGCCCAGTGATGGACGTGGTAGCTTCGGCAAAACCTAAGGTGGACCCATTCCTCAAGTGGGAGATCCTGGAAAGCGTCGAATATCGTCTGCGGTTCATCTACGTCCAAGGCGTCCATGTCAAACTCCGAGCCTGAGGCGACAGTGTTGGGCGATGGTGGATCCGCATTCCAGAACGCTTGGGTGTCAATTTCGAATGGAGAGAACACTTTCTTGCCCAAGCCGAAATTTCGTGTCAACCACTGTATCATGAGTAGTGATAATTTCGTTTGTGGCACCAGGACGCGATCTTGGAGTGGGCGAAGTAATACCACGGGATTCCGTTTGACGTCGAATTCATAGCGCATGGTAGCCGGTAATCTAAAGGCTGTCATTGTTTGCCCCCCAAAGTAGAAGCCCAAACCACGTACCCTTTGCCCGGCGTATCATCGTACACCCAAAGCTCATCTCTAGGCATCGCTTTGTCTTCATCATCAGCCGTGAAATCATGTCCGTAGAACGGGTTGCTTTCCTTCCCCAGAGGCAAACGGGTCTTGATCATCCTCGCGAGTTGTTCCACCACGCCCTGGACTTGATACAATCCCAGCAACGGCTCCCCATTCCCTTTGGCCCGCGATCTCAGAACGCTCATACCATTGTCAATGGCCGTAGACACCAACTGGCGGACCTTATCCAAAGGAAGCCGATGTCCAACTACCCATAACAAGAGTAGCATGATACGAGCCCGCGTTCCTTCTTCTCCTAGAGTCGATGCGCGCTTGAAGTGAGAGTTCTGCTTCAACGACTTGAAAATGCCACCAAAGGAAGGGAGAGAACTGTTGAGTTCTTGGTACCAATCGAGATCCCCAAGTATATCTGTAGGAGGCTGCATGGCAGAAAGGGCGGGGTGCACCGACAGCGCTCTGTATACGCTTAGGTGAGAATGCGTGTCCCGATCCTTCGCCTTTTCTCTTAGGTCCTGCACAACTCTCGAAGACTCCTCGACGTGGCGACGAATGCCTTCGAGATCGACTACATCCGAGGGCCGCTCAGTCGGCTCAATGTTCTGTAGACGAAGGCACTCACCAGTGACATGGTTCACGAATTGAGAACCTTTCACATTGTTGAATGTAGATTTATCGTTTGCGACGTTGGTGTAGACGGGGACGTGCGGAGCGGGGTCAGACATTCGCAGGCAAGAGATCGGAACAGCATGGGACGCACCTGGCGCTTTGGCCGCAGACGACTACCGTGGGGGCATTATTGCCTACTGTGTGAATTGGGCACGATATCGCTGCTTCGCTGATTGCGCGCCGAGGCCAAATAGAAGACAACCGCATTGAGCACCCACTGCCAACTTTGCCATTTCTACGTGTTAACCTTGCTATGCAGATGCTGCCCACGACCCTCGCCTATTACGAGACCTTCCCTTGCGAGGACCTAATCTTACTGAAACCCTTTCTATCAGTTTGGGTATGCATAAAGATGGACCTCACTAGCATTACTAGCGTCGGTTTCTCCCATGATTTCTGTGACTACATCCCCGATCCCGAACTCGATGCGCACGAACTCGATGCGCATCCTGTTGAAGACATCAGTTTTACCACCACCGTGCTCTATACTCGACACTTCGCTACCAAGCATTTCGCATTTCTAATACTGTGTCAGTGCGCACTCTAATGGTTCCTTTGTTAACCGGCAATTGACCTCTGGAGAGCGCGATGGGTCCGACGGTGTACGGCCGATGACTATGAAGTGCAGACAATGAACGATAAATTGTCAGGAAATGGAAGAGGAGGATCGTTTTATCACGCTTCCTCTGAGGATATCTCAACGCAGACAAGCAAAATGAACGAGCCCACCTCCCCCTTTCCGCTGCATCTACTGATCCATTGTCGCCATTTCTGGAAGAGAATAACGAATTCAAGTTTCTGGTAGCTAGTGGACGTTTTGGTCTGTCAGCTTCGCAACTCTCCCTCGTCCTTCTTCCGAGACTTACGAAAGGATGAGATTTGTTTCGTACCAGCGCCCTCCCTCCGTAGGTCGATGAGAGCTTCTGAATCCTGTGGTTTATGGTCAACCTGCAGTGCTATAAAGGCAGAACTAGACGTACCGTTAAACTATCGCGGAAGTCTAGTCGTTTCGAGGAAAACGGCTGAGACTATCGTATTCGACAGCGTATTCGCAAGCATCAATCTACGCTCTGCTTGGACTTCTTTCCTGGCAGCTTCTTCTTCGACTTCACGAGCCAGCATTCGCTTGATGTTATCAGGGCAATACTGGTGATACAACACTAGCACCTGTTGAACATTCGGTTTGAATATTTGAATGGTTGGGTTTTGACAAGGCAGTGGGCGCTTATATCACTCTGAACCATCAACATGGCGTCTAACTCCTCTCCTGCTCTGCCTTCGCGAATCGCGTGTCGCTGTAAACTGGGAACCAGTGAGTGACACTCTTGCTTTAACTTTGTATTGCGCACGACTCTCACACTTTACGCACACGCACATCCCACTCACTCTCACAGAACGGCTCACACTCCGCCCCTAGTACCCACAGTCAGCACCACTACCACATCCTCCTCAGCGACTCGACATCCGCACTCAGCGGGCGCCCACTGGGACCCTTGGGAAGTGTCAGGGCTCCGAAATGAAAATGACGAGGTAGAAGAATGGCAGAAAAAAGGACATTCCGCGTAGGACGAGGGGAGTCACGACTCACCGGTGGGATAGGAATTGGTGAATACACACGGAGAAAAGAATAATGGAATAAGTGGAGTCGTAAGTTCCTACCCCATTGCTTAGTTGCGTTTAGTGAAACTGCTTAGGGTGATGCCGCTGCCACGGTGCACGCGAGCGAAGACACAAATGCCTCAAAACAGCGTCATCGCCACTACTCGAGCGCTGGCATTTATAAGAGAATGGAAGGCAGAAGCGAAAGTTCGGACACGAGCGTGGAAGGGCGAGAGCGTAGAGAGATGAAACGAAACGTGAACCAAGGTGTACATCCGCAGCTGGGATACTGTCAAAATCCATGTGTGTGTGGTCAACACAGCGTCCCGTATTATATTTCGAGGTCCCAGAGTAGTCACGATGGTGAGTTGAGGAGAACAATAATACTTGTCCTGGCCCACTGATCAACCGCTTGGGCCAGTGTACTTAGGGTCTGTTTTGCTGCACACTTTGCTGCACTAACGCCTGTGTGAGACGTCGCTCGATCCAGACAAGGTACCCGATGCAAGGAACACATCGTCCCTCCTCTTCATAAGAATATCACGGCTACATTCTCAATTGGCAGTGCTTTTCTATAACACGTATCCCAACACAACTCGAGTCACGGCACAACAATTGCAGAATAGTTCTGTCTCGTGGAGCGATTGTCAATATTTATATGGGAGAGTTGTGAAATAGGGCGAAGGGGTTCCTTTGAAATACGCGAAAGCGCTCCTAACCTCCCTACTTACCAATACTCATCTGAAGAAGGCTAATCATGTTCGACGAGCTACATTGGGCGTTGACGGTGGGCGACTACGGAACGTTCCTGGGTGAATAATATTCCTCACTCTGTGTAGTGGATTGCGGCGGGTAAGTAGTCTCAACGCCCCTGATTGCCTGCCGAGGTGAAAGTCAACTCTGTCCAGTCTCCTACTAGTGTTGAGGCTGCTAGTCGTCAGATTCAATGTGTGTGTCATAGTGCTTATTGCTAATAATACATGAAGTCGTCTAGCGTGCAAAAAGAGCCGCAACGAAAGAAAGATGAATATGTCCGGGATAAATAAGTTGGTGCAGGATAAATATGAAACAACGTTGGCATAGATCAGAGTATGATATACATCGAGTAGCGTCTTCATTTCCTGCCAGAGCGCTGCTTCTTGCGAGGTGGCGTTTCGACCGAGGTGGCTGCTTGGATGTTGGCATCGATTGAACCTGCTATGCCATCGTGGGTTGAGATCAATTTCGAGCCATCAGCTTCATCGCATAGATCGTCCGCTAGCGGTCGTTTCCTATTCGGTTTGAGAAGTTTCGTGTTGTCGATGTAGTCAATTTCTCCAGGTGATACGGGAAGCAGCGCAGCGTAATGACGTAAAACGTCGCAAAGCCACGTCGGGGTCCTGGCGATATTATCGAGTCTTATTTGACGCTGCAAAGCCTGAAAGGTCGCCATGCCCACAGAATATGCGTTGAAGGGACCCTTTTTGGGAGGTACTACGGGGGTGTCTTCGTAGCGAGCCGCGAATTCGTTACAGAGCACTTGGATCAGTTCATTGATTTCATCGATGCCGAAGATGAGCTTTTTGACACCGAATGCCATGAAATTGAGTTTTGACATCGTTCCTTTGCGATATGGGTTTCCGTCGACTTCAATGTAGTCGTCGAACATGTTCAGCAGGTCTCGCATTTCGAAGGCGTTGGCCTTGTTGTGGGCGAGATGCCGGATACCCATGTACAGCAGTACGTGCAGAGCAGATTCACGGTCGTCGACGAGGCCATGGCACGCAGATTCCGGATTCGCTGTCAGATGCGCTGACATGAATTGCCACGTTCCCTGTACGAGGCAGTGAGCATCATTCACCGCCGTCTGAAGAATGGACACTTACAGTTCGATGCACCCTCGTTTTTCTGTCTTCCGTCAAATTGTCCATGAAAATACAATGGTCCCAATCGATCAGGATACCACGATCAGGTTTGTCCGTGGATATGAGGATGTTACCCGCGCTGATATCGCGGTGGAGAATATGGAGCTCGTCGTACGCGAGCTGATGGGCTGTTGTACGATGAGTATCGGTGTGATATCGATATATAAAAACTCACCTTCCATCGCGTCTGCCATAGACGACACCAGCTCGCGCGCTGATCGGAACATCTTGAGGTCTCGGCCAATGGTTTCGAGGATGATAAAATGCGCCGTGAGTTTCCTGATCAGGAGTTTACCTGTCTTCCACGGCATATCCGTATCATCGAAACCGATAGTAGTCGCTGGACAACCGTCCACCTCAGCATCACCTCCCGCATGCATCTTGGCGAAGTAGAGGCATTCCTTTGTCTTGCTGTTCGTCGATAGGAGGTCGTATACCTCGGCCTCCGTTTTCGTATATTCAGAATGCTCGCGCCAGTAGTCCTTGAAGAACATGACGACGTTTTTTTCGTGATTTGAACAACAGCGCGGTTGCGAGTCACTCGTCCAAACGGAGAGAACATTCCTCCATTGAACGTCGGTGCTGGCACCACGTAAGGACCCCCTTTGTAGTCCATGTGTAGCAGCGGGATGCGTTTCCTGTTGAGGCGCTTCTTGTACTTTGCCCCTCCAATGGTCCCATAGGCGGTTCCAGCATATGCTGCGAGGGCTTCTAGCGCAGCCGACGCTTCCGTATCGCTCGCTGTCTTGAAGCATGGTAGCAAACCACGTTGGGTGTCGGTGAGCTGCGCGAATCGATGGTAGAAATTGAAGAGGATGTTGGGGTACAGTGTGTAGTCGAAGCGCCGTGAGACGATGGCGCAGGAGCGGTCCCAACGGATGAAACGAGCGTACTTGCCACAGATAAGGACGCTGAACAAGTGGCTTCGGAACTGCATAGCCATGATGACGCCTGCGTAGCTGGCAATTTGCCCCCGGGTCTTCCTTCCGCCTTCAGTGTCGTTTTCGAAAGGATACCGAGCCGAAGGAGAGGGGTCTGAATCAACCTTGACCTCCACTCTGTCTTCTGGGGAATTCGCGGGGTGCTCTCCGTGATCGTCCTCTGCGACGAAGGCTTTCGTATCGGGAGCATCTACCGCTTGTTCTGCCGAATAATCAGCAGCATCTGGAGCAGTATCGCTCCTTTCGTGGTCATAGACCACTCCAGCTTTCTCCCAGTCAGCGTCCTGAGGACCAGGGCCTGGGTAAGGTTTGCGGTCACTGTCAATGAATGCGTCGCGGCGGTGATCTGGCTTGAGTTCCAAGAAGCTGAGCATATTCGCAAAGTCGACTTTGATCATCGTCTTGCGAGGGATCCACGGTTTCTGTCTATTGTAGACCGCTTCGTCCGTGCCAAGGCCGCTGAACGAGTCTCGATGGTTGTGGGTGTCTTCGAAGTCGATATTACGAGATAGTACGCGATACGCCTTGGGCCAACCACGAAGGGCGGCGTGCTGAGAATGATGTAAGCATGGTATGATTCAAAGCGTGATTAGTGCTACTTACACATGCACGGTTCATGTCACTTTCCCCAGACTTGGTGGCCATAGATTTCAGAGCGGTGAGTTGCTTCTTAGAGGGCTTCTGGGTCTTGAATTTCTTGAAGGCACTGGAGTCGTCAATGTTCCATGGTAAGAACTTGTGCATAAATTTGATTGGGTCGACGTCTCCGATGTAATGACCCCGGGTTTCGTGAGCCATGTTGGGAAAGAGCTTGTCGAGTTCGACGTGGTCCATTGCCCAGAGATGAACAGCTGCAAGTCTTGCAACGCGCGGTGTTGGATTTGGATCGTATTCCTGAGGACGGTTTGCAGGGGTAGCAGGATTCGGAGGGCGTTCCGGGTGCGTGCCACCGCTGGTGAGGCCTGCTTGCTGAGAGTGGGTTTGAGATTCTGGATTTTCAGACATGGTATGAGCAAATGATAGAAGCAAGGAGGATACTACGAGACCGAGTTTATATACGTGCTAGCTTACCTTTCGAATGTGGCCGTTGGAACAATGGAAAGTAAGGTGGTGGCGAAGATTCAACCAAGGTATGTCATGTGACACGTGCCACATCCCTATTATGGTAGGTAGTTAACAACGTTCAAATCCCGCTATATCAGCCACAGGCCACCCGCTCATCTCTACGTGGTCCAGAACTGCGCAGCGTTTTCGGTGGACGGCTCAATCGAGCAAACAATGTATATACCTATTCATATCTCTTTGTGGTCTCCCTGAGCCACACACAGCCCACCCGCTCGTCTTTCGGTGGCTGCATCAACGACATGGTTGGTGGACACTGCCCAAGCACCCAACATAGCTGCAAGGCCTTCGCCCCAGGCTGAAAATCAAGGTGCAGGTGAGACCTCAGGTATTCGTGCTGCAGCACCACTTTCATGAATCTCAAGGCGCAAACAATGTATGTACCTATTCATATCTCTTTGTGGTCTCCCTGAGCCAGTAGTGCTCGTATATCCCAAGTCGACGCCAAGCGAACACCGGATATCAGCCACCATCTTTAACATTCAATGCTCATCCCAGCGTCGTGAACCTCCTCCGCCTTCGCGGCCGTCGCTCACTGCGGGAGGCTAATACAACTACTCTGAGTCCTTTAAAAATATGGTGAGAAGACAATGACTCGACGAACACGCGATCTCCCAACAATACATCGACTGTTGTGAGTCGGAGTAGCGGATCCTCAAGCAGCTGATGTGAGCGGCGTGTTGGCCTCGGAGCAAGACATGAGACACTGAACCCACCGCAGATACATCGTTGCCACATCGAGTTCAATTTCTTGGCATGCACAGGAGGTCTTAAGAGCCCTTTGTACAGGAGGTACAGCGTTGAGCCCTTTTTATATTGAATTCGGCGGACGTACATATGGACTTTACTAGTGCTTCTGACTTCTCCCATCACGGCGTGGGTTGAATGAAAGCCGCTTTTGATGACACGTCATGTTGGCACCATCAATAAGAGCAACAGCAATCTTTCGTTTGGGTGTGCGAAAGGCGACCAGCTATCCAATGCCTCCTGACCTAGTCACCCATCAAGCCCAAATGGCTAGCGCTTCTGTGGCTCAGTTGGCTAGAGCGTTGGTCTCATACTGTAGTATGATCGCATGTAGATGCGAGTAATCCAAAGGTCGCAAGTTCGAGCCTTGCCAGGAGCATTATTTTTACTTTTCTACCCTGGCTAGCCAGGTTTTTTTCACAGTCGTCGACGCGAATAATTCCTGACCACTTCCCAAATCCGCAAATCAAAAATCATGTCCAAGTTGTTGAAAAGCGCCCACGGCCTGCTTACGTAATCGATCAGTGAAGGCGGTGCCCACTAAATCCAAGGCCAATTCCGAGGAACCTCGAGCTCAACGTCCACAACGATGAGCTCCACTCGTCTCCCTTCGCTCAACCAGTTAGCTGCGCGCATCAACCCGGCGAATCCCACATCGTCCCAGTCGGGAGCGGGTCAATCATCTAATCAACCCCAGGGCCAAGCCCAGAACAGACCACGTCTTGCGGCATTTGCATTGAGAACCCATTCCAACTCTTCGCTGGCGACGACCGCGTCGACCACCGATTCCGTGGCTGTCAATGTACCAAGTACCCGCGCAGCGTCGCCGTCTAACCTTTCGACATCGCCCCCGAGATCGGATACACCAACGGTTGTGGAGCCCCAGGGCGAACCTTTGACCAAGGAAGGTTTGGAGAAGCTCAACGAGGAGACGGCGCACAACAACAATACAGTCACCGAGAAGAAGAAGGGAGTGCGAGTTGGCTATAAGAACATACCTAGCTTAGACGCCATCACTGCTCGATTGGCCAATGTCAAGGAACGGGGGCTCAGTATTGATGGGTCGGCTAGACCTCCCGAGGCAGAGATGATAGAGGATCCAAAGACACCAGGATTGCAGATGAAAGCACCCGAGCATCCGTTACAGTATACGTGGTGCGTTTTACCCTCTGCTGCTGCCTGCTTTTGTTGATCGTGGGCGCACGCATAGGACGATCTACCACGACACCAAGGCCAAGTTTCCATTTACCCCCGCTTCTTCCACGGCTGGCGGCGTCCCCAGCGCTCCCCAGTCTGCTGTTGACCCCGGATTCCCTCATACCGCCGAGCCGGCGTCGTACGAAGCCAACCTGACCGTCATCGGCGAATTCGACACCGTTGAATCGTTCTGCCGCTACTTCAACTGGCTCAAGCCGCCCTCTGCACTGACGCCTAACTCGAACTACCACCTATTCAAGCACGGGATCAAGCCGATGTGGGAGGACCCGTCGAATGCGCAAGGCGGCAAGTGGGTGATCACGATGCGCAACAACCCGGCGCTGCTGGACCAGTGCTGGAAGTGGCTGGCGATGGCTCTGATCGGGGAGGAGCTGGAGGAGGGGGACGACGAGATCTGCGGGGCGGTGGTCAGTCTGCGGAGCAAGGTGGACCGGATCCAGGTGTGGACACGGAGCAAGGAGGACGTGGAGCGGCTGAATGGGATCGGGAAGCGGCTGATCAAGCTTCTGGATGTGAGCGAGGCAGACGGGATTGGGTTGGAATTCCAGGCGAGAGAGCTTCATTTATCACCACGATTGTCGTGCTAACAGGTTGAGCAGTATAACACTGAAGACCGACCGTTGCCGAACAAGTTCATCTCGATCCAGTCGCTTCCTTCTACGTCGTTCAGGGCGGGGTTCCAAGGGGGTGGGGGAACGCCTACCACGGCGGAGCACCCATCGACTCCTCACCAAGCGACGTCTGGGCACGCGCATAGTCTCTCACAGGGGGCTAGTGGAGGGACGAATGCGCAACAAGCATATGGCGCATTCGGTAGCTTTGGGGTGGGGATTGGGCCGGGCCAGGGCGCACCTGGTGGGGGCAACGCTTGGAGACCCAGGAGGGGCTAGGTGGTTACAAGCTAGGTAATGCGGCCATTGATAGTCTCTGTCGCTTCGTCAGTACGACGGCGTACACCAGGTGTAAACTATGTAGGAATGTATGAGTACGTCGGGCCAGGAAATGTTACATGCATGAAGTGGTAGACGTGGCGGGTGCTTTATTTCACTTCAGGCTCTATCAACGTGTGGATTCTCAACTGGTACAGGTACCTTGTGCTCTAGCCGCCGGGCATTGACTTACACAAACCGCGAACACCCACAGTGACAAATGTAGATTGTTGAATTGCTAATCATGGGCCAGTTCAGATGGAGTCGTCGTGCTATCAATTTACATACATTCACAAGATCTGCGACGAATGGCCGTTACAAAGACAGCTGACAAGATACAAGTTGAAGTGGACGAGAGTTACAGGGCTTGTGCTCTGATGAAAACGGGGATCCCTATGAATCCTTGACGCCTTGGAATCGAGGGCATCATAGCCGAGTACCACCCTTGAGAGAGCCGGCTACCGCCTCAGTACTGCATATCCTCGCTGCTTTACGCAACATGCGCAGGTACCAGACTTTCAGAATACGGGAGGCGATGTCAGATTTGTTTACGGGAAGAGGTTATATTTCTGGATGCTATTGTCTATATAACTGGGCAGTGGAGAAGAAGACGAGTAGTAGGAGTGTGTCGCCCGCAGTGAGCGACGGCCGCGAAGGCGGAGGAGGTTCACGACGCTGGGATGAGCATTGAATGTTAAAGATGGTGGCTGATATCCGGTGTTCGCTTGGCGTCGACTTGGGATATACGAGCACTACTGGCTCAGGGAGACCACAAAGAGATATGAATAGGTACATACATTGTTTGCGCCTTGAGATTCATGAAAGTGGTGCTGCAGCACGAATACCTGAGGTCTCACCTGCACCTTGATTTTCAGCCTGGGGCGAAGGCCTTGCAGCTATGTTGGGTGCTTGGGCAGTGTCCACCAACCATGTCGTTGATGCAGCCACCGAAAGACGAGCGGGTGGGCTGTGTGTGGCTCAGGGAGACCACAAAGAGATATGAATAGGTATATACATTGTTTGCTCGATTGAGCCGTCCACCGAAAACGCTGCGCAGTTCTGGACCACGTAGAGATGAGCGGGTGGCCTGTGGCTGATATAGCGGGATTTGAACGTTGTTAACTACCTACCATAATAGGGATGTGGCACGTGTCACATGACATACCTTGGTTGAATCTTCGCCACCACCTTACTTTCCATTGTTCCAACGGCCACATTCGAAAGGTAAGCTAGCACGTATATAAACTCGGTCTCGTAGTATCCTCCTTGCTTCTATCATTTGCTCATACCATGTCTGAAAATCCAGAATCTCAAACCCACTCTCAGCAAGCAGGCCTCACCAGCGGTGGCACGCACCCGGAACGCCCTCCGAATCCTGCTACCCCTGCAAACCGTCCTCAGGAATACGATCCAAATCCAACACCGCGCGTTGCAAGACTTGCAGCTGTTCATCTCTGGGCAATGGACCACGTCGAACTCGACAAGCTCTTTCCCAACATGGCTCACGAAACCCGGGGTCATTACATCGGAGACGTCGACCCAATCAAATTTATGCACAAGTTCTTACCATGGAACATTGACGACTCCAGTGCCTTCAAGAAATTCAAGACCCAGAAGCCCTCTAAGAAGCAACTCACCGCTCTGAAATCTATGGCCACCAAGTCTGGGGAAAGTGACATGAACCGTGCATGTGTAAGTAGCACTAATCACGCTTTGAATCATACCATGCTTACATCATTCTCAGCACGCCGCCCTTCGTGGTTGGCCCAAGGCGTATCGCGTACTATCTCGTAATATCGACTTCGAAGACACCCACAACCATCGAGACTCGTTCAGCGGCCTTGGCACGGACGAAGCGGTCTACAATAGACAGAAACCGTGGATCCCTCGCAAGACGATGATCAAAGTCGACTTTGCGAATATGCTCAGCTTCTTGGAACTCAAGCCAGATCACCGCCGCGACGCATTCATTGACAGTGACCGCAAACCTTACCCAGGCCCTGGTCCTCAGGACGCTGACTGGGAGAAAGCTGGAGTGGTCTATGACCACGAAAGGAGCGATACTGCTCCAGATGCTGCTGATTATTCGGCAGAACAAGCGGTAGATGCTCCCGATACGAAAGCCTTCGTCGCAGAGGACGATCACGGAGAGCACCCCGCGAATTCCCCAGAAGACAGAGTGGAGGTCAAGGTTGATTCAGACCCCTCTCCTTCGGCTCGGTATCCTTTCGAAAACGACACTGAAGGCGGAAGGAAGACCCGGGGGCAAATTGCCAGCTACGCAGGCGTCATCATGGCTATGCAGTTCCGAAGCCACTTGTTCAGCGTCCTTATCTGTGGCAAGTACGCTCGTTTCATCCGTTGGGACCGCTCCTGCGCCATCGTCTCACGGCGCTTCGACTACACACTGTACCCCAACATCCTCTTCAATTTCTACCATCGATTCGCGCAGCTCACCGACACCCAACGTGGTTTGCTACCATGCTTCAAGACAGCGAGCGATACGGAAGCGTCGGCTGCGCTAGAAGCCCTCGCAGCATATGCTGGAACCGCCTATGGGACCATTGGAGGGGCAAAGTACAAGAAGCGCCTCAACAGGAAACGCATCCCGCTGCTACACATGGACTACAAAGGGGGTCCTTACGTGGTGCCAGCACCGACGTTCAATGGAGGAATGTTCTCTCCGTTTGGACGAGTGACTCGCAACCGCGCTGTTGTTCAAATCACGAAAAAACGTCGTCATGTTCTTCAAGGACTACTGGCGCGAGCATTCTGAATATACGAAAACGGAGGCCGAGGTATACGACCTCCTATCGACGAACAGCAAGACAAAGGAATGCCTCTACTTCGCCAAGATGCATGCGGGAGGTGATGCTGAGGTGGACGGTTGTCCAGCGACTACTATCGGTTTCGATGATACGGATATGCCGTGGAAGACAGGTAAACTCCTGATCAGGAAACTCACGGCGCATTTTATCATCCTCGAAACCATTGGCCGAGACCTCAAGATGTTCCGATCAGCGCGCGAGCTGGTGTCGTCTATGGCAGACGCGATGGAAGGTGAGTTTTTATATATCGATATCACACCGATACTCATCGTACAACAGCCCATCAGCTCGCGTACGACGAGCTCCATATTCTCCACCGCGATATCAGCGCGGGTAACATCCTCATATCCACGGACAAACCTGATCGTGGTATCCTGATCGATTGGGACCATTGTATTTTCATGGACAATTTGACGGAAGACAGAAAAACGAGGGTGCATCGAACTGTAAGTGTCCATTCTTCAGACGGCGGTGAATGATGCTCACTGCCTCGTACAGGGAACGTGGCAATTCATGTCAGCGCATCTGACAGCGAATCCGGAATCTGCGTGCCATGGCCTCGTCGACGACCGTGAATCTGCTCTGCACGTACTGCTGTACATGGGTATCCGGCATCTCGCCCACAACAAGGCCAACGCCTTCGAAATGCGAGACCTGCTGAACATGTTCGACGACTACATTGAAGTCGACGGAAACCCATATCGCAAAGGAACGATGTCAAAACTCAATTTCATGGCATCTGGCGCCCAAGATCTCATCTTCAATGTCAAACCCATAAATAGGCTCATCCGAGCACTTTGTGGCTCGTTCTCCACTCGCTACGAACAAGACTCCGAAGACACAGAAGATGACGAGGACGCCGAGGACCAGGATCTGACCATATCAACCCTACGGGCTGCGCAACGTCAAAGCAGACTCGAGAATATGAAGAAGCCTGAATGGCTTTATGAAGTGTTTCGCCGCTATGCTGTGCGCCTTCCCATGCTATCACCTGGCGAGTTAGACTACATCGACAACACGAAAGTTCTCAAGCCGAACAGAAAACGACCGCTAGTGGACGATCTATGCGATGACGCCGACGATTCGAAATTGATCTCAACCCACGATGGCATAGCAGGTTCAATCGATGCTGGCATTGACTTAGCTCCTCCCGTCGAGACCCCACCTCGCAAGAAGCAGCGCACTGGCAAGAAATAAAGACGCTTCCCAATGTACATAATATTCTCATCATATGCCAATCTTGCTTCATACTTATCTTGTATTAACCTATTTAACCCGGAACATTCACCTTTCATTCATGTCTCTATCTACTTACATGCCAGACGGTATTTCCATCAGCGCCATCAACGTTGATATGAGGACACTGGGGATACGTTCTCTACTTCTTTGGAGTGGTTGGCGGTGGGCCACTTTACATCCCACATTCGAAGGAATCAGTTTGCTAGTCCACATCGACAAAGGTACGACAGTCCTGTTTACATGCACATGGCCCTGACAACATCCTCTCTCAACTCTGCGCCTCGTGCACTCCTTCCGAATCGACCCCTGCCTTGGACTTTGGGGCTGCGTCAGTGTCCTGTGAGGGTATTTTGGGTGCCGATGGCGCGCCTTGGGCGGTCGCAGTCGCGGTTGCTTCACGAGGGATCAGGAAGCTACACGCCAGCCATCCAATACAAGTTCCTACACGCCAAACAACGTAAATCACGGTGGAAAACGTATGCTACGCTAGCAGGCCCGTACGTACGATTATTCTTCCAGAATTCGACGTAGTCGTTACAACGTTGCTCCTGTCCCCGCTGCCCCGCTGCAGAGGGGGCTCGAGAAGGCTGAGACAGCCCAAATAGCAAGATGAGATACGTCCACGTCGACGCCATGATGCTGAAGAAGACCAAGCCCGGCAGCGAAATAACAACAACTGTGAGTTGTTTCGCGGTGAGGATTTTCATCAAATTCGACGCTTTCGAGACAGCGAAAGCGAAATGAACCCAAAAGGCTCCCATACAGACTATTCACGGAATAAATAATGAAGTTAGTCCTTGGTTAGCGGTAGAACCGGACGAAGCAAGCGTTGAACGCAGGCGGAGGGTGTGACCGGTGGGGTCGGTGAAGATGGAGCAGAGAGTCCAAAAGCTACTCACTTGAATTGATCCATATTTTGGCTTTCAGGACGCGAGTCGCCATGTCTGAGTCACTCACAGGAAGTGGACGATAACGATGATACAACTGGGAAACGGGGATGAAGGCAAGTAAAAGCGTGTCGATGGCGAGTAGAATTATTGTATATGGGCCAAAGATGTGGTCCCAAGGGTAATACGTTTTCCAAACCCGAAAACCATGCAAGAACACGACGAGAGCATAGTAAGCTTGAACTGACATTGGGTACAATGGCGAGAGGAAATTTTACATATTCAAAGTCCGCAGAATTTCAACACATTCGAATTTCTCGTAGAACATACTGTCGTTCTGCTATGCTACAGTTTATCCCCAGAAGCTACTATAAGACGAAGTTGATTTATCCACAGTGATTGCAGACGATTTTTGATGCCGCACACTCAGTCACCAAGCTTTCTCTTCCTAACGAGGGGTTGAGGTGTCGGAGTAGATGGTCCAGCCTTCCCAGTCAACGAACGAGTAGACATGCCGACATCTTTCGTAAGCGATCCTACCGCCTTCTTTTCCACTCGAGCCTTCGCCCTTGCTCGCGTCTGCATAAGCTCTTCAGCCTTGGGCGTCGGATTCACCTTTCGCCCACTCCTGCGAGGAGCAGCCTTTGGCGTAACATTCCGCGTCCACGTCCGGTGTCGTAGTGATACCAGTCATCGGAAACGGTCCCGTGGCAGAGTATCTGGCGACTGATAAGCCCTGAGAGAGCCGTAAGTATTGGAGGAAGTTGCGTGCTGGGCGACCTCTCCATCAAGCATACGGAGAACAGAGCTGTCGCGCGACGGCGGTAGAGAATCAGTGGGAGTAGGATAGTCATACGGAACGAAATATAGGAGGCAAGGAGCCCGAAGCAGAAGCTAGAGCCAGCAAGGTTCGCAGGACGAGGATCCTGTTGCTAGAGAGGCCGCGTTGCTGATGGGTAGATGCAAAGAGCTAGTAGTCGCCGGTCCGGGTACCAATTCCGACGCAGAAAGAGCCACACTGCTTGCACTTACGCCTGAGGAAGTGGATTGTTCTTCAGCTTGAGGTACAGCCCACCCAGAAGGGACCTCCAAATGGAGCATTGTTGGTGCAGGCGCAGGCGGGGGAGCCATAGCGTTGTTCATCACTGCAGTAGCCCTGAGAGTGTTCTCTAGTAACGCAGCATTCTTGCCTGTTCCGCCTCTGTACGCAGAGGTAGGTGAGATTGCGCGGATCGGTTGAACATTCCGCGAGATCTTTGGAGGACGTCCCTTCCGTTTCGGAGCGGTGCTGATCGATTCCGCATCTGGCGTCGGTCTCGGTGTCGCTTTGTCGTCCTTCTGTTTCGGTTTACGAGCGGGAGCCGGAGTCGAAACCGCGCCCTTTTGTTTATCTTTGGGCTTCGCAGTCGTCGCTAGGTCCTTGACGACACGGCCGAGTAGTAGTTGCTCGTCGAGGTTTTGCTTGATAGCTTGGACTTTGGAGTTTCGCGTTTGACGCGGGACGTCCTGCTTTTCGCTTGCTCTGTCCAATTTACCTGTAATGAAATCGACTTTCCGCTGGAGATCTTGAAGCTTACGAGCTAATATAAAATCGTCAACAGGACTATATGGTGAGAGAAGGATGGACGGACCACTCGTCGTCCTCAAAGTCCGGAATACTCGTGTCGAAGTGATATTATGGAAGACAAATAACGCACCCACACCAAAGCAAAAGTCTTGTAGCTCAAGTACCGGAGAGTGGCGTTGAGCCTGGTGCACAAGTGATTCTCGGAGGAGCTGCTCAGTAGAGTGCACGAATCCATCGTAAAATGTTTCGGCAAACATGATGAGCGCGACTGCTTGGGACGTACTACTAGTTATCGGGATGGAGACAAACCGATGGAAGAGATCTCACATGAAGCACGCTTTCATCATGTTGGCATTCTGGAATATCATAAGTCAGGAGGATCTGGCGCGCCCAGGCTTCCATGCGTGTGAAACATCCCAGTGTTTCGCTTTGAGATCGTCGGTAACTCGACGAGGCTCACAGGGAGCGGCCGTTCGATTTCCAGCCTTCCGCAATCCACCGAGCATGAACTGGGTGGCGTTGTACTATACAGTACGCTATAGTTAGCCGCGCAACTGGGTGGGCGACGACGACGAACTAACCTCGATGCTGACTCGTTCTCCCGAAGGAGGGTCGAGTTGTAGTGCGACGTATTCTTGATGCAGCGGGAGGGTTTCATGCTGCCATACTTTATTACGAGCATGCTTGATTTTCTACGGAAGATGTACATGTTAGCACACCGATGCTTGCGACGTAGAGAACCTCTACTCACATGCAAGTCTTTTGATAGAGGCTGGTCTTTGTCGGTGGCAGCAGCGAACTCTGAGCTTCGGGAATCGCGCGTGTCTTCGACATCGTTGCTTGTGGCACAATCGTCACCGTAGTCGTCTCCCGAGCCATAGATCTCATTGTACTCTGACTCGTCCGAAGCTTCGCCTCGTAAGCTCACGCCATCTATCCAACTACGCCTCTCGTCGCTGTCTTTGTCTGCCAACGGTGCTTCTGTATCGAGTCCGTAGGAAAAGTCGGGATCGAAGAGTATTGTCTGTGCCTCAGCAGCACCCCCAGCGGTGGGGTTGGACTGAGATCCATCAGTTGCGGGGTGTACCAGCTCGGACAAAGAGAGAGCGTAACTCATACTTGCGTCAAGTGTGAAGTCGCGTAGAGGAGATGAGGTGAAATGGAATCGTACTGCGAATTTAATGGAGGGATAAGGCCAAAAGCTGGCCACGGCACCGCTCAACAAGCGGCGTTGTTCAAGTGAAATCATTGTGACAAAGGGTTAAAGTGACATGTGACAAACTTTATTTCCATTCACCAACTTACGCTCCCCATTTCAACAATGCGTCGCTCCCCAATTTCTCCCGGATCAACTCCTCGCTCAAGCGCCAGAGGTTGTTCGCCAATTCGTCGTTGCTGGCCTGGGCCGTCGGGTTACTCTTCGTGCCGGGGTCGGTCACATAGCTGCCTTGCCACTTGTTCCTGCCACCTGCACCGTCACTTCCATCTACTTCACGGCTGACGGCGGCCCAAACTGTACTGGCGCTTCCTTGGTTCGGATCTTTCATGAAAGGAACTGTTACCGATTTCAGAACGGAACCGATAACCTCCCCATAGGCCTCCTTGAACTGGTCCTGCTGGCCCGTGTGTACTGCGCCAGGGTGAGTAGCCAAAGCCATGACATTGATGTTGTTCGCGCGAGTACGCTGTCAACGAGCCTGCGAGTGAAAAGGATGTTGGCGACTTTGGTTCGTGCGTAAAGACTGTTCGCGGATAGGTCTTTTGATTCATTCGTTTCTTTGGAGGCTCCAGTCGAAGCGACTTCGGCCTTGTTCGAAAATTTGATTGACCCTGGAGCGGTTCGATGTAACTCGGAGGAAATCGTGACGATTCGAGGAACTCTAGCTTGCGCCGCGTTCAAGGTGGGGAATTTCGAGGTCTCAATCATCAACGGAAGCAGACGATTGATGAGGAGGAAGTGCCCGAGATGATTGACACCTAAATGTCTGTCAATTCCGTCCTTGGTCTCATCAAACTTGTTTACCCCGACGCCCGCAGCTGCGACGAGCTTCGGAGTTGACGTTGAGCATTGCGTTTGTCTGCGTAGTTATTCAGCGAAGCGACTCACAATGTCTAGGCGACCTTCGTCCTTTTTTATCTGCTCAGCCACGCTCCGTACTTCCTTCAGATTGCCCAAATCGCAGGCGATGAATTTGACATCGACCGGGGTTTCGCCCGCAGCCTGGATTTGCGCGACAGCCTTTTCGCCGTTCTCGCTCTTTCGGGACATTACGAGGACACGCGCTCCAGAGGTTGCAAGAGCCTTGGCGACTTCAAGCCCAATTCCTCCGGTTCCACCGGTGACCAGCGCAGTCTACGGTTGTGAAGGACTTCCCCTGGCTTCGACGCCTCAGACTCACCATGTCTTTCAAGTCAGCTGGGCGCGCTTCTTCTGTGCCTGTGCTGGCCTTTCCAACGATGGCTTCTTTGATGGTTTGCATGGCGTGGTGATGGGGAGAGGAAAGAAAGAAATCTGGAGAACATCGCTGCTTTGCCAGCTTTATATATGCGCGTTGAAGCTGGAAGAGCGACGTCATTCAGCAATGTCAGCAGTGGGCGCGAATCGCGCACAGACCTGTCTCTTTGTACAAACAATGACAACTTCAATTTACATCCAAGAATCACTCCAGTTCTGCGCCCTCGTACGCTTGTGGATTCTCTCCCTTAGCTCGTCCTTGCCAGCATCCTTGCCCTCGCCCTCGCCGGATCGCCTGGCTACTAACGCCTCGATCAAGGCGTGTCCTCCGTTTTTCTCGCCTCTATTCTCTGTCCCTGTGAACGAGGCCCAACGCTCCAAGTAAACCAGTTCCCCTCGTATCCCTCGTTGTCCTCGCCGAATTATTGTGGAACGGGCGCAAAACGGAACCATACTGCACACACAAATGACTGACGGCGATCCCGTCGTTGCGCTCGGACGGTATGCGTCGCAAAAGAAATAACGGTATGCTTATGCTCTCATTTCAACACAACGCATCTTGAACAACATCACACGCACGCGAAACGAGTATGAGGCTCATTCCGGGCGATGGTGGCGATGCTAGTTCGTCTACTCTCGAGGTCCGCTCAGACTTCTTGTCATCTCCCACAACGTTCTGAATACACGCTATGTTGACCCGTAAACAGCTGATAATAGTCAGTCGTGGGTATGTCGCAGTCTGTTGCCGTAGAATGCCAAGTAAATATGAAGGTATAAGTCTATGCAAAGGCGGATCGAGGGATCTCGACGTTGAGTGTGAGAGGACAGTTAAGACCGAGAGGTCTCGTCAGTACTCCGAGCTGATTGAGTCAGTGTTGAAGAGCACCTAAACAGCTGCATTCAAAGCCACTTGGCCACCTTGAGGGAAGGTGCTGTATAGATCAATGTTTAATTGGTGCTGTGCTGAAGAGTCAGTGGACCAGTGGCGTGTAACCTCGGTTCGAAGCACCACCGGCTACTGTACCATAGAAACAAAGAAATGTGTTGTGCATAATAGTAGATTCATAGAATATACATTTTCAAAGTCATCTACCAACTACTTCAGGCAGCTCTGGGTTGATATGGGCCTTAGGGTGGATGACTCGGCGTGTAACGGAGTTTAGAATTCGCTTCCTTTGTTAACTACCTACCATAATAGGAATGCCAGACAGTCACATGATACATCGTGGATTGAACATCCGCACCAACTTCCACTTAACGCCCACATCTCCCATGTTCCAAACAGCCACATTGAGAAGGTAAGCCAGCATGTATATAAATGCGTGTTCTTCTCAATCTCTTCTTCTCTCTATCAAACTCACCATGTCTGAACACTCAGTACCTCACCCACAGTCCCAGCAAGCAAGTCTTGCAAGCACATACTTCGAACACTCTCGGGAACGCACCATCCCGAACCAACCGCCCCGGAACAACGACCCTCATCCAACGCCGCGGGCACTCAGGATTGGACGTCACCACGACTGGACAATGGATCCCCTAGACCTTGAGGAAATTGGGGAAACCCTCGTTCGCGAAATTCGTGGCCAATACATCGTCTCGTCGGACCCGGTGGATTTTATGAACAAGTTTCTCCCGTTCGGCCACAGTGAAGAAGAATCTTATCAAAAGTACAGTCTGCAGAAAGTCCCCAAAACTCGCATCAAACACCTCAAGAACATGGGCAACGCGAAAACTGAAAAACAAATGTACAGTCATTTCGTAAGTATCTTAGGATCTACGGAGTGGCGCTCGCTGATAATCCTTCTAGGGGAAGGCAACTTCTAAGTGGCCGTTCGTCTATGGTGACAATCATCGTAAGCTCAACTTTAATGACACACATGACTACCGCGACACGGCCAGCGGGCTCGGACCTGATTACACTATCGACGGACAAGTGATTCTACCACGTCATACGAAGCTGAAGGTCGACTTTGCCAACTTGCTCAGCTTCGTCGAGTTCAAATTGAGTGCGCTCATGGATGCATTTATTGACGTCGATGGCAAAGAGTACGAGAAGGAGAAGGCGGACTCAGGAAGCAAGGGCGGGGACGAGAATGAGAACGCGGACATCATAAACGACGAAGAGGATGCAAAAGCTGAGCAAGAGAACTCTAACCCCGCACGACTTGAAGAACCCTTCATCGCCGAAGATGAACGTCCTAGCGAACGCAAGCCAGAAGACCCCATGGAGGCCCTGAAGCTCCCTCCGACAGAGTTGACTCCCTCTGAGAAATACCACTCTGAAAACGATACCAATGCAGGCCGAGATACTCGAGGCCAGATTGCCAGTTATGCAGGAGTCGCCATGGCCATGCAGTTCCGCAGTCACTTGTTCAGCGTTCTCATCTGCGGCAAGTATGCAAGATTCATTCGCTGGGATCGCTCTTGTGCGATTGTCTCTCGGCGCTTCGATTATACCGTCTATCCCGAACTCTTATTCGAATTCTACCTCCGCTTCGCTCAGCTCACGGATTCCCAACGCGGACTCCTTCCTGGCTTCTCGATACTCAGCAAGAAAGAGGGCCTGATCGCAGTTGAGGCCCTCAAGAAGTATGCTGATGATACATATGCGGGAGCCGCTGCGGATGAATACAAGAAGGTGATCGCTTGTGATCGCCCGCTGCTCTGCATGGAATTCGAAGGACAACGTTACGCAGTACCCATACGTCGCTTCGACGGCGGCTCGTACTCTCCATTTGGCCGTATGACACGTAACCGCGTGGTGGTCCTCCTCGAACCAACTCCCCGAGTGATGTTCTTCAAGGACTTCTGGCGCGAGGACTCCGAGTATGCTGAACCAGAGGCCGAGGTATATCGTCTCATATCTGGGGACGAAGAACTGTCCAAATGCCGTTACCTTGCGAAGATGCATGCTGGGGGGGATGTCAAGACGTCCAACTATGCAATTACCACCATTGGTCACACTCACACGACCTTTGGAGTGGGTTGTGAGAAGTTGGAACTGAGGCCACTGACGGCCCATTTCGTCGTTCTTGAAACGGTTGGTCGTGATTTGCGCTTGTTCCGAACGGCGCGTGACCTGGTGTCATGCATAGCTGACGCCATGGAAGGTGTGTTCCTACATGCCAATTTCGCTACCAGCACTGACAATTTGACAGCGCACCAACTCGTATACGACAAGCTCCATATTCTCCACCGTGACATCAGCGCAGGGAATATACTTATCTCTGCGCTCGATAGCGAGGAAGCTCGCCATGGGATCCTCATTGATTGGGATCACTGCATCTTCATGAACAGACTATCCAAGGATAGGCAAACACGAGTGAGACGCACTGTAAGCCTGTGCTTACCCTTCCCTTGGTTGATCTGATGAGTTATTATAGGGCACATGGCAATTTATGTCCGCCAATTTGACCATGAATCCAGCGACAGCGTCTCATTGCATTCTCGACGACCGTGAATCAGCACTCCATGTACTGATGTACATGGCGATACGACATCTTCGTCATGATCAGAACGATCCCACAGATCTTCGCATTCACTTAAATATGTTCGATGGATATGTCGTTCATGGCGACCGTCCAGCAAAAGGCACACAAGCAAAAATGACAACCATCACTTCCAATGGACCACACATCGAGTTCGAAATCTATGCCATCAATGAACTCATCGCTGAGCTTTGCGAACATTTCGCAACTAGGTATAATGGTCCTCCACGTCAACGTCGGATAGTTCCCAGCACAAAAGCCGCCAAAGAAGCTGCCGAACACGCTGCCCGTGAAGCACAATCTCGACTGGAGGCTCTGAATGAACCACGTTGGCTGTATTCTCTTCTACGTGAATTCATCGAACTCATTCCTAAGCGCCTCCCACATGAAACAGACTGGGTCGACAACTCCGCCATACTACACGAGGTTAGGAAGAATACAAATGGAAAGCGGGGACGTGCAAATGATCAATGGGATCAAAACCGAGGGTCAAAGTTTATCAAATCGCGCGATTGATCCAATTCTCGAATTACCTCCTACTGGTTCTCTGGCCGCATTTATAGGAACGAGGCTGAGCTTACCGCGTTCTGGCACGGAATAGTCTATTCTGTTGCTCGTTGTTGGAGGAAGTATGCAGTAGCTACCATCTCATATCCCTACCCTTGTCATTCATATTCCTCCTAAATGACCGTTGCTTTCCACCATCTTCAGTCTATCTATATTGTATCTTTCATATATCTGTACATGTATGCCCAATTCTGTAATACAAAGCTATCATGGTTTCTGCTGTTGGGATTGAACGTCACTGATCCCTTTATGCATGGTTTGTTGTATATAATTGTTTCGTTTATTTCTTGTTTCAGCCCGAGCACTCGAACGCCGCGGCACATTATTTCCTAGGTTTATCTCAGCTAAGTGCACACGCAGAACCAGCGTGAGGGTGAGCTTTGATAGGTCGGCGACAGTGAGCATGGGTGCGGAATACTCCAATATTTCTGCCATAATTTCGTTGGGTAGAGGTGAGAGTCTCATGGCACGGGCAAGACTCTAAGAGTGGGCGCCTACCCACCTACACTGGGGTCAATCGAATCACTGCCAAACAGATGTCCAAGTCTCACCTTGACAAACACACAGCGTAAGATGCCTGAGATATCTCAGTGAAGCATCAGCGGCCTTTATGGCTGTTGATCCACTGTGAGAAGGTGGAACGAATCCATTGTCATCGATGCTGAATGGATTATACAACAATGGTAACTTTTCCCCTATCTTTCCTTGATAGCGGGGAAAATACCAGCGATATAAGGCTCTCGCATGCCACCACGACAGGCAGGAGAGATGGTAAGGCCATCGAGAAATAAGATGGTATAGTTATTTCTGCTGTCACCTAAATTCTTCGCCTATGCTCTTGCGTTTTCATCTGACAGAATGATGTCAGTGACCGAGTACTATTTGCGTAGCTTATACTATGGATACCCCTTCTACTCCGAGCCATAGATGCAGACCTTAAACCCACTTTATCGTGGTGCCTTTGACTGGGGCGGGCTCGTCGTGAATATGACCGAGAAGTTGATTACTTCGAGTGACAATCAAAAAGTGCAACCAATGAAGTCGAGCTTTGAGCAAGCTTTGAGAATCCTTAGAGGAAGTACGCTGTGCTACTGAAGGTCCTACTGGGCCGAGGAATCAGCGAGGACGCAGGATAAGGATATAAGTTGACACTGTCTGCTGGTCGTTGTCACTAGCGTGAGGAGTGCGATTTCACCCGCATTGCCATGGCATGAGAGACCTGCTGGTGATGAATCGCACGTGAAGAGTGTCCTTAAAGTCAGACGATTCAGGGGGATTGTTGTATCTTTTCGTCGAAGTTCGCGCTCAGCGCTCAATGCATCATGGGTTAATTCGGAATCTAGTTAACGCTGCAAGTCCGTCACAACTGTTAGGGAGAACGCAATAGACGGTGAAACAAGCACGTGGTTTACTTCCATATGCAGACACTATGGTACACTTGTCATTCTTTGTACAAGGGGCTGAAATGGGCCATAGCTACGATTATGCATTGTGAGCCAAATTATTGGCGGTACCAGCAGCTGTATGATGTACCATTTTGGTAAGCATTCCGCTAGAAGATAACTTGATATCACTCACGTATGCCGGTAAGGACACCATTCAAGCTCAATGATTTCACGAGCGCTTTCATCGCAGCGGGAGATAAATTACCATGGACACTAATGAGGTAGGCGACGAGGCCGGCAACAAAAGAAGCCGCCTGCAGGGAAATGAGAGCGAATACAACGCCAGGAAGAGATATAGACGCTACCGGCGAAGTGCCAGAGATGATGTTCGTCGCAGTAGGGCTACCAATCCACGCGCTGATGATATTTTGACCAGGGGCATAGACGTCGACGACGGAACCATAGTTTGAAGCCGAGGAGCGCGCGTCGCTGATGGTGATCGCTCCGACGGTGATGACAGATGGCACTCGAGCGGGAGACGTATTTGCAGCATCAGTATTGGAGTTTCCCGCAGCAACCTGATGCCCAGATTAGATCAGCAGTAACATGAACTCACCGTGAAATACGTACGACCACATGGATACCAGCTGTGGTTACCTAGAAGAGAGTGGTTTCAATTCACTATACAACCGTTACGGGGGATACGAACGGCAGTAACAGCGTTGTCCATGGCAGTCGAGGCAGAACCCCCAAGAGCCATCAAGACAACTGATGGACGGCCAGAAGCACGTGCGGAGGCAATGATAAAGTTCAAGCCCGAGATGCTACAGCTGTATCAGTCCATGGTAACATCCAGAATAAGAAAGGTGAACGAACATGTCCGAGACTGTCGCAGACCTGAAGGTAAGTGCGTCATTAAATTGCACCTTACAGTCTAGTTACACAAAGTTGACACACCCAGCATCACTGAGGACCTTTACTGCCACAACGCTCGCAGCCTGGAGGCTTATGAGTACGAAGCGAGGAGTCTAAAGGAGTTATTTACCTTGGCAACTCCGAATCGATGGCCCGCAACAACCCCTCTATAATCAAACAGGGTTATACAGGGACAGCCAGGTCACGGACATCACTTACGCACAGTGAGTACCATGGCCATTGCCATCGACGGACCTAAGGGAGTAAGCTAACGAGGTGGGAAATTCGGCGGGTCGGCGGCGTACGCATATCCACCAAATGTTGCACCCCAATGCGCACGTCCTTCAAATTCAGTCTGGGGATTACTTGAAACTTGGTGTGCTATACCTCCAGAAAAGACCTTACGTGTTCAGTATAGATGCCTAGAAGACACGGAAGTTTGTAAGCCTGAGAGTGATCACACTCTTGGAAACATACCAGTATCTACAAGGGATTTCAGGATCGACCGTTGCGATTTAGGACAAAGAACACACCAACGACGTACACGTCAACGCCTGCACCACCAACGGAATCGTACGTGTAAGAGAAAGTCAAAGCCGAGGCATTGGTGTTCACAAGACGACCTGTAGAGCTGAGTCGAGCTAACCCCCATGGCGCATCGGTCCTAAATGGATGTTTACATGAATAGATGTCGGGAAATATGGGGATAATACCCACTGCACGGCGAATGCCTGCATGATACCATCCTCTGAAATGGATTCCACATCTGGCGAAGAGCGTAACACGCTTAATGCCTTCTCAGAGAAAGTACCTAGAGCCGAAGTGCATCGCCAGTCACCATGATTGCATCGTTGGATACATGATCAACTAACCTGCAAATCCCTGGAAGCCGGTTCCCCATCTATGAGTTACATCCCCTCCACTTGACTCGAGAAGAGTATTAGACGAAGCCCCATCTCTCAATTTCACAATGAATTTTCCAGTTTTGGTAGTGGCAGGAGACCCGAAGACTCCCGAGATAGCAAAGGACGCGAGAATGGCTGAACCGATGCGCATGCCTAATGATGCCCAGAGGAAATATAGACTGAATGGTGCGCCTTCGACATTGTCGTTTTATACTTTGACTGCACTGAAAGCACGCCAAGAGTTGATACATGTGGTCCTGTCATCGGTGATTGCAGTTAGGCAAACAGGACTCCTTCGTCCTTCTTGTGAGTGACGGACAATCAGAGATAGCCAAAGCCTTATGGCGTTTAGTCCATATGTTCTTGACTCGAGTCTATCGCACGCTGGAATATAGAAGCAGCAAAGCCCTCGCGGAAACGCTTCCATCATCTGACATGATTCTGATGCAGCATCGCATGCACAGAAAGCTAGATACGCATTAGGTACACGCTGAGGGTACCCACGCAACGGCGGCGACGTTGAGGGGGTAGGGAACGTCTTCGTGGAACGTCACCAGATAGCTGGAACAAAGTGTAGAATTGAGTACTGAGCGTTGATGCTGAAGAGGAGAAGAAGAGGAGGAAGAGCCTCAAGCCGTCGGAGATGGTCGGCTTGTATTACTACAAGCGCCTGAGTAGCTGAGCACGTGCCTCTCATTTAAGGCAGGTAGTGTACGCTCACACGTGTCTACCCTGAACTCAGCCTCAACTTCGAAGGTCCTCTAAACGCACGACTCAGAACTGGCGATGGTGAACAACTTTGGGCGTCATACGATGACTAAACTTCTCGAGAAATTCCCTCTTTCAACGCTGATTCCGCTCATCGCTGCTTGATCCGGGTCTCTCCAAGAAGGCAACGCCGATCGGTACCACCGTCTAGCGACGGGCTTTCATTGCGCTGGGACGGATTCCTCATGCCGCAAACTCTTGCTGCGCTCCCAAATTTGTTACTTGCGACGAACACGATGACGCGACTTCTGCTATACGTGGGTGCTTAATTCCCTCTCATGTTCCACGTACTCATGCTTCATACCATGGAGTCTCTGCAATGCCGTTGGCTGACCTTTCGCTCCTCTTCACGACGGACCAACTCGGGATACTGCCTGCGCCAGTGTACTTCGCGCGTGGATTCGTACGTTCAGCTGACCGTATTCTCATTGCGCTATTTTTTAGAGAAGCCAACGCCATCACCTAGTGCGAGGAGACGCCGATTTCTCCAAGAATGTCCCATCATCGAGGGCAATGGGCCCACTGTTCTTGATGGTACTTCAAGGGCGTAGAAAGGCTATGGTAATTCGCATACCCCAGCAATCCCCCTCACTGCGTATCGGACATGACTCTAGTGTATCAACCAAAGCATCCTCATTTAGCGGCCCTGCCCTGGTGGATGTCGCGTTGGATAGGTTACAGACCGTCGCCAGTTGCGATCTCTCCATTATGGGTTAACTGCATATGGTACGCGACTCTTTCTTTTTACAATTAGCGTAACTCAACGGCTGTAAAGGTCATTTATTGCAGTATTCTGTGGCATTGCCACCATACAAGCTATATTCACCCACGTACATTTTTTCGTGAATCAAGACATCCCACCCGTCATCGCAAACTATGTGCGCTTGGACGCGACATATCTACTGTTTCCCTCACCCTGTTTTGCTGGTATAGGTAGCCTCTGTCGGCCTCATCGGTGCCCTAGTGAACTCTCCATTTGCTCAGCCGAGGCCAATGTTTTGCGGGCATATGATAGGCGCTGTTACTGGGATATGCATAACGAAGCTTATGGAGCTGCTACCAGAAGAACGATTCCTTCAGTTTCGATGGCTCGCAGGATCTGCATCGTGTGCAACGACTCTTGTTCTTATGCAAATGACCAACAACAGACATCCTCCCGCTTGTGCTACAGCTATCCTCGTGGCTATAGATAACAACCTTCGCATTTTGTCTTGGTCCTTCATACCAATCATCCTCCTTACCGCGACCGTCTCCCTTTGTATCACGCTGTTTATCAATAATATCCAGCGTCGTTATCCTGCATTCTGGTTATATCCCGGGGACCTGGACGAGCCGCCTCCTATTGTTGCCGAGGAAGATGATCCCACGACAAGGGTGAATAGCACAGTCGACCTTCCCAAGACGATCCAGGATAAAAGTCCCGTCTAGCCCCCGCGTGAGATATTTTACTCTTGCGAATTCCTACGCTGATTCTCCTTTTGCGTAGACCGAATTCGGCGGCACGCTATCACTCGACCATTTTTATGGCTATATATTCAGCTAGAATGACCATTACGTATGACAGATGTGCGTAAAGTAGATCGTAAGAGTCACCTAACCAAACCCTAATGCATGTGTACTATGTTTGTACCTGAGTGACAGAAGATTCCGAGTGCCTAACAGTGCCTATCTTTGCGAGTCGCCACTTGCAGTCGCCACTCGGAGATTTCTTCGGATACTCGGAACGTGTGCTGAGGTGGACATTCACTATGTACCCCTTCGGAGAGCTGCTCGAAGGAAAGCATGAACGCACGAGACAGTCTTATTTAGACATCAAGAACTGTGGAGATGGGCTGCTCCAGAGACTTTCAAGCAAGGCGTTTGGCATTTTGTGCCCACGACAGGATGATTGGTGGCAGCGGACAGGGGCTGTTTGGTTCCACCGCCTTTGCCAAGCTCCCGCCTGATCATGATCAGTGTCGCTGCGCTGATCGTCCGTCCACCACCAGCTGCGAGGCAGTGTACATTCCATTTCAAAGTTTCCCAGCAACTCTTCAGGCGAGATTTGCCGACATAAATGCAAATTTGATTTATGGTCCTTTCCTGGTAAGCTCCAATCTATTGATAGGAGCGGACGCTGAGTTAGGCTTCCCTCTGCCAGCAGCCTGCCTAGGCAGGGACTCATTTGTCTCACTTCTATATCTTTAAGCACGACTCCTCGCGAGGAATCCGCCATGATTCAACTTGCCGAATGTCAAGATTTCCAATTGGAGGCAGTTCCATTCGTGCTCTCACATCAATGTAACGGCATTGATTCATTGATTGGACGCGATGGGCGACGGAAGCCGTGATCACTTATTGTCAGCTGCGCCACCATTCCTGTTAAACCCTCCAAGCTTGCGGTCACTTTCCCTCGCTCGCGTGGCTCGATAATTCCGGACTTGCCTCTATCGTAGATTACTTGGGCGTACGAAATGGTCAACGTGTCGGTCCCTTTACGGACCTAGGCTGGGTGAGGTACCATTGAATCGCCTATAACTTGCCTTCCTGTCCGTTGGTTACTTGGTGGGTATCTTTTGACGCACCCTCATTCCGTGCGACTGTCGACCGGCAACGTGTTGTTAAGTCAATTCATCACTCTCCCATTCGGTCTTCTTGCGCGCCAAAGATATATATATACATATATCAACAACACTGCATCCGGGGACCCAGTACTTCAGTGAGTTCTTTTGCCCCCAAAACGACCACCTTCCCATAACCCTGGGTTTTTTCTTGTCGCGCAGGCTCGCTGCATCGTGGCCATGTCTTCTATCGCCTCTTCCGCTTCCATAAAGTCTGGGGCCTTCTCTACCAGATCTCGACGCCCCCCATCTCCCCCAAGCATGTACCAGTGCGATTTCATGCAACCAAAAGCACCCAAACCATTGCCCAAGATCGAGAAAAAGGTGAAGACACCGAAGGTGAAACCGGAGCCTATCGTGAAGGCAAAGAAGGCCGATTCGCCTGCAAGGGGATTCGCAACGATCTGGGGCGTCAAGGGAAAGCGAAAGGTTGCTAAGGACGTGGTGCGTGCAGTTTACGAGTCAATCCGACTCAATGCTCATGGTCTATAGGCACCAGTATTATCTACGCCCCCGACGTTCTCAACGACGTCTCTACCGGTACTTCCCCCTGTACAACCTTCATCATCCCTTTCACCTACCTCGCATGGTTTGGCGGAGAAGCCGCTCCCAGTTCCGACTGATATTGCCTCCCCTCCAAGACCCAAGCCTTCGACCCCATCATTAGGTGTATCTCCACAGCCAAAAATCATCCCATCTGTTGCCTCATCTCCACCCAGCGTACCACAGAAACCCATCGTGTTGACTCCTCCTTCACCGGATTTCCGCGTCCTTTCTGATTCCGACATCTGTGCGAGACGCATCGACAAGCTGACTCGCACCCTCGGTGAACAACCCCCACTTGACCTGGTCTTCCCCCCATTCAAGCGCACGTACTCAGCCAACAACCAATTCCCACCTCCCCCCGAACACATGGAACCGTTATTCGTTGGGCCCTTGTCCAGCTCCCAGGTGCCAAGTAACAAACCGAAGGATACAGACAAGTTACGTATAAAGACCGATCTTCTCCGGAAAAACAGCCTCTCGGTGTTGAGTTTACCCTCTACTGCAATGAACAAGAAGGTCCGACGTCCTTCCACGGCAACCCCACCCTCTCCTTCTTCTCCGTCTTCATTCGCTCCTTCGTCAGCTAGACCCTCGACGGCCAACCCTTACTCACCTTCGTACTCTCCCACGTCTACATTCTTCAGCGCGCGGCGACCTTCTACGGCATCCGCTTCCTCTTCGACATTTTCCCGAGATCCCTACACGCCTCATTCTCCTACCCATCTTTCTCGCGATCGCGTCCCATTTGCGTCTCACGAATCATTGTCCTCCGCAACAACCGCCAGTTCCAGTTCGTGCTACAGCGTCGATACTTTGAACTCCAGTAGCCACTCTGGCACGATGGTGGGCGTCCACACTGGCGATGACGACCACCACATCCAAGGACACCCGCAACCCTCACCTCCACTTCCTTCATACATGACCGTTATCGTACCTGAGAAGACCCCAAGGCCGCCCCCTTTGCAAACTCTGTTCTTGCGCGACGAGCCAAAGTCGGCGCAGGAGGCCGAGCTCGCCGAGTACGAAGTCGGATTCGCGGAATATAGACCGTCGCCGTCCCCCGTCGAAGAGGATGCTCCGAAACTCCGTACCTTCACCCGGGCGCCAGCTCCCACTGCGACCGCTCGCCCGTCGCGGAGACAACCTGTGGTGAAAGCATATGTCCCCTCTTCTCGGTCACGCCCTTCCACTGCCCCTGCTTCTCCTCTGCGTAGCATCCGCCCTTCGGACATGCGACCTTCGACGCCGTTCATTGATGCCTTAGTCCCCATGGACGAAGAGGCCGAGACGCAGGCGCCACCTGTGAAATTGATACGCCCCTCATCTCGGAGGGAGCGAAGGCAAGGCTGGAGCGGTGAATGGAACAGAGACGACATGCAAGATGTCATCAAGAAGCTCAGAAACTTAAAATGATTGGACTTATTCTCTCTCTATCTCCATTGACACTGTATCGACACTCACACATTCGCTTTACAATATTCAGTACCATGATGTATTATCTCTGTTACTAGCGCCACTCGTTGCTTGATCTTTGTATCTTTACCCTATGCTCTTTGGCTGCATCACTTTACGATGCGACGATTCTCTGGATGCTCTCTGGGAGGGGCCATCTCATGTTGTATTACACTAGTTCGGCAGATATATTGTATACTTATTGTACGTATTTTGGCCTGTACGGATACATACCCACGCAGATGCTGTTCAATATTTAATCAATAGAAGTCGTGGCGAAGTCAAATTTAACTCTTTTCGTTCGACGCGTCGCTTGTGGAGATGATTGTTCAAAATGTTCAACGTTCAGGCAGTGTCCTCGGCGTGACACATCTCCCATCAACGCATCGCGGAATCGTGATTCGTTACAGAATCAATATGTATCGAATAAATGATCCCAACAGCCCATGTCGCAATCAGCACCAAGTGACAATCACTCCCCCCGGTGCATAAACTCCCAACATAGCTTTCCGGGTTCATTTCCCAGAATCTCCTGCACCTGCCCGAGATCACAGCCCACAAAATTCCCTCACATTCTTCGCTTTGCTCATCACATAATGCACGTTCTTGGCCGTAATGCCTGGAAGACTTCGAAGAAGCTCCTCAGCAGCAGAGTTAATGCCGGCACCCAGCTCGGCGTCGTCCTCGGCTCCTACAGATATGGCTTTGACGGGATCGGGTTCAGGGTTAGCTTGCTTCAGTTCTTGGAAGATCTCCACTGTTGCATATGGCGACGAAGCCCAGATTATGCGGACACGAGGAAAGTGAAGCAGAAGCAGCACAATTTTCGACTGCAGTGTCGTAACAGCCTGGTTACCTTCGATGCCTCCACCCTTCTTCTGAGGATACTTCGCAGTCGGTTTGACATATGACTTCATGTCAGACACGATCTATCAAAGAACCCATGAATTTAGCTAATTGGAGAGAAAAAGAAGAAATATGCCGAACCTCGAGGGAAAATGCCTTGTCTTCCTCGAATTCTATGAGGAGGACAGGGTGTTTGTAGTGGACCGACATGAGCTCGCATTGGGTGTATCTGTTGTCCATCAATGAGCCCACTGTTAATGCGCGACAAGCGGAGATGGCTCGACTTACAGCCTGCCACTATTAAAACTCGATATGAGATCCGAAAGGCTCTTCCGTTCCACGCAGATGTCCGGTGTGAGAATGTAATCGCCGACCGTCAGCGTGGCCGGCACAACTATTATGTTGGAGGCGTGCAGCAATGACGGCAGCGTCGAACGGAATTCTCTCATATCCACGATGACCTTGACGGCGAGCAGGGAACGTGATCAGGGGTGGGGCTTCCTCGAACACCGCGCTGACATACCTGAGCCGGCGTAGTGCTGATCTCGCGCCGGCCACCTGCGATTCTGGAGCTAATTGTCTTCAGAAGGGCGTCGTTCGACGTACTTCCGGGGCCTTTGTCTTCGAGAATGGGCAGCAACATTGTCTACAATAACGGAAACTTCAGTGGAGAGAAAAGAAGGCATATTATTAACGTCAAACCCACAGCACGTTCTTTGATGAGCCGTTCGAAGGACTCTTTCTCCTTCCTAATGCCTACAAGATATTTGTGTTCTTCACAGGAATCGCCGTACACCATATGGTACACCCTGACACCCAAACCCGGGTTCGAGCTCTTGTATACCTTTTTTCATAGCAAACAAGTCAGTCCTGACTTATGACATGCAATGAAAGGGGGCCGACACCCACTTCAATACGCCGAATAAAGTCCATATTCGGCTCGAACATCACGATGAATTTCGGGCGCATCTCACCAAGGATGCTGTCGTCCCCGTCGTCTGAGTACGGTCGCACCACGACCGTTTCTTCAGGCGTCAGCAACCCGTAGCTCGTATCGAAATCGACCAGGAGCTCAGTCGACGTGAAATCCAAGTCGTCCGCATCCACGACTGTTGCCGACTCCACTACGGCCGCGGTTGCGTTCTGCGTCGCTGCCCAGCTGGGTGCACCCGAAGTCAGGTCCTCGCGAGTGTAAGTACAGCAAGGGACGCTACTTACAATTCTGCGAAGCTGTCTGCCTCCATCTTCGAGTCTCCTTGAGCGTCCACGTCGATGAGCGTTGGTTCGACGGACGAGCTCGCAGCAGCACTCGACGGCGCACCCCCACGCACGCGCCTCCGCCCCGCACTCCGCTCCGCCTTCTCTCTATCCTTCTTCTTCAGCGCCTCGCTCAGCGCCGCAGAACTCTGCCGCTGAAAGGTCGTGCCATCATTCCTTTGCTGCGAGTTCAGTTTGCCTTTCCACGCCAGGTAGGAGTACAGTTTTCGAAGCATCATCTTGCGGCCTTGGGTTCCTGCAGGAGCGTCCGCGTCCATGGCGCTCAAGAAATCACTCAGGATCTCGGCCTCCCGAGTCGACGACGTCATCACAAGGACGGTATTCGTTCCCGGGACAACTAAACCGACGACATTTAATCAAAGGAGCCCGCCCATTGAGGAAAGCAGTTGCATACCTGTGGACGGGACGGTAGGCGGCGGCAACGACTCCTGACGGATAATCTCCCCCTCGATTTCTTTGAGTATGTCCGCCAACAGCGTCCACTTGGGCAGCTCTTCAAGCACCGGCTCCATCCCTTGCGGCACCCAAAACGGCTTGTCGGCCTTCGACGCGCTCTGCCCTGACGACTTGCCGACAATACCATGGATTTCATCCAAGGCGTCCCAGCCTTCTTCGTCGACGTCACTCACCATCTGCGCACGCTCAGCTGCCTTTGTACTAGAGCTCATTGTGTAACAGCGCCGTTTGGCGGCTTGGAAAATAATATTCGCCGCGTCCGTTACCATCCACGGCGAGGGGTGTTGCTTCGCACCCCCGGAGGACGACGTCGTGCTGGAAGCGACTAGCGTTTCGAGGTACGCTTGGAATTGCAGGCAATCGTAGCTCAGGAGAAAACTGTGCACAGCGTTAGCAGTAGATCGAACGGTTTGAGATCAGGCTAACGTGAGGAGGCGCCGAAGGGTGCCAAGGTCATTGACGAGTTGCTTCGTTTTGGGTCCGACTTTGTGCCATACCGAGTCCAGTTGTCTGCGCACAATGATGTCGAAAGACCGGAAGTAGGCATTCTCGACATTGAAATCGTCTAGGTCGAGCTGGGAACTAGTTCGATAACGTTCATTGTCCGCTTCGCACTACGTACCGATGTATTGGACCGTCTCAGCTCGGACAGCGTAGTCGTTATGCATTGGATGATAGCTTGGTGGATCTCAGACATAGACGTCGTCAGCGGCTGCGACAGCTCAATCACGTCGGCGCGCCTTCGCTCGAGCGACTTCTTGATCTCCTGGTGGAACCTGCCCCACCGTCAGCGCTCTGCACGGGACATTGCAGTGCCGCGACCCACCGCGGATATATATGCACCGAGCGCAGCTGCAGCTCCTTCATGATGTTCTTCAGCGGCGACAGCCCGCTGGTGATGTGCTCCGGCTGGTCCGTGAACGCTTTCAGAAACCCCGTCCGGTTCTTCTCGCGGTACAGCCGCACGATGAAGGCTTCCAACACCAGCGCCGTCACCCTTGCGTGCGGTCACGTCAACGCACGTTCACCGGCGGAGCTCGTCGGGACACGCACTTCTCAGCATGCAGAACGATGATGCCGCTGATGAGCTCTGTTGGGATGTTCGCCTGCAGCATGTCAACTACTAGGATACGCGAGGTGACGGATATGAGCCCGCCCTTCTTGTACAGATCCTGCCTGAGACTAGTTAGCAGCGGTCAGGCGCATCAAACGCGCGCGCACCGCTCCTTGTTCGTCTTTTCGAAATCGACAATACGCAGACCGGGGTTTCTGCAGCCCATCAGGCCGAGTTCTTCGCCAATCTCCGACTCTTCCTCCTGCGACGCGTTGAGCAGGAGCACAAGGTTCTTCGGGGAGTCGTATATCTTCATTAGAGTACACAATATGCGGCGAAGGCCCAGACCGCGTGCGAGCACCAGCAAGTCATTGGTAGCGGGATCATGGATGCGTTCTATGATAGATTTGTGGTACGGCAGTAGGCTCACCATCGAATTGTAGGACTCGGCAGGTTTTACCATTCTAGCTTCGTGCGAAGTGCGAAGATATTAAGTAGCAATTAGCAAAAATAAAGTTTTCACGGTGAGTATTATGCTCTCACGATCACAATTTCAATACATCAGTATGAAACTCTCACCGAAATATTCGCCTTGACTCCCTGATAGTAACAAGACGATATACTGCTACACGCCGGAGCTGACTAGCCGATAAGTACAAGTATATCTGCACGATGGTATATCAGAGCAGGTATTCCCACCGTCGTATCGGAGGTAAGCACTTCTCTTGAGTTTCCTCCGAAGAGCATCGACTACGTACACTTACGGATAGCACTGTGCGTTGCATTTTGAAGTTAAGGAAGCCTGGTAACCGAAGTGAGAAAATGGGCGTGACATGTCCGTGCTCTAATTCGGTTTCGAAACTCGCCGACGGAAAGTCTAGCGAGGTCACTCTTAGGTTAAGGATCTTGATGTTATAACTCAATGTCAGCCATGAATTGGACACCTCGTTAGCACCATTCAAGATGCCAAAGACACCGCCCAACCGGGTAAGCATCCGTCCCCAAGGAAATGTTGCAGAAAGGTACGCCTCAGTGTTTGTAAATGAATACTGAGACACGTGCGAGGTGGGCTGCGTGTAGGCCCTGGTGTACCGAATACACCCCGGACTCGTGTACCTTCGGAGTCAGGAGACACGAAGTGCTCCATCGTTGCTGTTCATTGCTTTAGGGCTATACATTAGTACGTGAATCTTCTTCTATCGCCGAGAAGAAGAGGACAAGTTGTTGTGTCCCGAAAGAGCGAGAACGGCGAAAAGGCTGTCGCGCAAATCCAGGCTGCGGGCGAAACCTCGGTGGATGTCAAGTTAATCGCCTGCGATTTGGGCAATCTGAAGGAAGTACGGAGCGTGGCTGAGCAAATAAAAAAGGACGAAGGACGTCTGGACATTGTGAGTTCCCCGTTGGATAACTACGCAGACAAACGTGATGCTCAACGTCAACTCCGAAGCTCGTCGCAGCAGCGGGCGTCGGGGTAAACAAGTTTGATGAGACCAAAGATGGAATTGACAGACATTTAGGTGTCAATCATCTCGGGCACTTCCTCCTCATCAATCGTCTGCTTCCGTTGATGATTGAGCGGTTCGATGTAACTCGGAGGAAATGGTGACAATTCGAACTAGCTTGAGCCGCATTCAAGGTGGGAAACTTCGAGGTCTCCAGGATCAATCAAATTTTCGGAAGGCCGAAGTCACTTCAACTGGAGCATCCAAAGAAACGAATGAATCGAAAGACCTCTCCGCGAACAGCCTTTACGCACGTACCAAGGTCGCCAACATCCTTTTCACTCGCAGGCTTGTCGACATCAATATCATGGCTTTGGCCACCCACCCAGGACCAGTTCAAGGAGACATACGGGGAGGTCTTAGGGTCCGTTCTGAAATTGGTAACAGTTCCTTTCATGAAAGATCCGAACCAAGGAAGCGCCAGTACAGTTTGGGCCGCCGTCAGTCGTGAAGTAGATGGAAGTGACGGTGGAGGTGGCAGGAACAAGTGGCAAGGTAACCCGACGGCGCAAGCCAGCAACGACGAGTCGGCCAACAATCTCTGGCGCTTGAGCTTGAGTGAGGAGTTGATCCGAGAGAAGTTGGAGAGCGACGCGTTGTTCAAATGGGGAGCTCCATCCAGCTCGTTTGGGATAACGAAGAATGTATTTCGTTGTCGCCACGAGCTCTCTCGTTCGGCGGCTGGCTCACGGACCGGGAACGAATGGAACCCGGATGTGAAACGCAGCCGAACTCCTGAAAAGGAGAAACCCCTGTAAGGGGGGCCGAACTCAAGCCGGCCTAGGCGAAGTAGGAAGTACGTAGACGTAGGTTAATCTATGTAGTAGATGATGTAGTAGGGTACGCGATATGGGTGGGTGAAATGAAAGAGAAGACGCTCGAAATGCTATCGAGCGTGAACGTAAGAAGATGAAGGAAAAAGTAAACTAGAAATGAGTTTACCTATCGAGCGTGAACGTAAGAAGATGGGGGATATTCAAGGGAATATGGTACATATATATACGGATGCGAGACAAAGGCGCAAGGCTGAAAGGGAGGAATAGGAGATAGGGGATTCACGTGCACTCTCAGATGGACCGTGGATAAAATACTTCTATCCTCTCAATAAATGTACGGGAGTGTCACGTGTCACACTATTCTCTTGGTCCCTTTAGCTGAACTCCTGGGCCTGCGATCTCCTGGGCCTGCGATGCCCATGCCACCAGGTGGCCAGGTTGTGGCAATATCCTCCGAATTAAATTCGCAGTATGATTTCTCTCTCCTTTACGCACCTTCGCACTCGACGCAAGTATGAGTTACGCTCGCGTTTGGAACGAACTCATGAACCCCGAAACCGCTGGATCCCTGTCTGATCCCACAGCTGAGGGTGCCGCCGAGGAACCGTCAATACTCTGTGATCCCGGATTTTCCTATGGGCTCGATATGAAAACTTTTTTAGGTGACAAAGACAGTGACGAGCGGCGTCGGATAGATGGGGTGGGCGAGATTTCGGACGGATCGGAATGCGATGATATCTATGGGTCAGGAGAAGATGCCGACGACGATGCTTGTGCCACAAGTAATGTCCTTGAGACGTTTGCACAGCGCTCCATGCAGAATCCGACACCATCAGCGTTCGCTGCTGCAAATGCCAAAGATCAGCATCCGCCGAAAGACTCCCAGTTTCTCCTCACTCAGGTGCTTTCTACCGTCGTACGTCACGAGTCGCAGTGTGCTAACACGTATATCTTTCATAGAAAATCAGCCGCGCTCGCAATAAAGCATGGCAGCACGAAACACTCCCGCTGTATCAAGAATTCGTAGCAAGACAAATCGACCCTCCTTCGGGAGAACGGGTCAGCATGGAGGTTCGTTCGCCGTCCTTCCACCTCCACCTTCAGACTAGCGCGGCTCATTGTCACGTCCTTTATAGTATAATCACGCCACACAGTTCATGCTCGGCGGATTACAACTGGCTGGAAATCGAACGGCCGCTTCATGCGAGCCTTGTCAAGCCACCGATGATCAGTTACCACAAACCGAAACGCTGGGCTGCTTCACGCATATGGAAGCCTGGGCACGCCAGATTCTCCTGAATCACGATATTCCAGACGATCAGTATGACGAAAGCGTGCTCTATGTGAGATCTCTCTCATTTTCGTCGCCTCTCCCCCCTAATAACCAAGCGCACGTCTCACACAGTCGCTCATGGTGTTCGCCGAAACGTTTTACGAGGGGTTCGTGCACTCTACTGAGCAGCTCCTCAAGGAATCACGTGCACGCCAGGCCCAACGCCACTCGCCGATACTTGAGCTACAGGACTTTTCCTTTGGTGTTGGTGCGTGTCTTTACTATCTAAACTCGCGTACGCATACCACGAGCTAATCTTGCGGCGCGTCGAAAGACGTACAGTTGAAGTTAACTCCCCCGTTCCATAATATCACTTCGACACGAGTATTCCGGACTTTGAGGACGACGAGTGGTCCGTCCATCCTTCTCTCACCATATAGTCCTGTTGACGATTTTATATTAGCTCGTAAGCTTCAAGATCTCCAGCGGAAAGTCGATTACATTACAGGTAAATTGGACAGAGCAAGCGAAAAGGAGGACGTCCCGCGTCAAACGCGGTACTCCAAAGTCCAAGCTATCAAGCAAAACCTCGACGAGCAACTACTACTCGGCCGTGTCGTCAAGGACCTAGCGACGACTGCGAAGCCCAAAGATAAACAAAAGGGCGCGGTTTCGACTCCGGCTCCCGCTCGTAAACCGAAACAGAAGGACGACAAAGCGACACCGAGACCGACGCCAGATGCGGAATCGATCAGCACCGCTCCGAAACGGAAGGGACGTCCTCCAAAGATCTCGCGGAATGTTCAACCGATCCGCGCAATCTCACCTACCTCTGCGTACAGAGGCGGAACAGGCAAGAATGCTGCGTTACTAGAGAACACTCTCAGGGCTACTGCAGTGATGAACAACGCTATGGCTCCCCCGCCTGCGCCTGCACCAACAATGCTCCATTTGGAGGTCCCTTCTGGGTGGGCTGTACCTCAAGCTGAAGAACAATCCACTTCCTCAGGCGTAAGTGCAAGCAGTGTGGCTCTTTCTGCGTCGGAATTGGTACCCGGACCGGCGACTACTAGCTCTTTGCATCTACCCATCAGCAACGCGGCCTCTCTGCAACGGGATCTTCGTCCTGCGAACCTTGCTGGCTCTACTTCTGCTTCGGGTTCCTTGCCTCCTATATTCGTTCCGTATGACTATCCTACTCCCACTGATTCTCTGCCGCCGTCGCGCGACAGCTCTGTTCTCCGCGTGCTTGGTGGAGAGGCCGCCCAGCACGCAACTCCTCCAACACTTACGGCTCTCTCAGGGTTATCGTCGCCAGATACTCTGCCAGGGACCGTTTCCGATGACTGTGTCACTACGACGCCGGACGTGGACGCGGATGTTACTCCAAAGGCTGCTCCTCGCAGGAGTGGGCGAAAGGTGAATCCGACGCCCAAGGCTGAAGAGCTTATGCAGACGCGAGCAAGGGCGAAGGCTCGAGTGGAAAAGAAGGCGGTAGGATCGCTTACGAAAGAAGTCGGCATGTCTACTCGTTCGTTGACTGGGAAGGCTGGACGATCTACTCCGACACCTCAACCCCTCGTTAGGAAGAGAAAGCTTGGTGACTGAGTGTGCGGTATCAAAAATCGTCTGCAATCACTGTGGATAAATCAACTTCGTCTTATAGTAGCTTCTGGGGATAAACTGTAGCATAGCAGAACGACAGTATGTTCTACGCGAAATTCGAATGTGTTGAAATTCTGCGGACTTTGAATATGTAAAATTTCCTCTCGCCATTCTGGCTGGTATCCAATGTCAGTTCAAGCTTACTATGCTCTCGTCGTGTTCTTGCATGGTTTTCGGGTTTGGAAAACGTATTACCCTTGGGACCACATTTTTGGCCCATATACAATAATTCTACTCGCCATCGACACGCTTTTACTTGCCTTCATCCCCGTTTCCCAGTTGTATCATCGTTATCGTCCACTTCCTGTGAGTGACTCAGACATGGCGACTCGCGTCCTGAAAGCCAAAATATGGATCAATTCAAGTGAGTAGCTTTTGGACTCTCTGCTCCATCTTCACCGACCCCACCGGTCACACCCTCCGCCCGCGTTCAACGCTCGCTTCGACTAACTTCATTATTTCTTCCGCGAATAGTCTGTATGGGAGCCTTTTGGGTTCATTTCACTTTCGCTGTCTCGAAAGCCTCGAATTTGATGAAAATCCTCACCGCGAAACAACTCACAGTTGTTGTTATTTCGCTGCCGGGCTTGGTCTTCTTCACCACCATGGCTTCGACGTGGACGTATCTCATCTTGCTATTTGGGCTGTCTCAGCCTTCTCGAGGCCCCTCTGCAGCGGGGCAGCGGGGACAAGAGCAACGGTGTAACGGCTACATTGACTTCTGGAAAAATAATCGTATGTATAGGACTCCACTCGAGGGATCTCGGCGATGATTTACCTTGTTTGGCGTGTAGGGAATTGTATTGGATGGATGGCATGTAGCTTCCTGATCCCTCATGACGCGACCGCGACCGTGACCACCGAAGGGTCGCCATCGACACCCAAGACACCCTCGCCGGAAGCTCAGCCAGTGCACAATTCCAAGGCAGGAATCGATTCTGATGGGGTACACGGGGCTGAGGGGCGATGACGCCACCAATGGGCATGTAAACATAACTGTCGTGTTCAAAGTATCTTCAGGTGACGGAGTGACTGTCGATATCTATTGACATGGGAACGTTGTGAACTAGCAAACAGATTCCTTTGAATGAGGTAAAGCCGTCCTGGTCAGCACTCACTCCGAAACCAACTACCGAAAGGAAGCTGTTGTGTTACTGGCTGGGCGGCTAGGGGATGTATTCCAGCACGCGCTTATACATTCGACGTTGGTGGCATTATCGCTAATAAAACATGGAGCTATCTAGCATGCAAAGAGAGCCACGACGAATGAAAGATGAATATGTCCGGGATGAATATAAGTCGGTAAAGGATAAACATGAAACAACATTGGCATATAAACAGAATATAATGAATGTACATCAAGAGCATCTTCATTTCCTGCTAGAGCGCTGCTTCTTGCGAGGTGGCGTCTCGACGGGTGGAGCTAATTCCATGCAAGCATTGATCGAGCCTGCGAGGCTATCATGGGTTGAGATCAATTTCCTGCCGTCAGCGTCATCGCATAGATCGTCCGCTAGCGGTCGTTTCTTATTCGGTTTAATGACTTTCGTGTTGTCGATGTAGTCAATTTCTCCAGGTGATGGCACGGGAAGCAGCACAGCGTAATGACGTAATACGCCACAAAGCCACGTCGGGTCCTTGGCGATATTATCGAGTCTCGTTTGACGCTGCAAAGCCTGAAAGGTCGCCAAACCGACAGAATATGCGTTGAAGGGACCCTTTTTGGGAGGTGCTACGGTGGTGGCTTTGTAGCGAGCCGCGAATTCATCACAGAGCACTTGGATCAGTTCATTGATTTCGTCGATGCCGAAGGTAAGATCCTGGTAACCAGACCTCATGAAATTGAGTTTCGACGTCGTTCCTTTGCGATATGGGCTTCCGTCGACTTCTATGTAGTCGTCGAACATGTTCAGGAGGTCTTGCATTCCGAAGGCGTTGGCTTTATTGTGAGCGAGATGTCGAATACCCATGTACAGCAATACGTGCAGAGCAGATTCACGGTCGTCGACGAGGCCGTGGCATGCAGATTCCGGATTCGCTGTCAGATGCGCTGACATGAATTGCCATGTTCCCTGTACCAGCCGGTGAGCATCATTCACCGCCGTCTGAAGAATGGACACTTACAGTTCGATGCACCCTCGTTTTTCTGTCTTCCGTCAAATTGTCCATGAAAATACAATGGTCCCAATCGATCAGGATACCACGATCAGGTTTGTCCGTGGATATGAGGATGTTCCCCGCGCTGATATCGCGGTGGAGAATATGGAGCTCATCGTACGCGAGCTGATGGGCTGTTGAACCATAAGTATCGGTGCGATATCGATATATGAAAACTCACCTTCCATCGCGTCTGCCATAGACGACACCAGCTCGCGCGCTGATCGGAACATCTTGAGGTCTCGGCCAATGGTTTCGAGGATGATAAAATGCGCCGTGAGTTTCCTGATCAGGAGTTTACCGGTCTTCCACGGCATATCCGTATCATCGTAACCGATAGTAGTCGCTGGACAACCGTCCACCTCGGCATCACCTCCCGCATGCATCTTGGCGAAGTAGAGGCATGCCTTTGTCTTGCTGTTCGTCGATAGGAGGTCGTATACCTCGGCCTCCGTTTTCGTATATTCAGAATGCTCGCGCCAGTAGTCCTTGAAGAACATGACGACGTTTTTCGTGATTTGAACAACAGCGCGGTTGCGAGTCACTCGTCCAAACGGAGAGAACATTCCTCCATTGAACGTCGGTGCTGGCACCACGTAAGGACCCCCCTTGTAGTCCATGTGTAGGAGTGGGATGCGTTTCCTGTCGAGGCGTTGCTTGTAATTTGCCCCTCCAATGGTCCCATAGGCGGCTCCAGCATATGCTGCGAGGGCTTCTAGCGCAGCCGACGCTTCCGTATCGCTCGCTGTCTTGAAGCATGGTAGCAGACCACGTTGGGTGTCGGTGAGCTGCGCGAATCGATGGTAGAAATTGAAGAGGATGCTGGGGTACAGTGTGTAGTCGAAGCGCCGTGAGACGATGGCGCAGGAGCGGTCCCAACGGATGAAACGAGCGTACTTGCCACAGATAAGGACGCTGAACAAGTGGCTTCGGAACTGCATAGCCATGATGACGCCTGCGTAGCTGGCAATTTGCCCCCGGGTCTTCCTTCCGCCTTCAGTGTCGTTTTCGAAAGGATACCGAGCCGAAGGAGAGGGGTCTGAATCAACCTTGACCTCCACTCTGTCTTCTGGGGAATTCGCGGGGTGCTCGCCGTGATCGTCCTCTGCGACGAAGGCTTTCGTAACGGGAGCATCTACCGCTTGTTCTGCCGAATAATCAGTGGCATCTGGAGCCGAATCGCTCCTTTCGTGGTCAGAGACCACTCCAGCTTCTTCCCAGTCAGCGTCCTGAGGACCAGGGCCTGGGTAAGGTTCGCGGTCACTGTCAATGAATGCGTCGCGGCGGTGATCTGGCTTGAGTTCCAAGAAGCTGAGCATATTCGCAAAGTCGACTTTGATCCTCGTCTTGCGAGGGATCCACGGTTTCTGTCTATTGTAGACCGCTTCGTCTGTGCCAAGGCCGCTGAACGAGTCTCGATGGTTGTGGGTGTCTTCGAAGTTGATAGTACGAGATAGTACGCGATACGCCTTGGGCCAACCATGAAGGGCGGCGTGCTGAGAGTAATGTAAGCACGGTATGATTCAAATCGTGATTAGTGCTACTTACACATGCACGGTTCATGTCACTTTCCCCAGACTTGGCTGCCATAGATTTCAGAGTGGTGAGTTGCTTCTTAGTGGGCTTCTGGGCTTGGAATTTCTTGAAGGCACCGGAGTCGTCAATGTTCCATGGTAAGAACTTGTGCATAAATTTGATTGGGTCGACGTCTCCAATGTAATGACCCCGGGATTCGTGAGCCATGTTGGGAAAGAGCTTGTCGGGTTTGACGTGGTCCATTGCCCAGAGATGAACAGCTGCAAGTCTTGCAACGCGCGGCGTTGGCTTTGGATCGTATTCCTGAGGACGGTTTGCAGGGGTAGCAGGATTCGGAGGGCGTTCCGGGTGCGTGCCACCACTGGTGAGGCTTGCTTGTTGAGAGTGGGTTTGAGATACTGGATTTTCAGACATGGTGTAAGCGAGTGATAGAAGCAAGGAAGATACTACGAGACCGAGTTTATATACACGCCAGCTTACCTTTCGAATGTGGCCGTTTGGAACAATGGAAAGTGAAGGTGGTGGCGAAGACTCAACCAAGGTACGTCATGTGACATGGCCACATCCCTATTATGGTAGGTAGTTAACAACGTTCAAATCCCGCTATCTCAGCCACAGGCCACCCGCTCATCTCTACGTGGTCCAGAACTACGCAGTGTTTTCGGTGGACGGCTCAATCAAGCAAACAATGTAGCTATTATTGTCCCTTTGTGGACTGGATGAACCAATAGTTCTCGTATATCCCAAGTTGACACCAAGGCGGCACTCGCAGTCGAAATCGCCCACCATCATCAACATTCATCGCGCACCTTCTCCGCCTTAGCTGTCGTCGCCCACTGTGTCCGTTTACATGCTTTGTACCTCTACCACTAACTCCTGGGGCCCTGCATCCCATGGTGACAGTCCTGCTTGCCTTGAACCTTCCCCCCCCTCAGGTCCAAATTGTGGAGTACTATCGGTGGAGTACCATTGGTTGGCAGCCTTTCAACTCGGTGATGACAACGCACGGAAATATCGCTCGATTCTGCAGCATCATCGATGAACACCGTCATTTTATTCTCTTATCCGACATCTTGACTCCCGAACCCTTCGAGCTTCGTCTCTGGAAGGGTTCCAATCACTCCGAGGCTCAAGCAAGGTCTTATCTCTGACTCTGCCAAGTCATCTGATAGACGAAGCACAGGAAAATATCTTCGTCGCCTCGTTCCCTCACCTACAGGCACTTCCCATCAAACATTTATTACGACGAGGGGTGTCGCTCAACCTACCACAACGTTGCGATGCTTCTGGGGTCGTTGTTTGGGTCCTCGTGTTATGGATGACCTACTTCGATGGCTAATGTCAGAGAACTCGATGTCACCGATAGAATGCATATTTCTCGGATCCGTCGACTCCACGTATGGGAAGCTACTCGATCGCGTGCCGCTGTTCTTGTCTAGGCTACGTACGCAGTGTGAAAAGCGTGCGGCTCAAGCTCAGTACGATGTGGGGTATGTTCACGTCCATTTTGCCTCGCAATGTAGTTGACATTTCCCATGGTGCAGACATGCCACCCCTCACATTCGCTGAGAACACGCAGCTAGAAATCATCCGGCTTGATTTCAAGTCAAATCTGTCAAAATGGATCTCCTTTCTCTCGACAGTCTTTTCGTCCATATTGTCTATGTCCGTAGGCACTATCCTAATTATCATACAGATGCCGGGTAGCTGCCAGCGAAACTTCGATTGGATGGACTTGGGAAGCGTTATGAAGTCTCCGACGTTCGCGAGTCTTCGCAAAGTTTCTATCCTCTACTCCCGACCGCACATCGCTGGAGAACCGCTCCACTTAGAACAGTGGCAATATCAGCCAGGCGTTCGCACGTCTTGAGGATAAGGGTGCCTTGACCGTCGGGTAAGAGGATCTGGTTCTGGCCATTGAATTTGAATCCAACGAAGGGTCATGCGTTCTAGAGTGCAGGTTTAGCTGCGACGAGCTTGCTTTGAATGGGGGGCGAATATGACTCCCGACCAAGCAGTGACGTGGGTCTCGACGAGGCCTTGGGACAACCACGCAATACGAGGTGTCCATGTAGTCATATTGTAATACCCCAAGGACTTTCCTGGGAGTCGCATTAAAATGTACCTGCTTTTCAACCCCCCCCAGTGCGCATTATGATGCCAGGTCCTGTGTGACCAGTACCTATTATAATGTTCATATTATATTTCTGTCAATGAATGGGCGAATTATAATGCCAGTGAAGAGTCACCTTCCTGTCTACGGTGTAATGCCGTCGTTGGGTGGGGGAATTATAATGTGAGCAGTCGAGCCTCCTCCTGCTCCCACACCCATTATAATTCACCCATCGGTTGACACCATTATAATGATCGTGCACGCACCTTGTAACCCTCCCCTGTCTACATTGTAATGTCGTCAGAGGGTGAGTGAATTATAATGTGTGCGGGTAAGCCTCTGTCGTTCCCATGCCCATTATAATCCACCCATCCCGCGACGACGTTATGCTGTGGTGCGCGCCTCATTCCCATATGCATCATAATGATGTTGGGGAGTGGGGGAATTATAATGTGAGCAGTCGAGCCTCCTACCCATTATAATTCCCCACTCCCCAACATCATTAATGATGTACGTGTCCCATAAGCCTCGTAACTTAGCTGTCTACATTGTAATGTTATCGAGGGGAGAGCGAGTTATAATGTGAGTGAGTGAGCCTCGGCTGGGGGAATTATAATGTATGAATAGTGATACTCCTCCCGTGGCCCTTGGCGGAATTATAATGTGAGTAGGTGAGCCTCGGCTGGGGGAATTATAATGTGAGTGGGTGAGCCTCGGCTGGGGGAATTATAATGCACGGGTAGCAATACTCCTCCCGTGGCCCTTCGTCGTTTGACCCTGCCAGTTTTTCTGCACGAGTGGATTAAGTTGAGTGAGTTTCTCTTCATTCCTATTTCACCTACATCATGCGGCAGAACATTCATGGCCATTCCCGCTTGCATTATATTGCTATCAATGGATGGGGGCATTATAATGTGAATAGTAAGAGCCTAGCATTATAATATGCGCACAGTAAGTCTCCATTTTAATGGCCCACGCACATGGGCCTCATCAACTTACGTTCTAAACTTCAAGCTCAAGTCCGATCTTTGTTGTTTCCATGGACGAGTTGTCTTAAGAAAGACGCGGCAGAACCCTTGTTACACATCCTGTCCACATTATAATGTTGTCGACACTTCGACAAATTAATATATCACTTATGATTCACAAACTAACACAAAGCATCAATCACATTCAAGCTATCACTAATTTTACAGCTTCGACGACTATGGAAAGCACGAGACACGATTGGGACGCAACAAGAAGTGTGACAAGAAGCAGGTGGGCACAAAAAAAGAGCCGGAGGGTATATACAGGCAAGAGCAATACAGTGGTCAATGGCATTCAACCTAAGTTGGGTCTATTTTCTTTTCTTCGATGTCGCTTTTGCTTTGGGTGCCGCATTTGCTTTGGATGCTGCTTTTGCTTTCAGTGCTGCCGTCGCTTTTGACACTGCCTGTGGCGCTGCAGGCTTCCGGGTGCCCTTGGCTGGCGGCACATATCCTGCCTCTTGAAGATGAGGAGGTGGCTTTGAGGCGCGATGCGGTCGTTCTTGGCTCTTAGCAGTATCGACTGACTTCGCCCGTTTCCGTTTCCTTTCAGGTGGTGTCTCATTTTCTTTACCCAATGAAGCTGGACCGGCGGGAGTCATAGAAGAGGCGATGGAAGGATCGGCGATGGGAACAGTAGGTACTGACAATGCTACAGCAGATGACGCTGCGGCAGATGTAGCTGACGCTGTGGAGTCGACTTCCGGGGCAATGGGCATCAAATCAGGTGTCGATGTCGCCGGTGTGATCATCGAATGAGGTGTGGATGCAGGCTGCGTGATCGTAGGTTGTGAAGGATCTGATGTCAGGGCTGACACTGGAGTTGGAGTGGCGGTGGTCGACGAAGAATCGGGGATAGAGGTCCCTTCGTGGTCTCCGCAAGTGGCTGGTGTCGACTGGGATAATGTAGCTGGTGGTGCCGCGGGAGTAGAGATGGAGACACCCCCCCAGCTCTTGAGTGACAATTGAAGCTGCTATCGTCGTGGAACCCCGACTGTCATGGCTCTGAGTTGGGGGAGAGATGGGTACAGGAGCTGGGATCATTAGGGCTGGGATTGTCGTTGGCGTAGCACCATTGTCCTGCGAGACGATTGGTGCGGGAGCTGGGATTGTTGGCGTAGCACCATTGTCCTGCGAGACGATTGGTGCGGGAGCTGGGATTGTCGGCGTAGCACCATTGTCCTGCGAGACGATTGGTGCGGGAGCTGGGATTGTCGTTGGCGTAGCAGGAATGGAGATGTTGCCATGGTCTTGATAGAAGATGGGTGCAGGAGCTGGGATTGTCACCGGCGTAGCAGGGATGGAGATGCCTCCGATAGGCATTATTGGCATCGTTGGTGCCATCGGAACATTCGGGCCATTTGCCAAGATGGGCATGCCTGGCATCGTTGAAGGACCTGGGCCATACAGTGCAGGTACAGCGTTATTCCAAAGCAATGGATTCTGGCTCGCATTGTCACCCCAATTCAACGTGTTTCCCCAGTCCCAATCAGTGGCCAGAAGGGCCGTGAATTCCCCTTGAGGCTGTCTGGGGGCAACGGGCAGGCCAACATTCATTGTACCGTCATTGAGCTTGTGACCAGCGTCGCCATCCTCTATCAAGGTCATCGGATCTTCCAGTGGTGGGTAAGGATCACCATCAAGCGACATCGTTGGTCCATTCGTACGAGGGATGCGCCTTTTGCATTCTTCGGGAGCTAGAACACATGCCCTTAGTTGTCGAGTTTAACCTAAGATAACGACGGAACTTACAGAAGACTGCTTCCCCGTAGCGCACAATGGAATCTTGGACAGCCTTGAATCCTGTCTTATCAAACTCGGGCCAGATGAGAGAGGTCATCGAGCCGACATTGTTGGAGTGAGCACTACCGAACCGTGTGAACTTCATTTGAAAGTGAGAGAAGTTACCACACACCTTCGCATCACAATCTTCCCCTCTTCCGAGCCTAGGGGACCCGTCATCAACAAGGACACGCTCATCCCAAACTTCTTCGCAATGGCGTCTACAAAGACGTGCAAGAAATTATCAGCCTTGCACCAGGCACTATCAGATCGCTCGTAAGTCAATCATACTAATAGCTATCATCATCTGACTTACTGTGCATATGCCTCTGGGGTTCCATCGAGTGCATCTCAATTATTGTACTCGTCCATCGCTTGTTTGTATTCGGCATCGGCCCGCTTTTCTAGGGCACATCTGTACTCTTCACTTTCGTCTTCATATCGTGCCCTGACGTAGTCGGAACACATTGACATGCGTGAATCAGGCGGTGCGGTCAGCTTAGCCGTCTTCCAGTATTGCTGGAACTCTTTGCGAATCTTGGTCGCGTAGTTCTCTGCCCAGTAGATGTTCATGGCAGTTTGTCGTCGTGGTCGCTCTACTGTCAGCTGACTCATGGTTTCCAGCAGGTCGGCCACCATGTCTTCGTCAGTTTGTTTGCGATGAAAGCGGTGACACATCCAATTCCCGATCTTCTATAAGTAGATTGATCGAGGTCAAGGAGAGATCGAGGTCGACAAAGGAGAGATCGAGGACACAAGACCAAAACAGGTTAAGATCGAGGACCGAGGAAGAAAGACCAAAACAAGGTAAGCTCAGGGACGTGAGGAACTTTGTTACACTCACAAGCCGTAATTTCATGTAGATTGCTTCTCGTCTTGCTTGTTCTGTAATCCGCTGGTCGTATGGTAGGTCTGCCAGGTTGGGTATTACTGGGGAATCCCCTTCTTCAGGCTCGGAGTCGAACGGCAGGTCGTAGCCGTACTTCTCCAAAAACTGAACCGTCATTCTGGTGTACACACCGCCAGGGTCAGCCGTTTTGAGATACTCTTCCTCAAAGGAGAGTAGAAACTCGAGCTTGCTGCCTTCACCCCAGGCCTTTCGCCCGCGACGCTTACCACTTTGGCTTTTACCTTTGGCTTTGGCTTTTTTTGCCACCATCGTAGGGAACACTTGGTCAAAGGAGCAGGTTTTTTTTTGGCGTTCTCAAGTAAGCTTCCTCTACTTATCTATGGGGCGGCGGATGCCGGGCAACTCTTACTTGACACTTCGTCCAAAAAGGCATCGACGAAGTGTATAAAACTCACCTGGTCCATTGTCCCAACAGCACGAAGCAAGGCCTCGCCAGACGACTGTCGCATCATCCTGAAACCATCCCCATGGCTAACATCGCCCTTGGTTTCGCTCCCCTCACTCCAAACTCCATCCTGCACCTCCCTTTGACCAACGAGAACGTCCCACAGGTTATGCAGCTGTTGGCATCACTTCGGGAACAGTACGATCAGCAACCCAGTAAGTGACGATGCAAGATCCATACACCTACTATCACTGACTACAACATTTTGTTAGATTCAATTACTTGGACAACCCCCGGAAGCGACAACGTGAGGTACCTGGTACCCACGAACATCCCCGACCTTGCCACAAACAAGGTTGAAGTCGACGAGGCCCCCACCAATTTTGCTTGCGCCAATTGCGGAACTCAGAACTTCGTGAAGGAGAAGAAACAATACTATGCTGTGACTTCGGGGGCCCAGGTTGGTGTGGTGAAAGGAGCGTGAGTACCGCGCCTCAACATCTCCGTATTCAACTCATTCATGTTGACGGGCAGCAACACGGCAACGGCATTGATCCATGGAGTAAGCGGAGGAGTCTGCCTTGGTTTCCGTTCCGAAGCCTTGGCCGTGGAACACTTTCAGAAGGGGGTCAACGGCGGAACAGTAGTCGTTTGCAAGCCGGTTGGTAGCCCGATGTAAAGCAAATGTTGTATTCCACCTTGTCGTTGTAATAGCATGATGTTCAGCCGTTCCCGCATGCCGCATGAGAGGGTTCATACATTAAGAATGTGCGAGTACAAGTCTACACCAACTGATAGTTATACCTATGACGCTTGTACGCTGCCTGCATAGCGACGGGATCCAACATTGCGTCACACAGGAGCTCTTCAAGGTACTCGATGGCTGTGCCCGCCATCTTGCCTGCTCCGTTGATCATTTGCAACTCCCTGCCCATTCCACACTCTTCCAACACCACTTCCCCACACTTATCGAGGCGTCTCTGCCATTTTTGTAGCCGTTCCAAAGGCGCTTTGATGATCCCGATATCATTTGTTCCAGTTTCGTAGACTTTGACATACTTTATAAATGTTGAGTTAGCAAAGGCAGCGGGCGAATGATTGATGAAAGACGACAGTTTGCGTGCAGTACAATAGGCGAGACTGATGGTTTGCGAAACATCGGCATCATGAGAGACCGCCTCTGTGGTTGGGGACGATTGCGGGAGCCCAGACAAGTGGGGCTCGGCGTGCTGTTCTGGCCGTGGATGCGGCATTGGGTCCTCCCTGTACCCATATGAGACTGTCAGTAAAATTGAATGGTATGAATGGAGACATACCTGTGTGCACGGATGTCGCGCCGCTTAGCTAGTATATCAGCCTTATTTCTACTTGGTTATAAGTACTGTAGGCCAAATAAGACTTGAATACATACTTAGCATAGTGCCGAGCACTCTTAGCACAGTTGGCAGCACGGCGGTTGGCTTTAGTGTGGTAGATGCGAGGGTGAGGCATTGAAGTCTATGGGAAAGTGTAAGGAAAGTATTAAGTCTCGTGGTTCAACTCACCAGGGTGGTCTGACTTTTTGGCCCAAGCTGTCGAGGTCATGATCGGTCCCAAATACAAAGGATCGGGGTATTGGCAAGTGAATACAACTCACCTGAGTCGTCTGATGCAACAGAATAACGTTGACAACGCAGATATGACAAGATCTTGGGCCGAAAGTCGGTGTTCCACTGGCCGCGGTGGTCTGACCTTTTCATCTGAGTTATTGACAGCATGATCAATTCAAAATAAACCAGATCGACATACAGGCAAGCCACTAGTACCTGCCTGCAGTGTCCGATGATACAGTAAGAGCTGGGCGCCACAGATATGACAAGATCTATGTCCCAATGTTTTGGCGGCCGCTGTTTGCAACAAGCGAGTTTGCCAAACAACAAGTGCTCAGGTCAGTTAGCACTCAACTGTTACCGTCATCAGCAATGTGAGGCGGTCACCGCCCCGCTATCGAGTCGCCACCCACTCTCTGAAGGAGTCGCCACCCGCTCTCTCTGTGAAAATATCTTGCTCCTATCCCGCTCAAACACCCAACATCTTGCTCCCATCCCGCTCAAACACACTGCAGGATTTCACGCCATCATGTGGATTCTTCCCTTTCATATCTGTGGTTCTTCCGCTTGCTTCTATGGCCTCCTAGCTCTCTTCTTCAATGTCGCTCCTCTTCTCTCCAACCTTCCCCACTTTGCTACTGCCCCTCCACTAATGGTATGTCCCCCCTTGTGAAACAGATTGATATTGATTCGCATTCTCCAGATCATATTCACACCTCAAAAGACCGCTTTTCTACGAGAGCACTCGATTCTATTTGAAAAAGCAGAACTTCTTGGTGCAGGTGACATGTTTATGGACGATTTTTTCGGTGCATGGATCGAGTGCTTCAAGGAAATGGATTTCCTTAGGGCAGACTCTGACATCCAAACCTTTATCAAGCGACGAATGGTAAAGGTACGTCCCGTTCACTTACTTTAACGATGATTGTGTTCTCACTTCTACATAGCTTTTGAGAGATAAACTCACGGTGATACTTAACACGCAAACGCTGGATGAAAAGGCACTTCTGGCATTACATTCCCCCGTCTCTATCCGTAAAGCAAGCGAGGATGGCCTCGAGGGTCCTCCACGATACAATCCAACCCGCGCCTTGCTGCAACGCGGTCTTCTCCCTCGGCCGACTGGCAGCAAAAGACGACGCGCACGCTTGGATGCCAGTGTGGTTGTGCCACCTATCATTCCTAAAAAACTGGCAGTACATTGAAAATACTTGCCCTCTTTTGCCCAATTGACCTCTCTCCCAGTTATCAAGGACCCGGGTTCGTGGTGAACCAAAATGTTTTCCCAACAGCCGATCATTACCTTGCTCCACTGGTACGTTTACCCTATGGTGATGCACCTCAATAACTCTGCTTACCACATTTTACAGCCGTTGATACAGATCATACAGCGGTGTAATTCCCCACCACAGTACCCATTCCCATTCTGTCGTCAATATATCTGTTTGTGTTTGTTTGGTCCGACAGCATGTAGTAATGTAGATGTTGTTCCATCTTTACGCTTTTACCACCACAACCATCCCGACACCATGGGGAGAGAGAAAAGGAAGCGGAGTGTATACGTCCTGGCGCCCGAGGTCCCAACCTTCGTCGCCACTAGAGCGACCAAGAGCCGGATCCATCAAACGTTCATTGAAGCCCCACCTGTCACCGAAGAACAACTGCCGTCAGATACACCTTTGCCCACCCTTGGTTCGCCAGATTCATACATGGCCGACGCGACCATCTCTGATCCACCTGTGGATGCCTCTGGGTTGGTTGTTAGAACGAGGGCAAAGCGTTATCTGAACTCGGTTTGTCTCTGCTCCATTTAGTTATGTTGAATTGAGTTTCGAGCCGGACAGGATGCACCTCTCCTTACGTGGAGAGCAACATACCGGCAAAGATATCTGGACGCCTCCTTACTACTAGAGGGATGGGGGCGACATAACTTCAACGGATGCACTCACTGTGAATCCCCCGACCCGCTTTACCGGTGCGTCGATTGCCATGGGCACTGGCTGTATTGTGGCGAGTGTGTTGTTGAGCTACACCGCAGCGAGCCGTTGCATTTGTTGGAAGTATGTTCTTGTTTTTTTGGTTGTGCACTCAGCTTATGCCATGAGCTTCTCAGCGGTGGACTGATGACAACTATTTCGAAAAATGCACACTACGGACCCTTGGGTTGAGGATTCAACTTGGACACCCACGAACGGTTGCTTGTCCCATGGTGAAACGCGGCCACATCGATTTTGTCATCATTCACATCAATGGGATCCACCTTGTTGATGTGGATTTTTGTGGTTGTCCTGGAAGCCTGGATCATTTTGAACAGCTGCTAGACGTTGGCTGGTGGCCGTCGTCCCCACTTGAACCGCAAACGGCTACCACGTTTCCCCTACTACGTCTATTCCACAACCTTAATCTTCAAGGGTGCATCCCACCGACGGACTTCTACTGAGCGCTTGAGCAACTCCACAACGGCGAGGCTCTGGTTCAACTACCTGTAAGAAGGAAGTTCAGGCTCCATATCCGCTAGCATTGATTCACTATGAATGTAGGATCGTCTGCAGCAATTCATGCTGACTGTTCGGGAATGGCGGCATATTCGTATGGCGAAGCGAGCTGGGCGCGGAAATGACCCAGGTGGACTGAACGCTACAGCACAAGGGGATTTAGCAATTCCTTGTAGGTCATGTCCTCACCCCGATATCAATCTACCACCAGGATGGGAAAAAGCGCCACCCAATACTCGGTACAACAGCTACTACCGCGGATGAAACAATGTGCTTGTAAGGGGACACTCCTATTTTCTCCTATTCCCCCTGTCCCGCCCCCTTCCTCCTCGTTCCTTTCCCCTTTCCTTCATTCCCTTTCCTTTCCTTTTGTCCCCTTACCTTCCCGCTTCCCTTCCGTTCACTCCCTTCGCATCCGAGCCCCGTCCGGTGACTCCGAAGTCTTCCCGCACTTCGGACTCGCCTCGGACTCACTCGGACGCTTCGGACTCGCTCGGACTCGTAGATACACTTCGGGGCTCGTCCGGGCTACCTCTATCCTCCTTTCCCACTTCATTACTCCTTGTCCCCACTTCCCCAGGTCGCTGGCACGACTCCTGTACATTCCCCTTCCACTTCATTATCACATGCCCCCTCGTACCTTGTGATATTCGTTCGTACCTGTGGCTGGTGTACTGTACAGTTACCCTTCATTCCTCCCACGCTACTACAGTATATACTTCGCTTCCTAGCATGGAGAATCCCCATCCTGTTCTCTTTGGATTCTCCCTCTGCTAGGTGAGCAGCTCTCTCATGTATTGTAGTTAGTCTTATTCATTACTTTGGATTCTTCCTCTGCTAGGCCTGCGCTGTTGGCCATCTTGAGGTTGCCCTTACAGTGCTGACTTCTCTATTAGGTGGTTATATGGTCTTCTCCTTCAAGAAGACACCAACTTCAAACAGAAGAATCGACTTCGTTCAACGGACGGCCGTGATCCTGCCCTTGGTCCAGGCTGGGCCACTTTCGTTGCAGAGGAGCCGTACTTCAACCATCTAACCAACTATGTTGACCAGGAGGAAGTTCGTAACCCCAACATCTACCTCATGACGGAAGGTTGCTGATTTGGTCTTCCTAGATCAATCATTGCGTAGGGTTTGCTGCCCTGTGGTCAGCGAACACTCGGCGCTCTAAGGGGCTCCGTGCGACTGGGGTCAGGTCGGTAAGTTGTGCACGGAGTGATATGTTTCGACCCAATGGCGTTGGCGATCTGCAAAAGGGCGAACGATACGCTAACATGGACTATATATTTCTGTCGAGCATCGCTGCCGGTTCACTCCTTCTAATCACGATTACATACGACATTGCTTGCCAATGGTTCCGCAACTTCTTTTCCCGCATGCAACAGCTTCCTGCACATCTACGGTTGTCCACGGGCATTGATCTTCGATTTCGTATCCCGAAATTCCATCTCGAGGCCCACAAGGAGACCTGCCATGCTCCATTTTCCCTCAATTATACTAAATGGGTAGGCTGTACCGATGGTGAAGGTGTCGAGCACATGTGGTCATGGCTGAATAAGGTTGCGCATTCTGCTTCCATGATGGGACCGGGAGGACGACAAGATACGCTCGACGATTTCTGTAACTTTTGGAACTGGCGAAAGACAGTCAACCTCAGTGAGTGTTTATCAGTAGCCCTCACACGTTGATTGGACATGAATTGGAATCTCTAGAGAGCGCTTTACTGGAGAAAATGACACTTGCTATCCCACAGGCCTTAGTTCACCATCAAGCGTTCACCGCATTCACCAGTGGCTTGCGTGAGCACCATTCAGCGGACTTGCTGGAATGGGAGAAACAGGTACAGGCTTGGGAGTTAGACCAAGCAAACCCATGCCCATTTGATCTCCCGCGAGAAGGTGAGTACTCATTTGATATGTTGTACGGTCAGTCGACTAACTTTATTTGCAGATATACGGATGTCAGATGTCAAGAAGGCGATGGCGGAAGAAGAGCACCGCGCCGTTGAACGAGGCAGATCAGCGGCTGGTGACATGAGTCCCAGCGCCTTTCTCATTTCCGGGCTGGACATTGAAGAAGCTCAGTAAGGTGTTCTCTCATCGTGGATCTAAAATGAGTTGGCTGACATATTCTTAGACAGGGAGAGATCTTACAACGGTTGAGGCAACACAGCTTCAAACCAGCCGTACAAGTCTACTGAAGCGTATTGCGAAGTTCCGAAATGCCCAAACCTCGTACATGCCAGGCCTATCTGATTATCTCAAACAGACGTCCAACGAGGAGGATACCACCACCCCAGAATCGATGCCACTCTTTCTACCCTCTTTTTTTGCTGAAGATCAACGTGCAACGATTTGCGAGCCGAATCTATGTGACTTGGAAGACCGACTACGATTCGCACAGGCCTCGGAGGCTCTCTCTAAACTACGCCACCAGTTGCGAACTCGATCATTCGCTCACAGCTACAAAACACGAAATATCAATTCTCAGGGTGCCTATACACGTAGCCGCCTTCTCCAAAACCAGATCGAAGTGCGGATCAAAGCCATCCGCATCATTTACAATATTGCGCGGGAAGCTTTGCTGTCGCTGCGTGGCCCTGGCGACTGGGAAAATGTCCTTCAGCCACTCCGACCTGAAGACATACGTGGGATCAGTGAACGAACCTTGACTGCCGAAGAACAGGAAGAATATCGGCAGACTCGAGCACTGGCTGGGATGTCATCGGAGGCGATACAAAACGAACTGAATGGTCTAGGTCTCACGAGCGGGCAAGAAAACATACCAACAGTTGCATTCAACCGCAGTCTCGCGCTTGGTGAAGGACGACGAACGTTATCGTGGATTTGGTACACAGTGACTGACGAAGAACTCCTGGGCGCTGGTGAAGTACATGCTTGTACGAATTATTATTACAAGCTTATTTGGCGGAGGACTAACCTTCTTTCTGTATCCAAGGTCTTCGTGTCGAGTGGGTGAAGGCCCGAGCGCATGCCGAAAGATGGCGAGAAGAAGTTCTTTTACTTGAAGAGGAAATGTGTCGTGCGATTGCATATTGCCGGTGGAGGGCTAGCTATTGGCGAAACGCGGAGACGCCAAAGGAAAGTTGGACAACGGAAGAGGAATTGGTGCTGTACGAGGGAGTTCGAGCGTACGCGCGTCGCCAGGCCGATTACGAGTGTCGTCGAGCATTGCAGTGGGAGGACGCGTGGCGTTCAATTCGTGAACGTGCAGAATTCGTCCTGACCTCACAGCTCAGTCAAACCGGCCCCAACATCCTCGCAGCGCCTGCTTTGGTGGTGGAGTTAGACTTGGACTATGATGATAGCATGGAAATGGAGGAGATTGATGAGCCGTAGCGGCGCTTCTTGTATTGTGCCTACGAAAATCTGTGAATTGCATTATAATGTGGACTGAGGATAAAATGAGCAGTGGCAAGGTCGAATTATATTACCGAGCGACATTATACCAGAAATGTTGACCAGGCCGAATTGTAACGTAGGGTGTACATTATAATATGGGTGGAGCACAAAGAAACGGCCGCAAAGTCAGCAAAAGTAGCGGCGGCGAGGCCAGATTTGAATGCGGAGGGCACGTTATAATGCGACCTTGGGTGTCGACGAATCGTGATCAGAGGTAGCAGGGGAATTATAATGGGGGGTTGGGGGGGTTGAGTGCGATTTTAATATGAGCTACAGACCGTGCAGGGTGCATTGTAATATTACAAAAATGGAGGCTAGATTATAATGGGGGGTGCAGGGAATAAGGGTAAGGCAAAAGGAGCGGCAACGACGCCAGATTTTAATGGGGAGTGCATGTTATAATGCGAGCTGGGTTTCAACGTATTATAGTCAGAGGTGGCAGGGGAATTATAATGGGGGGTTGAGGAGGGTTGAGTGCTATTATAATGGGGGGTCGAGGGGGTTGAGTGCTATTGTAATACGAGCTACAGACCGCGCGGGGTGCATTATAATATCACGACGGGGTACCATTTATGGTCAAGGGCAGGTATTGTAATGCTCACTGGGGGGGTTTAGATAGCGGGGACATTTTAATACGATGGTCAGGAGAGTCCTTAGGGTATTATAATATGAGTACATGGATTGTTGGCAATACCCACCATGTGATCTCCGTCAAGCTTTCCGTACACCAGACGAATGCTGACACCCTCCGAGTCATTCACGTCATCCGTAGTCATTATCCTTTCGTTTCGATTCTCACCTTTGATTCCACGTTTGTGCATTTTACAAACTGTTCCCACGAGAACGTATTCTTGGGGAAATCCTTGAGGATCAAAGTTTCATATCAGCCAGAGCCGCCACCGTCCAAAACAATGATGATTAGGGTATTTTTATAGGAGGACGACGTTTATAGGATCAACAGTGAAAGAACATTTGACGGCCCTATGGTATAGTTCCGTGGCAGCAACTTACCAAGTCAATCGCAGGACATGGCCAACGTTCGTACTTCCCGAGAACTCTATGAACATAGAAACAGATCAGTGATTACACTAAAGGGAAGGTAGCACCCACAAGGGTGGCTCTTCGGTGAATAATTGAGATTCGGCGACGTCTGGCGGCACCATTAGATGTTACTAGTTACATTCCACATATGTACGGATGGTAGATTGAACATATTGCACGAATAGAGCGAAAATATGTCATCTTGGAAGTAATCCAAGATGTTGACGCCTGTCCTGAACGATGATCCCTTCGAGTCTTTCCTCGACCTCACCCGTTGCCTGACGACGGCTATCGCCCTGGAAATGACAATGGCATATCCATGATCGCTAAAGACGTCGGTTGTAGGCATCGACACAGACTATTTCCTGGTGGTGCAGATAACGCTCGACTATCGGCTGGACTCGTGGATCTACCTTGGAAAGAATCCTCACGGTATCGCTCTAACGGGAAGTTAAGATCACGGTCGTGTGCTCAGGATGATCTCTTACCCAAAGGATGCCCTGGAATTCTTTGCCTTTTGCACTGACGACGAAATCGCTGGGTTCCATGACATGAGAAGAACTCACATATGCACCTCGAAGCGAGTTTACTCCTCCCTGCGACTCGTCGGGAGTGGCGATCGCTCCCCATATGATCTGACGGGCGCCTTCTTCCGCTGGCCTGGCAACGAGGGCTCGGAACACCCACAGAATAACATCAAGAATACCACGAAGGAGGTCCGAGTGACAGAATCCAGGATGGATGCAGTTAGCGATGATTGTAGGTCTAGAGGGTGGAAGATGGTCCGATAAAGCACGTGTGAAAAGTAGGTTTAACACTGAGTTTTGTCAACAAGTGAGCATGAAGACTCGATTGTTTGGTTCACTCACATTTGGCTAAGTTGTATTTTGGCCTGGCGACGCTATTGCGATATAAGGGGCGCGAACGGATTGACACACGATTGGACTTACTAAGGTTCGCAGCACTGTCTACTGCCTAATTCTTCGAGTGCGGATTGGGCTAGGAACGCCTTCTCAGGAACGCGCGCAGTTTGGTGAACCATACTCCCAACGATTACTATGCGTGGCTCAGAAGAGGATAGTTCCGCGGCCTTGAACATTTGCGGGAGTAGAAGGAAGATGAGGAGAGCTGGTGCCAGGTGATTGACTTGAATCCTGTCGGTAGGTCAAGGTCAGCACGAACGGCGCGTAGAACCGAAATAACACGTACGAAGTCTCCCAGTCATCTTCCGTCTTTTCATACTTCGTAGAAATTATTGCAGCGTTCGCAACCAAGATGTCAAGCCTCTCGACTTCTTTCTCAAACTTGTCCACGAATGCTTTGACGGAGGCGAAACTACAAAGATCGATCAGCCAGAGTTCGGCGTCAAATCCGGTGCTCTGTTTGATGCCTGCCGTATCATAAAAGCAAGCATGTAGCTCAATGGAGGAAGGTAAGCGAAACAGGGGTTTGTACTTACTCGCTACCGCTGCAGCCCCCCTCTCCTGACTTCTACATGCCATGACAAGCCGGGCAGGCTTCATGGTAGCGAAGTGCTTCGCCGCCTCGTATCCTATCCCAGTGTTGGCACCAAGCACAAGGACGGTCTTGCCCGTCAAGTCAGCTTTCTCTACCGGGGCCGCCGGAGTCCACTGGTCTTTGAGGAACTGCCATTCAGATACGTGGACCATGGCGACTGAGGGCGAATTGGGGGCAGAAGTCGCTCCATCCACCAACCATTGGCATCGTCTTTTAAATTATTGCTACAAATAAGCGAGCGTCCTTTTTCGAGGCACGCACTCAGCCCTGAGCCAATTGGCTTGCGGTTACCAGTCCTGGACCTACAAACTACACACGCAAACCCTAAAGTGGAGTGAGTACCCTTGGCCAATGTCAGTCGCTTGGATGTGTGGCGGTTCCATCAGACCTTTGGACATGTATGCGAAGAATACAACCAATCATGTTGGTATGGGATCTCGGTCTCTTACAATTTTTGTTAATATAGGCATTAACCCGACCCTATGTTTCTGCTCTCACTATGGAACGAAGGCAGGGATACTCGATGAAGAATCTATGAGAGCACGCATCTCAAGCAACTATATCTCCAAGGCAAGTTCTTACATACGCCAAATAGTTCAAATTGGTGGCAGCATGAGGCGCAGACACTACGCCACAGACTCAGACGCCGCCGTTGATCTCGCGCCGTCTTCGCATCCTGTTGTTCTACTTGTATGGGCAAATGAACTGGCTCCGAGAACTCCAGTATCGTATGCGAAGAGCGAGCCTGCCTATTCGAACCATGGCGAAGATGAAGGAAAGCCCTGGTCACGAATTAATGTTTGAGGTAGAAAAGAAGGGCAGGGAAGCTGAATTGCTTCTGCCAGATGTAGGTAATCTCGTGGTCGAAAGTTAACGAGCAGTCGTATAACTATTGGCCGATCGTAGTCATACGCCTATAGGACTATCATATCAACAAGTGTACATCCCGGAGTGTCATGAATCCATACGAACAGAAAGTGTCATGGAGAAAACTTCATTCGGGACCTTTGAACGGGCTTGGCAATAGATACTTCAAGAATTGCTCACCACAGAGATGCTGCTAGAGACAGAGTTGCGATTCAGCATCCAGCTATTGACAAGGGCAGAGTAGGACGCACATTACCAAGTTGGAACTGCAACAGGGCGTCGACGTCTGCAGGAGGTTGCATATCGTCAGTGGTGGAAGTGGGAGCAAGGTATAAAATCTCTATGTTGGTCGCACGGTCCGAACAAGTTCGCATCATCAGTTTCATGCAACTGACATTCAAAGAATGCTCCGATGGTCTGTTCATCAGGTTGTCCCCAGGTTAATATGCATCTAGACGATCATGCGTAGGAACCTAGTTCTGCATGTGAACAGCGGCGACCACCCAGTAAAACGTTTGTATTGATGGTGGAGAGTGTTCGTTGGGCCAGGAGCTGGAAGCAGTGAGTCGTGAGAATTTCAATTTTCAGCCTCTCGAGCGCCTTTTGCATCCGCTAACATAGCATCCTTTGAGGTTGACTCTCCAGGGTAGCGGCCTTTCCAGTACCATTGGCAGCATAACGTAAAGTCTCTCGGTCTTGTGGGCCATAGGCACGCAGCGATCGCTACAACTTGCGATATACGGAAGAGATAATGATAATTCATGGCTAATGAAGACCATTGAACGAAGACCGTTGCCCTATAGTACGCTTCTCTTATCATTCAAATAGTCGATAATAACGCATAAAGCTCAACGAAGCTCACCAAAACTTTCAGAGCCCTCCCTGTGATGCCCGGGCCATCCATGGTGCACCAGCCCTCGGAGCGTTCAGAACTGAAGCTATGTTGGACCAATTTACTGCTTAACTTGTGACGATTGAAGACTGGTCCTTCGTGTATGGGTTCAACTTGAAGTTCTCTTGAACAACTCGGATATATAGCGCACTTGAAGACGGCTGGATTATATTCGACGGATCGCTGTTTCGCTACCGCTGTTGTCGCATATGTGACGTTCGCACTAGTGGCCTGCGTTGAATCAACACCGGATTGGGGTGAGAACTCGTCAGTAAGTGTTTCGCAGATGTCCTTATTCTTTGTACGTATGCTCATTGAACGGCATTCATGTAAACGTTGTATCGCAGCACATACACTGCCTTGTTGCCGTCCTGCCAGCTTGCGCCATGCTTCGTAGTGAGCTCCAAGACAGTTTCCCTGTATGAGGTAGAATGGATCGAAGTGACCGTATGATGCAAGGATGTATCCATTCGCCCACATGTACGGTACGATGGGTTTCAGACGACCGCATTGTATGGCTAGGCTGCTAACGCTCATACATTGGTTCAGGCTCGAATACCATGATTCGTGGCAAAGATAACACACCCTCGTGTATAGGGTTTTACTCCACTCTCCACATGGTGGTTTCATACGACAGCCTGTAACCTGAAACGCGAAGTGTTAATCCGTCGACCTTCCACGAGAATGCCAAGGGACACCAGAACGTCAACAACGAGCCTCCTATTATCTACTCGTACTTATAAAAGGCTCGAGAATGGCCGTGGATTCTTCAGCAGTTGCCCGCCGGTCGTATCAACAGCTCAGCCTCACGAACTTCTTCTCAGTGCCGGTCACTTTGAAAGTTATTCCCTTTTCAACTCTCTTCCCGCCGAAAACATCCCTCTTTGATTAATTCCCACTCGTTTCTCACCCACTCCTTCGCTTCATCATCATGGTCCATACTTCAACTGCTGTTGTTTTCGGTGCCCTCGCTCTCAATGCCGCGTCCGCACTCGCGACTCCCTTGAAGTAAGCTCCTCGCATCCTTGTAAAGTGTATCATACTTATCACTGATTTAACTAGCATCGAATCCAACGAGCCCCTCGAAACTCGTGCGACAAAGGCAGGGAAATCAACCCTCAGCAGGGTCGGCTCAGGCCTCGGTACTGCAGCTGCCTTCGCCCCGATAGCTGGGCTTGGTCTTAGCCTGGCCACCGGCCAACCATTACGACGCGATGCCGAGGGCGATGACCACATCGAGGCTCGTGATGCCGAAGACGAAGACCACCTCGAAGCCCGTGCCGCGAAATCGGGTCTTCGCAGAGTTGGCAGTGCCCTAGGTACTGCAGCTGGATTCGCTCCACTTGCCGCCCTTGGACTGGGTATGGCCACTGGTCAGCCAGTACGCCGCGATGTCGAGGAAGCACTATACGCTCGTAACGTTGAAGATAACGAGCACCTCGAAGCACGCGGGAAGAAGTCCAAGTCCGGCGGCAAGAAATCGACCCTCAGCAGAGTAGGCAGTGGCTTAGGAAAGGCCGCTGCATTCGCCCCACTTGCCGCCCTCGGTCTCAGCCTGTTCGGTGGTCAGCCAGTACGGCGCGATCTGCTTGAAGAATTACTGGCACGCGACGTCGACGACGACGACCACCTCGAAGCTCGTGCCGTAAAATCAGGGCTTCGCAGGGTAGGCAGTGGCCTTGGGACTGCGGCCGCCTTTGCTCCTCTCGCCGCTCTAGGCCTTGGTATGGCTACCGGTCAGCCCGTACGACGCGACCTCGGTGAAGAATTCTGGGCTCGTGATGTCGAGGATGCGTACCTCGAAGCTCGTGCCGTAAAATCAGGGCTTCGCAGAGTAGGCAGTGGCCTTGGGACTGCGGCCGCTTTTGCTCCTCTCGCCGCTCTAGGCCTTGGCATGGCTACTGGTCAGCCCGTGCGACGCGAACTCGTCGAAGAATTGTTGGCCCGTGACACCGACGATGATGACCATCTACAAGCCCGTGCCACAAAATCGGGTCTTCGTAGAGTTGGTAGCGCCCTCGGTACAGCTGCGGCTTTTGCTCCTCTTGCCGCCCTTGGTCTGGGTATGGCTACGGGCCAACCAGTGCGACGTGATCTCTCGGCGGAACTCATGGATATCTTCCATCGGGAGATCTCTGAATCGTTGGAAGATTTAGATTAAGAACTATTCAAGCTCGACAGTATAACCTTGTAGAGTGTAGACGACGAGGACGAGGGGAATATATGTTGGTTCAACGTGCAGCCAAAACTAGTATTTCATCCAGCGTCTGAATTATATTCGCATATCATTGCCAATGTTAAAGAAGCGAAGGTATGGATCAAGGAGCGGAATTGCAAGGGAACCGTGTATAACATGTTCAAGCAAGCAGTACATCCCCGTACCGCATAGAGAAGAGGGAATGTCCCAAGTAATTAATCAACGATTGAAGAAGGCAGAGGTAGACCTAAACGTGGGATGGAGTTCGAGGCATCCGAAGGAGAGGTTTCGTATCCGTGTATAAAAGTACCACCAACATCCACCGGTAATCCCCAGGAGTGATGGCTGTCGAACAGTAGGTCGTTCTGCCCCGGTGACATGCATGCAGGATCCACGTCGTGGTAATGCGACCGAAATTGATGTTCGGGCGAGGGTATATCGAAAGGATTGATAACAGGGGTATATTGATCTACGTAGTCGTGGGCAAAGTCGTAGGGTCCTCCGTTCAACGGGCTACCTGTGAGTGTCTGGCAGGATACAGACATCGGGTGAGGTGCTGCATGGGGGAAGGACCACCCTGACGAAGCTGCGAGGAATGCTGTATCGATTGAAAGATTACGCCTGGGTGTGGGCATGGCGAGATTATCATGTTGATTATACGATGATGAAGGGAATGTGGGTGGTGCAGATATCGGCGGAGGGCCTGGGCACAAGGATAATGGATCCCAAGAGATTGGGTGTGAAAGAGGCGAAGAGGACGGAGGCGACGAATTTGGTGTGTATGAATCGTCGAATGTGATGGGAGACAGGCTCTGCCCCACAGGAGAGCACGGGCTCGGGTAAGACGTAGGCGACTGGGGATACGGTACGTTGGGCGACATAACTGGAAGCCGCGTAGTAAGGTTTTCATCGTCGGACGTGTTACTGACTGAACACGCTGGGCTCGACGAGGATTGGTACTCCTCCGCAGTCAACGGTTCCTCAAACCGAGTTACGATGACGGGGACGTGATGCTTGTCGTACTCAAGGATAGCGGCATCCAGTTCATCACCCTTCTTCCCCTGAATCAACAACTCCGCGATCTTTGCACACCGTTTGTTATCCCTCGGCTCGATATCCCTCACCTTCCTCTTCACCAACCCCGAGGCCGCCGCGACTTCTGCTCCGTCGCCCCCACCCTTCTTCGAGTGTTGCGGTCGGAAGGCATATTGTGGGTACTTCCGCCTGTGCTCGTCCAATGCCCGCTTTGCTTTGCCATGCCACTCCTGTCTCTCCTGGTCAGGGAGGTTCTGCCACGTGATGCCGATGATCTTGGAGAGGGTGCTATGGCTTGCTTCTACGGTTTGAGAGACGCGTTGCGAGCGGATGAAGTTAGAGCGGAAGAGGATGAAGGCGTTGGGAGGGCGTGGGATATGGTTTGAAGGCCTCTTCTTGCGGTGGTTGGGTTTCGTGAGTGGGGCCTCCTGCATGCTATCCTCCATTGGAAAGAACTCGGCTACGTAGATCGAGGGCCCGGCTCTAGTCTCTGCGTCGCAGTATGGGCGAGGAGACAGCATATCGACGAAAAGAATAACGCACCATGGGTAAGAGCGCCTGCTCCCTTCTGTCTCTGACCATTCCTTGCCACAGGCATTCAGAACTGGACCTGCTTGTTCTGATGTAAGAATACGAATACAAAGGGCGGGAATACGGGGAGACATCTTGTCTTATAAGTTATAAAGGACTTGACTTGCCTATACATCCCGGACATTGACGCCAGGTCTCTATGTGTTCTAGTCTATATGGATGAATGGAGGAGAGGTATGGTCCCAACCAAATGCGGTAGTGTTTGTCTTTTTCAAGGTCCGGTCTCTAAGATGCCAATATTAGTGAGCGATGAATGAGAAGAAGGTAGAGAAAAGTTTATAGGACGAAGGAAGAAAACAAAACGGCCTATTTTCGGACAAGGAAAGGCATGTTCTTGACGACGAGCAAAGAGTAGTGGCTACATATGTAGGAGTCACTAAAAGCCCATTGATCGGCATTCTCACCTTCCCCTTCTGCCCCACTTGATCGAACACTGCGAGCCGAACAGCCACAGGCATGATCTGTGTGACCCTAAATAGGCTACTCCAAAGGGCGATCTCCGATTGTCCTACAGTCTTCTATCACAAGGTCCTCAGTATGAACCCGAACAACTGATTAGAACTCACCCGCGTCTTCGATGTCCTGCTCGGCAAGTTCCCGTCATTGCATCCATTTGGAATCGGGGACATGAATATGATCATAATGTTATCCGTTGACATGCGCCTGAGGATTCCTTTAACGATTTCAACGACTAAGAGCGTGTTCACGAAGTCGAGAAATATAGGGCCGATATCGGACAAGTGCTCGAATGTAACAGCAAGATGGATGTACGTCAGGTTGGTCAAAAAGAAGACGGACAGGGTGTGCGCGTGGACCGCGTGGTATCTAAGATATATGAATAGGAACGTAAGAAAGCGCAAGGGAGTGAGCGTACTGATTCTGCCTGCAAAGAAAGATAACATATTCGAGGTTGAGAAGTCCGGGTATCGAAAACGCTCCGGCAGCTTCGAAATGTACGCGCTCTAAGGACAGCGTACGCAATGACGTGGAGGACAGCAAGACGTGTTCTACCTCGACACCGAGGGGTTGAACGGGTCCCGCGACGGCAAGGTGACCAACGCAAGGTGGAGGGTCCTCAAATAGTAGGATATCCGCAAGTGGAATTGAAGACGGGGAAACAATGCGCTGAGTAAGAACTTCGTATCAGTAGATCTGAATGGGCTGGGAAGTGGCAGGGCGGCCATTTTCTGGGCGTATGGTGATAGACTTGAGGGTCAAGTTGGAGAGGGTGATGAGTGGCGAGATATTGGTCTACGAAGAGAGAGTCTCGAGAGGCCTTAATGATGGAAATCGAATCGTTAAGATTACGCGGCGGCTGTCTTCACTTTCCTTGAACTTTGATAGCGGAAGAAAGGCTTAGTTGTGACAACAAGGAAAATTGAGGTGAGATGTAGCCGACAAAGACAAAGTGGACGAAGCAGTAAATTAGATATCTTGTAAGGTTATCTGACGTACTACTACTATCGTGGCAGGCGGAGCAAAGTTGTAGGTGTAACGAGTACCGGGAGATAATTCTAGAATGGGTATGGTGAGGCGTCCTTCGTGATTAATGCTGGGGAAAAGCCGAGTCGAGGACGTCCAGTAGACACAGTGCCAGACAGTCGAAGATCACGATCATTCCAGAGTGTGCATATGAGCAAGCAGCTCCCGGGCGATGATATGTCATATTCTAATCAATGATAAAAGTTCGGACGGTGGTTAGTTGGTAGACGAATCCATTGGCAGCCAGAAGCCAAGGGACTAGACTAGAGACTTTCGGTTAGTATGGAAGTCTGAGAGTAATTTACCGGTGCTCACTAGATTACAAGAGGTTTCTTTGAGCTCGATGAGGTGGGAAGGCGTAGCCGTCCCGAAAATCCACGCCTTTCTAAAGTTGAAGCAGTGATGTTCAATTGTCCAAGAGGCTGAGAAACTGAGTTCTCACGCCATTGTATATGAAAATCTAACCACCATTGATATTGGGCGCTTGAGCTCCCGCGACGCGGGGTCACTTGTGCGTCTTTTCATCGGCCATTAGCTGTTTTCGTACCGCTGGCCGTGTACTCCAGACGATTCACACATAGACCAAATGTCGAGCAGAGCGTGTTCTACAATCCGTACGCCTGGGGAAAAGGTCCACTAGAAAAGAATGTATGAGAGAACAATCTCTCATCTCGCCCTGTTGCGCGCTGCGAGGACGGTGTGTATGTACCGAGCGACGAATCAATCACATCCTTCCGTAATTTGGGTTTCCTACCCAGGCCTGCCGTCCCACCCTGCCCATCAACTTGCTCTAGAGTTGCTCAGACGAAACACATTTGGCGGTGTATTGAGTTTTGGTATCAAAGTCGATGATAGTGCAGCCCAAGAGGACGTCCCAGACAACCATGCACCTCCCCCCGATGCTGCCTCCAAGGTTATCGATAGTCTGGAGCTAGCGAGCAATGTGGCAAATGTCGGCAAGTGACTACACCAGGCGTGTCACCAATTTGCCATTAATACTTGCAACGCGCCTGTAGGGGACGCAAAGACGCTGGTCATCCACCCTGCTTCGACTACGCATGGTCAATTAACTACGGAGGAGGAACTCAAAGCTGGAGTTACTCCGGACTTGATCAGGGTGCGTACATCAATATGTTGTCGCATTACGCAGGCATCAACTGAAGGCGTGGGTTTATAGGTTTCAGTCGGAATCGAGGACATCGAGAACATCATTGCAGATTTCGAAAACGCCCTAATGGTGATATCAGTCAGAAGCTTCGAAGTATCGTAGATCATGAGTCACATTCTGGATAAAAGGCTATCTACTAAACTGAAACGAGGTGAACGCGTGGCTGGGCCCTTATGTGCAGGTCACTCTACAGCTTCGTGATTAATACGAGAGGATACCAGCGCCGCTATTCTTATCCCATCAGTTCTGGTGCAACTTGGGTGCCTCGAAGCTTGACTGCAAATAACAATCCTGTCGCCCGTGTGGGTGAGCTACTCCATTAGAGCCAACTATGTTGGCTTCTTAAGAGGTTTTGGACACGGTATGACAACGAGAAGCACCGGAAATCGAACTGCAGTCCAAGGCGGTTTTACTGTAATGTAATTGCGATCTCGCATTAACTTGCGCCGCTGATTGGCGCTGGGAAAGCTGCCACTGTCTTAATGTTCAGACAGCAGACAGACAGGATTCCAGTCTGCACAAGTGGACCGCTCTCTGGTTCGCCCTGGGTCCGTGGCTTGGCCGTTGCATGTATAAAGGTGTCAGCAACTGCAGTATCAACAAGCCATTGCCTCTGCTCCCCCAACGATGTACGCCCACACTCAACCTGTATCCAAATCCTATTACGTCCAGAGCGATTTCTGGGCTGAGCAGGCTGCACCTTGTCCACCAATACCCCCAGTTGACATGCAAACCCTACCGCCCGACTCCGTCCTTACGGAAGCCAGCGATTCGCTGACACCGTCTGGGACCGAGTCCTACATCCTCCCACACCCCGACCTCGAATACAGCCTTTCGTGCTCATACCCCACCGATGAACACAGTGTACCCCCCTACATATACACGCTCGACTTCTTTCCGTCGTACGTCGAGTCTACAACCATGGATCTTTCGGCCGAAATCACCGAGCCCTCATCCGGGGATCTCGAGCGTTCAGACTACACGCATTACTTGTCTACTTATCTCAGCGCTCAGGAAGAGCTGGGGACGAGCGACGAGGACGTCTGTTATCCCTATCCTTCCATTGAATCTTATACTCTCCATGCGCAGTACGCGGAGGAGTTGTCTCCTTTGGCCACCCCAGTTCCAACACTGGATACTCAACTTGAAGATCCCTACGCCACGGATTCCATCATCTACACCTCGTCGCCATCGAATACTCTCCACGCTTATCCCACTTTCCTTTCCTCCTTCGACTATTCTTCGAATGAACCCATGCTCGATGGGTGGCCCGATTGGAATCTCAATCCCGCTTACTCCGAGGTGGCGGGAATGAGCCAGTTAGTGCAAAATAACATGACGTTGGAGGATTGGCAGCCCACATTCCTCAGCTATCCGACGACATTCTATATGAAGGGGGGAGCGTCGCTCACCATCGAGACTACACTCAAAGTGTCTCCCGCCGCTGCGGGGGCAATTATTTGCCAGCGATGAATGAGTCGGACCGTCAGCAGAAGTCGCTAGAGTATTGCTAAGCTATCTCCTGGTCGTTGAGTATTTCCTGTATTCTGGTAGAGTGTAAGCTACGTTTGGTGTCCCAGCTTTCGAGATGTCTATGCCCTACCCTGTTGTTGAATTTGATTGCTGATCCATTTCAACCCAAGACATGTCAGGGGCTGCATTCGTGGAATACCCAAGTATAAAGATACATTGGTCTCTACTATACCATTCAAGCGACGTAAGTGTCCCCCATACGTCTGATCAACTCCTCGAAGCGTTCAACGGGCACGAGCATGACCCTCCCTCTGTTGTCTATCCCGAACGTTTCTGCGTCTCGCTTTTCACGCGGAGCATTGTCGAACGAGTAGTTCAGAGTGTGACTTGCGCATTGCATGATGATGTCGTCTTCGGGGTGGAATGGGTATATACCACCAGCGGGCCGCTGGGCTACGGGTTGACTTTTGGCCTTTTGCTTCTTTGACTTCTTCGACGACGGGGAACGAGGGTTGGACGCAAGATAAGACTCTTCTTCGGGTGAAAGATGGTATGTCCGCGAGACAAAGAGTAGATGAGAGAAGGTGAATGGTTGATTCTACCATGCATAGGTTCAGATGCCACGTCGAAAGGATGTCAACAACCATACGTACCGCTTCGATCGCCCATCTGATCTCGTCGCCGAGCATTTTATACATGGGTGGGACCGTCTGAACGGGCATGTTGATCAAACGTTCACAGATAATGAGTCCCACGTGCTGTGCGGTCTGGTCGGGAGATAGCAGCACAGATAGCGCGCCGTGAAACGAGGGATCAGAGGACTGAGATGTTTTCCTGAGGATATATTCGACCAGTGCGCGGATTGAAGGGTGGTCCTAGAATTTATGGACCGTGAGGGGACCTCGGATCTGGAACATGGAAGATGCTCACGCGCTGGATATGCAAGTTCAGGACAGTCAGAAGAGCGTATGGATCGCTCTCCATCCCATCCGTTTTGATTGTGGTGCCCACAGTTGGTTGGCTGAGTATCAAGTCCGTGAGCTCATTCAGATGCAGTCCCTCGGCGTCCGACTGAAAAAGCTGAACCAGCAGTCGCTTGATCGCGATGTAGTCCACAGCAGGGTTTGGGTCGAAAAAGTCAAAATCAACGTCTATGAGATTCTACTGATGAGACGGTGAGCATTTTATCAAATACTTCAGGATGAGTCGCACCACATCAGAAGAATCGGAGTCAGAGTCGTCTTGTTTGCGTTTCGACATGGTGGACGAGGAGAAAAATGCGTTGAGCGCCTAGATTAGATTAGCGCCAAACGATCTAACTTTCATATAAGTCAATCGGTCCGCAAGGTCCGTCGTAAAGCTCCGACCTCTTCCTCCCCAGTACTCAGAAGATCCGCACATATGACCGTAGGATTGGATCCGGGAAGAACTAGGGCCACGTACTTAAACTATGCGACAGTTGCATCCTATCTTGCTCATCGACCACCACCACCACGGGACCGACCGCCCCTTCCGCGCTGCACAAGGCAGATACAATGCCCTTTCAAGCCAGGAATCCGCGATTGTTTTCTTTTCTGCATGCTACAGTGCTGCCCACAGCTTTTTCGTACACGTCTAGCATGGCCCACGCGACGAGGCCATTCGCCCGATATTCCAGTAGTTCGACCGCAACTCGCATGCCTCGTCTATCCCCTCGAGTGCGAAGGGGAGGTAGCTTGCTCACGACTGGGGCACTGATAACTCTGGGGTTGGGTACTATCTACGCCGACTCTAACACTCCAGTCGACGGGACGAACACGCCCCCTACCACGACGCAGACCGTGGGCTCACTTATACGTTCATATGTCGTGTACACCATGTGTTCGGTCCCTGCACTGGTCGACTTCTCCCCCCAACTTCTCGCCTTCTTGACCGGAATCCCTGGACTGAAGCAGATAACGGAATCGGTCGTTCGAGTCACATTTTTTGATCAGGTGAGGACCATACATGCATGTAGCCTCACCTGAGACCCTTATCTCTGACGGAATATTGATGTAACACGTCAGTTTGTTGGCGGCGATACCGCCCACGCTACGTTACCATTGCTGAAGCAGCTTCGGGCTACGAATAAAGGTGCGCTCTTTGCGTATTCTGTTGAAGTCGATGAAGAGGAGGCTGTTGGGTATGCGGCTTTCCTTATTGCGATAGTTTCAGCTTGTTGAGAATAACATAACCAGGTCGAAGAAATCGAAGAAAGACGCAGAACCGCCTCACAAACGAATTGTTGACGAGATGATAAGATGTATAGACGTTGCAGCGGACTTCGAAGACTCTGTACGCGCTGAAGGAAAGGAGATAGTCAGGGGTCGAAAGACATGGGTAGCGGTCAAAATGGTATTTCCTTCCTTCCATTCGTGTATTTTGAATGATATCTGGCCCTTTCTCACACATCCTTTCATATTCTGGTTGGTAGACAGCCTTACTTCCGGATGCTCAGTCGCTTATTAACTTTTCGTCGTACATCATCGCCAATCGTTCAGCTCCACCCATCCCAGTGGCTTTTCCTGGATACCCCGAGCTATCTGACCTCGATGTCCTTTACAAGACTACGCCAGATGGTGCGAAGTAAGACTATACTTTCATCTCGTAATAACTACCTCATCGTGGATCTCGCTTCAGGGTCGCTGCCATAGATTCTCTTCCAGCAAACTCGGTGGGTCAGACCCTAACGGACGAAGATATCGAGTCCCTCCGAGACCTTCATTCAGATCTCATTCGAATTTGTCAACGCGCCCAGGAGAGAGGCGTTAGAGTCATCATAGATGCGGAATACAGGTACACTCGTTCGAATCTACTCCACTCAACCATATAATCATCTTCGGATAGCTGGTATCAACCCGCTATAGACGCTCTAGCATTATCGCTTACCCGACAGTTCAACAAGCTTCCTGATAGCAAGTCTAGCTCTTCTACATCATCGGTTTTGCCTCTGGTATATGGTACCTACCAAGCCTACCTACGAAGGTCAGTCCTTGTCCGCCGCTATCCCCCGTTACTGGCTAAGGTCGTTTGTCTACTTTGAAGGACCCCCGAGCACCTCAAGCTATCATTGCTTGATTCTAAGAAGCACAATTATTCTTTGGGAGTCAAGCTAGTTCGAGGAGCCTACCACCCACATGAACTAGCAGCCCATCAATCGAGACAGAAGCGCCCCGGCGATGGCGGATCGATATCAAAGCTGGGGGCGCATCATGATCAATCCCTTTCCATATCGCCAGATCCGTATCCGCCTGTATGGGAGACGAAAGCAGATACAGATACATGCTATAACGAATGTGCCAAGGCCTTGATTCAAGCCATCGAGGAGGATCTCTATTCACCGCCACCATCCCCATCGCCGGCTCCCCTATCCTCTTCCTCATCTTCATGGCTTACTCCCTCGTCCTGGATTACCAAGCTGAAGGGTCAAAGAACCCCTTCTGCTGTTGTCACTTCTTCAGTTTCTCCTAGACTAGACATAGAGCCAAAGATACCCAGCATAGGTGTTCTTTTCGGGACACATAATTGGAAGAGCTGTGACCTCATCCTCAACGAACTTGTTCGGCATGGTTTGGCTTCACAGGAGCTCCTCCTGAGAGGTGGAAAGGAACCCATTATACACCTCGACGAAGAAGTAACTGAGCGAGTCACTGTGGGGCAACTTTACGGTAATCTAGGGTCATCTTCCGTTCTATGCGGCCGCTGAATCATATAATTTATAGGTATGAGTAACGCTTTGACAGATTATCTAGTTGGCCGAACTCGTTCGGGTTCGCCCCTGGTTATAAAGTAAGTGGTATTCTCACAAATCTCATACACACTGCCAATTTCCTATTCCCTATCAGGTACGTGCCATATGGTGCGCTTTCAGAAGTCATGCCATATCTCAGTAGGCGAGCTATTGAGAACAAGTCCGTTCTCGGAGATGGAGGCGCGGCAGACGAACGCAGGCGCGCTGGAAGTGAGTTGTGGCGGCGCTTATTTGGATGACGTTATTTGGCAGCTTGTTTCATGATATCTTGATGGATATCTATCGAACCCATCGAACTTGATGCAGGACTGTTGCATGCAGATTAGCGTAGTCAATGCCACGATATATCCTTGATGAAACAAACACTTTGGCTTAGATTCGAAGTGCAGACTCTTCACGCCGGCTTTTGAGCCAATATACCTTCAAGGGTAGCTACTACGAGCGCCTCCGACTGTGTGTTCGATCTAACAGATTGCCACTGTGGACGCTAAGGCGACGACAGCTTGTCGCCAAGAGACGTATGCTGATGCTTCGGAGAATGATAATCCCTTCCAGGAAGTAAGGTTAATATTCATTGATTGTTGCTGTTTGTGTGAATGGGCTTCTTCGGACAATGTGAAACAAGGCATAAATTGTTCTCTTTGTCCTAACAGCCGTACATATAGACAACATAGAGGTGAAGGTTCGACCTACACACGAGCAAGATCCATCAAGCACCCTGCACCGCTTACATAGTGTGATTTTCTCTGATGGCGCGTCATGTCTGATTTGGTGGTGAACCGTTTGCCGCAGGTGCATCTGAACTGCTTAAGACCCCAATGTGCATTGATATGCCCTAAATGCAGTTGAGTGAGAAAAGCTTCGACCCCTGGTAATCGACCTAACTGACGAATACAATTTTGTTTCGTGGTGAACTCGGAGGGACAGTGCCGACACCTGTATTTTGGTTGCCGAAATCGCCGCGATGCTGATGCGCATAGAATCTTCTCCGAAGCGACTACAGGTCGAGGGACCGGAAGAGTCGAACCGACAGCGCTAACACCACCTGATGCCTGCCCGAAGCAGCACATGGGCTCATACGCATTAAGTAGGGTGACTCCCTCCTGAGCTCGAGCGATATCACCCCCAAAAGCCAACCAATCTGCATACTTCGGGGCTACGTCACTGAGCGCCTCAGTTTGGGCGAGGACATCTGGACTCGCGGGGTATGCGCCAGTTCCTGACCAGATACCCGTGCTCCCACCAATAGCTACGTGCGAGCTGTAGTAAATGGAGGGATGTCTGGGTTCAAACGCAACGACCGATTCGTGAACGAGGTCTGCAGCGAAGTCTGAAGTGTCCTGCACGATGCTGGCGTTTCTCGAAGTTGTCAGCGACGTCGGCGTGGTATAGGTGCGTGTCGGAGGGGTTGTTTCATATGTGATGTCACCTCGAGGGTAGTACAACTGGCTCGCAGCTTCGTTCGTCCAGCCATGGGTAGCCATATTTTGCTGGGGAATAGTCTCAAGACGCAGCAAGATTATATAGTTCGAGTCTGAATACTTGAATATCCGCCGATGTTACACCGTCCTGTTGTACGATGACATACAGGAATTAAGCATGGTTCTCGTTTCCGCCAACGCACACCAACGCGGCAACCCTTCCCTGCCGTGGGTTTTGATCTAGTTAGTAGAGCGATCTTGAAATTATTCAAATCCGTAAATAGCTAGCATGGCTTCAGCTCATGTCCCTCGTACCAATGTGGTGCGATCTTGCTTTATGTAACATCATAGTTCCTGATGCTGAGAACTTAGTGCTTGCGGTGCATGTGGATCGCACAACAGAAGTGATGTAGACGGGATGATCCCTTCTCAAAATGGCTCTTTCATCGCCGATCGACCTACCATAATCAAATTCAAACCCACACCTAGCATATGATGAATGCTCGTCGAAACAGTGATCCAAAGCATGGAGGTATGTATCTAGGCAGAAATATGATGACATCTGTGCCAGCTCGAGTACTACTACTATAATCCAGGCATGGCTCGTCGTTAGAGGGTTATTACTATCTCTAACTTTCCACGACGACAAACTCACTCCAGCTCATTGCTGGACGTCGAAGCACAATCAGCGTTGTAGTAATCATCGGCTAACAGAGGGGGATAAAGCCAAGCACCAATAATGATATGCCTTACCATCATTATATTGGTGGGGACCCATATTGAACAGACGAGCGAGATCGAGAACAACAAGTACGTTGGGTGTACACGAAAGAGGCATTGCGCCCAGGATCACACTACCAACCCGCACAAGTCAATGTCCAGCAGGCAATGCGGAAATGACCAAGGCAGAGCGCCGAAGACACTGACGTTCTATCGGAATGTATCAACTCGGACAACAAGCCCGGATAACGTACATGTGGGTCGGTTTCGAAGATGTGCCATGCTAACGAAAAGACATAGACGAGGTACAAAGATAGACACTATGTATTGCTTACATGTGGTAGTTTAACTGATGTTCGATACAAATAGGCTGGTTGGTGGATAAAGGCCGCCGCCTTTCTTACGATGGTACCTCCTGTAGGCTACTCAATGAGAGTCCTACTTTCTGTGGCTCCTGTTTACACTGAGTGGTCTTGTTAGTCCAAAGAGAGATCTGCTAGACTTATCAAGAGTGGAAATATTCAGTGAGCCCGTGACGATGTCCTACTTGGGTACCAGGGGTGTTTTTGCTGTCGATAGGGTGAGAGATCAAAGGGAGATGGGGCCTATATGTCAAATAACATGAAAAAGACTCGTATCCGGTGAAAAGTGAAGAGATTAATGGTAGCAAGAACGATTATCCGCTACCTTCAGTGAGAAGCAATTACATCGTTCGAACGACGACGGCTGTAACTTCAAAGTCCGTGTTGTTGTATTCCAAGCAGGGGTAGGATGAGACGTCGTGATCCCAATGTCCTTTGAGGAGGTGACATCGGGGACGGCAATTTCAGCCAAGATGATTGAATCTGAGCGAAGGAGAGGCGATCCATGTTTAGCCGTGGTTTCATGTTAATGATGGTGGGGATACTCAGGCTTACAGAGCGCAGAATCGGATCGGAGCTCCCTGACTTCACTCCCGCGGAGACATCGCGGACATGCTGAGACCGATCAGGCGATAGTTGTGATTTCTGTGGATGAGTGATTTGTGGGAATATATGTAGCGAAGCAGGGCGTCGCTGGGGTTCGAAGCTTGAAGCTTGAATATTTGAGTTCCCGATCGAAATGATAGGCTGGACAACAGTATGTCCCAAAGGTTGTACGACGGGTTAATTAATTGATCATAATGATAGGGGTTCACGCGTACGATTTGCGTGAGTTAATGCATACGGATGGATAGTTTATTCAGTCCTTCGCGTGAAGTATGGTTTCCCATTCTGTGGATTTTGAGGGGGATATACATTATTAGCAAGAGATGTCTGCTCAAGATAGAATAGACGAGCCTATGATCAACTCATCTGCACTACGTAGGCTCAGCATGTAATTCACCCATGCTTGCGCTGCCCGATGGGCTTTTGAAGACTGGAGGACAGGGGCGTGCAAGTCTGTCACGCTTTGTTCCCTAGACCGGTAATGCAGCCAACCTGAGAGCAGCAAAGAAATAGCGCTGCTACAGCTCAGACAGACGCAGCTTCTGGAAAGGCGACACAGAATGGAGGGGGCGATCTGATGTCCAACACGGAACATAAGCATCTTGATGATAACTAGGGCCTGTGGAAGGAGAAGGTAATGGTTTAAGGTCAGATGAGCGGTTGATAATTCGGCACCTGCCACAACGCTGCGGTCTCGACAGATTCCCTTCGGAATCCGCCGATTCCCCCACAGAAGTTGCAACAGCTTGTAACCTAAGACCCAGGCAAGGATTCCGTCAGCGTACCCTGAAGTCGTGTAATATATTTGTACCACTTGGAACTGCGGTACAACCATGTCGCAATTCTTCGCAGCCAGTGGATGGCGACTGAAGGGTCGACTGCGGCTTCAACAGCCCACGTTGGACCGTTCAAGGGTGATGGTAAACCTTTAGGCGCAAACTCAGCGCCTCACAAGATAGGCGGTAGACAGGGTCTCTGGTGCGAAGCGATGTCCATCGCCTACCCGCTAGGTGCCTTAAGGTCGCCTTGTCTGTCATAAAGCTTAATTTCGTTACCCTGACCATTTCGGATCTAGGCGTATGTGTTTTGAGGGATGGTGAGGGATAAATAATGATGAATCAGAAGGTCAGCGCTCTCACCAGCTTCCCCGAGCATCTAACACACGATTTGCGATTCATTACCGGGGCATGCCGGTCTTTGTGCCGTATTCCTGGGTTCCAATGCGACAGTTGGTACGCACAAACCCTCATGGAAGCGATATCGATTGCAAATTTCGAAAGGCGCCTTGAAGCAGATAGCAACTACGGTGGAAAACGAAGACAGCTGATCACAGCGGGCAACCTAGAAGCAGATTCCATATACTAGCGGTCCCCAGGACGTCAACGTAATTGAACAAGTAGCGAGGGAAACAAACACTGATATGTGCGTCCATATACCAACTTAATTCGTTGAGCTTCAATGCTGTTTGGCCTAATTACTGCGAACAATACCCAAAACGTTAGTCTCGCAGTGGACCGATGGATACGAATAGCACTCACGCCATAATACAAGTACATGTATTGATATGCCACAAACAGACAGACTCAGATCGACGGAAATGAATCAAGGGGTGAAGCACCTGAAGGCCTCATCTGTTTCACAACAAGACGTTCCGCATATTCATCATCATCCTCTTCACGCTTCTCTCTCTCGCAACGGTTTCTACCATCTCCCGCGTCAACACAATCGTCTCCACGTCTTCCTCGCTATCCGGGTCTTCGTCTATCTCTACAGCCTTACGTCGCTCGATCCTGACCTTCTCCAGCAACCCACACTCGTTGAGCGCAAACGCAGCGTCTTCGACCCGCAGATTCGTCGCGCGGGCGATATCCTCCAGCGTGCATTTCACGTAAATATGCACAGACGCACTGCCATCCGGATTGGACTTCAAGACGACGGTGCGCATGGTGGTCGTAAGGGAATCTACAAGAATGCGAGCACGTTATCAAGCTGTAATGTCTTAGGAGGAATTGAATACCTTCGGCGTAAACACTTGGCACGGTTACAGCATCGTCGACGGCTTCACCATCCCATCCTTTCGTTTTCTTCTTACGTTTGATCGTGGAGCCGCCGTCTTCGTCGGGCGGCGAAGCCACTGAGGACAGATCTGGCAACGAGCCTGTTACCTCTACACTGTCTTTCTCTGGTGGCAGTACGGAAAGCAAGCGCCTGCTCTATATGTTAGCTTTAAAAGATTAGACGACGGTGGAAAAATGTACCGCAGGAAGCGGATCACTGTAGAAACCCAGTAGGTCAGGTAGCTGCGAAGACCGAGATCAGAAAGGGGCCGCTCGGGTGTGCCCACTTTGCCTGCGCGGCGCGAGAGTTCGTAACCTGCGGTGCGATTGACGCTAGCGTGTCAGAGCGAGGCGCGGAAAGGGAGGAGATGGTGACATACTAAATTCTATCAATAGCATGCCGTACCCGCGCCGCTGATAGGGTGGAAATGTGATGATGCAGGCTAAATTGTAATCGTCGTAGGATAACTTCTCCTGCATTTGTACTCAACATCAGTCCCCAGCGTAGTGTTCTTGCACGGTGTGTGGATGTACACCAACTCTCATGGAACGAAGGCAAAAAGGTGGATGGTACGCACTTTGGAGAAAAACCCTAAGACGTGATCGCGTTGTGATGCCGCATCAGTCAAAATATAAAACAGAACTTTGCGAGGTAGCCGGAACCGAACCGACGGTTTAATTGATACATCTATAGATGAAACGATCGTGGACTCACAATTGTCACAATCAAAGAAAAGAGTTTTGACGTCGATGAAAAGTTTTCCGAACAACGAAAGATTTTGGCAAAATAGCTGCTAATGGTTGGCAAATACCCGTAGCTTTTTGAGAAAGTCCATACCTTATCCTTCGCCCCGTCCACTTCCCATATGGTGTGCGCCCCTTTCTGATACACCTTTCTGCCCGGTGGATGGCGCCAGTCGCACGTCCTCTTCACAGACACGTTCGGCATCTATCTACCATGACGAACAACGAATGACGCACCGCGTGCAGCTCCCACGACGACCCATCTGCCATGTACTTGAAGCACTTGTCACACACCCACAGTATCGCCTTTTCGCTCGACATGTGCGACCTCTGCAGTCCCCCGGCCAGCAAGTCCGACGTCCGTCCGTGTGAACGCGCAGACGTGCGCGCGATCCCGTGGATTTTCGACGCAGACGTGGAGGGGGACATGGTGCCCACGTTGAGCACAGGGATGTCGTCTGTCTCCACCTCGGTAAGGGGGTACGGGGAGAAATACCTTCATGCATGTTTGATCCAACGCACGGCGTCAGATAGCAGGCAACGCACCATGTTTTTATCTGCCACATCCCGAAATTGACCTTGTCAAAGTTTCTTTGCGCGGTTATCTTGTTGTGGTGCCGGATGTCGAAGTCTTCTTCCGTGATGACCATCTCCTCCACCGCCGCCTCCCTGCCGCCCGAATTAGCATCGTGTCCGTTCATGGTGCCTGACGTTCCCGCCGTGTGTACGATGTCAAGCGGTAATGATCGGCTTGTACTAGCTCGTCGTCCCAGCCGTGAAGACGAGGATCGCTTTCGTTTTCGCGGCGGTGGCGAAGGGGGTGCTTCGTGCGCGCGGTGTATCGCGTCCCCCGGCAGCCACTCGTCCATTCTCTTGTCTAGATTGACATAGTGCACATAAACCTCATCACTGCGGCGGGCCAATATGTGCACAGGTTCTGTGAGAAAACCGTGCAACTGTCAACTTGGAAGTGATAAGCTCTGTTGATGTTACCTTCAACGCCGCTCTTTGATGCAAAGTGGGTTGGTATGTCAGGGGTGACCGGGACAACATGGGTCTTTGGCATTTCTAGAGGATCGAAGTTTTGTTGAAGTTCGAAGGGAACAAGTTAGATGCGAGGATACTGACCGTGGAAACTTGTATCTGACTGTGAGAACTCTGAGGTGACTGTGGAAATATACCACTGACATAGCCCCCAGTTGTGGATAGCACCTGGCAGGCACCGCCTCCTTGAGGGCTAGACTTTGGAATAAAACGTTCGTCGTTGACCGAAATTGATTCCCTCTTTCTCATTTCGCCCTCACCAGTCACTGCAGCGCCAGCTGTTGAGAGCCGCACAATTCGAAACCCATTTCGATGGGTTCTCGCCGCACTGGATCACTACGCGAAGCGATCGTCGCCATCTGGATTTATGCAGGACTAGTTCATGCTCGCTGTGAAACTGATTCGTACGTCCTCTTAATCAATTCCCCTCTCAATTCTACGAGGATCGACCGGTTATATCTTGCCTAGACGGGGGATTGAGCGTTGCTCCATTAATACGTGGACCATAGGTGTTATCGTCGGTAAGTACTCGTTAACTCGCTAATGGTGATTCAGGGATTGAAGCCGTTGTAGCTGCCGTGCTAATACTGCTCATCTCTTCCTGCACATACCTGAAACGCCGCCGCCGGCTTCGGGGGACAACTACTACCTTCATCGGCCACAATATGGTCAAACCCCACGTCCAACCACCTCTGAGACCGCAGAGTTCGTATACGCCTTCCCCCGCGAATCAGGCGTCGTATCCTTCCAATAACAACAACTACTTTACATATCAACCGTCCGCTCCACCGTATGGGCAGCAGCAGCAGAGCCCATTTGGTACATATCAGCAGCAAGCGTATCATCCTTCCTACAACGCTGCTCCGCAGCCAACGTACCCTCCCCACACTGAACCGCCGAGGCAGTACGCTCCCCCGACATCCCCCCCTCCCTCTGCTCAGAGGAGCTCAGTTTCGCAGGCAGAAGCTCCCACGTCCGACTCGAACAACACCAGATGGTCGTCCTTCAACCCTTACAATAACTTGGTCGAAGCTGATGAACCCGTGGTCCCCATGCCCATGCCCATCCCGTCGATCCCCTCGTCTCACCAACCACCCATTAATCCGCCCGCTGCACATACTCGTGCAAACCCGTCTGCACTAAGTTCTCCGTCGACTTCGGACCCGGTGTTTACGCCTGCTTCGAATTTACGACCTTCAGCGTCCGTGTCGTCTGCGCGCAACGCAGCAACAAGCGTCTCTCCAGCGCAGAGCGCACTGATGCCGCAAGTAACGGACGCCTATTCCCTCCATCCTACCAAGCAAGCTGTCGTGCTCTCTCCTTCGTTCCAAGAGGGCGCTTCTGGCTCGGGAGCCACTTCTCAACCCTCTCCACAGTCTTCCCTTCCATCCGTTCACCAGCCGGCTAACGTGCCGCCACCTGCATCTCCGCCACCAAGAGTTACATCCCCCGTCAACGAAACTTTCGATCCGCCGCCCAGATACTCCGAATTCAGCTAATGTATGTAAACAGACGCCATACCCACGCAAACGCGACGAATTGAACGAACCTTCTTGTATTACTACTATTTACGCGCACGTTTCATGGTGCGGTCCTACTAATAAACGGCAGGGTTAACTAAGCTCTTCGACGGACACTATGACCGCGCTGCGAGTATTTGTTCTGTTCCTAAATTTCAATTCCGACCCCATCAATTGCGTGCTGTCCGTCGGATAGACGGGAGGTGAAGACTGGGTGAAGACTGTCGACCGGGCTAACCGTGGTCATTTTCACCCGGAAATATATTGTCATGCGGGAGCTATTGTTTTCATCCAGGCCTGGGTGTCTGGTGTTGGTACTGTAATCGCGGTTGAAAGTTGAGGCCTTTATGAGGCCCTGAGCCTGAGGAACCTTGTGCAACGGATACAGCTGCTGTTACTTCCATGCTGAACTTCTGGGTCTCGACTTTCGATGATTTCGGAGGCCTCCCGGGTTGAGCGCCTCACGATTCTTATCGCGCTGACATGATCAGCCTCAGGCTTTGTCCCATACTCCCATCATCCGGCAGAATCTCACAAGGGAGTCTCTCATTTGTGCTCGTACCATAACTCTTGATGGATATAACGAATCTGATGATGGCCACTGGCAGGGTTCAGCCTCGCCATTTCCAACTCAGGCACATGCGACCCTGTGTCCATGATCTCGTTGAAGACTGTATGTGGGGGCCTCTCCAGCGCGGGCGACGGGACGAAGCTTAACGGCGCACAACGCTGTGCACTTCGAGACATGAAGGCTATGCAAGGCTATGCCCCGAAGCTGAAGAATAAAACGATGTCTAGAATCTGTTGCGGCGTATGCAACCGTTATCAAACAAAGGCGCTAAACGCCGTGTGTGTGGCGAGTATATCCGGGCTCTTCTGGCCGTTTCAAATCACCTTTTAGTTTTTTCCTTCTGGCCTCTTGATTTGAATCAAAAATAACATGCAGTCGAGGAATTGGAGGGAGCACCAAGACTTCGACCCATACTACGACTATCCTCCTCTTGTGTCGTCTTCGGCACGGAGAGGCTCTTCTAGCTTGGCAGCATCCATTCCGCACGTCGCGCACGAGACAGAAAGGATGTTACCATTGCTGTCTCCTTCGCCCTCCATCTCCCTCCACGACCTCCCTTCGTCGGTGACTTCGAGGCAGACCTTCGCATCAGAGACGCCTCTGCTGTCTGTGAACGAAGTGGGCTATGGACAGTCCGCATCCATGCGCCTCATCTCCGCTCGGTCAGGACACACCTCCCCAGACAAGGATACCAATCCATCCGGCTCTGAGAGCGCCTCGTCAGATTCGAATCATGGTGTGCAGTCAAGTACGTTCACCCCCGTTTTCCCGCCGGAAGCAGGCCCCTCGAATCCCAGACGATCAATATCGACCACAAGCTTCCTTTCATCTCCACTAAATCCTACACCTACACCTTCCCCTCCCTTCGCGCGCCCGCGTATTGCTAGCAACCACAGCAGTGTCCGCGTGACAAGAATCGCGTCGGAGGATTCTCGAGCTTTGTCCGGTTACTTCCCTCCTTCCCCACTATTGGGCGGGATGAGTGGAGGTTATCAACGTGGTTCGATGATACTCTATCGACTAGCAGACCCCGTCGCCGATCACGACGCTTCTCCTCTCTCACCGCCCGTGTTTCCCGGGAGCAATCGCGCCTCGATGATATCCACCGCCGATTCAGTACTGTCGCTTTCCTCGGACTCCAAGTACCCAGCCGGCATGATGACAAATACGGAACGCGGTCTTGTTGCATACCCATACGATCCAGAGCTAGACGAGACATCGCCAGACGAGGAGGACGATATGCTACATGATCCGAAGTCTCAGATGAAGGGTGGATTTGGTTGGCGAGGGGTAGCAAATATTGGAGGGCTGGTACTCTTAATCGCGGCTCTCCTCGCTATCTTTGCCGTCTTCCCTGCGGTGCAGGTGTTCAATCGAAACGACGTGATGGCTGCTATAGTCGGGAATACAAGGATCAATTCGACGGGGCAGGCATCTGCTATCTCGGATGTCTTTCCCGGTGCTGAGAGGCGCTCTCTGTGGAGGAGGGAACAATGACCACTATCTGGACTTCTTGTACACTTTCTCCTTGCTGCACCCTAGATCTCCTGACATTTCTTATACCCACCCCCCGCATATTCATCCGATCCTCCTCATCTCAGGTGCATTATTTATATCCTCCACGCCCATTTACGCTCCCTTCCATAACTCCCGTTCGCTGTCTCGAACATTGGCTTCGGTGTATACCACGTAGGCCCATATATTCCCGTTAACTTAATTGTCCGCTTTGCACGAGTCTTTTCACGATGTACGGATAATACCACCGCTTAATGGAATCCAAGTTGTCTGGAGCGGCGTACGGGCGATGCGAACCGTAGAAGATGGACTTGGCAACAGGCATTAACTATAATACAAGATTAGGACGACGAAGTTGTTGAAGTAAAGGAAGTAAGGACAGGAAAAGAGGACCTATGAGGTCTGGGGGCGTATACGCGCAATCGTGAGGAAGGCAATGACGCTAGCGGGATGGACAATCCTGTCGTCCTCGCGTGAAGAATGCTGCGACTTTGGCATCGTGTTTGTCTAACGCTGACGGCCATTCCTCGTGTAAACGCTTGATAAGAAGCTGTCGCACGCCTTCAATTTTGTATTTGGCAGTGACCCGCAGTAGGCCCGCGAACTACGGGAACGTTTCCACTGTGAGTTCTTCCGGGACGGTCACAAGACTAAAACATACGAATGTTGGCATCAACAGCATCCCATCAACTAAGATAACGCGAGAAGACACGCACAAGCCATCATATCGCGGCAATGACGCGGTCTTGAAGACGGCGTTGAGCACAATCGAATGCTTGGAGAGGATCGAGTGGTGCACGCGAAATAGTGTCGTGGACGAGGTGCATTCCATAATGATGTTTCCATCATCCATATAAAGCGTCAGATGGTTGGTGTACGGGTTGTCAACCTCGCGCGCCTCGCGTTCGTATTCTGGGGCGCTTCCGGTCAACTTGGTCCTCTTTGTTCATGTTAGCCTTTTCGACGATTCGAACCGTCTTCAGTGGCAACAAAGAACCTGCTCCAGGGCCAAAGAAAAAAGAACAGTCAGCGAGCAAATGGCTGACCTTCAGTTAGTGTGTGTATGTCTGAGTCAGGATCTTTCAAAAACGGTCAGAGCAAAAAGTGACCTCTTCGAAAATCGAACTCGCGACCTCAGCGGTGCAAAATACTTCACCTCGTGACGCGATACCGTTAAACTACGCATTCCATACTTACCACGTACTCTTGGTAACCTATAGCCTTGTTGAGCCCGATCACTATCCCAATTAGTTAGGTCATTCCCATCTACTACTTATCTGCAAATCAATCAAAACCCTTTGTGACCACCCTGTCACCGACTAACTCCAGCGTCTATGACAGTCTTGCCAGCCGCTCTATCGCGAGTTTGAGCTCTTAGCTACTCTTTGTCCTTGTTTGTCTTTTCCCACGTGTAGTCGTATTAAAAACCGAATGAGCTCATTCGAGCGATACGAGTCGCTCTGGTTCTAGGAGCCTGCTCCAGGGCCAGGGAAAAAACCAGTTAGCGAGCGCTTCCGCTGACACTGGCAGTTCCTGTCACTTGTAAATAGAATACACAAGGGACAGGGGATCGCACTTCGCAATCAACGACACTTTGAAAAGCCTGTCATCAATCATTCCAAACTATGAACATTATTATAGTCACAATGTAAAGAGAAAATAAAGTTATGGGTACAATATAGCATCTACACCTACGAAACATAAGGTAATCATTAGAAGGACCTAAGCTACCTATTAATCAATTGAGCGAGCGGTCGTTTCACGCTGGGGCGGCGGATTTCAACGCGAACCAGTCGATCGTCCATCCGTACGTGGTCTTCCAGTACTTCGCGCAGATCTTTAGACGCGTATGGTCAAGGGTCGATCGCGATCCATGAGGCCTGCCATTGCTCAGTAACAAAGTAAACCCCCACGATACGGAGGACTGATACTCACAAATGAACAAAGTACGGAATGTTGATATGGGACGCTATTAATATTAAGACTCGATTACTATAGAATGAGACCTTATAATAGACCCGCTCACCTGGAGGATAGAAGACGGCTCTCGAGCCATCGCCGTTAGCGTATCGAAAGCCTATCTGCTTCAGCGCCTGTGGATGCATCACAAAATCAGTATCACAAAGATCAAAGGCCAAGAGAATGCTGGAGGCTTCGTAGCCGCTTACGGATTTTAAATCATCGAAGTTCAATTGTCCCTTGTGTCCCCCCAATATCATCTCAAATACATCGTACGCCTTCTTCGATACGAAGAACACAGGCAGCTTCTGTTTTGGTTGCGCTTCCGCATTATCAATCTGAAGGCCAATTATGCCGCAGGAGAGGGTCAGTCCCTCCTTGTCGTCGAGCGGCGCTGGGATCGTTTCTGGTTCTCGGTCGATGTAGGGGATAGGCGCCTGTGCCCGTCGACTTTTCTTCCCTTTGCCGCCTTTTTTGGGAAAAACTTCACCAGCGGGGGGGATGGGGTTAAGGACAGCGCTTTTATCCCAGTATGGCTTTACGTCGGCTGGAGCAGGAGATGGCGGTCGCACTTTCGTAGGGGGTGGCGGGGGCCCAGGCGCAGCGAGTGGCTTTGGCTTCGCAGGTTTGGGGGGTGGTGCTGCTACTCGAGGCGCTTCCTCAGGGATATACCATTTCGGCGCAGGCTGTACGAATCCTATGGACTGGGCACGGAGGGAGCGCCAATCAGAGGTAAAGCTCAGCGCCAAAACAGATGACCTACGCTCTCAGGTGTTCCCTGATGCTTACGCTCGAACGCGGCATCGACGTCTTCCCACAATCTCGCGAACGAGCTTTGGTTCTCCAACGACGCAATATCCTTGATGTGTCGTTCGAGGTCGATGGACCTGAAGGTAACCTCGGATTGTCGTAGAGAAAGGGCGAAGCCGTTGTACCGAGCATCAAGGGGTATCGTGCCTTCATCTGGATAGCCGAGCATTTCTGAAAAGTCCTGAAGAGACATACAGTGCGTCAATAACATATTTATACTGAGAATGCATCAAGAACTCACTATCAATCGCTTGAGCTGGGTTAGCTGCTCAGCGAGGAAGGGGTCAAAGGTTTGCCATCGCGCAGGCTCTTTCGCCAGCCTTTGGAACAAATCGCCGCGACGTTGCCTTGTGGTCCACTTTAATATGGAGGAGGCCAGGTCAGGGGCGATGAATCGCACAAAGGAGCCGTCAAGCGTGTCGGCAGAAAATGCCGTGATGAAATCCTCCAGCTTGTCCGGATGTTGCCCCAACACCGCGCCAGTGAAGTCGGGATGATTCTCGAGACCAAGTCATCAGTTAGACCCGTGGGACCTTGACGGTGTAGCCTACCTTCTCTCGCAGCCAAATGCCCTTGTCCAGAGTGTGGACCAAGAGCCCATGCCTCACTCGTTTCTCTACGACCTCCATCTCCCCTTCGACCATAAATTTCACGTACCCCATCAGCTCGCCCCTCCTCTTCGGCGCGCCGAAGCGCCCCTTTCGCTCGTCCAGCTCTTGAATATCTGCAAGGTACTTCCCAAGTATATTCCATATTCCCAGATGGCCCAGGAGATTGTGGATCGTAAACCTGCAGAGCTGGCCGACGAAGCGCGGGTTCGCGAGGAGTGTCGCGACTTTGGGCGCCCTTCCATGCGCGTCGGGGAAGAGTTCTGGGCGATGGAGTGCTGCTTCTTCGATTTGTTCGCGTAGGAATGATGGATTGCATCGCAACTGGTCGTATTGGATCGCGTAGAACTGAGCCTCGGCGTCAGCCAGTCGAGCGAGTGCGCCCGCCGTTATACCGTAGCGGCGTGAATCTATTGAACGGTATCAGCGTCTGTGCGACTGAAATCATCTTACTCACCGTGTGCGCCAATCCGAAACCGCTCAATGGCAAATTCGTCTGACTCGGCGAGGTATTCTTCGGCCGCAACGATATCCACAATCTCGCCCTATCAACGCGTCGGATTTATTTAAGCAGTCAATCGGGGTGTCCGCCACGTACAGAATCGTCCGTAACATACTCGACTGCGCCGTATTGTTTTACGAGATCGATATACCGCTTGCCGAACTTGGCGATGAGTTTGCGCGTGAATTCTTTGGGGTTTTCGCCGTGGATAACTTGAAATTGCCGAGTCAAGAGGGGCTCTGATCCCTGCAGAGCCTCTGGCACCGTTATGGACGACGGGCTCGCCATGGTTCAAACCTCAAAGGGAAGATCTTCAAAGGCGAGCACTGTAAACTTGGATAGGAACCCTGGCCTAGGAGCACGTGCCCCCGCGCCCTGCCGCAAAGAATCTTCAAAGAAGTCCAGGTTCGGCGATACCCCGCTCCCCCCACGCTGGTGACTCCTTGGTAGAGGCCGTCATGAGGACACAGTGCGTGACTATGATTCTGTATACCTGGTATTTGATGGCGGGCAAGGACAAGACTTTAGGCACTATCGGCTCGGAAGAATATCTGGATAAGGACGGACTGGTTGGAGTTGGCCCATTCGGTGAGAGCAGCCTGTTTTCCTCAGCTAGAGTACATATGAGTCACCAAAATCAGGAGATTTAACAGTAGCCGAGCTGGCGCGTTTGGCTTATGGCGAAGCTCAGTTTTACGCCATTCAATTCCGCCAGCTACGAGGCAATCCTTCCTTTTTGCGAGAGCAAGTTGAAGAGGAAGCACGGCACCGTCCGAAACTCATCCTCGATACACATGGGAGGGCGCCAACGATCAGGAAACTGTTATCGAAGCGACCCTTTGTTGCGCAGATATGCAGGTCCACCATCCACGATCTGCTCAACCATTGCAGGATATGGAACACCACCATCGCAAATGACCTCGCGAATATTGAGTCTTTGGATGAAGGAAGGGGCTAGGCCGGAGGATTGACGAGACGGGACATGCTAATGGGAACTCATAGCGAGACTAGAGACACAAGTAAAGCAGGGACTCGTGTTCCACACCCTTGACGATGTTTCTTGGAGAGTGAGGATATTCCTCATCACTCGAATTCGACTTATAGCTTGATACAGAACTACCCTGACTATTCTGGCGCACACTTGGAAAGGAATCCCACCAGGCCCTCGGACAGATTTCTTACCGCCTTCGCTGATCAAATGCCAGAGATTCCCTTCCTCGATATGTCTCCCCGAGATGACGTGGATGCGACCGAAGTGGACGGGCGAGCAACGTCGCGCTCTTTTTCAAAGACTGGACGAGGGACCAGAGCAATGGGAAACCTTTGACCCCTACCTCGCCGAACGGCTTACCAAAGTCGGGAGATTGATGGTGCAGGACGAAAACCTGCTTTGTCTCTGATTTTGTTGACCACTATTCAGAGCTTCATTAAGATGTTCAATTTCCCAACTGCGGATCAAGGTACGAGGGATGCTAGCTTCGAGAGCGGTTTGATTCTAGCCGCGGATACGCTAAATTCTATCAATTTCTACATCGCTAGAGAGCGTGTCTTCTTTCAATATGATATGGGAAGACATTGACGCAGCGTTCCAACTCGAGCACCAGGGCAGCCCTGATAGTAGGTCACCTCTTATAATGCACTACTGATGCTGGGTCCATACAAGTGACACGCTCCCAACGATCGTTGGGTCGTCAAATTCATACAATCTCCGTCGCGATGGTATGTACCACCTCGCCCTGTGACATAATCAACCTTGAGGTCAGCGGTGCGTACAGTACGCGGCGACATACCGGTAGCGTTTGTCGGTGTCTATCGCCTCCAGCGCAGGACTGCGCCACAGCCAGACACAGAGCCAAAGCCCATAGAGCTACCAGTCTTCCTTGTATCAAAACAGGTGTATGATGCATTGGAGAAGTTATTCAAGAAGGACGAAAAGGGACAGTTGAACGTAGGTGATCTGTCATATGTTAGTGGGAATCAAAGTTCGTCGTCCAACACTTTCATTTTATCTCACAAAAGCCCCTCAGCCGCTGACGCACATTGGTTTTGAATTCAACGGGAGGCGCAGTGGATCTAGGGCCGTCTTCAAACCTCAGCGTAAGCGAGACTTCCGCTTTCCTGCAAACGAATTACTCATCATTGACAGAGTCCAGAACAACACTCCCGATTGTGTTCATCTGTGAGTGGTTCCGTACAAGTAGGGTCTACTACGAGCGCGACTGACTTCTTGTAGGCCTCACGTATGGCCAAGTATCAAATATTTGAAAATCAAGTGTGTAGGTTTCCGCATCACCTTGTCCCCCGCAGGCAGCCATACCCAACGGGGGGACAATCTGCACTCGGAAAGCTCACGTTCTACCAATATACTGTCGAAATTCCAAACTTGCAGACTTACGTCCGCGAAGCAAACAATGGTATGGATTATTTTCCCCCCTCTTGACTACTCTGGCGACGTTGGCGGTCGAACCTAATGTGGGTATGTTCCCTGTCTGAATCTTGAAGAGCCCTTCGACAGAGATCAAATCCTCGTTGTCTCGGCATCTGGCGGATCTGGGAAGAAGTGAGCTTCGTCAAAGCTACTATATACACGTTCTCGGTATCCACGAAAACCATCCACCTCGGGATCGTCCTTTATCACCTATGCACGCTCTTATCACTACTCTCGTTCTGTATATTTATTGCGACGGATCACTCCAGAGGGTCACTGTCACCGTAGTTCTTCGATCGAACACTACTCATCTATTGAGAACCCAAACCTTACTATCCCAGTAGCTATACGTAACCCCAAGACGCCTGGAGCTCTCCGGCCGCTTTATTGCCATCAACCACAACCTCCGAGCTCCCCCCATTTTACTCGTCGTCATAACTCAAACCTTGGCGCGATCAAACTCAGCCTTCTTTAAAATATTGCTATCGGTTCTCCCTCCATTGTGCCTTCGGGCCCCCTGTCCAAAAAAACCCAAGTAGTTGTAATGATGCCATATACATTCCCGCATCCACAAACCCTGGTGCCCTTTGTGCCACTATTTCTATGACTCCGCTGTCGACGCAAGTGCTTTCACGCTGTTTCCATGGGACAAATCTTCCTCCTAGGGAGCATCCTAAAAATAGAAGGACTTACAGGACAGAATGCGTTCCATACTCTCCGGACACTCACTCAGACCCGGACTGCGCGGGTCGCGACTCTAGCTGCGGCTTCTCTTCCATCCGATATCAACTGTCGCGATTTGCTAAACACAGATATTCATAGTTCGACGGTCAATAAATAATATCGTCTCGTCCCCCAGTTCTTGTCTAGACATACTAGGTCGCGCAAGCTTGTTTACCGTAGGTGGGATATATAGCCCAAACGTTGAAGCCCAGACTTAACGAAGTATGATATAAAATCACGATTCCGGCTCGTCGTTCTATCATTCACTTCATGCAATCTCAACTCACACTCGTAGAACGACTCCCGAGTTTCTTTGTGGAACCTGGCGTTCTACAACCCACGTCGGCATCGAAACTACTCTACCTTACGCCTGACAATGTCAAGCGATGCACCATTACGCTTGACTTGAAGGACTCTGAACAGACACAATACATTGTTAACAGTAACTCGGAGCTAACGTATATGCATGTTCGAAGACCCTACGATCCGCCCGACCAACCTCTTGCCGTCCTCCACCGGAGAGACTTTCTGGCGGACAAGATCTCATTTTGCGGCGGTGAGAAAATCAAGGTGAAGGACTGGTTGAAGCCTTTGAAGGCGTTCAGCCCATTGTGCGTGGTTTAGTGCTATTATCGTACACGGAGGCTGAAAGGTTTTATTCCCGTCGTTCGTACTTAGTCCAGTTGCTTTCGAAGCAAACGATACCATGTATGTATGGGATGCTAGTATAGTCGGGCAGCTTTCGGTGCGCGTTGTTCAAGTTCCACGAACTCAGGTTAACGTTTCGTCAGATGTATAAAGCGTCAGAGCCTGATACACCGATTGCTTGGTTCCAGAGTTCTCGCAAGTTGGTGATGGATGGTGTCCCAACGGTGCTCCCAGCATTTCTTGTCCTCCAACCTGATGCTGCCGACATTCAAGACTTAACGGTCATCTCATTCCTGATTCTTGAACACAAGATTAGGATGATCAACAAGCGCACCGAGCTCATCAGCGGTAGGGCTATACACAGCGGCTCTATATCGGCCACGACTTAGTAGTTTATGATTTTTTACTACCACCATGGATATCTTTGGGCCTATGTACTGGCATAGTATAAGTAGATTATATAATACAGTATGAAAGACTGGTATGAGGGCGAGGACCAGTCCTCTTCGGAAGCCTCAAGAAGTCACGAACGATGGAATCAGTATTTCCGAAGTTCTATTTGCTACGGGCCGGAAAGAAGTTGATTCAGGGGCTTCGGTCTGTGGCCATCCTACTGTTCGTTCTTTTCTCTTCCGCGGACTCAAAGAGAATGTTTCGCGTGCATTTCGAGTCCTCCTCTTCTACATTTGAAACGCTCTCATGTATGATCTGCATAAGGTAGGAGATAGTTAACCATTTCTGTCGATGATTGCGTATCAGGAGTCCAGATTACCAACTTTCGCGGGGACTCGTTGAGCCCTGAGGCCACAGTCCCGAACATTCATAAGTGTCGAATGTTTGATTAACGTTCCTCGAGAACTTGAAGCGAATTGCGGGCATATTTGCGGTTCGAAACCTCCGAAGAGCAACAGGAAGCCAGTCTGCGCCGTTTATGCTGCCTGTCATTGAGCGCTCCTTCCGCGAGAGACAGTTCGCCGGTGGGATTGCAGCAGGTGAGCAATGAAAGTGTCGTCTGTCACTGAACTTATCAGGTTATCAAGCTGATCAAGCGTCCAAATGGGTGAGGATATTCAGGGTCGCGAATATCCCTGAACATCCTTGCAGAGGCGCCAGGTCCACTCTACCTGTCCACTGCCATACTTGCATGCAATTATGCCTTCCGTCTGTGAGCTTCATTTCGACAGGGCTTTCGACAGGTGAATGTTCTGTCCTATCGGAGACATAAAGCGGAGGCAACTTGGCTGAGGAACTTCGATCATTGTAGTTCTCCCCGCATCGACACGACCCCGACGACAAAGTATCTATCGTGACAATGGCCTACAACGATAGCAGCTCCTCGTCTCGTCGTCCTCGAACCTCTCCTTCCCCAAAGTCTAGCTCCGGCGGATTTGGAAGGATGTTCTCCTCTCTGAAGAGCAGGGCAGCCGCCCTTGTCTCTCCGTCTCCGTCTCCTGCTTTCCCCAGTAGCTCGTGTCAAGATAGTGATGTGAAGTCGAAGCGTATTTCTCAACGCCCACATACTGCCCCCTCTAAAAGAACCGCATACTCCCATTCTTCTTCGACTGTAGCTTCCCTTCGAAAACATGGTCTTGCCAATAACCCGCGACCGCCAGTCATCCGAACCTCCCGTCCCTCGCACGAACCTCGCCCATCACTCTCTTCGACCTCATCTGCTTCATCATTTACATCTGCAGTCTCCTCGTTCCCACCCTCCTCGTCTTCGTCTTCCACTTCCAGTTCGCCATCGCCATCACCTACACCTTCTTCATCCAAGCGTTACAACATCCATCCCGACAACGTATCGCCTTCTCACAAGCTCCACGATGAACAGATAATGCATCTCCAAGATCAGATTTCTGTCCTTCAATGTGCTGTAGGATCTCATCTTCAGAGAATCTCTGTGATCTCGGAAGAAGACGCCGCCATTACAATCTCGGCCTTGGATCTACACGACTCAGATTCGGAGTCGACGTATTCAACGGACTCGGTGCTATCAACGCCAATGGACGTTTTCCAGCCAGCAAAACGATCTTCGGTTCTGCTTGCGTTGTACCCCTCATCCTCACGTCCAACAACCGCTGAAAAGAAGGAGCTGTACGATCCTTTTGCGAAAGGCTCGATACGGGTTGTCCCGGCTCTCCCAACCATCCCTTCCAAAGGCGCTGTCGCCAAAGTAAGTGCCTAGTTTCAACATCTCTTTTCGTGGTATTAACATTCATTGTGCCATCTTAGTCCCGTCCTTCCTCGGGTGCTTTTGTCGTGTCCAATGTACCTGTCTTCGATCAGGTGATCGAACACGAGCTCCTGCTCTCCCCGGATGTTCCTTCACTACCTCCTTCGATTGCCACTGAACCAGGATCTCGATCGTCGAAGCGAAGCAGCATCGCCACCCTTGGCACATCCTCTAATCCTCCACCAGTCTCTGCTCTGCCCTTGTTGCCAACAGTGGATGATGAGCTGTATAAAGAACGGAATGGGAGGCATCTCACCCGCAAGGTGAAGGCCTCGGAGAGTGACGCTGAGGCTGACGTCCCTCCCCCTCCCCCCAAGACATCGAGAGAGCAAGCGACCAAGGATTGGACCCTCACTCTGGGCGCCTTGGAGTACTACATGGACATGCACGACCCCATCGACCGTCCGGCCCATCCTGCTCCCCCAACTCTCCCCCCGAAGGAGGCCCAAGTCAGCTCATACCTTGACATGTCCACTTCTTCGAACGTAAACTCTGCTAGCGCATCTATCCGCAGCGCAAGGAGCCGAAGCAAGAGTCGGGGTAGGGGAGAGAAAATATCCCTTGCTACGACGCCCATCACACATTCGCCCCCTCTTCCTCAACCTGAGTTTGATAGCTTTGTGTATGAGAGCCCGAGGCCTGCGCCCTTGCCTCCGCCACTATCGCTGACGGCAGCGCTGGCTTTACCGCCATCTCCTGCGCCGTCTTCCCGTCGGACTACACCATCGCCCGCACCGTCGTCCCACTCGTACGCTACCCCCTCTCTCTGCCCTTCCTCCCATTCTAGCATGAGGACTCGGGGGCACAGGCAGACGGCTAGCCAATCCACTGTTACCTCCTCAATGTCATCAGCGACGGTCAGGAGTTACCATATGCCTTCTAACCACGCATACGTTTACCCAGCAACCAACCAGCACCAGCACCATCACCGTTCGCCGTCTCACCTTTCCAACAACTCTTCAATCATCTATCCTACATCTTCTACTACTACTCAAAAGATTGGCAAGCGCACGAGTCGTCTTCTGAATATTTCGACTCGCAAAGAGAAGGATGTCTCAACCTCGACGAGCGGATGGTTTTAGGCGTTGTTTCCAACGATGAAAGACGATACGTAGCACGATACTTCGACCAACGAGAATGGGAGATCCACGATGCTCACCGACCCTTTTTCGACAATGAACTTACCAGGGGGGACTTCGCTTTGCATTTCAGCGTTTTTTTCGGCCTCGCAACCCCCCTGCCAAATGCACACTCATTATTCCGACCTCCGACGACTTTTTACTGAACTTGATCACGACTGCCCGGTCCTTACGAACGATTTATACATCTTCATGATAAAATGCAGTAACGCTCCTTGACACGGTCTCTCCTCATTCCTTTCGCCTTCTATAACTATGCCCTTCTCCTTTTCCCAAGCATCTGATCTCTCACCTCCACTGTATACAACGCGCATCATCACATCGTATCTCAGTACTCGCCCTCTTCCACAGCTATAAATCAGTTAAAATCTTCGCCCTTCCCCCTTTTGTGAAATTGTTGTTTTACTAGTGACCCATGTACCTTTATTCTTCCGTGGATTAGATTTTCGGGTTTCCCTTCGCATTTCGGACATTTTGTTGTACCTGTAACTGTAAAAAATATATTCACTGTAAAATCACAATGCATAGGATTAACATCAGATTGACATTGGCACTGATGACTCCTAATAGGATCCCTTTCCTCTTTTGGGGAATATTTTCCACGCTTGCTAGCCAATGGCAGAATTGCGGACCGGAAAAATGCCTCACGCTCCTCCTTATAAGGCTGGCGCTGGGCACACGTCTTCTCTTCTTCTCGCCATCTCCTTCTCCCCTTCGCTCCTCTATGTGTCTGGCGCCCCTTCCCCTTGCTGTCTAGAGCGTACAGAATGACTGGAGACCACTAAAAACGCTCAATATCTCGCCTGGACTCATTGGTAAACCCAAAATTGGAGCATCGCTTTCTAACACTCAGCTTCGTTCCGGGGATCCTTCGTCACTGGCCAACTTAGTTGCCGACACATACCATTTTCTCCTGGCGCGATCTCCTTGCTCTCGAGATGACAAATACTTGCTGGACGCCCCGAATACTTCCGTTGTAGATGGTCAGGGCACTATAGCAATATCTTCGTCCTTTTGCATCAGGCCAGGTCAGTCGAGGATGCGGCTCGCGCTCTACGCCAGCTCGTGCCCGTAGAGGGCATAGCCCGATCAATCTATCCTCTGGAGACCCCGAATACCTAGGCTACCTTCCTCTCTGTTCCCTCTGGCACCCCGCACACGTTCCCTGCGTTCCCTTGCTTGGTGATGACTCGGGGAACGTCAATACTACCACACAGAGCACGCGAGACTTCCATCAGAGCTACCTGACATCCTAGTCGAGTGTTTTTATTCTACCGAATGGATTCACGAAAGTTTCCTGCCTCTGCGACTACAGACTCTGGCGCAGTTTACTTCTATCTAACTCCTCTGAATTGCTAGGATGGTTTGTCATTGGTATTATGGATATCGAGCAATAGTTCAAAAGATAAAGGCACGTTAAGATATGTCTCGCGACGGATATCCGGTTGGCTGTGTTGCAAATTTATTCCCTTCGATAATTGTGGGAAAAGACGTTAGCTTGGGCTAGTATTGCACTTTCTTGAATCACCGTCTCTTAAAGTCTTTGATTGGCCCCATTTTGCTCTCCCGGACCCACCAGCGAATCTCCATGATCCACACTACGGGGATGAGCACTACCTTGCATGCCGCTTCGCTGTCTGGCCCAATGAATTCGTCCAATACCTCATCGTCGATGTCGATGCCCATGATGACTCCGTGGCTTCACCTTGGAGGGGGCGATGCTGTCCTGTTCCAACAGTGGAAGCCTATCTCGCCGGCCGCGATTGCGGGCGTGTGCGTTGGCTTGTTGCTCTTTGCCGTGCTTGACCGATTACTCGCTGCCTTGCGGCGATTGATGGAGGGGCATTGGCAGAAGCGGTTGGTGCTTGTTGTGATTCCTATTTCAATGGCGCTGAACATCTTGGAAATATTTAGCCGTCTTGCGTTGACGGGAGAAAGGGACGAATCCGTCGCCACGCCCCTCCTTGACTCTTTCAAGAGCTTGGGGCGCAAAGATGAGGGCATAGACCTCCCTCGCCCGCTTGCAAAACAGACGACTATGACCTCCGCATCCCGCTTGATCATGACAATGATTTCGCCTACAGACTTGTATCGCGGATTGCTGTATGGGTTGCAGGCGCTTACGACCTACATTCTAATGCTCACTGCGATGTGCGATTTCTTTCCCCAGTCTTCCCGTTTCGATTCCTGACTGCCTGCCGTTTCTGCAGGACGTTTCATGTCGTTTATATTGTGTCGATTCTCGTGGGGCTGAGCTTTGGCGAGATGCTGTTTGGACGTCTTCGTCCTGATATAGCGGTTCAGGCTAACGATGCTTGTTGCTGAGCACGCTGCACAACACGTTCTGTCTCTTCGTTGCTCTTTTTCTCCTAGGTTATGACTCTGCCCATATTTTTGATGACAAATGATGCTGTGATATGTAACCTTTTGATACTCCATGAAAGTTTCTTCCTTTTCTTACCGAATTAGAGTTTCATCTTGTTTGGGAGACATGTAACAAAGTGTGTACGGCTGTGGTCCCGGTGACAATGGTCGTCAACGGTCCGTTTGCACAACTCAGGTCCATCGTATATCCGAATGTTGGATGAAGTGATTCACTGGGGGAGCACGTGCATACCCATCAAACGCTTTGTGCTCGAATCTGACAATTCGGAATACCGGATAGCTTCTGTTGTTTGACCTTCGCTTCCCCTGCCTCCCCCCTTGTCCCAAAGGACATACGTTACGGCGGTGCGTATGTGATTCCTTGTACTCGACTTGTGATTTATTCTAAAACGGGAAAGGGTGTCTTGTAGTGGGGGTTGATTCATTCATGCAGGCCATCATCGTCAGAATACGACATCGAGGCGGAGACACGCATTTGCCATGTCAACGATGCGTTCCAGGGCGGCTTGGCTCTTATAAATGACGTTTCTGCATAAAAGGTAGTGCTTCCCGTCCGTGACGACTCCCCTTCAACGAATTCATCCCAATACCATGCCGTACTCACACACGACGTTGGCACCATCCAATGCTACACCGCCGCCACCTACTCACAATGCTCTCCCCGCGGCCCAGCGAATTCGTCTTATGCGCTCAACGCGCAAACTTGGAGAGATATTCGGAGAGGAGCCCCACGTTCTAGAGGACGACGCGCTGTCCTCCATCTCGTCTTCTTCCATCTCTTCGACTTCCACCTCATCGTCGACACGTCTCACTCACAGCGCGTCTTCCTCTGTTACATCTCTCTCATCAACCGACGATGAGCCTCCATTCACTGTCCCAGATCGGGTTGTGCAGAAGAAGAAATCCAAGTCGATTCTTCCTCGGTTGACACCCTCCCAGCCCCTCTTCCTCAAGCTCAACGTCAAACAACAATCCCGTCTACCATCAGTAGAACACTCCCCCACTTCCCCCGTCTCCCCCCTCAACTCCATGTACGACCTCAAAACGCCCACGCAGGCTTCGCAAACAAAACCAGAGCAGCCCACACTCAGGTCAAGGCTTCGGAGCAGGGGTGCGTCTATAACGAGTATGAGTTGGGACTTTGGAGTCTCCGGTGCTGTTGGCGTCCTCAATGGCTCGGGCTCGCTTTGTCGCAGCGCGAGTATAAGCTCGGTCTCCCCAACCACCGCCGCTAATGCCGAGACGAGATTACGGAGGAAGCGGATGGCCAAACTGAAGAGGACGCTTGGGGAGAACGTTCCAATCGAGCTGGTCTTTGGGTCCTCTTCGGCTCCAAGTCACTCCAAGCCACCACCGCCCCCAGTCCCACCCATGCCAGCTTCCATTCTTGCGCCGACACCTGCGCTGAAATTACGCCCACCCACACCTCCAAAGATCAAAGTCCCTTCTCCCGTATCACCGCCTCCTTGTCTTCCTGAGATCAATACCGATGAATCAGAGCTCAATCCATTCACTGACCCTCACTCATCGGACGCGCATGTGCTGATCATCGGCCCCGCAGCGTCGTCAATCAACCGACCCATATCTACCATGACCACCGCCTCGGTATATTCCCAGCCTTCTGCAGGAGTGGACGGAGCGTTCGAAGTGCCCCTACCGACGCCGATTCCAACCCCATCTCCATCGTCCGCTAGGCTGCGACCCAAGGCTAGGTCCCTCAATATCCACCGTTCTCGCCCCCGCCCGCTTTCAATCAATTCCCCTCCTGCTTTGCCATCCCCCTTCGGCGGGAAATCGTTCCTCTCGTTTTCCCCATCTACACCCGTACCTACGACGCCAATCGCTATCACAGCGCGGGGGATGAACCCAAACGCTCTGGATGCGGAGACATTCACACCTCGAGCGGGCTCACATTCGTTGGATCTTCCTTCATCATACCGTCGCTCTCAGTGGGAGAATTTGCCCGACACACCGGGGTATCATACAGCTTGTCACGACGTGATGAGCTCCGGGACTCAGGCATTTGGGCGTCGCAAGGAGAAGGAATGGAGTGGAGAATGGAACAAGCCAGATATGACCGATGTGCTGAAGGGGCTTCGCGGGCTCAAGGCGAGTTAAACTCTAAAATTCCATTGGCCTGTGCCAGGCTTCTACATTTGCGTTCATCATCTATCCTCGCTATGCCTCCCTCAACGTCTTAGACTGCTTGCATCGACATCATCCCCTCCACCCTTATACCCAACATTTTCCTCACTATTTTAGTCAAACATCGCATCTCATCTTTTATCATCGATTGTCTCTCCACCGAAAACATAGCTTCCTACCGCCTTTGCACATATATTTATTTACGGATCATTGTACGATATGATTATAATCGGTCCATACGCCTACCGAATCTGACCGAAGTTTGACACATTCGTCCATAATACACACTACCTCTATCAATAATCTGAAGGACATGTTGTATTTGTACTTTAATCCTCCTTGGTATTTCATGAAATTGGCAGCTTGGACCTGCCAATCAGCTGCCACTATCAATCAGTTGGACCGGTATCATCAAATGCATTAACGGGGCTTCCAATCCATACAGCACTAGAGGAGATGCGGCGTACTATGGAAGCCGTAGTCAGAGCCCATTCCCAAACGTCCTAGAACGCCCGACTGTCAAACGTGAATTCAGAGCACGGCGCCTGGTGCCGCAGTTTCTAGTGCATAGCATCCGCCTCACAATTTAGTAGTGATGATGACCCGGACTAGTATCCAGCACTTCAGCTTCGTAGTACATACGGGGTTGCAGTCGACATGCTGGAGCTAAGTTGATTCTTGCCTGACAGTCACTGGCAAACGTCTGTCCGCCGCAATAATCGCTGATGTTTTCAGCTGAATGTCCGGTATTCCGGACCTGGAGACGGCCTGTATCTACCCCAACAGCCCTATCGGGACCATGATCTTGCTCTCAAAATTGCTTCGAAGTTTGATGATTGAGTACGGTGCCTACGGCAACACCGCCCGCCACGCGCCGTATTACCGCAAAAGGTAAGGTAGAATAATTACCCATCTTAGTTACTCTCAGCCATGACCGCAACCTCCAATAATTCGACCGTGTTCCGAGTTCCAGGAAGCGAGAGCTGCTTCAAGGATGCGCGGCTCTGTTTGCTCAAAACTATGGCATATGGAACATGACGGCTCCTTTGCCCCTCGGATTTGGTTCGTTCCGCGTTCCGACTCAATTAACTGAGGTCGTGCGTCGCTACAACATTGACAGGCGGCGCATTAACATGGACTCAAAGACATTGAAGCAACGTTGATTGTATGCTCACGGTATGTGTAGGTAACGTCGTTCTCATCATTTGACGGTACGATACGATTTTACCTATTCTTCAACTGAAGGCAGGAGAGAATAATTGCCAGTGAAAGGACCCGAATGCCGTGCCTTCGGGCTGGTATCCTCTTATCCAACGGCGTGTCTTGCATTATGCAAGCGAGGGCGTACGCACTCCTCTTTTGATCTATCATCTTCTATCATGTTATTGACACCTCGCTGTTTCAGACGCGAATATGCGAAAGTTGGACTTACCCTACATGCATCACGCACGGGGGCTTTCGCTATGCCGTTATTCCGTATCTCAAGACGGCCAGATTCTGCGGTTCCCTCTTCGACGATCACAGCGAGGCAGAGGAGATGTGTTCTACCTTAACCAACTTTCATGTTGACTACGAGCCGCTTGAACTGTTGCGCGGATGGCAGGAATCTCAGGACATGGCATGGCCATTAAGTGGTAGGCTTCCAAAGGGGAACGACTTCCAAATCGTGCTGATTAGTGCCGAATGCGAACAATTGATTCGCACAACACTTGAACCAGGTAGTATTAATATTCAACTTCAACGTTCAACCTCAAGACCTGAATCACAGTTCGTGACATATCCCATCAACGCCCTAACTTACTTAGAAACCCCCGTCGCCTTTGTGTCACTCAAAGAACACTATCATATGCGTCATAAAAACTCCAATATTTAACAACAGAGACATAATCTCGAGCAATGATCTACCCTCGGATATGTGGTAAGTTGTGATCCTAACTTCGTTGCAATAGCATTCAACCCGAGCATGACAACAATCTCCATTCAAGGCAGCCCCCCGCGCTCCCCTGCGAGTACCCTCTGCGGGTAACCGGGTGACCTCTACGGTTTCTTAGAAATACATGGACGGCGCTGATCTCTGACGACGATTGCCGGGAAACAGTGGTGCAAGATTCACTCAGTAATCAAAAACGTAGTAAAAAAAAACAATGTAGTGGCGAAAATAATCAGTACTTGCTACGCGAAATGTCGCGTTCATAGGCATTGTGTTATTGTGATATTCGTAGCTCGGCGCCGACCCCCCCCGTGCAAATCAGATTCCGGGTGTCAATTCTTTGAATTCAGCGCTCCATTGTCCTCCCCGCCTCAATTCCTCCACGAAGGCATCGAACCTCTGGCTGACACCGGCGCCAACACGGGCAAGGGCAATGACAGCCCTCAGCGCGCTGCGTTGAAGTTCCGCCGCACGCTCTATATCCTGTTTCACAGTGTCCTTCGTGATATTTATCCCTTTCATCGTTTTCTCTATAGGCGGGGTGACTTCGTCCAGCCGCTGAGCTACGGCTGCAGGTGCAACCTGCGCGAGACGGAACAGCATCATATGCGCAAGCACTTTGATCTCGTCTGACTCGTCGGAAAGCGCAGGAATGACACGAGACAAGAACTCGTGAAGGTCGAGTTTCGTGAGGCAGGTGTCCAACTAGGAACGGCCCCCCCTTGTCAGCATCAGAGCAAAGCACCCGCGAGGGACACTCACCAGTGTGTACATCGTCTCGTACGCTGTCTTCCGAGTTTCAAGACCGTCGTCGACTTTATGCGTCCACGGGCCCATCTGCACTGTGCGAATAAGGGTGGGGTTGATGGTGGTTTCCTTGTATAGGTTCGGCAACAGTGATGCGAGATGTTCACGGATCAAATGTGGTTTAGAGCGCGCGGCATTGTTGAGAGAGGATAACGCCAGCCGTCGGACGGTCTACAACGCCGTTGAGGGTACGATTTAAACTAGAAAATTGGGTACTTACGAGATCTTCATCAGTCATGACGGATAGGAAATCCACAAGCAAGGGTGCCAAAACCTCGTCGTAGGATTGTGTAGTGTCCGCAAACGTGTATCTGATTGCTGCGACAACGGTGGCACGCGTAGCAGGGCTCTCGTCGCGAATGCGGGTCTATTGATTCGGAGATGAAGACAGGATAAATAATGGGGCTGCTTTCACGTACATGAAGCTGGGGAAGGTATTTTGAGGGATGCGTAGTGGCAAGCTTGCCGAGGCAGGCAGCGGCGACATTGCGCGTAGTCTCCTCCGCGTTTTCCGAGTTTTCAAAGAGAGGGACCCACAGTGTATCTGCAACACCCTCCAATTGCCCGTGGGAGCAATGTGTCACGACCTGAACCGTACTGTAGTGAGCAAAGGGCGCAATCCCAAACGAAGTTTAAGGCACCTCTTTCAGCGCATGCAATGAGAGAAGCCTCTTCTTAGGATCCTTCTCAACAAGCTTGACGATCACAGGAAGGAATTGATGTAGGTTTCCAATGGCGATATTACCTACGAGACCAAAGCAAGTCAGACGTATCAAGCGCAAATGAATAGTATAACGAACCAGCAGCGAAGGCAGCAGCAGCGCGAATCTCCTCTTGCTCAGCTGAAAACAACTCAATTGCGTTTGCGAAAATCTCCTGCTGCGGCGACATGTCACTATCAACAGAGGTCAGTCATCTTGCGTCCCCAGGAAGAGTTGTTCTGAATACGTACATGAACCGACCAAGTTCTCCCAGAATGAGAAGGCTGAGGACCACGAGGGAAGGTTTGGCCTTGCTGGTCTTCTAACGATCATGTCGAGTCAGTAATGCTCTACTCACCCGACCGATCGTTCGCCTACGCCTACCTTGATGTGTTTGGAGTATTCAGCTATTGTCCCAGCAGCGACGCCTTGCTGACTCTTCACCACTTGCGCTACGCACTTGGATACGTTCGCCGGGCTTGCATCCGCCTTTGGCGCCTTCTCTACGGAAATGACGAGGCTGGGTACCACATGCGTCGCGATCTGGTTGTCGGCCATCACAAGTGCCTCGAAGAAGGCGAGCATCGCCTCCAATGCGGCTCCTGCTAGCAAGGGGGAATGCGCGATCTGGTAGATGCCGGGAAGAATCTCCCGTTCGACCATAGGAAATGTGGTTGAAGGGGCGAGTTCGAGGAGCAAGGCGACTATGGTCAGGGCCTGAGAAAGGAGGGGGATATCGGAGGTGGTGATGTACGATTTGACTTGAGGCAGCAAACTGGGCACGATATCTGCAGGAATGCCGGCAGAGTAGCTGAGGAACGTCAGCCCATTAGCAAGGGTAGCAGACCAATTATAACCAGGGCGACACTTACCTCCGCAACAACACATCTAGCGCGACGAAGATCTCGGCCTTTTCCAACCTGCCGCTCTTACGAAGCAAGGATGTACACCAGTCAACGCAGCCGTTGGCCCAGCCGTCATCCACAGAGACCTCCCTCGCTACTTTGGTCACGACCCGCACCGCGCCGTCCGTCTTCCCACTAGTCCTGCAGATGGCTTCCCACTCCTTGCGGCTCTTATCCCTCATCGTCTCCGTAGCGTGTATCCACAAATCGGCAATGCAGTCCTCCGCGCAAGCCCTGACTTCCGCGTCTGTGTCGTGGTTCCCCAGTTTATTGACAGCCTCGTTGTACACTGTAGTAACCCAGTCAGTTCCTTTCGCGGGCTTCAAGGTGCCGAGCAGTGCGGAGAACACGCGGAATGATTCAGATGAAATTCGGGGATGGCGTTCACGTAACGATTTCAAAAGATCGGACATAAGCCCAGAAAGAGACGATGCGAACGAAGAAGGAGGATGGGTGGCAAAGAAAAGCGCAAGGAATGTTAGACATGTTAGATGCAGCGTCGCAGATGAAGTAGTAGGGGATTGCGAAAGAACAGAGTGCGATGTTGAGATGATTAGCGCGACCTGGGTGCCGAGAGAGCCGGGGAGAACATGGAGAAGAGCTTGGAGGAGCTTGAAGCCAGCCTGCAGCGTTGCTGAAGACGTTCGAGGGGACTTCAGCTGGTTCAAGAGGGACTTGGAGAGACTGGGAACCTGCGCCTTGAGTAGTGAGTAGGGTCCCTCTTCAACGTCCATGATCTCATCAGTATCACGCTTTCGCTTCCCTCGCTGGCTCACTGTCTCGCCGTCCTTCTGAGACAATCCGCCATAAACCGCAGTCTGGTTCAGTAACGTGACGTATGTCGCCCAGACCTCCAATCGAACGGTCTCTTCGCGATCTCCGAATCTCGTTATCAGTACGGGAGAAACCTCCTTGTAAATCGAGGCGAGCAGTTCCGGGCGAGTGCCAATCACAGCCGCCAGGAGCTTGGTCGCCGCCCGACGGATCTTGTAAGAAGTGTCTTCGTCGTCCGAGTACCTGCCGTTGTCAGTAAGCGAGCTAAAAGGTAACAAGGCAGAACGGAGGAAACGAACTCGTCTATCTCAGCATCATCGTCGAGTTCATCATCATCGGCCATCTCTTCGTCGTCGTCGTCATCGCCGCCTGCATAATTCTGCATAGTTGGTAAGAAGATAGTCTGAATATCAGGAGCACAACTTACAGGATCATACTTGATATACTGGTTGCCTGCTTGCATGATTGACGGGAGATATGATGTGATTTCTGCTGGGCATCGCAACACGAACACCTCCAAAGCCTATAGAGTATAAGAGTATACAGTGCAGGGACAGTGCTACAACCGACCTGCAGACAGCTTTCGCGAAGTTCGCTGTCGTCTCGCTGTATAGCCTTCAGAATCCCAGGCACCAACTCCCCCAAGACGGGCGATATTTGCAACGGCGATGCGCGAGCTACAGCCGCGGTCAGTTGCACAGTGGTTCTTTGCTTGTCGATGCTGGCGGATGGCGCAAGGAAAGGGAATACATCTGCTTTGAGCAGACCCTGGTATAGGTCGACCGGGGAGATGGGAATGAACTGGGAAAGGGTGATGATCGCCCGTTTGCGCACCACGGGGCGGGAGTGTGACAGCAGAGGCGCGAGCACAGTGAGCGGCGCCGGCTTGAGGTCTGCACTCGATAGATTTGCTGGGAAGCGGCTGATCAGGATCGACAAAATAGACAATGCCTCGACCAAGGCTTCTGGGGGCGTCTCCGGCTAGAGAAACAATCAGCTTGCACGACGTATGGCCCGAGATGCGCGTACGTTCTGTAGCTGCTCTAGAAGCTTGGGACTAAGCTTCGCGCACGCAGACGCTGCTATTTTGCCATCAGGTGGCAACTCGGCAGTGATGGTCTTCAGAGCTAGTGAATGCCTCAGCTTAATCCGCAACAGCGCAGGGCGCGACGCACCAAGAGCAGATATATCCCGCAACTCCTCTTCCTTCCCTCCAGAGAACTCGATCAACCTATCGACAACAAGCTCCATCTGTGTCTGCCGGATGATCTTGATCAACTGGCCGAGGCTATACAGCGATCTGGTCAGTGGGCATTATCAGAGCTTGATGTCGAAGCAGACCATTTGACGGCTTGGTTTTTCACTTCGGATATCTTGTCTTCGACTAGGGATAGGACCTGCTTGAGGACTTTGGTCTCGACGGATTCATCGCCAAGAAAGCACGTCGGGTCCTGCTTGATCTCGGACATGAGGTCGTTCAGGCCCATAAACCTGGCACATATTCAGTCACATCTATCGCAATGTACAGAGAAAATACCTGAAATCCTGATCGCCCGACTGCATCTGTAGATCATGATGAGTATGAGGCACGAGAGCGTGAATCGAGGTCGCTACCTTCTCCACGAGACTGTTCATGAGGTATCCTTTCGTCATATTTGAGGCTTCTCCCCTTGGAAGCGTCGATTCAGTTGGTAGTTTGGGAACAAGCCAGGTACGCGTCCAGACTCGACGCGCCACTGTGCTTGGTGTTATGTAAGCAGATTTAACTAACCCTGCTGCATTACGAGATGGTCAGAGTTTAAAACGGCGTCGAGTACTCTAAGTAGTCTCTAGTAATCACTCATACAAGAAAGACGACAAATGGTCTGTGAATTATGCTAAAGCTTTAGAAACCATCAATTGTCGATGCACCATATACGGCCAACCCGGTAGTAAGCTCGGTTCGCTTGCTAGACATCCTCGCTTTTTGTTCGAGAATCAGGAATGATACTACCGTCAAGTCCTGCATGTCGGCGGCATCGGGTTGGAGGACAAGGAATGCTGGTAGGACCGTCGGGACTCCATCCATCACCATCTTGCGAGAACCTTGGAACCAAGCGATCGGAGCATCAGGCTCCGAAGCTTTGAACATCTGAAGAGAGACTTAGACAGAAATCGTCAGAAGTTCCATATAATACCGACCGAAAGCTGCCCAACTATGCTAGCATCCCAAACATAGGTATTGCCGTTTTCTTCGAAAGCGGCGGGACTGATTGCACGAAAATAGAAGTTCTTAGTTTCAAGTAGATTGGAATGACCACGTACAATGTATTGACCGTCTTCAGCGGTTTCAGCCAGTTCTTCACTTTGATTTTATCACCGCCACGAAACGAGATCGTGTCTGACAAGAATTCTCTTCGGTGGAGGGCAGCGAGGGGCTGATCGGGTGGGTCATATGGTCGTCGAACATGCATATGTGTTAACTCTAAGTTACTGTCGACGATATATTGTGTCTGCCCTGGATCTTTCAAGTCAAGTGTAATGGTGCACTTCTTGACATTGTCGGGCGTGAGGTAGAGAAGTTTCGATGTCGATGCAGGTTGTAGAACGCCGGGCTCCACGAAGATGCCTGGTAGCGGTTCTACGAGGGTGAGTTGAGATTGCATGAATACGTTGGTGTGATGGTGAACTGTGATCGTCTGTATATACACCACAAAGGCTGTGCATTCATGCTGTGCTAGATACGCCGATTCGTGTCGAACCTTGCACTGCCAACGACTGAGTGAGGGTCGGGGGAGATGCGGGGGTGTTACCAAAAGCTGTTGAACTTCTGCTTATATTCAGGCTATTCTGTTGGGCTGGCGAGGTCGCTAGGTACGGTATCAGTATATCATAGGTCAGTATATTATGGTTTTCCGAAGGGTCGTGAAGCTTACACGGTGGGTGGGGTCCGAGCAATGAAATCGCAGTTCCAACACCGCCGGTGCCGGTGAGGCCTTGAAGACTGGCGCGTGATGATTGATTGGAGGGTTTGGTTGGAGACGGCGCGTTTGAGGACAACCCCAAAGGTTGATTAGAAAGATCCGATTGAATTTTCAAGCACCAGTATTTGACCCATCTATCTATTTGCGAGGCTGTTGATTTGCGCCAGTTCGAGTTCGCGTCGTAGAGGCATTCGAATTGGAGGCCATCACATGACGTAGCCCCTGAGCAGCTCCTGGACTGTGTTCGGCTGCTGTCGCTGCCAAGGTGGCATCGAATGAACGCAGAGTTGGGGTACGTATTTGATTTTCAGGTCCACGAATATCGAAGTCACGGAGTTATACCGGGACAGAAACGAAATCCTCGACTTCGGACAGCCGTGGCCCGTCAGTCTCAACCAATTCTAGGGGTCGTCAGAATGTATAAAGGGAGATAGAGAGAGAGAGTGTGTGTGTGGGGGGGGGGTAGTTCCGCAAGAGAGGCTTGAATTTCGGGAGAAAAAGGTGCAGCCCTCGTTAAGGAAGAAAGGTGGTGAGCTCGAAGGCAGCGGACGGAGTCTTGGACGAGGCGCTGGCAGGTATGGTTGATCGGATTCGGAAGATTCTTTTAGCAGTGAGTACATCTGTAAATGTTAGTCAAGAGTCAAGTGGCGCCGCGGAGGCCGGAGGGGACTGGACCATCAACGTTGTCTCAAGGTCGGGAGGGTGGGGACTCTGCACACGCGCATATTTTCTTATTCAGGCCAAAGGAGAAGTCACAGCGACAAGACTTTCCCTCCGTTCGGCATGGTTGGGTTGTCCGTCGAAAATTGAAATCTAGGTGTTCGATGATCGAAGTTTTTGCTCTGCACGAAGGATACAGAACGGCCGCTGTGCAACGTCAAAGAGACCAGCTAGTAGGAATGGGCATACGAACTCCTGTGAAAACAGAATCTACTATGAGAGAGTGAAGGCGGGCGACTTGTTGACCGGTCACCGGCGCCAGGTAAACTTTACCTGGTAAAGACAAGCTACGGCGCCTACTAATTAGCTTTTAGGGGCCTTGGATGATGGGACACGACAGAAAACTTCATTCGTCTACATATATTACAGCCGCCGCCGAAGGAAATAAATTGAGTTATAGAGTTCATAAACCACTAATCAATGGCTGATACGCCATGTACAGCCCTCCCGCTAAGAAGCTCGGTCCGTTTGTTAGACATTCTTGCCTTTTGTTCAAGGATGAGGAATGAAACGACCGTCAAATCTTGAATATCAGCGGCATCGGGTTGAAGGACCAGGAATGCTGGCAACACCGTTGGAACCCCATCCATCACAAGTTTGCGAGAACTCTGGAACCAAGCGATTGGGGTATCGGGCTCCGAAGCCTTGTACATCTGAAGAAAAAATTAGCCAGGACGCCCAAAAAGGTGTATAGAAGGCGCACCGAAAGTTGCCCTACTATACTGGCGTCCCAGACATATGTGGTGCCGTTCTCTTCGAAAGCGGCAGGACTAGAGATTACACGAGGATAGAGGTTCTTAGTATCAAAGATGCATCGAAGTCTCGACGTCAAAACACGTACAATGTACTGAATGCCTTCAGAGGTCTCAACCAACTCTTCACCTTGATTTTCTCACCGCCACGGAAGGAGATTTTGTCGGGCAATACTTCCCTTCGTTGAAGGGTAGCAAGAGGCTGGTCGGGCGGATCATAAGGTCTTCGGACATGCATATATGTTAACTCCAAGTTGCTGTCAACAATATATTGCGTCTGCTCGGGATCCTTCAGATCGAGTGTAATGGTGCATTTCTTGACATTGTCGGGCGTGAGGTAGAGAATCTTCGATGCCGACGTAGGCTGTAGAACGCCAGGTTCTACGAAGATACCTGGTAGTGGTTCTACGAGTGTGAGTTGCGATTGCATGAGTTCAACTGTAGAGCGACGAACTATGATATTGACATATGATAGAAAATCAATTTATATTCGATCGTAGGCTGGGCACTTTTGCTGCGCTTCAACCACTGGACTCGGTTACGGTGCGCACTTGGTTGGGAAAAAGGCGAGGCCAGGCTGAAATGTCATCTGATTCGACTCCTCAACAGCTCCTGAGGTCGGATACCCGACGCCCGATGCCTGAGTGCTGAGTGAGCGTCCGGGAGACTTATGTCTAATGCTGTTATGTTCTTCCGAGGTTTCTGCGAAGGTGGTTTCACCTCGTGAGTGCAGATTTCGACATCCTTGGCAATCATTGAAGTGGAAGGATAGCGACAGGCGCAGTAAGCGCAGTAGTTCATGATCAATCGATCACAAAGTAATCAACTCGCAGGTGCAGGATCGACCTGGTTACACATGAACAGGATCAACTTCCTCATGCCGCTTTAGCCAAAAGCACAATACATTTTCGGTACGCATCCCGGTACAACAGAGTGGAGTCGCCCCACGAGAAGGTTGTCAAGGAAGACTGAATTTGTCGGAGAAAGTTTCGACTTGTTATCACAGCTGACGAAAGAGTTGAGTAGCCAAAGGAAAACGCTAACGGCATGCTGTCAATTCATGCGACATACTAGGCCTAAAGAAGAGCAGAAGGGTGTAATAACGGAGGCTTTCCTACTCGGATCTCCAATATGCCTAGACTGTTCAACTCTTTGAACACACCGTCCAGTATATCCGGTTGTGACGGATCTTCGACTGTAACGGTGACCCGTCCGAGCGACCCATCCAGGTGGAGACGTAGAACGAAGGCTTCTAAGTCGTCCGAGGAAGTAGTGAAAGGGTGTGCGAGCAATATACTGGGTAGGAAAACCTCGAGATGGGCAAGTCTCGTAGGTACACAGACGGAGGTTATCGTAGCTTTGACGTTTCCCACTTCGTGTTGGGGGAACCATAAGATACACAGATTATCAACGATGATCTGATTCTGGTCGAGGGGTTCTTCTAATCGAGCTGTCAGCTGAGAGGGCTGTACTAAGGGAAACAAAGTAGAGAATACGTACCTATAGTAGGCTCGATTACCAACGTCATCAGAGAGGTTCGGAGGATGTGGAGATAATCGGTGCAATCGTAAACTTGACACACGAGCACCTTCAAGTTCGGCATTTCCACAGTAGTTATATGAAAGGGGAGGTTGCAACATTCGACAACAGTAAGCTCTTCGAGTGCAAGCATCGAGATTTTTCCGTCGTTAGGCGTAGCTCTAGGAGACAACCTGACCCGGAAATCTACGTCTTCAAGTTTTAGATTTTTTAGGGTTGCGGCCCCTGCGCGGAGAATATGGAAGAACCACTTTACGTCGTAGGAGAGACTGGAATCGATGTGAAGAGTAGTGATTGGCGATTGTTGCAGCATGTGTGAAACGACGTTGTAAAGGTGAGAAGAACATTTCAAGGCATTCAACCTAGGAAACGCTTGGAGGAACGATTGTATGTGATCATCATCGCACCACTCCAGTGAAAACGAATCGAGCGTCCCCGGTGCCCCGAATCCAGACATGTCGATCCGCCGAACGTGACAGCACAGATGAGGCGCATCAATCATCAGCCGGCGGTAGAGACGTAGATATGTCAAAGCATTGGACACGACAAGATTGCGGTAGACATGGGCCAGACAAAGGTCGTGCCAGGACTTGCACGTAAGCACGCAGCTCCTGAGTGAGGCTTTGTCTCCTTCTAGTTCATTGAAAACCAATGATAGAAGTTCGGGCGGTAGTTTGCTCGTCGATGGATCCATCTGTGCGCAGCCTGGGTCAGCGGGTGGCTAGAAGCTGAGGCAAATCTAAGTCCTTACTAGTCAGGACTGGGGTTCGGTACTTTGGTTATGATGCGATTGAAGACGATGCGGGGTTAACCACGTACAAGGGACGTGAGCCCAGTAACTTTAAGTTCGAAGGATCGGCGAGAGTGGAACATCTACAGCCTGCGCCTACCCGTCGTCAACCGCGTACTAGGGGCTACAAGCTCAAGAAACTGTACGCCGGCACAGTCGAGAGCGCCGGGGTCACATAGGATACTCGGGGCAGTGAAACCAATCCTAGATTCTGAAATTCCTCGCGTGTTCAAGCAATTCACTCATTGCTAACCCCATCTGACTGCGAACGGGTGAGCCACGTGGAAGCTTGTTCCGTCCAACCTTCGCTTCCTTAATTCCAAGCGTTTCGTGGTCTTCAAGCTTCACGACGCGGGAACAGCCCGAATCTTCCACCACGCAAGTCCTCATTTTTCAAGCCTTGTCGAGCGAGCGGGCTTTTCCAAGCTCTTTCAATTTAATCCGCATGTATCGGCTCTTACAATATATAAAGATGTTCCTGGAATCCTGCCCAGAGGAACTGAGCCCAGATGAATGTACGTCTACAATTTCGAGCTCCTTCTAGAGTCAACATCAACGTCCTACAAAAGGTCTCGTGCGTGGGGACTCCTGACTCTTGCTTCGCATCCACATCGTGTCAGACCGTGTTCCATTGCCACAAACTACGCACTGCAGAAATGGACTACTACCAATCGATTGACCAGCAGATTTCCCAGTTCTGCGAGAAGATCAGGGAGAAACCCAGCTGGCCGTTCAAGGTACTCGATGAATCCAAAGAACTCGCGATAAAATGGGCAATGGAGGCACAGCTGCTAGCCAGCGAGGACGAAATGAAAGACGACGGCCTTCCCGTCGTCCAAGCAATCCAGTACGTTGTTCTTCAACCGTAAATCTGATTATGCTATTGAGCATAGCGACTGAAGTGATCTCAAGGCCGAAGCCAGACGAATTATAACGCTGGATTACGAACTGCGGTTCGAGGTGCAGGAGCCGCTGCAGGAAGGTGTTTCGTTCGACAAGATCGACCACGATGTCACAAATGCGCTCAAGTTCGCGAGGGAATCGAAGTACTACATCGCCCAACCACAGCTCAAGGAGAAGGTCGGGGTGTTCGTGACGGACGACCTGGTCCCGGCATCGTTGCAATCCGAGGTCTGTAAAAGTACCAGTGCGGGATGGCTATCTTATCGACGTAAGGCTGTAGTTATTGCGGTCGCTTGGCGTTCTAGCCCAGAAGGAACCCAAAGACATGCATCCTGGAAGCGGAGGAAAGGTCCAGGATTTGATCCATCCGTCTCTGTGTACGGCCTTTTTATCGCCTCATTCACGTCGCCCTAGATGATTATATCACAGATCCGTACAAAGGAGCCATCTCACCGGTCCACCCAGGCGTCACCCTCCCTCGCTTGGACAACGGAGTGTTCAAAACGAAACAGAGTACCTTCACCGATTACACCTTCGAGTCACGCTACGCCTGGGTTCCCTCCGTCTTCCACATATCCGAGGACGGGCTGGATATTTCAGTCAAATCATATATCAACGGTTTGGGACCTCGAGAGTGACATCCCGATCTGTATCGACTTATCGAGAAGGTGTTCCTCGTTGTGCTCCCACAACTGGAACGCACGAGAGAATGGAAGTACGAATACGAAATGACCCCTGCTGGTAATCATACATTTCTTCATTCTAGCAAACGTGATATCATCATTCATTATAGAGGCGCGTTGGGTGGATCGTACGGATGCACGCGGGGGCACCACCCGCGAAAACTGGCTCAAGTTACTTGACGCACAACACACAGAAAAGGAGGCACAAGAAGAAGCGGAAGCGAAACGTGGCGCAGATTTCGCTGAGCAGCAGGCGCGCGAACTCGGCCGGATTTCTGAGTTTCACTTGCTGGATTGTTCCGCAGCTGCGGTGCCCGAGAAGTATCGAGGCAAAGACTTGAAGGTCATAGTAAAAGTAAGCCTGGTGACTCCTTTGCTTCCGGTCCACTAACTGCGTCGTGTCAGGCCGCGAACTACATACTAAAGCCAGGCCAGGAATATGTAGGAACCTGGCACATGGAGGGGATGGTGCGTTGCTCTTCCATGTCGATCTATCCCGTGTTCTTATTCGCCCCAAGCCCCACGAACAAATTGCGGCCTCGGCTATATACTATTATCAAGCTGATCCCGAGATCCACGACCAAGGGCTCAGCTTCCGGCGCCGAAGAGATGTCGATGCAGATTTTCCTAGCAATGAACTCTACACCCACGATGTCCGTCCCAGCTTCATAGTCGAGGAATATACTAATGGTTTTCATTCTGATCATAGGATTTCAACATTGATTTCACTGAAGAGGGCGACAAAGGGAGCGACGAAGAAGATGAGGACGAGGACGAGGACGCCGATGATCCTGAACCAGAGCATGATTATCCTAGTGACTGGGAGTATACGGAGTATAATGGAGAACGACAACCGCGTTCAACGTCCGAGCTGCCAATTTTCACCGAGCTCGGCACCGTGCCCGCCACCGGGGTAGTTACCAAGTCCAATCACCCCACGGGGAGGATAATCACCTTCCCAAATTGGATACAAGTGAGTATAGGCCATGCTATCTCGTCATGCTCTCACTCACAAGGTCGCGTATGATGTTTACTAGCACAAGGTTGGCGGGATATCTCATTCTGTCTCCGATCCTGCTGCACCGCCTGCAACTAGGAGAATTGTGAGTCCACGTGTCAATAGTTTGACCACGCTCAGTGACAACGCGGACGATCCGTCCAGCTCTGCTTTTTCTTGGTAGATGAAAACCAGACGGACCCCGATGACAATGACACCGCCTTTTACCACAGCTATACCACTTCAGGTTTGGCGGAGATGAACGTCTTATCGTCCTTGGATGTCCCGTGGCAAGCACGGCCGTGCAACATTGCCACTTTGCACCTGTTGCTTTCAGGTGCCTGGAAGTGCCTTGTAGGCAAAGAGATCCCGGCGGAACTACGCAGTTATATAGTCACCGCCGCAATCGAGGGGACCATTACTCGAGAAGAGGCAGAGAGATGGAGACGGGAGTTGATGATAGATAGGAAGATCAAGGCCACAGATTTTAGGGAAACTAGAGTGAGTCGTATGTATTGGTTTATGGTGACTGCTTTCTGACATCGAATAGTTTTGGGATGGTTCATATTCTCTTTGCGAGCATTAGCTACTTTGCATGTGCATCTCACGGATGGTTTCAACTGCATACTACGTACTTAATTCCACGGAATCTATATCATGGTACAACACAATCACCCCATATCACGGTAAACATTCCACAGACCTTGAGCTCAAATATCCGAAGTCGGGTGTCCGAAGTCAAGGTGTTTATACGGGTCATATTTAATCCTAGCTAATAAATATCGAGATTCGCAAATCGCTGGCTCTCAATTATCCTCTTGGTCGCATGCGGTTGGAAATCGCTTGACAGCACCGCGAAGAAAGCCTCAATAAACACTGACATGGTCCGAGTAATGCACACAATGATATCGATTCAGATGACATAGTTTTGAATCCCGAGTTACTAGTATATGTGCCGGCACAGTATGTGATCCCAACATCCCCACGAACTACAAGTATCTTTTGCCCTACACTCCATCGCCTAAGGACCTCTCCAGACCACAGCTAGATGGTAACCACCGCCGATAATACATCCGTTCCTATAAATTCTCCAAAGGTTCTCTCCAATTTGACACTTTCTGCAGCATCAGGCGGTGGTAGGTCGACACCTCGCATTACTAAAAGTACGATGGTGAGACCAAGATGCTTGAGAGTTCCGTGCACAAGAAGTGTGTTTAATCTCTCATAGTCGGTAAGAGTAGGGCTGTGTGCAGCATCCCAGGTCCGTAAATCACGAGTGATCTAGTAATATGTTTCCAAAATAACGCAGGTCATGTTGTCAGTTCGGAGCGAAAGATAACTCGTATGTAGGGTGTTGGGAATTTCTTTCAATGACACCGTGCAATGAGCACCACAGTCTGTTGTCAATATTCTCGGAATATATATCAAGTAAAATCTGTAGAATGCACGAGCTAGTAATAGTTCTCAGTCGTACGTTATAACCGGGCATAACAAGGAAATACATACCTCAGTCGTACCGGTAAGTTGAAGCTGAGACATAAGGATAGGGGATGAAGCCTAAATAGTACGCACTGATACTAATGCGGAAAGGGGAAGTACATAAAAGGAAAGAAGTGAATGAGAGAACTCTCAAAACGAAGTCGCGTCCATTCTTTACAAAATCCATTCGAAAGATCATCGATCATGGCCTTCCGAAGGACACCTCCCCCACAATCCCACAGTAATGCCTATGTACATGTGGCTGGATTGGCGCGATGGCTGGTTACAGCGTAATGCCACGCTCAGGCTCCTTCCCCAGACCTGTAACATCTGGCTTCTCAATATTGTTAGTGGTGATCCTTATCGTTCCTCTGTTGAACCATACAGTACCTTAGACACTCAAAGTTCCGCTCGCAGCAGAGTCGTGAGCGAACGCAAGGGACGGCATCGCCGCGCCGCCCAACCGCACCTCATACGGCAATGATTCTCCTACATTTGGGACAAAGGTGGTCAATGCAGTTTGACGTATATGAATGAATACGCGGCATGCCAGCACTGAATGCAAGGATCACTGGAACCTGTACAACCAGGTTAGTAACCTGGTTAGAGCCCCTGCTGTCACAAACCCTAAACATGCTTTATACTCATGTGGTCATATCGTAGAGCCAACGAGACTGAGCATTGAACAAAAAATGTAGAAATTCAGACTTACCGCTTGTGAATCTCCATGTAACATAACAATATTGATGGTCGAAGCAGCTTCAAGCGTATTACATGGTCACCCAAGGCGAATTGCACCTGTGGAAAGCCACACACCAAAAAGGCCGACAAAATAGATAAGGCCTGCGATACTAATTGAATTTACGGCTGTAAGATAAGCATTATTTCTTACCGTCTTGAATTAACAAATCAAACAGCGATGATGGGTTTATCAGCTGAAAACCATGTAGTCATGCTTTCGACCGCCAAACCCCAAGCTCAGATAGACACAGTTCAGGGAGAGAAACACTCACAGTGCCTGAGGCATTTGACCAGAGTCAGCGTTAAGATGGCTATGATTCCGTGGATAAATGACGGGGTATCCATACCATCCAGTTACGAACCTGCCTCTAAACCCATCAAACCAGTGAACGCGATGAATATTGGTCCATTGGATCCCGAACGGTAACACCTAGTCAGGTGGGGTGTAATGTCCTGCGCAGGAGCAGCTAACAATCGGCTTAATTAACAACCATACAATTGTCGAGGAATAAGATACTTGCATGCCAAAGGCTCTCCGATCGCTGTGGCCGCTACGGCGACACATGTCAGCGCAAGAATAAACAAGACAATAGTAATAAGCCATGTCCTTCCCCACAAAGACCATACTCGTATTACCATTATTGCTTACGGAGCGAGTTAGTTCAAACCTTCCAGGTAATTGTGATAGTAGCTGACCTTCCACCATGCAAATACCGACCATAAACGAGTCTTGCACAACGGGGTCAGTACCAGAGAATGAGGACCTGTAAACGAGTCACGCACCTCCCATGGCCTTGTCAAATATCATGCATTGCTGATGTGACAAACCCAGCGTGATAATATCTGTGAAGTCAAGTACATGAGCCGCAGGGCCAACTATGTTGCCATAGCTCACGGTAGAAGCTTAATGAGAGGTCGATGAACGCCGGGTATCGGGTTGACAAATACAACACAGTACCCATTCCTTTTGGCCTCCTCCAGACAAAGGTGACCTCGTCCTCAAGGGTAGTAAAATAGTCATAAACCTGATAGGATAGATGCATTATTCAGTGTTCTGTTGAACTTGGGACAAGTGGTCGGCCTACAAGCAACGCGACCGCTGATGCTACCTGGGCATTAGTGACAATTTTCGGTGTTGTAGAATAAGCCCTCACCTTCAAGATACTGCTCTCGTAAAGTGGTCAGATACACACCTGATACCGTGAACCTAGGGCGTACCTGTTGTTCCCGACGTTGGAAAAGCCCTCGCAGAATTAGTTTATCCATGTGGATTCCGAATTCCTTGGGGGGTGAGGGTACTATTTCATCTGGACCTCACCTTACGCCTACTCGCAATCTTATGGGTTGTCTCATTAAGCTCGTGACAGCCAACTTATGCTGCAATCACTTAAACTCGACTAGATCATTACATCCCGTCGTCGTTCGTATGGATCGCCAAGTCTTGACAAATACGGTTCAGTGCCACCGATGGAAAGCGCCTCAAAATCCGGATCCTCGATGAAATCCCGATGGTCTCAAAGCTTGGAGACTTGTTTTTCATACTGCTACTTGAGGTAGAGGACGTCCGTGGTGGGGACTTGTATCAACGAGTGCCGCGAAAATCATTGTAATGGATTACACCACTCAACCCCTCCTTCACAGTGAGTGTGCTGACTGGTATTGACAGTCCCAGAACATGCAGTATGAGGAGCAAACAAGAGCGTCCTGAGTTCCACTTGGTCTGAGTGCATCTCGTCAGACAGTGTCATGCTACTAGGCACGAAGGTTGTATATGTCGATTGGCGTAGGTGGATGAATATACGGGACACTAGCACTGAATGTAGACACCATTGGATACTGCAAAAGTCCGGGATGGGGATGAACGGACGACGAGCCAGGGTATCGGTTATACGGCGTCGATCGTCCTAATGAACTACAAGACTTACGCGATCACATCCTAAATTTCATGGTAAGCAGGGTGTAATTACGAGCAAAACGAATGAATCACTAGTTGTGAGTTCCCCATAAGCATAATAACGTTGATGAGCAATATAGCTGTTTGGCGTCCAGCCAAGCAATAAGACTAGGGAATCCAAGAGATAGAAGGCAACAACCGGACACACCAAAGAGGCCAATGAAATATATAACACCTAGGGGTTGCCGTCAGTCACTATCTGTTCATGTCAAAGACTTGAAGGAGTTTACCATCTCGAATGAATAAATCGATGAGCGAGGAAGCGAGGATGTGTTGATGAGATGGGAACCTCGTAAACACGCTTTATGAAAGAGTGTTTAGATGCATAGCAACTGCGACGAGAGACTGCTTACAGTGTCGGATACATCTAACAAGGGTTAGTGTCAAGGTGACTGTAATCAAGGTGAACGCGCTGGGGCAGGGACTTGAACAGCCGATGCTACTTACTTGCCTCGAACCCTATCAATATGGCATAGTCTACGGACATTGCACCGTTCAATCCCAAAGGGTAACATCCTGACATATTGGGTGCTATACCACGCATGGAAATGACTATCGGTGAAGCACCAATTGAGCATCAGAACCGCTTGTTTGGAGGAGGTACTTACACGTTAAGGACTTTCGAGATAGCCCGAGAACCGTAACACCCACTATCAAGGTTGCTATTGTCAATATACATAAGAATACTGTCATAAATCATGTTCTTCCCCATAACGACCATACTCGCATGATCATGATTACTATCAGTGTGTTAGGATGTACGCTCGCCAGGCGATAGGCTCATTGACTGACTTTCGGCTACGGCGATGCCAATTAAGAACATCCCTATAGAACCAATGATCAGACAAGGGGGTGAGGATAGTTGTACCGCAGACTGACATCCCATGGCATGGTCAAGGGCTATACATTGATCAACCGGTAGTCTGGGTGTAATCCTAACTAGTACGTCGAGGGCGTCAATAAAGAGAACCAAGATTGCGAGATACTCACCGTACAAGCTTAGCACTAGATCAACAAACACAGGGTAGCAGGCCAGAAAATACAGAATGGTTCCAAGACTTTTTGGCTTCGTCCAAATGAAGGTGACTTCGTCCCCGAATGTTACGAGATAGTCATAAACCTAGGGCAAGTTAATCGGAGAGCACCAAGTTTAGATGATAGTCTTACAAATAATGCAAGCGGGGAGACTACCAAAACTCATCATCATAACAAGTTCCTGATTTCTTTTATACGATTCTTACCTCGAAGGTACTAAGTTTTCATAGCGGTAAGAATTTATTCCGTAGATACCAGGACTCTGTGCGTACCTCTTCTTGCCGAAGTTGGAAAAGGCCTTGGAGGGTTGGCCTCTCCATGTAGACGTGGGGGATCAGTGGCAAGCGCAGCCCAGCCTTTGCTCGCTATCTTATACGATAAGGGAAGCCATTATGCTTCCGCCGCACGGAGCATTGACGCTGCCTTCGTTGGATTGATTAAGCTTAAATAGGAAATACTGGTACCACTGCCAGAGGAGGCATGCGTTAACGAGCATCGTTTCAACAATCAACACTGATAGGTTGACCGCCAGTGATTAGGAGCCAAGAACGCTGGTATGGTACAAAGCTTCGCTTGCTAGTGGAGGGTCGTTAACTCAACTCGGGTGGGCGCTTTGGCACTTTGAATTGCGATGAGCAGCAGCTTCTAATAGAAGACTGGAGAAGTATTCTTTCGCCGAGTTTAAACTTGTTACCTGCAGGGTGGTGAGGGGTATAAACCAGAAACGAGGCACATAGGACGTACTTCCAGCAACCACAAACCGTAAAGTTTATGTTCACGGAGAAAGCGAGCACATGTGGTTGAATCCCGAATAGCAGAACTCACATATGACCCGTTCACCGAATAGTTAGCTCACTGAGCCTGAGTGACACAACGGGGAGTTACCGAGCCTGCTATTATGGAAGCCTACTTGCAAGCACCTTGTAGAAACAGTAAACTACGACGTATGTAAGAATGGATAAGCAAAGTTAGAATAGGAATAAGCTCACCTCAGTATATTGCGGGGCAATAACTGAGGTGCTCGGAAACGAAACAACGCATATATAAGCGCGAGTCGTGCGCATGAATACACAATCAGATGTAAGTACGAGCGGCCGTGATAAAGAAGTGAAATGAGACGGTAAACAAGTTGCGCGTGGCGCGAACTTGCATTACCTATTTTGGTTGGCCAGCATCCGCATACGGATACCCGACCCTTTTGGTTTGCGAGGAGCTCACCCTCTGTTTGCTACCCCAACACACCTTACGTGAAAGTCAAGAAATTCGGAAATATGTCAGCAACAAGGGTAGAGCTAACAACAGAATTAACTCACTGCACGGGAAGAGTCGCATATCCCTCCCTATGTGATATCATCGCCTATCGTATATACGTCGTCTTTGCCAGTCCAAACGCCGCATATAGCTATTGTGCGATACTTCTTGAGTCGAGGGCGTCGACAACCTCTCATTTGAAGCCTGTAAATAGCAAGACGGCCCGTCCCGATGACAACCTTCTCGGACTCTTTGTACATACTGACCATTATTTGCAAGTTGAGTTGTGCGGCACTAGTCGCAACGACGTCCAAACTGGACTCTGATCGATGTCGCAGCAGTAGGGGCATGACCTGAGCACAGATCTCCAGAGTATTCCAGGGCATATACTGACGCATGAGTAGTCTGTCGAGGTGGACAAAGAAAGAATTGATCCATGTGGTAGACACCGGTGGACGATGCGAAAGAAAGACGCGGCGTGACCGACATTGGATAGATCTAGCGCTCGCGTATGCACAAGGCGCGACAGAATTCAAGGCAAGATGGCCGAGCGGTCTATGGCGTGTGACTCAAGCGAGTAGCTTGCCTGCACAAGCAGGTTTCTCATCATCGAAAGATGGCGGGGTTCGAATCCCCCTCTTGTCAGAGTTTTTGCTAGTCGAAGCAACGAAATAGCATATACAGCATACAGCTACAGACTTACAGTGGTAGAATGGCCTGGTGTCCAATGTAGCTACAAAGCTATGGTAAAACAGATGGTTCCGCGCTATGAAGGGAGTCTCGAGCACATAAAAGAGGAAGCTGAGTCCACGCAAAGACAAAAAGAAGGCATATAGGCAACATCAAGAGTATTATGCTCCCAATATTCATCACAAGATCGTTAGATTGGAGCGAGGCAACGACGAATCCTGAGAAAAGCGTAAGCATAAGTATATATCCCGGGGATCCTGAATTATGCAAACCTAACGCAGCCAGGGCTGTAGCGATGCCTACCGTAACAAATGGATACGCGATCAACACAAATGTACAGAGAACCTTTGATCGAGTCGCCATGAGTGTCTAAAATAACAGATCAATTACGCAGGGCAGATCAACCAAGCGACGACACCTACGCTGCAGAACCAAACAGGATCACACTTCAGAGTGATGAAGATCATGCCCGAACCGACAATCAGCGAGCCGAGCGTGATACCGAAGGACAAGAGGAGGAGCAAATACGGTCCACGTCGCGTGTAGTTCAGTAACTCCTCCACCGGCGGAGTGGTTCTAATCAACGCGGCCGTCGCACCAACCAGGAGGCCGGCCTACTTGTCCTCAGTGAGCACACACTCGAGAGGATACGAAGAACTCACGACGACGGTAGTGGTAGTGGTACGTTGGGCGAGGCGGTCTTTGTCATGTGCCCACTTTTCTTCCGAATGGCAGATCTCCCAGACACTGTCAAGGTTGTCGTGTCCAAAGCTTATCAAGACTGCCATTCGGAATGCGAGAGTTGCAGCCCTGTCCCACGGCTTGGGGTAGCCAAATTCACATTCCCAATGGTCAGGCAATGGCGGCAATGGCGGTGGGTGCTTGACGGCGCAGAACGGAGGGTCATCCAGGGAGACGAAGGTTTGACTTGTATTTCGCCTGCGAGGAGGACACAGAGGTGGAGGTCTATGGAAGAGGATGTCGGAGTGGTTGTACATGTTGGGGGTCTGGAAATGGACATTCGTTCTACGTCTTAAATACGTATGGGAGGATGGTTGAGGATGGCCACCAGTCACCTACTTATAATAATACAAGCTTAGTAACCCCGTTGCTGCGTTCAATCATACTGTACTGATATTGTCAATACAACCTGATGGGCCATAGGTAAGTCAATGGAGTCAACAAGCGTGTTACGAGCGACCCACCAACATTCAGAAAGCATCGTTCCCAGAAAGTCATTTTTTGTGAGTGCCTTGGCATTGATTTGGTGTCGGCGGTGGTAGTTTAGATGCGTCGCTGGCCACGGTCAACTGGACATCGATCATCACCGGTCGGTTGATGAATTGATCGTTAATACCATGAAAATCTTGCGTATTTTCGTTCAGACACTGTGTAGTGGACCCCATGAATGAAGATAGATGGAATTTAACAAGGCAATGTGTCAGATATCGGAATTGGGCGAGATTGTTTTGGAAAGGGGGTCTCGCTCTCAATCTCTGATCTTGGCCAGGGCCGGCGTCATGAATGAATTCTTGCCCGAGCAGCGTCCATCGCGAAGTCCATCGCGCTTTCACAGGCATAAACGCCATAGTATCTCTTTTTCATTTTCTGACATGCCCTCATCTTTCGAGGACTCGGATGACCTCAAGAAGTGCACCGAAACGACTCGAACACAAGAGGAAACGAGGGGAAATAATTGAGGATATCCAGGCGGTCCATACGGTCAAGCGGAGTGGATAGGCCGACTCAATGAAAGGAGATTTACGATCTTCGTTGACGCCGCAGGGCAATATTCAACAGAAAAGTTGTACTTGACTTCAGGTATTCCCACGATCTCCCATCCACACAACCACAATACAGCATGTCCGCGATGTTTCCGCGCGGGTCAAGTAGCTCCGATTCATGGCTCACCACCATTCAGGTTCGTGACCATGTCGGCTTGATCATCATTGATTCATGAAAGCACGGTCAAAGCACGAGTCACTTCTCTTCCGGTCAAACCCAAGCATCCTGGCTGGAGTTGTCGGGTTGTTGCCCGATGGCACCTCCTCAAGCTCAAGTCTCAAAGGACACCAGGACGTCTCATTCTGCCCCTGCTTCGAAGGCCACCAAAACTGTTAAACAATTGCAGTCGCCGCCGTTTGAATGGCGCACTTACTTCCCGCAGTCGGGTAACGCCCATAATCCTTCTTGGTGCTATCAGCTGAGGCTCTTCACTTCTCACTAGGTGACAAGCAAAGAGCAGACATGAGTTTTGCTCATGTTCTTCGACATATAACGTAGCCCCCCCCATCTGTTCTCCTGATTTCTCACTTACATGTCTCCCTGGAGGTCTCATCGACTGATCGCAACGAGAGTAGGTCACGAACAAGACTCCATGGCTGCCGAGAGCACTGCTACGAATACAAACAATAATCCCGTGCCTGACATACCCTCTCACTGGAAAGATGACTTTGCACTTCCGGAACCCCTTCTCACGCTCGCCGGATTCCTATTTGTATCGGCACTCTTGATAAGTTTGGGGCACCCCTCCCTAGAGCCAGTTTGGAAGATTTGCCACACCAGCAAAAAGGAGTGGACAGAGCACAAAGACCGACTCTCGGACAGGATCACCAACGTCACTGTCGTCGTAAGTATTCCCGTGACTTAAGCCACCAATCATTCAGCCTAATTGACCCTTTTGTCGTTGAAGGCTGGCTTGATGATAAGCTCCACGGCCGCATTTATTACAACTGAGCCTCCAGTTGGCGGTTTACTGAATTATAATCAACGAGGACCATACCTTTTACTACTCCTGTCATTCGGAGTCACACTGGGTGGCCTGATCGTCGGGTCCGCTATGGTTTTCGTTATGGCGAAGTGCGAAGCACCATGGTTTTGAGATGTAAGCATAAAAGATATCTGTTCACATAATGTTGAACTGTATTATGTTGTCTAGACACTCATGGGCTCTCGCTTTCGCATTATCTGTACGATCATCATACTCGCATACCCTTTCATCTCGATAGGGGTCTCAACAGCCTTACTAGCCATATGTAAGTCCCTTGTCCTTCGCGCTACATTTTTATGAACAGTATTTTGCCCTATAGCTCTGATCATTTCTGCAATACTTTCTGGCGACCAGCTTCTGCAGGCTGGTAGTGTGATCCTGCTTGTGTTGCCAGCATTACTGATTCCTCTTTTCGCTTTCACCCAATGTTACTTGCGCCGGCCTCGGGGTTCCTATGAACCATATGATAACATGTTATGAAATCACAAACATGTACTATTGAGTACCATCCAATTACCACCTTGTAGGCCAGAGATATCATTCATTGTTTGTGGTGCCTAGGCAACTGCAAGAATTTGGGCTTTGTGGGCATCAGCAAGATCACAGTTTTCTGAATGCCATTGGAGGGACACTGGCATCACAGGGGGTACCGGGGATCCAGCTCCAGTGTTGCCAAACTGCACCTATGATTGGTCTGATGCTGAAAATGAATAAGTCCATCCATCTCGTTTGGGATAACAAATTTGTATTCATTGTCGCCATGAGCTCTCTCATCCAGGGCTGGCTCATGGACCAGGAGCAAATGGAACCTGGATGTGGAACACAGCCAAACTCTTGAGAAAAGGAGAAACCCCTGTAAGGGGGGCTGAAATCAAGCCAGGGAAGGTGCGAAGCATAGAGATGGAGGCTTGAAAGCAGAAGCATGAGGATCAGCCATGTGGAGACATGACAAGAGGTTGAGAATGTGATCCTTTGGAGTGTCAATATATAAGTGGTAGGCATTGCTGCACCAGCACCCAAGTTGCTGAATCTCATGATTGAGGAAACCCACCGCTGCAGCTGCAGATGCTGTGTGTTATGGGGCATATTCATGTGCATTCCGGCTATGGACTCGGGCCGTGCATACACGCGACTACTCAGACTTTCACAGACTATGAACTTGTACATATTCAAGCACGCTGTAGTTATTACCACCAGACTCCTTGACTGTTTCATAGACACACAGATACCGTGTGTTCCTTATTATATAGTCTTGTACTGTACATACAGTTACCTTAGTTTGAATATTAGTTCCTTCTCCACACTCACACACTCACCTCTTCACTGAGGTCTCTATCTCACTTCCCTCGGCTCCACCTGTACCCTCAGTACCTGTGTAGGTTCCCCTCTGTCATAGACCAGTCCTCACGCCCCCTTAGGGGTCCCCCCCTACACCCCTTTCAGATACTCGGACCTTTGGAATCCCTCGGGCTCCACCCTCAAGGCTTATGCATGGTGTGCAGTACTAGGATTACTCTGTTACATGTTTCATGTACATGTACTTACTGTAGAAATAACCATTTCTTCGTGGTTACTTGTATAGAATAGCAGTTGACCCTTGCAAACATGCGAGGGACTACATAATTTAAACTACCTATTTATCTATGTGTGAACAATCAAATGTATCTACATATCAGTACATTGTGATTATCTAAACACATGATGCAATTTGAAGAACACTTGAAACATGTAACCACAAATCCAACACTTACATACTAGCCTCACTACATACATGTGTTAGTCAGTATTTATAGTAGCACCAGTACACATGTATTCTTCATTCTGAATCTTAGTTCCTTTCCATCACCTCTTGTCTTCTAAGCCTTTGCTGTGGGCTCCTCTGCAGAGCCTGCCTCTCACCTTGCTCTCTCCAAAATCGGGGCATCACAGGGCTAGGAGGGTGTAGCATCAAAGCTGAAGCCAAGTCCCATATGCTCTGCTCATCCGCTCGTCCGCGCTCCCGTGCATTCCCGCGCCCCTGTACAGATGAGTCAGGAGACCCCTTGACATGGTCCATAACACCCTCTCAAAATACAGGGCACGTAAGAGTGTGGGAGGCGCAGCCAGTAGCTGAAGCCAAGTGTTAAGGACCGTGTCAAGGGGCCTCCTGACTCGTCCGTACAGGGGGGCGGAAATGCAGGAGCGCGGACGCGCGGATGAGCGGAGCACATGGGACTTGGCTTCAGCTTTGATGCTGCGCCCTCCTAGCCCTGTGGTGTCCTGATTTCGGAGAGAGCAAGGTGAGAGGCGGGCTTCATGGAGGAGCCCGCAGTGAAGGCTTAGAAGACAAGATGACGGAAATGGAACTAATATTCGAACTAAGGTAACTGTATGTACGGTACAGGAATATATACTGGGGAACACGTGGCGTCCGCGCATTTACAAAATAGCAATGAGTTCGGTAGGAATATGTATAGTATGCTCGAATATGTACAAGTCCAAAAACCCGTGACAAGTCCGTGTAGCCGCATATATGCGTGGCCCGAGTCCGTAGCTGGAACACCTGTCAGTAGCCCCTAAGGGGCCTCCTGGATGCGCCTATAACAGTACCTCCCCTTTAAGGCCAAGACCCTTAGAGGCCTAGGCGCTTGACGCGCGGAAGAGGTGGTGATGATGCGGTGTGGGCATCATGAGGGTCCGTGGTGAGTCAGCCTCTGTGTGCACGTGAGCGAAAGAAGCGCGGAGGCGAGGTGTGTTAGGAGTATAAAAGAGCAGAAGCGCGGAGGAGCGAGGCAACAATGGCTCACTTCAACAAGCGCACCCGGGGTTCCGGTTACAACAACCACCACGAGTAGCAACGGCGACACGAGGAAAAACGGCGGCGGGAAGACGAGGACGTTGCGGCGGGGGATGCTTGTTTGGAAAAGGAGGCTTGACGGCAGCGGCAAGAGAAGGTGCGGGTGCAGAAGGCCACAGAGGACACGTGGGCACGGGCAGCCATTGCACTTTACATTGCGATGTGGGAGCGGGGCAACAGAAACCGAGGCGGCGTTGCTGAGGAAACTGTGGTCGCAGGCAGCAGCACAGGTCCTGGCACGAAGGAGGGTGCCCAGGAGAGAGCGACAGAGAAGGAGCTGGAGCCCAAGGGGCCGCTGTGCGAGGTGCCCTGTCTGGGGTGCGTGCAGCGCAACCTTGAGTGCTGTGCACAGCTGTAAGTGGTGATTTCTCCCTATCTACCCTACTAATCCCATCCATTTAGTGTTAAAGGGGCCCAGACGTGCTGGGAGTGCAAGCAGCAACATGTCCACTGCGGGACTGGTGTTGGTGGAGGCGCGGCGCGCGCGGCGCTGCCGGCAAGCACAGAGCCTTCAGTGGCGACCGCGCTTGGAGAACTGGCCGCACAGGTCTTTGACTTGTCGGTCAGTAGTCTCTCCGGGTCGGAGGCGTTGGTCCGCCTTGAGGCGAAACTTGATATGCTGACGCATCAGGCAGCATGGATCGTGGAAGAGTTGACTGTGGGGGAGCGCGCGTCGAAGGTGGATTGGGCAAGGCCGTTGGAGGCAGCGGCTTCGACGAGTGAGGACAACACCGAGGGCGGGATGGAGGTTGATGGAGCGAAGGCTCCGTCCACAGGTGACACAAGGGCGGATACGACGGACGCGGAGGAGGAAGAACCAGTGGTTGGGAAGGGAAAAGGGAAAATGAGGGAGGAGAGCAGCGACGAGGAGGGAAGCGAGGGGGAGGAGAGCAGCAAGGAGGAGTGAGCGTGGGGGCTGCGTCAAGCCGCAGAAAAAAATATTTACTTGTAGCTATGGTATCCTCTATTTTTGTCTTTTGTTTTTTTCTTTTTATTTTTTTTGTATAATGATCTAAAATGTCCAACTTGTAGTGCAAGTGTGAAAATCATAGACTAAGAAGTGACAAAAGAAAAAAAAACAAAAAAATTGTTATAGGCGCATCCAAGGAACCCCTTAGGGGCTACTAAGGGCGCATCCACGTGCATTCCCGACTATGGGTACATGCGGCCACGCGGACTTCTTGGATTACGGACTAAGTACATATTCGAGCACACTGTAGTTATTACGACCGGACTCATTGCTGTTTCGTGAATGCGCGGACGCCGTGTGTTCCCCAGTATATATTCCTGTACTGTACTTACAGTTACCTTAGTTCGAATATTAGTTCCTTTCCGCACTCACACCCTCGCCTCTCTATTGAGGTTTCCCTCCGTCGCATCCCTTCGCCTCTGCCCGTACCCTCGGTACCCGCGTAGGACTTCTCCCGGAAATACAGGGCACGCAAGAGTGTGGGAGGCGCAGCCAGTAGCTGAAGCCAAGCCTGTACGTCCTTGCTCCCCTCGTTTCCCCCGCGTGTCTATGTGGAACCGCGCACCCGCGGGTCCGCGTATCCTGAGCCCCCCTGCGAGTGTGGCTCTTAACAAAAATACCGTAGAGAACATAAAAGAAAGAAAGGAAAACACACAAGTAATGCGAGAGGGATAGGGGGGGCAGAGCGTGGTATGCGCGCAGGCGAGGGCGAACGGAGGGTAAGGAGAACCAATGCTGGGGCGCGGTCTCACACTCAGTGGGGTTTTCACTAAATGCTTTGGATGTAGTTGGATCAGTCAAGATAGATCAAACAGTCACCCAAGTTGTGCAGGCTGAGAGGTGTGTTATTGATAATAATGGCTTTGGAAACTATACTACCGAGTAGCACAGATAGGGGAAATAGGAGTGGAAAGGGGTAGAAGGGGTCGGAAGAAAAGAAAGAAGTGTAGGGTAAAAACTTCACAACACGTTAATACGAACTACTCAACAAGTGAATAATACATAGGTAAACACAAGCAAATAGTAACTGACTGAGACAAGTAGCACTGAGACGAAGGAATATTCCTGACTAAGTATACTAGCAATGCTCCAATAATACAAAACTGCGATACAACAATTCAACTGAAATATGAAGCTCTAGATCAGATGTTTCTGCTAGATCACTTCTGATATTATTACTAAACACCTATAGAATTGTTCTATAGTCTAATGCTTAGCCAGTAACGGTCTATACGAAATCAATACGACTGGGGAGCAATCACTAAAGTATAAAGACTTAGGTGTACACAAGACACGTAATCTTATTTCTCTAGCAGGGGTTTCACAGGTCGAAGCACTCAATTATCAACTAATCAAGTTTATTCTTTACTATGTAACCTACAGTAATACTCTACTTAATAAGAAGTAGGTACTGCAAAAGAAAAGAAGGGAAGAGGATGAGAAATGAGGGCAGGAGAAAGAAAGAAGGTAAAATTCTATTCTTCTATCTACTACAATTTGGGGTTTATATAGACTACAGAGAAAAGGAGGCAGTGCAATGCCAAGCATTTCAAGGCTGTGCTGAATCTCTGAATGACTCATATTTCAGCAGGAGTAAGCCAATGATTTGTAATGGCCAAGCCAAAGCTTAGTAAGTTAAGGCTTGCTGCTTAGTAAGTACAGTTTTCCATTACATCCTGGAAAGTTCTATAAACTTCTCAGACATTCTACTATGTTCTTGTATGTCTTTCATGTTATTTGAGTTTTCATGAACAAGATCTAATGTCACTTTGATAAGTATTTGCAAAATACTAGAAGGTTCCATAAAGTGCTTCAACTTTCCGTACAGTTCTTGTCAAGTCCACAATCTTTACTTATCATGTAACATAGTGATTTAAGACTTGTTGACTTAATAGGATGTTGGGATATTAATTAGGGGTCCCAGGAGTAAACAGGGGAAAGTAGGAAATAATGTCTATGACCGTTATATGAGGTCCATTCGACTTGACTCAATTTGCAAGCATATGCCTTGGTTTTATAGTAGCATATGAAAGAGCTACAAAACTCTAATATTCATGTCACTTAGTACAAATCCCAATTTGGAGTATGGAGTATGACAGCAGGTGCGAGGGTGGAAATTGGATGTGTCAGTGAGGTGCGCACAGGCACAGAGCGAGTGGGGTGATGGAAACACAGATGCACGCAGAGGGATCTGACGATTGGTGTGGGTGCGCGGATGCGCGCAGGTGAAAGCATTTTGTTTATGATGGAGCGCGGATGCACACAGCTTGTAGGAATGTAGGTGGAGCCGGTGGAGGAAGTGCATGGAATGCGCGGGGAAGTGGAGGAAAGGAGAGTGATGCACGGATGCGCAGCGGGAGCAATCTACAATTCGTACAAGCGCGGTGCGCGCGGGGAGAAAGGAGTGATAGGTGAGGTGTGCGGTAACATGGAAAAAAAGAGAAATAGAGAAATGAGATGAAGGACCGCTACGCAGGTCCGGGCTTGTCAGGATAGCGCAAGTGGAATTCTGCGACGAGTTCTTGCGCATTCCTGAGTTCGTCCGCGGAGAGCCACGAGAATTCTTCATCAGTGTGCTCGTAGCCGAGCCATTGCACGTAGTATTGGAGTTTTACTTTCCGTCAACGGTCAATTTTGGAGTCTACAATTTCAGCTATTTCGAATTTGTTGTTACTGTAAGGGCAACCTCAAGATGGCCGACAGTGCAGGCCTAGCAGAGGGAGAATCCAAAGAGAACAGGATGGGGATTCTCCATGCTAGGAAGCGAAGTATATACTGTAGTAGCGTGGGAGGAATGAAGGGTAACTGTACAGTACACCAGCCACAGGTACGAACGAATATCACAAGGTACGAGGGGGCATGTGATAATGAAGTGGAAGGGGAATGTACAGGAGTCGTGCCAGCGACCTGGGGAAGTGGGGACAAGGAGTAATGAAGTGGGAAAGGAGGATAGAGGTAGCCCGGATGAGCCCCGAAGTGTATCTACGAGTCCGAGCGAGTCCGAAGCGTCCGAGCGAGTCCGAGGCGAGTCCGAAGTGCGGGAAGACTTCGGAGTCACCGGACGGGGCTTGGATGCGAAGGGAGTGAACGGAAGGGAAGCGGAAAGGTAAGGGGACAAAAGGAAAGGAAAGGGAATGAAGGAAAGGGGAAAGGAACGAGGAGGAAGGGGGCAGGACAGGGGGAGTAGGAGAAAATAGGAGTGTCCCCTTACATCACCCCCCCTTCAAGGTTGCGGCGACCCAACACGAAGATTCCTGCCTGCCGCGCCATGAATTCACCAACCCCGAAACTCCGGATTGCTGCGAGAAGATGTCGAAGTACGACTGCGCGGAGCCCGGAGCCTTCCGACTGCGCCAACGCTCCCAGGACTGGTCCAGTGCTGTAGGAGTCATCTGGAGAGGTAGAGCAGTCGTCGGATTCATCGGACTCGTCCGGAGTACGCGTACTGCGTCCGGGTGACGATCATGGAAGTCCTTGACCTTCCGGGCGGCATGCTGGAGGTTGCTCGCGGGCTCCCAGGAGTCGTGCTCAATACCATAGCCTTGCCAGCGCACCAGATACTTCAGGACCTGACCGAACCGTCTGCTATTTCGGACCTCTTCTACCTCATGCTCCTCTTCTCCGTCAACGAGCTGCGGAGGTGGCGGAGCGACAGGGCGTCTACCCGGGATGGGGTCCGGAACGAAGGGAGAGAGTTTGACCACGGGGAAGACGGGATGGAGACGGGATAAGCCCGGAGGGAGCTGGAGCCGGTACGCTGCCTTGCCAACCTTCCGGACGACCTTGTAAGGACCAAGTCGTGCGTGTCCGAGTTTCCGGGAGGGTCGGGCAAGGTTGATGTCCGACGAGTCCAGCCAGACCTTGTCACCCGGTTGGTACTCCGGAGCGGGAGTCCGACGCTGATCGTAGTAGCGCTTCATGTCGTCCTGAGCCTTGACCAATGCGGACTGAGCCTCGTCGACTGTGGATTTCATCCGGTCTACGAACTCGTTTGCGGACTCCATCCGAGATGGTGGCTGATGAGGTTCGAACCCGAGACGAGGATGACGGCCGGTATCCAGGAGGAAGGGTGACTGCTGAGTGGACGCATGGACCCGGTTGTTGTACGCAAACTCCGCCATAGGTAGGAGGCGAGCCCAGTCGTCCTGACGCTCTCCGACGAAGATCCGGAGATAGGACTCGAGTTCCTGGTTGGTCCGTTCCGTCTGTCCGTCGGACTGAGGGTGGTACGCAGTGGAGGCAGCCAGCTTGATTCCGAGCATCTGGTAGACTTCTCGGGTGAACTCTGCGACGAATTGTGGACCCCGGTCGGACACAACGGACCGAGGGAGTCCATGCAGCTTCCAGACGTTCTGCAGGTACAAGTTTGCGGATCCGAGGGCAGACACTGTGGTGTCATGGTGCTGGGCTACAATGGTCCGACGCAAGTCCGGTGAGTCCGGAACGTAGATCTTACCCCGGAACATCAGGAGTCCGTCCGATTGAGACCATTCCGCGCTCCGGACTGTCTTGCGACTGCCCTGGGTCTTCTTCAGCTCCTCCGCCGCCTTTGCCACTGCATCTTCAAACTTCGCATTCCGCACTCCAGTCCGGATAGCCGTGAGGATATCCTTCTCCTCCCCTTCAAGAGTGACACCCGTGGCACGGACAGCGAAGTAGGATGGCTTGAGCATCACTACATCCTTGTTGTCATCCTTACCATCCGAGTGATCCGAGCGGCGCAAGAGAGCATCCGGCTTACCCATTGTCCGACCCGGACGGTGCTGGAGAGTGAAGTCGAAGCGGGAGAGGTATAGCGACCAGCGGGCTTGACGACGATTGAGTTTCTGGGCCTTGATGAAGTACTCCAGGTTCTTGTGGTCCGTCCAGATCTCAAACAGAGTCTCTGCGCCTTCCAAGTAGTGTCGCCATTCTTCGAGTGCCCGGATGATTGAAAG